ACAGCTATGGTAATTCAACTATAACTATTAATAAATTTACTCTAGCCAAAAGTTCAATTTTAAATTAAAGGATTACATCTTTCAGAAAAGATTTATTTTTTAATGAAATTATAATATAAAAGAATTTTTTGAAAGAAGCATAATTTCTAACCTAATTATAATCAATTTTTATGAATTCACAAATTTAGATATATTATTTTATTATTTTCAAAAATCAAGTTTCTAATTTTTCTGCTTTTATTACAGAGTAAAAATATGAGAGAAATGAAGTTAATTTAAAGTTTGATAATTTTCAATTTGAAGATAATATTCAAGATCATTAAGATTATTATTCATATTTATTTAAAATCAATTGCTAAACCTTGTAAATTAATGTTATTGTATTAAAAGGCAAGTATAATTTTAGATTTTTCTTCTTAATTGCTATTCCTTCAATAAAATTAGAAAATATCATTTATGAAAATTAGTAATAATAAGAGAAAGGGGCAATTATATTCGATTTTTACAAAAATAATGCAGTGCACTCATCGTTATTATTAGTCTCAGAATTCTCTAACACAATATTGCTTTAAATTTAAATTACAAATTAATTCAGCATAGATTAAGCAATTGTTACTATCTACTCTAATCCTTTGATTAATTTTAATACAATTGAATAAATACTTATAAGTCATGTCTCTTTTATTGGAAATATTTTAGTAAAATAAAGTTTAGGAATGTTATTATCCTTAATTTAAATTTACTCTGAGAAAACTCAAAATATAGCTCTATATTTAATATTATTTACAAAGAAAATATATTTCATTAATATTAAGCCTTTCCTTCAGAAAATTCGGCCAGTCTTATTCTTATTTAATCAGGATAAATTAAAATTATGATTTCTAATCTCTTACAATGCTTTAACCAATTCTGCGAATTCATATATTTCCATAAATTCTAATTACATTTTTATTGAAGATTTTTAAGCTTTTCATCATAATTACTTTGAAGCTGAATTATGGAATAAATATTATTAAGTATAAATTTAAAGTCAATATAATTTAAACTAAATTATTTTAATTATCAAGAATCTATTTAAAATAGAAACTAAAGGTGGAGCTGTTTCTTTAACAGCATCAAATGTCTTATTAACAATTGATATAGAAAATTTAAACTTAAAAGATGTATAAAATACATTATCCTCATCAATATTTTCAATTTATCCATCATCTACCAACAATAGAATATTATTAAACAATATTCATGCTTAAAATTGCTTTTCCCTTTTTAATCAATTTCTATATTTAGAGTTTGATTATAAGAATGTTGCTTAGAATGAAGTTATAATTTTAAACTTACATATCATTTAAACTGATACTGCATTTATGCTCTACTTATAATCAATTGAAACTGTCAACCCTATCGAAATCTAAAAAATAACTTAAGATAATGCTATAATAAATATGATCGGATGTAAGGTGCAGAAGAAAGGATTATTTATAGAAGGAATTGTATCATCTGGAATAATAAAAATAATGAATTATTTTTAGATTGTCTTTACTAATTCTTTATACTAGAATATATCTACTTTTTATCCATTAAGCTTATTAGAACAATCTTTTTCATTCAGATTTGCTTCTAAATAACATTTCTATATTATTTGCAAATTCATTTTAATACAATAAACAAAACTAAATTACTTCAATTCAAATATTCATTTATAACTTAATTAATGTACATTAATAATTAATGAAGTACTAGATCCTATTTTAGAATTAGTATCAATCAATTAATTTTTTTAAGAAATCTTAGCTAATTCTAAAAAAAAGTGCTCCTTAATACATTTGAATAGCATCACAAATCAAACTTAATTGATAATTAGAAAAATTTAATTTATGAATAATAACTGTTAACATTGTTGGAATGGTTTATTAAATTTTGAATTGACATAAATTAATGTCATCAAACTTTCATAATTAAATACATTTTGAATTTCATAAAAAAACATGAAAGAATATCCTAGATAGATCAATAATAATTGATCATTCAAACTTTATTTCAAACCATGGAACTAAAGGAACAGGAGTATAAGTTTAAAATTTAAGGGTGATTTAAAAAATTTATAGATTTATTAATAATTTTGCTGATCAAAAAGGTGGAGGAATTTATCTTAATGTAAATTCAAATAGATTCCTTTTATATTAAACACTAATTTACTAGAATTAAGCATAAGTAGGAGAAGGTGTTTATCTAGAGGGGAACAGCAGTTTGAATGTGGATAATTTTTAATAATCAATTATCTTATTAAATTCCGCGAATTTTTCTTCAAGTAATATTAATGAAATACCCTCACATTTGGCTTTGTAGTCGAATTATCAGGAAATGCATTCTTAATAATAATAGATTGATAATTAGTTAGTCTATTATCATTAAATCCGTAAAAAATCATATCACAAAATCATGTTGTAAGAACCAATTATTTAACTGTGCCTAGTGGTTAAACTCTATCTAATTATCAACTTTATAATCCTAAACTTTAACAATATATTTCTTACTTTAATGAAATTTCTATAATTTTGAAAAATAGCATGAATGAATAATAATCACTTCATTTAATAAACTCTTCATGCAATTTGATCTAAGAAATTTTTGATATCAAATCCCATTCAATTTAAGATACTAATCATTTATAAAGTATTGCTTATGTTTTAAATACAAATAAGTATAATATGGGATCATCAAAATTCAATTTTGACCCATATTCATAGGATGATAAAATATATGAAATACTTATTGAATGTAAAACTGAATATTAGGATATTGCCTTATCCTATAGAATGAGAGTCAAAAGCTTTTTCTGTTAATTAGATGAATTTTACATATCTGGTAGTTGCTAAATATGCCAATCAGATAAAGGATTTTATTCAATGACTTACAATACGACAAAATGCCCTATTTTTGATAAAACAAAATTTTAGGCTATAACTTCTAATGGAATTTAACTCAAAACAGGTTATTGGAGACCAAATTATGTATCTAATTTTATTGAACGTTGCTATAAAAATGCTGATTAATGTTTAGGCGGTTGGTCTATAGGTGGCAATAGTGGTTTGTGTGAGGAGTGTGATAAATTTGATCTAAGAGGAGATGGACAATACTTTAAGAACTAATAATATTTGGAATGTTAATAATTTTAAGAGCTTTCAAAAAGATTAATAGCTTTCTTTTTGAAATTATTTTAGTAAACTCAATAAATAATAATATAAGGGCGATTTTATCAACTCTACTTACCATCCGAAGCATTGAAAAATCAAATTAATTATTTACATCGCTTAAATTAAAATAAAAATTTACCGATATTCTATTCAATCTTGATTAAGGTAAAAATAATCTAGTAACTTAGATCATGAAAGTATTTTACTTAAATTATTTTTAAATTACTTATGGATATTTTCATTTATTGTTAAATTTAACATTAAATTTTCATTCTCTTTAAGCTTTATTAAATAATCTAATGATACTTCTTACTTTAAGGCTAATTATTTTGAGTGCTTTTTGTCTATAATAATGGTACTGAATTAATTTACAGCAGAATTATTGTAACTATATAATCAATAATATCTTAATTATTAATCATCTTTTTAATATTTAAACTATTTTCATTATTAACAAACCATAAATATCGAAGCATCATTATATCAATAACTATGCTATATTTATATATTTAAAATTACGCATCACTAATAAATTAGTAAAATTTATTTCTTAATATTTTAGATTGTTTTCTATTTTAGCTGTGAGAAGGATTTCTTAAATAGACTATATTTAAGGAGATGTATCATTACTATATAGATCGAATTCTCACATTAAATGGATATTTGGATTTGTAGTACCTGGATCTATAATATTAGCATTTATATTACCTTTTTGTATGTTCAACTTTCTTTATTTTAAGAAGGGCAAACTTAATAAAATTTAATATAGATGATAAATTGGGTATTTATTTAATGAATATACTGCAAAAACCTACTTTTGGGAATGGATTAAACTATGTAAGAAAACCATTTAAATTATAATACTGATTTATTTTGAAACTGATATATTTTTAAAAGCTTCATTATTTGGATTATTTTTATTGATTTATTAATTCTTATCCTAACACTTTAAACCATACATCCTTCAAAGATTTAATATTTTGGATATATAGGCTGGCTAACTTTCCTCTGGTGCAATATTCCTAGCTGCTGTGAAATATATATGCGAATATTAAGAAAATTATGTAATATCAGGTGTCATTCAAACTATTATAATATTGATCAGCTTAATATTGAGCTATCCATTTGTTTAAAATATTCTAAAGGTTTATTACAAAAAGTTTAAACCACAAATTTTATCATCCTTGCTTTCCATATTCCTCGCCGCTCAACCTAATTCTAAATATATAAAATATTTATCAACAAATCTAACACTTATTCGATATCGAATTAAGTTTAAATATATAACTGTAAAAAGAAGAGAATGTTAAAAATAATTTTTCAAAATTAAGAAAAGCTTTTTTAAAAAAGAAGTATAATGAAAATTAAAAGCAAAGTTTTATCTTCTATTAGATTAAATAGCAGATTGACCAGCAATTCATCAAAAGAATAATAAGCTTTAATTAGAGTTTAATAGAAGACAGAAAATTGAATTTTTAAATTTATATCATTGTTGAATATATATATATTAATTAGAAATAATAGAATAATTTAAAAACTCATTTAAAAAATTCTAATAAATATTCATAATTGATGCATATAAACTCATGAATGTCTATATTTAATTATTAATCTTTAGTTCCAAATCAAAAAGCAAGACTTTCATGTGATTCCACAATATTAGATTGCTATCCATTTATCAAATGGATAAATATGATTTCTTTTAACTTAAATCTAAGTAGAAATCATGATTAAAATCAAGAAAAATCTTAACAAAGAAAAAAAAGAAAAGAAAAAACTTGTTATTAACTTACAGAATCTAAATCAAAGATATCAGGTGTTGATTTTCAATTTCTTTCAGTTTAAATTTAGGATGAGATATATTTAACTATTGATTTCTTATGGATGTTTAATTTTTTCTCCTTTTGTTTTTGCTTTTAATACATCCTATTAGATAGAGATTTTTTCAATTCTTGAATTTTTTTGATACAAGATATTTGACCGATCATCGTATTTAATCATGCAAGCCAATGACACTCTTGTCTTTTTGTTTTTAAAGATTCTCTATTCCTTCTCATTTTCTATCCAACTAAAAGCTTAAAATTAAAAAGCTATTGAATAAATAATTATTTAAATTTAAGATATCAAAATATTTGTTAGATATATATTATAAATTTAATCTATTTATATATCTGTATATATTTGACTCAATCATCAATATTAATAAAAAAATCATTCTTCATTTAAGAGAAATATTAAGAAATTAAAACTAACTTTATCATTTGATAATTTCTTATCTTAAGCTTTCTTTTTATGATTCATCATAATATAAATAAAATTTCAAATATAAAAAATATTTATTCGTAATTAATTTAAAGAATCCTATTATGTCGTCAAATTCTTAATCTATACAATTTAGTGATTCAGATTAAGATTATTAGAATTATGAGAGATCTCCTATAAAAAAGGTGAATAGTGGAAAAGAAAAAGAGTCTGGGCAAATAAATATGTAATTTAAATAAGATAATAAAATAGTGTTTCACCTAAAGTACAGGAGGCAAATCCAAAAGTACAGGAAGCAAATCCTAAAGTCCAAGATACTCTTACAGCTAAACAATATTATAATTTATAACCAAAGAATACAGAAACTCATCAAAGAATAAGCAGCTTATATTATCTAAGAAACTTTTAAAATTGGGTTAAAGCTGTTTTAATAAATGAATATAGTTCAGCACTTAAGCAAAACTTTGCTGATAAAAGAAATGTAATCCAAATAAACATAATACAATTTATTAAATGTTTTCGAAATGGGTTGCGGTAAGGGTGGTGATATGTAAAAATGGAGCAAGGCAGGGACTGGACTTGGTTTGGAATCGATATATCAGGTAAAAGTTTGAAGGAAGCAGAGAGGAGACATAAAACTTAATAAGAAGATAAGAAAAAATAAATTTAAAAAATATATTTGATGGAAACAAAAGCAGATTCAGATTCTACTTTGTTTAGATCCAGATTACCTTAGGATTTATATTTTGACTTTGTGAGTATGTAATTTATGGCGAACTTGTTATTTCTTCTGAATAAACTGTTGAAAATATGTTTGAAGTATTTTAAACATTTATTATTTCAAGAATATTGCATGTAGATTGTCAAACTAAGGAATTGTATTAATGACAATAACTGATGCAAATGTTTTAGTTAGAAAAATGAGAGAATTTACAATAAAAGACTATGAAGGTAATTATGTATATTCAAAAAACCAATATTTCTCATTAAAATTTAAGAATCTTTAATTCCCTAAAAATAAACCATTTGGTTATTAATACTATTTTTATTTGGAAGATTCAGTTGGATTTAAAGAAGATAATTAAATTAAATATTTACCAGAATATTTAACCGAATTATAAGCATTTGAATAGAAGGCTAAAGAATATAATCTGGAAATCATTGAAAATTTGAATTTTATTGAATTTTTTGAAAAATATAAATAAAAACACTCTAATTTACTCAAAATTATGGTGAAACCTCCAAGTGATGATTGATATTCTTTAAATAAATTTTAAGGATAATGCCATTAGATTAATGGGAAATAGCGCACCTTTACAGAGTGGTAGCTTTGAGACATTTGAAAGGTCAAGCATAATGGAAAATTAGAAGACATCCTCATTTAACTAATTTGTCTGATACTGTACTTGAATTAGAGAATGAATAATAATAATAAAAGAATCATAAATTTTAACTTATTTTCATCATCTACTTTTTTTTGAAAGGTTCTTAAGCAAGTCAGTTATTTCTTAAACTAGAGAAACCATAACAAATTTTTTATTAACTGAGAAAAGTTTATTAAAAAAAATATTAGCAATAAATTCTAAATCTTTCTTTAATTTTAGATTAATATCAAATTTATAATTTATTTATAAAAATATAATAAGATTAATTTAGTGTTAATCGAAATTACTTTTGAATGTATAATACCAAATTAATTATAAATCATTATCAAAATTAAAACCTTATAATATTTGTATTGTATATCCTTAGATTGACATAAATACTATTTTCTTATCTAATTTTAAGTATTTTAATTATAAGACTTGAATATTTAAGTTATCAATAACAACAATTCAATATAGTTTTTATTTTCAATAATATATTGATGAGTATTAAAAATATATTTATCATATATTTAAAAATTATTATTTAAATAGTTTAAACTACATCTATAAATATAGAATAAATATAATACAAAATTCGATTTCCATTTTAAATGCATTTAGGAATTTAATTATTTCTCTAATGAAAATTTAAATAAGAGACAATAAATATTAACAATTTAAATATCCTTATCTAAGTTAAAAACTCCTCTTATTAAATGAAATTAATTTGATGAAAATAATTCCAATGAACAAAGGCTCTTTTAGAATATATTTTATCATATTTCTTTCCAAGAATTTCAAAGTAATAAAACAAATTTGCATCATTTGAAAGCAGTATACCTGTTCACTTTAATTCTGCAAGTTCTTATACATGATATGAGTTATTTTTCATTTAATTCTTAATTGTTTGAATCATTGATAGATGCTAAAGGTCAATATGAAGGATAGAGCCCAGAAAATAATTTGTTATTATCAAACTTACTAAATCTTCTTAAGCCAATGTAAGAACTAATTAATTAGGATACTAAATTATTTAAGTGAGTATAATCAACATAATCCAAGCCAATCTGAGAATCTATAGAGTTATACATTGATTGATTATCCAACATTACAACAGTGTTACAATATTCAGAAGTCATACGATTAGCTAAAACAGCATTATATACATCCACAGTATACTCCAGCTTCTCCTATATAGAGATGAATAGAAGAACACATTATAATTAAAATTATTAATCTTATAAAAATAAAATTACTAAAATTTTGGCTCGACTGAATAAATTTTGACCTTACACACAATAATCGGCCACTCATTTTTCTAGATAAAACATGAATTCTCTAATTTAAATAAAGTTCTAGTAATTAATAACAGGAGAGACAAGCTATACAATTTTAAATAATTTTATTTATTATTATCCATAAAGAAGCAGATCAAGAATAAAATTTTGAAACCAATATTGACTTCTTACTATCTGATTTTATATCATTTTACAACAAATAAATACCATCCACAATAAGGACTTTAAGTATATGAAGTAAATTTAATCACTGTATTTCATCTGTTAGATATTATTAGTCAATATGATGTGTTCATAATTACTGGTAATGTGTGGTGATGGAAGATATCTTATTGCTTATGATATTTGTTCGAGCAAAAAATACTAATTAGTAAATGAAAGGAAAAATGATTATCTTATCTTCTGGAATTTTAATTGTAATGAAATAAGCTTATGAGTATTCAAAGGAAATAAAAATCCACAGAAATTTTTATTTAATGATTCCATACCAATAATTTAACATGATATCAAAATTTATTTTTCTTATCAATTAAATTGAATATAAAGTTTTTCAGGAACCAAAGAATAAAGCATCTATTTATGATCCATATAATTTCTTTGCTCCAAGAGTGAAAAATTATTTTGAACTTAAAGGGTCTGCTATAATAAAATTAATGGCACTTAATATTTTTATCAGTCATTAAGGTGGATTAGCTCCTATAATAATATTTTTAAGCATTTATATATACTTTTTTCCCATCAATTTTATTTTGTTACTTATTTAACTTTATATAGGGATTTTATTTTCATACACTTCATCAATCTATTAAAAATCTTTGAACAATTCAAGAGTTTCTGAAATTTACTGTTAGAATTTCCAAACTTTGCCTTTATTATTTCTCTATCAAAAAGATCCATTTGAAACGATATTAAAAATGAATATTTTGTACAATAAAAATTTGTTTTTAATTTATCCTATTCTTTGAATATATTTAGTTAAGTTAAAAATATTGTAATGGAAATAACTTACAAATTAAATTATATCTGCTTATAAATTTATATATATTTTAAATATAAACTGTATTGATAGTAAAAATGTAATACATAGAATATACTCATTTAATTGACAACTAAATCGATAAATATAATAATCTATTATTTGATAAATCTTTTATTTTTCATGAGTTTAATTAAAATAATTTTTTATTTTAATAATTATAATGAATATAATATTTTATTTCTTCAATATCTAATTAAATTCAAAGATAAAAATGTAACAATACTACTAGAACCTACACCAAGTAAAGAAATATCATAATCTTTTATTGAAGTTTATTCAAGAAAATTTATAATATATTTGTCAATGATTAATGAGGGAATCTTTAAAATTTATTAAAAGATTGAATTAGAATAAAGATTAAGTAGTAGAAATCAATTTGTTTTATCAAGAAAGAAAATAACTCTCTCCAAAAGAGTGTTTATGTTTCAACAATATGTTATCTTAATAGATTATATTTTTGTGAACTCTACAAAATATTTATCCAATATTAACCAAGTATACTTATTTTTTTATACATTCTTTATATAAATATAACTAAACAAACGTTTCTTATTTTTTAGCCCAAAAGATTTAGAATTAATTTAAATAGCTTTATTGAAATAAAGTATGATTACTTAATTCTTATAAAATGATTTTAGGGAAATAGTTTATAATGAATTTTTATAAAAAAATAAATACCTATACTTTTTATTTATTCTTTGAATACTTATTTATTTAATAAGTCAACATATTTTGGATTAAGGAATATGTACTATTTAATAGATTAATTGCTTCCTCATATTAATCCTCTTCTTAATAAATGATGATTTTGATAACAAAATTTAAGAATGATGATGTGTGCCTTGAATTAATCATTCATTTGTTAGTATTTATTTAATTAAGAAAAATTTAATCAAATAAGGTTATTTTATTTCCATCATTTTGATTTAATTAAAAATAATAATTGAATAACTTGAAATACATTATTTTAATAATAATCAAATTATTATTGATATAAAGTTAAGAACTTTATGATCCAAAATATGAAAATACAGATTAAAATTGTAAAGTAAATCTAAATGAAATTACTTTGATGATTTACTTTAGGTAAATCGATTGAATTAATATGAATCCATTTAAGTAACAATTATGAACATCATTTTTTTTTTAAGATCAATTGAAATCATCTCACATTTCTAAATAAAATAAAGATTATAATTTTAATAACTTCTACTTCTTTAATCATAAAATCTACTTAAAATAATATTTTTACAAACTAAACTAGAATTTAATTCAAAGTTTTGAATCTATATGTGACAGAATTTCAGCAAACTTTCTTAAGACAAATCAAAATGTTTGTTGTTATTTTGTTAATATTTAATAATCTCAAAACTAGAAGAAATAATATGAACCTTTTTATACGATTTGACCAATTCTAAGAATATAATGAAAGCCAGTTAATAGAATTCCTAATTATTAGTAAATTGAATTTAAAGTTATCTATATTTTTGAAATTTTTAATTTCTATCAATAAAAACATTTGATAATATTTCTAATAATATCAAAAAGGCAAAATTTAATTATGATAAATCAAATGTTGAAAAAAATAAATGAAAAAAGCTTGCTTGTGATATAGAAAATAGAAAAATTTGGTGTTAAATAAGACTATCAAAATATCTATTTTCAAATTAGATCAAAATCTCCTAATTAATTTAAACAAAATTTTCAATATTGGCAAAATATTTGCCTTGTTAAATTTCAATTAACTAAATCAAATTCAAATGAAAAATTATCAAAAAAAATTTTATTTAATATAAAAGGGAAAAAATGACTTATTTCCTTTGATTATTTCAGATTAATTTATCAAAATAACGATCCTTAAATCAAACTATTACTTTAATTTAAATTTTTTTAATTACTTTATTTAGGCAAATAAATAATACTTTTTCATTTCTTTAACAAACCCTTTTTGATTAGATTTTATTTAATACTTGGGCTAAGTGATCATATTTAATTTAAATTATTTAAACATTTTAGGCTAAGATTNGATTGAATTAATATGAATCCATTTAAGTAACAATTATGAACATCATTTTTTTTTTAAGATCAATTGAAATCATCTCACATTTCTAAATAAAATAAAGATTATAATTTTAATAACTTCTACTTCTTTAATCATAAAATCTACTTAAAATAATATTTTTACAAACTAAACTAGAATTTAATTCAAAGTTTTGAATCTATATGTGACAGAATTTCAGCAAACTTTCTTAAGACAAATCAAAATGTTTGTTGTTATTTTGTTAATATTTAATAATCTCAAAACTAGAAGAAATAATATGAACCTTTTTATACGATTTGACCAATTCTAAGAATATAATGAAAGCCAGTTAATAGAATTCCTAATTATTAGTAAATTGAATTTAAAGTTATCTATATTTTTGAAATTTTTAATTTCTATCAATAAAAACATTTGATAATATTTCTAATAATATCAAAAAGGCAAAATTTAATTATGATAAATCAAATGTTGAAAAAAATAAATGAAAAAAGCTTGCTTGTGATATAGAAAATAGAAAAATTTGGTGTTAAATAAGACTATCAAAATATCTATTTTCAAATTAGATCAAAATCTCCTAATTAATTTAAACAAAATTTTCAATATTGGCAAAATATTTGCCTTGTTAAATTTCAATTAACTAAATCAAATTCAAATGAAAAATTATCAAAAAAAATTTTATTTAATATAAAAGGGAAAAAATGACTTATTTCCTTTGATTATTTCAGATTAATTTATCAAAATAACGATCCTTAAATCAAACTATTACTTTAATTTAAATTTTTTTAATTACTTTATTTAGGCAAATAAATAATACTTTTTCATTTCTTTAACAAACCCTTTTTGATTAGATTTTATTTAATACTTGGGCTAAGTGATCATATTTAATTTAAATTATTTAAACATTTTAGGCTAAGATTATAGAGTAAGGAAATGAAAGATATAATGTATACTTTAACGAAAATATTGTTTTATATTTGAGAAAATCAAGAATAAAGCAAATTTTTGGAAGTTATCAAGTTTTGAGAAATATTTTTAGAACATGATTCCTTTTACAAAAAATGAGAGAAATGATAAATAAGTAAACTATTTTAAAGAGCAATTTAGATAATTATTGCAATTAATCTCCTAAATTATAATTTCAAAATACAATATTCTATAATAGTAATTTTAAATATATTCAAAAATCTAAATTATCAAGAAAAAAAATCTTTTCTCTTTTTGGTATGTTCAAGTCGTTACTTAGATAAATTCATAAAATTAATCTCTTGATTTCTAAATATAAGAACAACAACTAAAAAAAGTGATTCGAAGATTTTAAAAAGACAGTAATAATAATCATGTATACCATTAGTAAAGAATTTAAGTTTTTTTTTAAAGTTAACTAAGTAGTAGATTTTGACCAAATTTTATTGATGTTCTAATCTAATAATTCATTTAATATTTTATAATTAATTTTTTTGTTAAATTATAAAAAGAATATTAATTTTATTTAATAATTAATTTAATGATTCAAAAGAAAATAATTTAGGTTGATAGGCTCAAACTTCTTGAAGTATGAATTTAAAATAATAATATCTATCTCTTATTGAGCTTATAATAGAGTAATGTACATATTGAATTATAATATAAATTTTTGTTAATTTAATATTAACAATAAGACCAGATTTTTTTTGAGAATTAAAAATAATCTATTGAGAGATTAAAATTGATCTAATAATATGGATATTTTCAGCTGTTTATCAGTTAATTAAATTTACATAATATTAATTAGTTTAATTAATTCAATTACAATTATTGATACGATTATTTTTAATTAACCATAAGATATTTTATGAGTAGTTGATAAATTATAAATTAACAACATTTGAATTTATGGTTTAATAGTAAAAACTTTTATTTGTTTTAAAATTAATAATATTACCTAAACATGTATTTAGAATTCATTTGCAAAGAGTTGAAGTTAAGAAAAATAGATTTTTTTCAATACAATACAAAACTTATCTCTCTTTCTCTGTACATTTTAAAAGGCATAAATTAGAAGTTTATGCTCTTATTGATAAAAATAATAAAAAAAAATTTTTATAATAATTTTGAAGTTGATAAATTTAAATAATTTGGTCAAATTTAAAATTGTCTCTAAGAATTGAGGTCAAGCAAGGAATTGATAATAACATTAACATCCTTTCAATCATAATGAAAACAAGATTAATTCGAGCAATACCTATTTTTAAGTTCTCTTCAATTAATATCTTGAAAGCATAAAACATCAAGAAAGGTTAGAAATTCAATTAAAGAAAGGAAAATGACAACAGTAATTTTTATTTGTGTCCTTTAATTTTAATAATAATAGGAAAACAATTAATGATGGAAAATTAGTCATTAGTTTCTATTCCAATAATAATGATAATTTTTTGCATAATAGCATTTCAATTGGTTTTTCTCATAGTTTGGAGAATTCTTATCAATGCATTCTTTCTGAAAGATTTAAATAATTGTCTCAGTTATTTAGAAACTGTTTAATATTTTTGTAATTTAATTGCATAAAATCATTATTTGTTGTTTTCTGAACCTTTGTTCAAATTGGCAAATCTTATCTTGACCTCTTCAAAAACATTTAAACTATTTTTGGATACAAATGTTTGAAACTAATTTATACAGTATCAACTCTCTTTTATAATTCATATAATTCATTTTTCAAATATCATAATTATCATAATTATTCAAAAATTAAGTAAATTTTGGACTCATCTAATTATTCTATGTTTAATTTCCTTATGAACTAAAGTATTTTTTGAAGTTGACTTTTGATACCTATTTTCAATTTCTTCATTGTCATACTTATCATTTGAAGTAATTATTTATTTTCAAACAAAAGTTTACCTTTATCCCATTATTTACAGATTTTTAATTAAAATATATTGGCATCTTAATATAGGCTTAAACAGTAGACAATATATAGAAAATAAAAAAATTAAAAGAATTTATGTAATCTTCATCTTTTTTAACTTTAAATTTGTTCATCCCAATATTATCTTATGCAAACTCCCTAACATATTAACTTTAATAACAGAGTTTAAAATTTTTGAATAATATAATTTCAATATTGGATTACATATCTCGACCATTGTAGATGTTCTAATTGTAGAAATAAATAACAAATTCATTGTATCTACCTTACTTAACTTATCCATTCTAGAGTATTACGTTATTTCCATTATTTTTCTTCAATTGAAACAACTTTTTTTCCTTAAATTATTTCTTTATCACTTTTTTCATTCTATCCAATAAATAAAAAAATCTTATCTATACTATTAGATTTCCCTAAATAATTAAAATCAATTCCAAAGCATCGATAATGTTTAACTACAAGATTTAATGAACGCATGATTTTTAAGTTATAATTGGTAAGCCATAATTCTAGGTTCCTTAAGATTCTAAGAGTTAAGGAGAAATACTAAATCTCTTATAGAGCCAAAAGTATAATAAGACTTTAATTTGGGTTTAAATGGGTTTAGCTACAAAATTCTGCTACAATGGCAGCTAAAACTGGATTTCTTCATCACCAAGAACATACTTATAGTATTATTTTTTTCAGATATATAAAATGAAGGTTACAAAAGCCATAAAAATCAGAATTGAAAATAATCATTATAAAGAGAAAATTTTATCATATTGATGTTTATTGAAAGATTTTAATGGATTATTATTATTATCTCTCCCTTTTGTTTAATCTCCTGAAGATATTTTCTTTTCTATATTACCTTTATCAATCAAATTATTTTAAAACTATGTACTCGATTGTCTAAATCATAGAACCAGACTTGATTTAGTTAATATCATATATTTGTTTAAAATTAAACATCCATCGAACAAGATATAAAAATGCAAATTAGGTTGGCCAGTTATATGTATGTAATCTTTTAATGGACCGATGCTTACAGGGCTTTTATTTTGTAAATTCGTCCTTGCATTTCAAATAATTGCTCCATTTAACTAATATGTTACATTTCATTATTTTATATTAATCTTATATCTATATAATACATTCTAAAATTTGATTTTAACCAAAAATTCTAAAAATTCATATTTGAATTTACAACTTATAGTGATATAAAAATTAAAAGTATTATGCAATAAATTTATTATAATATATATAATTAATATGAGAAATCTTAATTCATATGATTAAAATATATATAAATTAAATTTGTTAAGTATTCTATTAATAAAAATTTCTTAGAGCTTATTTTTTTAAGTATTTGCATATACATCAAATAAATAACCTTCATTAAAATAAAATTAATTATTGATAAAATTCAAATTCATTTAATGAGTATATCCTTGAAAATTGGTGTTAAAATATGAAAAAAAGTTGTCTTATTATTGTATAAGTAATTTAGAAAATATTTTATTATCACCAAAATTGTTTTTCTTGCCTCTTTATTTTATTGTAAAAGCCCAATGACCCATATAAATTAAAGAAACAGATGATATTATAAATAATTATTGGCTATTCAAGATTTATGATTGAAAATTATTTCTACTCCTTTTATTATCTAACTTATATTTTAAATCTCTTTGTTTTTATTTTTATTGATATATCTCTCTAAATAGAAATAAAGGAGAAAAAGGATTAATAAAATATTGATTTTAAAAACAGTTTGCTAAATTAAGAATTTCTATTAGAGAGTAAAAACTATTAAACTTAATTAGAATGCATTTCTTATGGATCAAAAGATAAATTAATCTACATTAATCTTGATGGTAAAAAATTGCATTAAACATTATACTAAAAATTCTCTGATAAATTTGGATATAATAAGTAAGTTTTGGGTTTGTAATAATTATAAATTATAATGAAAAAAGATTGTACAACTAAAAACGATTATAAGAGTTCATACAAAATTCTATGAACCATAGGTATAAATATTCAATTAAATTACTAAGTTATTCAATAAAAAGTGTAAATGTGTCTTTTTGGTTCAGACAACTTTGGGACATTAGAGCAAAGTAATTCAGTGTTGGCAATAAAAATGAAACCAAAAATATAATTAATTAGGAAAGCAAATAAAAAGGTGAGTATTTTAGAGGTAGTTACTTGGGATTAATTTATAGCATATTAATTTTTTGTAGAAACAAAAAATTCTAATATATATAAATCATTTGCTATAATTTAAATAGTCTTGGATGAACATTTTTATGATTAATAATATATTCTGATTTTAGACATAGTCCTTCCATAAAAGCATTATTAACCCAATTAAATTCTATCGAGAAGATATGGTAGGGTTTCAAAATAAATTATAAAAGGAAGATTATGATATGCACAATGCTTGCACAAACTGAAAAATTGTAAAAATTATGTCTTCTACAAATAACAAGATTAATTTGTTAATATCAATGGATTAATAATAAGCATGGAAAATGATCAATGTAACTTTTAGATGTTTGTTTGCTCTAATCATAGGATATAATAAAATTTTAACTAGAATTAACGAGGAACAATTTAACCCCAAATTACTTATAATTTTAATTCAAATTCCATTCTGTGAGTAAATGCAAGTAATTAATAAGAGAACAAATTTGATATAACATACTTTAGTTATGTTAATTATTTAAAATATCATAAAGAAATTCTATACACTCAAACGCAGAATAAAGATAACAAATTGTAATCATTCAATTAGCATAAATTCTTTTCTATATAATTATTCATTAAGTTTCTAAAAGATCTTGGGTCTGAAGAGCAGTTTATTTATCAATAATTAATTCTCAAGCATATTTCTTATCACCTATGCACATAGTTCATTTATAAATAATTCATATTAAAATATGATAATCCTCTTACTATATTGATATATTGTCAATAGGAAAAGACAATTTTCATAATGTAAACTCCAAGCTCTCTTGATCATTTTAGCAACTCCTCTTATCATTCTATCAATATATTCCTTTTTTTGGCTTAGAAAAAACAGCACTAAACGACTTGCATATTTAAAATAGTATCAATACGTAATAATGGATTAATTATTGATACCATCATTAAGTATTCATAAAGGCTATTTTTTAGGTAATTAAAATTTAATACTATCTAGTATTCAACAACAGAGTTTAAACAAACTCAATCTTTTATAATATAAATATTATCACATATTAGATAACAATATGATTTGATAAAGTAATTAACAAACCTATTGAATAATTAAGTATTAATTCTCAATAATAGTATTAAGAAAATGAGAAAATAAAATTAATGAAAATTATTTAGTAGTTAAATTCTTTTTTCTGTCAAATTTTTTTGTTTATAAATATTGTTAAATTTTAAGCTAGACGCTGAAATTAATATATCAATTTAGCATTATCATATATTCATCAATAAATTTTTTATAGAAAAAACAATAATAAAAATCCATATATGGCTAAGTCAATTTTCAAAAATCTAAAAGAAAATAGCATAGCAGAAAAAGGAGTTAGATGCAAGAATAGAAGTTAATCACATATTATATTTGGATATATTTGCAATTAATTAAAAAATACCAAGAATAATACTTAATTGAATTATTTAACAAAGAAAACTAAATATAAAATATAAAAGGTGTAATACATCTTTATTAATGTTATATATTTGAATGTTTCAACATATCATCCAATGTATTAAACGATTTCAATAAATTATTTCTTCAAGCAATTTTACAGATCATTTTTATTATTTTATTGATAATTTTGTTTATCCTCCTTTAATTAAAATATAGTGCTTGATAAAATTCCTTAATTTACTATAAGCAATAAATCTAACGATGTCATAATATTTCATAATTAATTTAATTCTGGTTAGCAACTATATTGGAAAATCAATGATTAAACTTTAGAATCTATCAGATTAAAAATTATGACACATCATAATTTATCATGCTTAGAATAAATTTAATTCTGATATATATTGTAAGTATATTTGGTTACAATAATAAAACAGCTTACAAGGATAAATTTAATCAAGAATTTCTTTATCTTATCGTACATAAATTTTTTATATTAATCTTGTTCTATTATTTTTGATAATAATAATTAATATATATATTCTCATTTTAATAAATCTAGATAACATGAAATTTATTCTAGAAATTGTTTTAGACTAAAATAATGATAATAAGTCGATTGTCCATTATTTTTAAGAAAAAAAGTTTATTTCCATTTCAAATGTATTCCTTGAATTAGAATAAAAATATTAAGAGTGTTTAAGCCAGAGAGAAATTAATTTAATAGCTTTATATAAGTACATTTATGTATACTACTCTATTAATGAAATAAAAGCTTATGATAACTTCATAATATTAATAGAAGAATTACATATAAAAGATATCTAATCATTTTAAAAATTAAATTATAAAAATAATTCGTAGTATTAGTTAATAAAGGATACTAATGTAGATGAATTAATTAATATATTACAAGATGAACTCGGTGTTGATAATAATTAGATTTTGAATGTAGCATGGAAATGTAAATAAAATAGAATTATATCTCGTCATAATTTAACATGCATGACAAAAAAATAAGTAATTGAGTATCATATTAACTACCATATATTTTTAGAATGGTAAAATATACCTTAAAATCAAACATTTACATCATTTTCAAACACTAATAGTGAATTAAACTAACAAAAATTTTAACTTGTTAAGGGATCCTCTATTTAATTTAAACCATTTAGTAAAAATTAATTGACGCCATCATGCAATCATTTCATCCCTAATCTATCATTTAAAATTTCTAATACATCATAAAAATAAGAAGTAAACGAAGATGTAGATGTATTTACAGATTCAAATTTTGAAAGGCGCATCTTACAAAACTATCCAATTAAATCCTAGGCTGCAAAACAAAATACATTGATTTCATCACCACTACATTTTTTTACAGAAAGATAACAAATTTATTCACTTTACTAGGTCAATCAATAAATTGCTTTTTGGCCTAAATTTATTCCTTCAAATGTTTCAAAATTAGAAACGAATGAATCATATCTGGAATAAAATGTGAAAAATAGCATTTTCTTAAAGAAAATTAGAAGTGAAGAAATGACTTTAAAAATTCTAAAATATCCTGCTAAACCAAGATATTCAATTAACAATTCTTTAAATCCTAAGAAAATTATGATTTTTGGTGAAACAGGAGCGGATAAATCAACCCTAATAAATTTCTTTTGTAATTTTTATATTGGTGTTTAATTTGAATTTCCTTATAGATTTTGTTTAGTTGATGAAACTGATGAATTTGATTTCTCATACACATCAGCATTTAGTAAATTTTAAGGAGTGCTAAGTTATGATATAATTGGATCAGATCTTAAACCAAATTTGAGGATAATTGATACTCCTGAATTTAGTGACAAAAAAGAATAAAATTTAGATTAATTTTTTTATAAGATTATAACAGACTAATTTATAAAATTAGAATCTTTGAATCTTATATGTTTTGTAATGAGATTAAACCAAAATCAATTAAGTTTATTTTAAATGTAAATTATGAATAGATTATTATAAATTTTTGGTAATGATGTTGGAGAACATATTATGTTTTTATCTACCTCTTCTGATATAGATGAAACAAAAGTCAGCGAATATTTGCTTTAACCTGGAAGTCCTTTTATAAATATTGTACCAAAAATTTAAGCTCCATATGTGTTAAAAATTAATAATTAGCCATTCTGAAGTTTGTAAAGTAAGGATAAAGAAATATGGGATGAGTCATACTCTTAATTTAAAATTTTATATGAAGAGAAAATTTGCAAAATAAAAAATCTCAATTTAAATTTGACTAGGTTAGTTATTTAAAAAAGAAATTCTATATAGGATATCATTAAAGAATTAAAATATTAAATTTAGGAGCATCTAAATTTAATAGATAATATTCAAAATCAAACTGATTCTGATATTAATGAAATTTTAAAAACTAAACAATAGGAATCCTTAAATGAATTTGGTATAAAAATCAGAAAATTATTGCTTTCTATCAAAGATTTAAATACAATAGCATTATAACCATTATTGACAGATTTTCAATAAGAATGTTTAGGCTTTTTAATAAAAGAGGAAGAAGAATAAAAGAAAGAGAGTTATTAAATGCGAGTTTAGGGTTTAAGAGATATTCAATAATTATGGGATTCAATATCAACTTAATTATCAGAACACGATATTAAAAAATGAAGTATTTTATATAAAATACAAATTATTGAAAAATTTATGTTTTGATTTAAAATGTTTTTTATAATGCATTCTAATCCTATGTTTTGATTAATCATTAATAAAATAATACATAATATTATTTCATTTAACTTTTTAAATTATAATGATATTTTCTTTTTATTACTCAAATTGAAGTATTGCATCACTTATGTATCTTACCTGATAAATTAATCATATTAATTAATTTATAATCTCTATTTCTCTATTTCATTTAGACAATTCGATAATTAATAATTATTATTAAGACATCAATGATTCATTCTATAAGACAGAGATATATGGAAGGAACCTACCCTCAAGTTTTTTAAAAAACAATTTTCTTATTGTGATAATACCAGAAATTATGGATATTGGTTAATGTTGTTCTAATAGTTGTTATATATATCTGCAATTAAGTTTTTTAATAGGGTAAATATTAGAATGGCTTATCCATTGATATATGGGAAATTTTAGAAATTCATATATAGATATATATTTTGAAAATTAAAATAGTAAACAAAACTAGAAGTTTAATAGATGAATTACCTTCACTGCCAACTATGTATATATTAAGAGTATTCGAGACGTCACCTGAGATATATCAAATTGATGTATTAATTTATTTTTCTTGGAAATAGATTAAAAATTTTATATATTTGTTTATAATTGTATTTGGCTTTCCAATTCAAATCAATTAAAAATACTTAATTTATAACCCTATATTAATTCTTTCCTTGTTTTAATTTATTAAAAATTGAACAAAATGTTATATTTTTAATCCCTTTGATGCAAATTGAAATTTTTTATTGATTACTTCTTAAAAATTAATATTAAATTTGTAATATAAATTTGGATTACATTAATATTATTAAGGAGACAGACAACAGATCATAGGCAGATACAGACTAGCATTTTAGAACGGATAAAGTGAAGCTTCAAAATAAATTTATTCAGTCATTATAAGATGAGGATTATTAAAACAACAGCAGCAGAAATAGAAAATTGGTCCCAATAGTAACACTAAATAACAATAAATTAAATTATAGGAAGTAAATGTGATCCACAACAGAGACTATGGAATAAGCTATTATTAAAGACAAGTAAAATTCAAACATAAGAGATCATTCCACAGTTTTAATAAACTCCAACATCAGTAAAAATGAGTTATATATATAAGCAGGTAAGTCAGTATAAGGAACCATAAAATAAGTACTATAATTTCATTATTGATGTGATTCTTTAAATTACACTGATGTTAAAGAAGTTTTAACTTCAGTTGAAAAATATATATGGCATTTTTTATTTCTTCAAATCTGTTTGCAGGGATTTTTACTGTTCTAGCAAAGATTCTTCTGCAGTTGCAATTCTAATTCCTTCTCCTTGATCTACCTTTGTATACTTTACAGTTTAAGGTTATTTTTTATTATTCTAATCTCTAAAAAAATCTCACCTGCTTATATCTATAGTGAATCAGACCATCAGGAATGAGATCAAAAGTGCAGCAAGCCCTAATAAATAACACTTCATCTTTGAGAGCAACCTTTGGCTTACTGGAAAAGAACCCTCAATTCTTACTGCATTTAAGACTATCATACTCAAACTTTAAAGGTTCTTATTGATTATTATCTAATATTCAATATATTGAATTCCTTTAAATAAATGTTAATTACAAATCCAGCTATATTCATAATAATTTGAAGGTTTATACTTCATATGATTGAAGTATTTATTATAATTGAAAGAATCATTTTGAAAACAAATTCAAAAGTATAGCATCTGAAAGCTTGATTCGATATAGTTTAGTTCTCATTATTTAAAATAATAATCTATCATAATAATAAAAGTTGATATTTTAGGGAGGTGAAAGCCATATGTTACTATTTTGATTAAGATTGGATATCAATTCTAGTTTAATCATTACTTCATACTTATCTGTTGTTTAAAAGAATGTGAATATATTATAATTTAATAACAACTCTCTGTAATAAATTTACCCATCTCTTTTAATCAAATAATAAGATATTATTTATTGATAATTATTTGATATGCAATATAAAACTATATTATTCTTGCTTTATTAAAATTACTTATTGAATTTATAATCAAAAACGTATGTAACTTTAGTACTCATTTAAAATCAATCAATTCCATCAAAATTCAGAAAAAGTAAATATTTTAATTTATTTTAGTATAATATTAATTGTCTTTTAATGATATGAAATTATAATATAATATTATTTTTTATAACAGTTTAATTTCTTTCAATAAAGGCATTATTCAAAGAGTTGGAAATTAATTTAATACCATATTAATAGAAGTCTCGTTAAAATGAATAATCATATAACTTAAATACTATAAGAAGCTTAATTGATAAAAAAGGGTAAAAATACTTTGAGAAAAATTTGAAAAATCTATGAATTCAGTCTACAACTCAATAATTATAAAGTTGACTGAAAAGCCAACTAATGTAATGAGCGTTGAATTTAATTAATTAAAAATTGCATATCTAATTTTTAATTAATGTTGGATTATAAAAAATAGATTATGTATCCTTGGCCTATAATAGAATATAATGAGAAAGCTCTACAAAATGGAACAGACCTTCAAGTAATTCTCAAAGTTGATGATTTTATCACACATCAAAAGAATAAATATACCTTTAGGCATCAGACTGAATCCTCCTTAAAATAAATCTATCAGTTACAAAATAATTATTAAACAATTTCTTTTAGCAAATTAGAATAAAAAAACAAATTTTTTATTCAATGATTTCTTACTACAGTAGACATAACAAGCATCAAGATTTATAAAAAAAGGGTTTATTCATAAGATTCTAAATAATAAATCATTTTCACCTATAGTGATTTGAAAAATACTCAAATTATAGCAGATATTAATAGCCTATTGAGAATTTACAACTATACAAATTAGAATAAATCATGAATATATTTTTATATAAATAATAATAGATATTTTTATGTTTTTCTTTTTGTTCTTATTAAGGATAGTATTGTTAAATGCAGAAAATAATTTTGAAATTATATACACAGCTTTTAGTGAAGATAATTTCGATAAAGAAGGTAAATAAATTAATTATACTTTAGGATGGCATCTTCAAAACAGCTATAGCACAACTTTATTCAGAAAATGTGGTAATGAGACTGTGTTTGGAGGTTTTTCAGCTTTCTCTAATACATTAATTACTTACAATTCAAGTCTTCCTCCTCACTATTCGGCAAAAATTTCATTCAAATTTTGGAAGTATATAAAATCTTTTTATTTTAGAATTGATAGTTGGAATGAAAATGAATATGTTTATATTTACTTTGATGATAAATTACAAAAAAAAACATTTCTTGAGGAAAAAAATTATAGATTTTGTGGTCTTATTGATGCTGATGAAATTGTTATTTTTGATGCCTAATTAATTCATACCTCTAAAAATATATTTATCATAATAACCTCAAATTTAAACTAGAATCCACAAAATGTAAAATAATGAAAAATTTAGGAATCATGGGGGATAAATGATTTTATAATTGAAATATTGTTATGCCCAAAAGGATGTGCATATTGTTAAGATGATATAATGCCATGTGATTTTTGGATTCATGTTAAATCATTTTGGCAAACTCCAAGTGAGTTCGAAGGATGGAAAATTGATGATAATAAAACACTCTCTTCAAGTGTATGTGCTGGTCTTAATATAGCTGGAGGATACTCTAACTTACGATTAAATTAAACAGTTTAAAATACAATCTTTAATTTATCTTCCCATTTTAATATTTAATTAGAATTCAAACTTTGGTTGTTTGGCAATTGGGATGATGATTAATTTATTCTTAAGCTTGATGATTAGGAAATATTAAATCAACATTTAAATTAATCAGCCCATTATATAAATTGCGGAGGGTATTATTAATATGTTAGCTTCATAAATCTTAGAGCTTAAATGAATCATTCTTAATCATCAATGAAGATTACATTTACTACTTAATCAAATTCAACTTAAAATAAATATTGGGGAATTAATGCATTTGATTTATATATCGGAAAATGTTCAATTAATTGTGAATAATGTTACTGCTTGTATTAAAGATTGGGTAGTTTTTAAAGGAGAATGTATTTATTACAAATAAATTCCCCCTTTAACTTGGGAGCATATTAGCATAGTTTAATAACTAAATAATATTTAAAATAATATTCATTAAATATAATTAAAAAGTGATTAAATTGATTAAGAAACCTTAAAATTAGGTGAAAATGAAATCGAATTTGATTTAAATATGCCAATATTAAACTTAGAAATTCAAGCCTAATGCCAAAAAAATGTAAATATATACAACTCCTTTCAAATCTATATCAGATAAAATAATTAAAAGTAATATATTTATACTTTTAGTTGTAAAGAAAATTTTCCATCTATTATTATTAATACACATTAAGTCTAAAAATTTGAATAAATTAAATAATTCTTACTTAATTTAACTGAAACAAGTGTTGAATTATATTAATTAGTAATAATAGAATATTAACAAACATAACTTTTAATTTTGAGCCTAAATTTCATATGGATTTGAACTTAATTTGAGTTTAATTCCAAATTTACAACCAATATTATATTAATTTTTAATACTATTTAATATAGAGCATTTCATAATTATTTTATAATTTTGTTAATATTTGAATTTATGAATTTATTTACTAATTGATCATGCAATCAATATATATTTAAAAAGGATAATTAAATAATTTTTTCATTAATTTACAAAGACTTAATTTAATAATAATAATAATTTTATATTAAATAGACTTTAAGGCGAAATCTTATGCTTGAAATCAGAAACAGCCTACTATTTCTAATTTGATATTTTTTTTAAATCAATTAACTCATTAATCATAATCATAAAGTTATAAGTAATTTAAATAATTTTATATTAACCCAAAAATAAATCAAATAAGCTATTTTGTGAAAGAAGTAAATAGAAAGCATTATAGGGTAAAAAATTTGAATCATAGAATTATTATTTGAATTCATTCAATTCTATCTATATAAATTAATTGTTTAAATTATCTTTGGTCTTAATTTTAAGAATCCGATCAATACTTATTAAAACAATGTTATATATTGCCTTATTAAATATTCAAAAAGAAAAAATGAAATTTACTCTCGTAAATTGTAATATAAAACATTTTCAATTCTGAGTATTTGAAAAGTTCTAAGGTATTTTTCCAATTATTTAATAATCTGTTATTAACCCCCTAATCTTTCCAAAAGGATTAGGACTTATATAATAATAATAAGAACTAATTTTAATTAAAAAGATAGACGAACTTTGTGAACTATTTATATTAAATAAACTGAATATAATTAAAATATTTTCCCATACTTATTTTTACAAGATAAATTGTAATCATTTTAGGAACATAAATAACGGAGTTCTTTTATAATCAGAATAATTCAATCAAAATTTATTAATTTAATAAACTTCACTTAGTTATCATTTAAATATTTTATTTGAAAATATATTGTTAGCTTAATAAATAAAATTGATTAATAAGTTAAGTTAATTTCGTAATCATTATTTTTTAATCAGTTATTTTAATAAATTATAATTATTATATAGAATTATATTACTTTAATGAAAAAAAAATTATCATATAATAATTTATAATTAATAAATTTGAATCTTACGGTTAAATATATGTTTATTTTCCTTACTAAAAAGATAAAACAAAGGAAAAAAAATACATTAAACCTCCTGTTCACATTCTTTATAACAATCATCTTTAAAAGTGTTAACAATATTGTTGAATAAACCAAATTGGTTTGCATAAATACATATATCTTTAATAAATGATTTACAATAATATGCAAATTGGATCTAGAAAATGTGTTTTTTTTGAATATTGTAACCTATAACGTCTATTGTTCTCTAAGTACATTTAATAAGGTTAAAAATTCTTTTAATTGGATTCACTAGAATCTGGAATGACTTAAATTTAAAGTTTTATTTGCCACTTTATACTACTTAATATCACCTCTGCAAATTGAAGCATAAGCTATGAATAATTCTAAAAAATATAAGCATTTTAATGTTAAAATAAATCTTACATTCAAATATCATTAACTAATGTATTTGTAGATTAAAAACTAAGAAAGTATTTTTTCCATAAAATAGAATTTAAAACTCCAAAACTATATTTTTTCTGGTGAGGCTTTGAGTTAATTATTAATTCAATATTCTTTATAAATGAGTCATAAAAAACAGACAAGATAATGTTGAATCCCAAGGTTACATCTATAATAATCATTTCATATTGCGTAAATTGATAATGAATTAATATTACTTCAAAAAAATTCTGAAATAATTATCGATTTCCAAGATGATTGATTTATAAAAATTAGATTGCTTTGTATAGAGTTCTTATTCAAAAGATTGTTTTAATTTACTATAATAAATTATTTCATTATATTTTTCAAGATTGATTAAAAATTATTGTTAAAAGAGGAAAACATTCAAATCGTTGCTTTTTAAACAGTTTACTATAAAATTTAACATGCAATACATTTGGAGATTAGGCAAGAATTAAATATTTATTTGTTATTTCATATCTTCTGATGACTTTTATTTCCTCCCTAATCTACATTCAATATTATTGACATTCGCTAACCTTCAATTTTATATTCATAATTTAGTTTGACTTTGTTTTTATTTTAAGAACAATAATATTAATAGTTATATAAATCATTTGTTTCTAAAAAAAAGTTTATTAACTAAGAATTTATATATGAGTTGTTAAAGGATAAATATTTTAAAAGTATATAATTGATTGTTTGAATTTCTTGAATATAAAGAATGTATTAAGTAGTAAAATAATAATAACATTCCATATTATTATGGTTTGAAAATATAACATAATATATACTAATTGTATATTATGAATAAATTAATATTAAAATTACTTTAATGATCTCTTACGTCGTTGGATTGGTATAATATTATAATTAAAGTCCTTATTACCCGGCAATTATAATAAAAAATAATGAGTTGTAGATTAGAGCGATGAATGATGAAAATAAATTCGAAGTGATATCCTGCAGGTTAGATTTACCAGATTTAGCTATATAGTGGTGTTATAATTAGTTAAAAAATAATTATTTTTTAGGTTTAATGATTTCATTAATGGGTTTAAAGTGTTTAGAAAGTAATCTAGAATTATTGTAGTTGGATAAGAATAAGATGAATTGAGATGTTTTTAGGAGTATATAAAAAATATAATTCCCTTTACTAACAATTGGTAAGATATATATGATTTTATTGCTGAATAACCAACATTCTTTGAGATAAATGTATAAAGTGTATTTTGATTATGATTAGAGTATTCTTGTGAAGGATAGAATTACGAAATAAAAATAATTATTGAAGAGAATTTATGAGAAAATATAGGTGCCTGGTGATGAATTTAAGATTTAAGTCTTTCTCAAAAAGAATCCTCATCCTAATATACTTTAATATAATTCTCATTATGTTGAAGATAGGAAATAATTTATTTCTTTGGATTATTATAAATAAGGAACTTTGAAAAATATTTTTAATAAATTTAGGAATCATATCCCATTGAACATAGTAAGGAAAATTATGGAATAATTATTAAATGGTAAAATATTTTTATATACACTTCAGGTTTGGATCATCTTCATTCTAATGGAATTATGCATAGAGATATCTAACCAGAAAATATTATAGTTACTAATTTTGATGAGATTTAAATTAAGATTGCTAATTTTACTCTTTCTGTTTTTGGTGAATAGTTTACTAGATTTTGTGGAAAAAAATGTTATGCGGCACCTGAAGTTGTTAATCATTTTATTCATACAAATAAGTGTGATATTTATAGTGCAGGAGTAGTATTTTATGAATTGTTGAATTGTAAACAGATTTAGAGACATTTTGATCCTTAAATTGCTTGCATTGAATTAAAAAAATAAGGATTAAATGACTAAGCAGTAGATTTAGTCACATAAATGTTAGACATTGATCCAATCAGGAGATTAAATATAGATGATTGCTTAAGTCACAAATTTTTTACTGATGAAGAATCCTAAGTCTCAAATTAGTAATATATATAATTATGATTTAGTAAGTATCTATTAAATAAGAATTAAGTGAACCCCAAGCTATCTTAAATTAATAATTGTTGATTAAAAATGAATTATTGAGTATATAAATTAATTAAATTAAAATTTTTCATAAATATAATCAAACTTTCCCAAAATATTGAAAAAAATCCAGACCAAAAATTATTAATATGAATAATCAATTTTAATAATTATATAAATCATAATACTTGATTTCTTTTGGTTTGGTATTTCCTAAAATTTCTAACCATATTCCATTTTTTTATTAATTTTTTATTCTAATAAGAAAAATAAACATGTCTGATAATTCTATCCCAATTCCCTGTTAACTAACCATTTCTAGTAAACTATATGATTTATTTTTTAAAGTAATAGTTATTTTTATTTTCATCTTTTTCGGAAGATTAAAGAATAATCAATAATCATAATATATGTTAATATTTATTTATTGCCTGCTACCCACAAAGATTTCTGTAATAAATCTTAAATTTATGAATAGCATATTAAGACAATCTAAATATTNTTTATTTCTTTGGATTATTATAAATAAGGAACTTTGAAAAATATTTTTAATAAATTTAGGAATCATATCCCATTGAACATAGTAAGGAAAATTATGGAATAATTATTAAATGGTAAAATATTTTTATATACACTTCAGGTTTGGATCATCTTCATTCTAATGGAATTATGCATAGAGATATCTAACCAGAAAATATTATAGTTACTAATTTTGATGAGATTTAAATTAAGATTGCTAATTTTACTCTTTCTGTTTTTGGTGAATAGTTTACTAGATTTTGTGGAAAAAAATGTTATGCGGCACCTGAAGTTGTTAATCATTTTATTCATACAAATAAGTGTGATATTTATAGTGCAGGAGTAGTATTTTATGAATTGTTGAATTGTAAACAGATTTAGAGACATTTTGATCCTTAAATTGCTTGCATTGAATTAAAAAAATAAGGATTAAATGACTAAGCAGTAGATTTAGTCACATAAATGTTAGACATTGATCCAATCAGGAGATTAAATATAGATGATTGCTTAAGTCACAAATTTTTTACTGATGAAGAATCCTAAGTCTCAAATTAGTAATATATATAATTATGATTTAGTAAGTATCTATTAAATAAGAATTAAGTGAACCCCAAGCTATCTTAAATTAATAATTGTTGATTAAAAATGAATTATTGAGTATATAAATTAATTAAATTAAAATTTTTCATAAATATAATCAAACTTTCCCAAAATATTGAAAAAAATCCAGACCAAAAATTATTAATATGAATAATCAATTTTAATAATTATATAAATCATAATACTTGATTTCTTTTGGTTTGGTATTTCCTAAAATTTCTAACCATATTCCATTTTTTTATTAATTTTTTATTCTAATAAGAAAAATAAACATGTCTGATAATTCTATCCCAATTCCCTGTTAACTAACCATTTCTAGTAAACTATATGATTTATTTTTTAAAGTAATAGTTATTTTTATTTTCATCTTTTTCGGAAGATTAAAGAATAATCAATAATCATAATATATGTTAATATTTATTTATTGCCTGCTACCCACAAAGATTTCTGTAATAAATCTTAAATTTATGAATAGCATATTAAGACAATCTAAATATTATTAAATTATAATTTATTAATTTAATTAACTTATGTATTAAATAATTTAATTAGACATATGTTATTTTTTATTTTTTTGATCATTGCATTATAAACAACACAAAGGTTTAAGATATATAGATGTATGGATAGGAACTATGATACTTAATAATGAAAATCATTTATTATATTCAGCAGGAGAAGATTAAAAAATAATAGTTTGGAAAGTAGATTGTAATAAAAATGAATTAACATTTATATATTAACAAGAAAAACATACTAATTGTATATGTGCTATGAGTTTAAATGAATCTGAAAATATATTGATTACTAGTGGAGATGATTAATAAATTATAATATGGAAATTTGGATAAGAAATTAAATTTTATTTTAGAAAAGTATTTAATTAAGTGTTAAATTGTTCTGTTTGTCATATAAAATTTATTACTAATGATAAATTTATATGGATACCTTCTAGTAAAGATATAAATTGTATTTGTGAATTTGATTATTAAGATGGTATATATTTCATGAAAATATTGATAATAGAATATTCTAGTTAAAATCTTGGATGTGCTTTATTCCTTATACTATATTTTAAAGATTAAAATGTATTAATTGTTAGAACAAAAAAATAATATATTTAATCAAATAATCAATGGATCTTTGGAACTAAAACAGATGATGGGAAATAGTTATTATTTTTGGATAATCATAAAGCAGAATATTCATTATATGAATTATAATATAAATAATAATACATAATAATATTTTTATGTCAATCTATAAAATCATCTTATATTTATATATATGGTATTTATAAATGAATTACTATAGATCATCTATTAATGAAGCTGCAGATAGTTAATTTCTTTTGGTTGAAATTATTAAATATTAATTATGGAATATTCTTAGAAATCTTCATGTATTTAAAAAATATAAAAAAAGGATTTTCTAATTATTTTAATAACTATTTCTTTATTTGTATTTTTAAGAACAACCATAATATTATTATAAAGATTATAAACTTCAGCAACCAAGAGTATCTATTTATATTAGGAAAATATATTTGGTGTAAAAAAGTGTCTACATTAATAGATATTACTACAGTTAATAATTTCTTATTTCTTCTTATAATCTATCTACTATTTATTTGATGTAAAAAAGAAACTTTTATGTTGAATCAACTACAACCTATATTTATTATATCATAAATTATGGTTTTATTTTAGGGTGAATATCTTATTACTCTCTCATAAAATTATTTTTTTATTTCCTTTTTATCAATTAATTAGGATATCATCCTTCCTGTTTAGAAAGATAATGTTAATTATTATTATTTAAACCATTTTTGGGGATTAATTGATATTCATAAAATGGCTCAATTATATTAAAATAATATATTTAATTTTTAATTCTCATATTTGTATTTAAAAACTACAAAGGTCTGCTATTAATTTATACTTCAATTTTAATGAAGATCTAATTATTTTACAAAATTAGTAATGAACTTCTAACCAAATACAATAATTTTTTTAATTTATATAAAATTAAATAAATGGGAGGAATATCAATGAGATACAACATCTAAAAGGTTTAAGAATATAATTTAATTTCTACTCAAAATATATAATCAATTTAGATAAATCAAAAATCCTCTATGTTATTAGTATAGATTTAGATTCAAAATATTAATAAGATACAATTTTTCTAATTTAAAGCAGGCTTAATTAAATTTATTTCAGATCTTAACATTAAATTTGAAGTAAACTAAATTCTTTATTTTCATTTTGAATGAATAAAATTAAGGAATACTCATTAAATCATTAGATTAACTTAATACTTGTAAATACTTAATGAAATTAAAGAATCCTTATTGTAATTAAACAATATATTAATGTTTATAAATGAATCATAAAGAAGATCTTATTATTTCTGGAGGAATCAATCATATAACTATTTGGGAATATAATAGTATATGGAAAATTAAATAGATTATCACAGTTGAAGGGCATGTTCATTCAATTAACTTAAATCCCTCTGAGTCAATATTAATTAGTGTAGTATAACCCTCTTATCGTTATTTTATCCATATATATGAATTATAAATATCAAATATATGGAGGCAGAAACAATGTATTGAAGTTGGCTTTAATATTAGAGAAAATATCTGTTTTCTCTAAGATGATATATTCATTGCAAATACAATAGGATTAAAGATTGTAGATATTTTATTTGAGTATTAGAATGATATTATAGAATTTTATAAGTAAAACAAAAATGGATTATTTTAAAAGCAAAAATAATAATACACTGGAAAAGAATGGATTTAAACATCTAATTTTTATAATAATCAATATTCTACAAGTAGAAAATTAATATTTTGTTAATTCTAATCTATAATTGCAGGTTATAGTCATAAATGCATTAAATTCATCAAGATTCAAGATTAAGCAAAATTTACTATGATTCAAACAATAAAGTTTGATGGGAAATTTTAAAATTTAGAATTAAGTTAAGATTTAAAATATATTTTTATAACCAGAGGAAATCTAATAAAGATATTTGAATTTAAATAAATATAATGAAATTATACATAATTTATATCATTTAATTCTGTATTTTAAGATTTCATCTTTTGTTGAGTAATACAATCATTTTATAATTAAATTCTTGATTTAATATTATCTCTGAATTTTTGAAATAATAAAAAAGAATAAAAGAAAATGAATCATCATTTTGAAATCTTGAAGATTTAATCAAGGAATATGTTTTTTAATTTTTTAAGGATTAAATTTTGCATTAGATTAGGCAACTACCATATATTAAATGCATTTTCAGTTCCAATCCCATTATCTTTTATTTCATAATTTTAAATGTATTGTATCTTTTTTCATTAAATCATTAATGATGATGAGTTTCAGTTAAGTTTTAATTTATTTTATATTGATAATGATCTTGAACTTCTAAAATCTTAAGACTGATTAATTAAATCATTTGAACTCCATAAACAATTATTTCAAAGCGATAAATTTATTGATTTTGAAGAGATCTTATTACTTTATTTTTTATATTTTACTAATTTGGATGGTCTTTTTTTTTTTAAATTCCAGATAAATTTAATTATTATAAACTTTTATTTATAAATATTAATACTCAAATCATTCTAATTAAATAATAAATAAATAATTTACAAAAAAGAAGGTTTTTGCAAAATCAAATTAATCTCAATAAGTAAATATATTATACTATTGATTTATTGTTATTGTTAAATCATTGAGTTTTCGATTATCAGTTTCCAAAATATAAACATTTATTCAAACTTCAAAATGAATTTTTTGTATTTTTCAATTCTCATAGGAATATATTAGCTTTCAAATACTATCCTTCTTTTTAGTCTTTGTTCTTTAGAATATTGATATTTAAATGATTCCTTTTTTATTATTATTATTTAAGATTAACTTGATTATTAAATAGAAGAAATGCAAATCTTATAAATTTAGTATTCTCATATTAAACTAATAATGTATTAATCAATATTTAATTTAAAGTTTATTATATTTCAGTAAACACTGCCTCCATACCATCTCAATCGAACTGGTAAGCACATATTGTCCTTAAGCTAGAGCTATTCTAGTGTTAAGTTGTAATGATAAGGTTTTTAGATAAAATTAAAAATGAAAAAATCACAAGTAGCTGCATCCCTAATGATAAAAAAAATTAATACTTTGGTATTCCTAAATATTAAAGCACTTCATCTTGTAATTTATATAATAAAGTAGATTTATGGTATATTGATGAGAAAAGTCTTTTGTTATTTCCATCTTATATTTCAAATAAAATCCGCAAATGATCTTTTAATTATTCTTAGTTTTTGTCATTTTTATTTGGAATTGAATTTTATTAATTTGAGTCTATTTTTTACTATTCCTTATTACTTTATTAATCTTCATTGTTGAATTATTATTATGTAGTTGTAATTTGTTGATTATTAATTGATTATTAATCTTGAATTAGATTGTTGTTATATACTGTTTATTATGAAAATTATTCTTAATTTTCATTCGTTTGCACTCCAGTTTGACTATTTGAAAAAGGTTAAGTATTGATGATTAACCTATTATTTTAGACAATTCTTATTTAACTGTTTACATCTAAATACTTGCATTCTAATTTAGAATAACATGTCCAATGTTTTGCATCATTATTAATTCTATTTAGGTAACATAACAATACTTCAAAAAGGTCTTTATGTATTCAAATAATTCCTTAACTGAAATAGATTATTCAACTTCTAAATCTAAATTTTGATTATATGGCTGAACAATAGTTTTGATAGTATTTTGCATTATAAATTATATAATAATTATATATTATCAAATTTATAATCTATTTCATTTTAAAGGATAAATTATTGATTCTATTTAAACCATATAAAATATTTATATTATTAAAGGGAAATAAGCAAATTCAGTATGAAAACAATATTTATTAGAAATGAGAATTTGAAAACTTTACAAAAAATACTGATGCCATTATTGGCTTCGTATTATTTAAACGCTTACTATTATTATCTGATTTATCTTTTTCTACATTAAATTTATTATAATTAGATAAATAATTATATATTTGTACAGTATTATTATTAAGAATAAGAGATCCATTTCAAGAATGAAAATTTTTATATTTCAATAGTGTGGCTAAACAATATGGAGTATATCGAAATATTAACAACTAAAAATCTCTTAAAATATAAAATCAAAAAAATTAGTTATTTAAGCTATTTTTATTAAAATTATATTGAAGATAATGAAAATATAGAATAGTAAGTTGAAGTAAGAATGTTTATTTTGAATAACCATTTATTAGTTATGGATATCTATTAATTATATTTAAAAATATTGATTTTTCAAATTATATTTAAAAATATTGATTTTTCAAATAACAATAGATCAAATTTGGAATTAGATAAATTCAATAAAGTTTCAATCTGTCAGGTTACTTAACTTTTTGAAGTCAATAAATAATTCCTTTATGTTCATTAAAAATAGTTCTAAAATTTGTATTATATGTATACATTATGATATTAGGGGGAAACTTATTCAATGTTAATCCCTCAATTAAGTAAATAATTTTGATAAAATTTATTTACTGTTTGTTACTATGAAATTTTTATTCGAATTTATTATAGGCTTAAATGTTCATAATATTTAATTAATCAGAAATTATTATATATTATTTGAAAATATTAATAAATTTTAATATATTTTGATTTTAATTTGAAATAAGGAATATTGGAATTCCTAATTAATTTTAGGATTTGATTATTTCTTATCAAAGCAAATGATTTATATGCTTTAGTCAAGTGATAGGATGAACTATAGTAAATTTAAGTTGTTGATTGATTTTAACTAACAATCAAAACCCTTGTTTGACTTTGCCCAAAAATTAATTGAAATCAAATTCTGTAAGAATAAAATGGTTCTTAACAAATTAAGAGAAGATGACTCATAAAGAATAAAAATGTATTGTCTTTATTCAGAAGAAAGATTTATAATTTGGCAATTAATTTCTACTTGTTAAGCATGAATTTTTGGAAGGTAGAGCTCTTTTTTGAGTAAGGCGATCAACTTTATTATATTTATTCTATTTTCATGTATCACACATGATTAATCATTAAATTCTCTATCAGAATTTAGGAAAGCGTTGAATAGAAAGAGTAAATTTAGTGAATCAACAAATCTTCTTTGGTTACTTGATTTTAAAGTTACCTCTAAGTTTATTAGGGTTGAATTTAATTGTGAATTGTAAGGAGGTAGTAATAAATGTTAAAATTTGTGAAGCATAAACTAATTAATTAATTTTGATTTGTCCACTGAGCAATTAATCATGATGATCGTAAACTAATCATTCTTTTTGCTTTTAATAATTTCAACTATAATTTCATTTAGAAATTTTGAAAGACATACTTTATAGATGATAAATTACTAAAGTCATGAATATTGTTAAATATATTTTTTTGAAAAATAATCTCTCAATTTATTCAGCATCCCCCACATCAGAGAAATTTCAATCAGATTATAAAATTAATAATTTACTATTTTTTTGATTAAATGCAAAAATTAAATTAATCTTCTTTAATAATTTTAATTTTAATAAACTAATTAAAATATATTTGTATTAATTTATTAAGAGAAAGTATAGCATTATTTATAAAAACACTTTTAAATTCTCAAGAAATAAAAAATGAATGTCCAGAATATGTATTGTTGGCTTCAATAATTTTTAAATATTATTAATTAGATCTCTTAAATAATTATAGGTTTCTAAAGATTGAGTGGTCAATATGTCAACTTTAAATCTGTTACAATAATTTAAATTTTTATTATCCTAAAATTTTGACAACAAAAACAATAAAGTTATCAAATCTAGTGTTTCACCCTGTGTATTCAATAAGAGTATTAATTTTGAGATTTGATAACTTTAAATTTAGTATAATGAAAACCATCATGTATATTAATTTTATTTCCAATTCTATAAATTTAATTAAATCTATAATTTATTCATTAATCTTAATAGAATTATTTTTTAATTTAAATATAATATTATTTATTTGTGCTTTAGGATGGAAGAGCTATATACTATTAAATAAATAACTTACCTTCATTTTATTAAGTTATATTCTTTAAAACTATATGTATTCAGAAACATAAATCAAAGAACGTAATGAGAAATAACCAAATTTAGCAGAGATCATAATCTATAATTAGAGAACAATTCTGTCAATATAATTCATTTTAGTACTTAAATGATTGCAATCTATAATTATAATAACCTAAAAATATACATTATTAAATTATCAATTTTCTTCATTAAACTTTTTGAATTTTTTAATAGAAATTTCTGAGGATTGAGTATCCCATGTGATTAAATATTCACCATCATCACTTAATATCCCATAAACATATTAATCTGCAAATTCAATAGATTCTTGTAATAAAAAAAGATCTTTTTGTTTAATATGCCTTATAATATTTAAGTTCCATCCATTCTTAGTAATTAAGAGATGCTTACTTGAATTGTATTAAGATGGAAAAAGTAAATTACAATATTAACCACCTCCTGCAATATCAATATTTTTTGTTAATTAAAAATCTCCCATTTGATTCATTTTGTACATATGCATATGAGGACTTTTTTCAGGTTGGAATGTAATTGTGAATTCATCAATAAAATTAAGACGATAGCCATATTAATCTACTTGTATCTTTTATCTAATTTCCCAATACAATTCTTTATTTTGCTCAATTACTAATATAATATTATCTTATCCACTTGATATTACTTTACTTCCTTCAATATTTGTTGCTAAAGCTAAAATTGAATCTTAATGATCTGTTATTGTTTATACACATCTCCATTATTACTTTTATTATGATATACTCCAAAATTTAATTTTATTATCCTTAGAGCCAGATATTATAAAATTCTCAAATTTTGGTAACACAACTGAACAGGTAATCATTTCAGTATGTCCTTATAATATTTATAAATATTTTCTGTTTGCCATGAGATTCAAAGACCACAATACAATATTGGAATCCATTGAGCCTGAAATGAATTATGAATTGTTCTTAAAATTATTTAAAGTAGTGACATAATCTTTATGATTTCTACAATTTTGTAAATATTTCAATTAAGTAAATTTAAATTGAAACAAAGTGATAGAAGAGTCACTAGCTACAAAAATTATTGAATTATCTTTATTAATTGAAATAGCATAACAATATTTTTCAAATCTTATTGAATTCTCTTCCACAAATGTTTTGTATTTCTTTTCAACTGATAAAGTTCTAAATTTAGGCATTCTATTTATAAATTATCTTAAAAATATGAGTACAATATTAAATTTGAAATTTTTAATTTACACAAAATTATACTTAATATTATAAAGTAATTATCATAAAATAAATAATTAAAGTTTTTTCAATAAATAGATATATTATTGTCTAGAGTCTCTTAATACTTATTGTATCTATAATATAATTTTCAAGACTTATATAATCTAAGTCTTCAAAATTAATATAATTACATCAAGTCTATGTTAATATTAATTACTTATTCAACAACCAAATCTTAATATTTGTTTATTCTATTAAAATTTAAGAAATGTACAAATTTTTTAAAAGAAGGTTCTTTTCTTGAACATATTCAATAGCCAAATACCTATTGCAATTTTAGTTCGATTTGAAAAAGAACTCAATTCTTTAGTCACATTTAGATTCAAAAAAATATGATAATGGAGATTTTAAAATGTTGTTACTATTATTATTTTTGAATCATTATTAAATTCTATTCCATTAAATTTATGTGATTTATAGGTGTTACTAATTGAAAATGAATAGGTAAAATTTAAATTTAAATTTTTGTCATTTTTTTATCCATTCTTTAAAGATCAAGAATTATAGTTGAATTTAGAGTTTGATATGAAATTATTAATTATACATATAAGGTTTTTAGTTTTATTTGATTTAGAACACTAAAAAGATTCTTTTCTATAATATTCTATAGAATGATTAGTTGATTTTTGAAGCATATTAATTTTATTTAATATCAGTTATATTTAATTACAATATATATATGAATTAAAATATGCAGAATTTTCATCAAGAACCTTAACAAACTGGCTAATCCTCCATTAATGAATAATAAAACGTAAATTAAGAACCTTAGAATGAAAACATTTAATAATTACCTGAAGTAAGAGATGAACCTTAAAATGTAAGAATTATACTAAGGGCTTACTACAAATATCCAATTCTTGAAATTAGACTAAGAAACAAATTGTTTGTATTGTTTTTAATAAACTTTATATTTGGAGTTTGGTGTTCTATAGCAATTCTTTTCTAAGAAAATGCAATTCTATGTTAGATCATACAAAGTTTAATGTAATACTTTTTTATTATTAAAATTAGATTGCTTGAATATATTTTTTTATCATGGTCATATTATAGTTATTCAAAAAAAGAAGGTTGGTATCCTCATTCAATGAAATTAAATATATTTCTAGCTAGATCATATATTTTATTAATCCTAAATTTAATTAGTTTAATTTGGCAAGTAGAAAATGCACTATAAATAATAAGAATAATATCGAGCCTAATTTTTTGCCTTTTTTATTAATTTGCATTAATAGAATTCAATAGATGATCATCATAATTATTTATAAATAAATCATATAAATCATGATTTTAATTAAAGTAAATCTTATAATAATCAAATTTTCTTATTTTAATTTGCTAAATTTTATTAATTCCTATTTGTTTTTTATTAAAAATTTTCTTTAATTATTTAATCTAAGCTCACAACTAATATATCTTGTATCCATATTTAAAAAATGAAATTAGTTAATAGTCTAAATAGACCTTTCGGATCCGGAAAAATGAAAATTATAGAGTTTTTTGAAATTTAATTAAGTGTTATCTATTATATTAACCATAATTATTTGAATTGATTTAATTTATTGTTTTAATTCTATCAATAGTATATAAAATTTTTACACTTCTACAAACAATCATTATTATTGTTTATGATGAAATACATAAAATTTCAAATACATTTTAATACTAAATATGGAAAAGCTCTTTATTTAACAGGTGATTCAGATATTTTAGGTAATTGGAATCCAAAAAAGACTAAGCGAATGATTTGGTCAGAAGTAAATATAATATTGATTTGTTCATGGAAATATTTGGAAATTAAATATATTATAACATAATTGTTAATAAAAATATTTTTTTGCAGATTATGATACTCCTACTAACATAATTTGGGAACCTGGCCCTAACAGAGTTATGTACCAAAACCAAACTTAAAATTTAAGTAAATAATCTAGTATAAGGTTAGTAACATAGGATTGGAGTTAAACGCTTATCTTCCCTCAAGAGACTATCCTCAACAGGGTCTTAAGAGGTAATAAGAAATTTAGGGTTTATTTTATGTCCAGGGTGAATCCAAAAAAAATTGGATAAAGCGATGAAATGAAACCAATTAATTATTTTTTTTGTTAATAACTCTTAAGATGTATGGCTATAGAGAATTCTAATATAGGAAGAGAAATGAAACTTAAATATTATAATTTTGTTTTATTATACAAATGAAATCATACGTAAAGAAAGATTCAAATTTTTAAGTATTATCTAAAGTCTAATATAGTTACTGAAATTTACTTCTAAATTTATTTTAAAATATATTTTTTTAATAAATTCCTTTTGAAAAATAGTAAGGATTACAAAGTACTCTATAACACTATTTTATTGTTTATACGAACAAATAATTGTATTATGATTTATTTACATTCAATATCAAATCATTTTACATTTTTTTTCAAATTTTCGATTGAATGAAGTAACAAATTATATTGGTGGTAAAATAAAAAAATTTTAAATTTACAATTTTACTGATTCTGAATGATGTTAAATATTTAGTTTGTATAAATTTTTTATAGATAAGATATGAGATCATCATCAGTTAAAATATATTATAAAATTGCATTACTAATAGATGATAAAGGAACTAATTACTTAAATCTTAAATACAACTTTGCACTTAAATACTTATATTACAACATAAGAAATGTTAATTTTATTTTTTATATCAAACAATATTTAGTTAAAATCACAAATCACAAATAACAAAGTAGTTGATATTGAGAAGTGAAATATAAAAATATTAAAACTATTAGAAGAAGAAAAATGCTTTTTGCGTTTTAGAAGATATTGGAATAAATTATTTTTTCTTATTTAATCTAATTTATTTATCATAATTCTCAATATTATTTGTAATTCTTTTAATTATCAAATATTATATAATTGTTCCTCATTTTTAGTTTGTCCAATACAATTGTTAAATTGGTTATGAACATGTAGAAATAACTAAAATATGATTTTTTCAATCAACACTTCAATTAAATCTTTAAAACTATGAAATTGTTTATATGTCAAAAATAAGTTGTCGATGAATTCATACTTTGTATTAGCTTTATAGCGCTTCTCAACTCAGTTCAATGTTTTCAATGCATCAGTCTGTTTACCAAAGGGTGTAATCCTACTCCAGTAACTTTACATGAGTTTAGAGCATACCTACTCTCTCAAGCCCTTCCCTACTTCAAGCCTTGACTCCAAGTTCAAATTTTTGCACTTCCCTTCTTCTAGTGGCCATCGTCCTGCCCCCTAAAGACTTCCTATATAACTAGAAAGTTTCATGGGGAAGCTATTCGTTCTTCTTCCATGGGCTTCGCCTTGTAGTCTTTATGACCCTTTTTGCTGCTAAAGGCTAGCCTAATTGGATCTTTTTTCAAAGGCTGGATCACAGAATTGCTTGATTTTTTTTTTTTTGCATCATATTTATATTTTTTGTATCTTAAAAAATATGATCTAAGCATTTTTTCAAATGCAGCTTTATATTTTTGTGTTTTTAACTTTGCAAAGGATGGGTTAAAATGTCTATATTAATTCCAAAAATATTTGGTTTTCATGAATATTTCTAAAAGAGAAATATCAAATTCTAATTATATTCACGGTAATGTTTCTATGATGTATGACACTTAAGATTATTATTTATAGATATATTATTTTATAATTCCTGGATTGATTTTGATTGGTGTTCTGAACCCATTATTGATTTATATTTTATTGATGATTAATTAAAATAGATTAGATAAAATTAAAATTAGAAGACATATATCATATTTATTGAATGAATAAAATATGGATAGATTTTACTTGGAATAGATTAAGTTATTTAAGAAAGCAATCTTTATCTTTGTTCTGACTAATTTTGAAACTGAAATCGTTTTGAAGGCTTTTATTAGAATTAAGTTTATTAATTTATCAGATATTAGCAGCATTTCATTATCCATAAATTAATCAAAAATTTAATAATTTAGATGTATGGAGTAGTTAAATTTGCTCAATTTGAATTTTATTAATATTAACTAAATAAATTTGTGAAAAAAAGGATTATTTTGGTCTTTCTATGCTGATATAAATTATTTTAATTGGATAATTTATTAAATGTGTTATTCTTTTATTTTTGCAAATTAAGAAGTCATATTAAGTTTTAAAAATTCGAATTTTTAAATAAATTACATTAATTTTTTAAATTGAAGGTAAAGTTATATCTAATTAAGATCTAATATTATTTTGATAACAACAATAAATCTTTAATTATACAATATTTTTTCTGATTTCTCTTAAATACTTTCTTCGAGATTTATATTTTAGGCGTTACTCATTAATTTTTGATATTTTTTAAATAGAGTAACACATTAGAATAGCTAATTTGTGTAAATCTAAAGCTATGAATTTGACAATAAAGTCTATTTGTTTTTAAGTTAAATTTTGATACAAAAAACAATCTAAATGTTGATCATTAAGCCTTCCTATAATTAGATCACTTAATCTCTCGGGTTAAGTTCTTTAATTTAAGCACATATATCATTTTAAGATAAATCAATTAGTAAACATATTTTAGACTAAAGTTAAATTTATTCTGAAATACTTCATTCAATCAGCTTAAAGTTGATAAACAGTATAGAAACATGTTAAACGACATGTTGAAAATCCAATTGTAATTAAGTTATAAATATTTCTTCCAAACATATTTGTACCTATCCAGGTATACCAAATAAGGTAGATATTATAATTTCTAGTGTTGCCTAATTAAAAGCCTAATTTTTAGGTTTAAAATTTTATTTTTCTTTCTTCTTCATGATTATTTATCTCAAAATGGATATTTAACCATTAAAATCTTTAATTTCCTCTTTTATTATTTCCTTCTAAAAAGCCCTAACTAAACTTTAAATATATTTTAATCTTAGTCTATTCCATAGTAGATTTCATAATAGGCTAGTTTTTAAAAACAAATTATTACCATATTTAATCTATAACCTTATCAGGCGTAATTTACAAAATCTCTAGGATTTTTTATTGAAAATTAAGCCTTTATTCTCGTTTCAATATAAGCATTTATAGATATTATTTATCTTTCTTATATAATTTTTTACGTAATCCTTTTTGCAAATATTTAATCTTATATCAATCACTCCAGGCATTCTTTTCGAAGAATTGAAGTATATATCAAAATTAAAAAATCAATTCAAATTATTTTCGAATCATTTTTAAATGCTATACGAATAAATAAAGGGAATTTTATAGAGATAACTAATTCAAAATAAAGTTTAATCAACCATAGAATATAAAACATAAATTAATGAATTTTAAATATAAATGTTATCATTCTCTCTATATCAATGAAACCTTAAAATGTAAGAATTTTCGAAAGGCTTAATGATTTCAAACATCTAGTCTCATAATCAGGTTGTATTTCTAATTCTCAAAAAGATGTAACTCTCAGTGAAATGTTTATATATTTTATATCATTCCTCTGTTATTCTTGTTTGAATAACATTTTTAGCTCGGTTATACCTTTATTACTCAGAAGAAGAAGATCTTAACTAAATAAAATTATATATACATATATTTAGATTTGATCATATAGGATATTTATTCGAAATTTAACTATTTCAAATTAGATCTAATCTACTTTTTGCTTTTATAGTTAATTAGTATCAATAGAATTAATTTTTTGTAGAATCCTTCTAATTTTCACATTTCTTTTTTTTATTAAACATTATTTTTTTTCTAATCTAAAATATTTTCTTCTTAAATTCCAATTGATTAATTAAAAAAACAAGTAAAAATTATCTATTTTGATAAATCAATATTTTTATTGATAATAAGCTTATATTTATGAGAATTATTATCCTATAATTTTACTAAAAATATAATTAATAAATTAGATTTATAATTTAGAATTAACCTTATTGAATAATAGCGGGTTTCTTCATTATATATTCAATAGTATTTTGTTGAATCTTTATTCTCAATTCTGTTACAATCAATTAATCTAAATACTTACAAATGGTCTCAACAAAAAAAGAGTGCCTAACAATTGATTTGGAAATAAATCAATAATAATTCAAATTCTTATTTTCTATTTTAGTTTAACCATTAATTCGAGCAATACTTAATATATTTAAGTATTAATAAATAAATATCAAAAGAATTATTTGATTATCGTTTTGTTAAAGTAGGTAGATGGTAAAAATTATAATTTTAGTATGAGAAATAATCTAACTCTCCAAAATATCAAAATTATATATATCATCAAATATGATATTACCCCTAAAGATTGGTTCTTAGATAAGATATGTATAATTAATAATCATAAAATATTTGATTAATAATTCTTAACTAAAAATAAATAGCCCAAAGTTAAACTAATTAATACGACTTTATCTATTACATAATTAGTAACTATTTTAGCAAATATTATTCCATTATTACCTCATATTTTTCTACTTTAAAATTTTTATTATTATAGATTAGTACATAAACTCCAAATTTTTGATTAATTTTAAGTTCTGTAATTAATTTATGAAAAAAAATAAACGAAATATAAATGAATATTATAGAATTTAATTAGTGTTGAGATTAAATTATATAATAGTTAAGAATATACTTTTGGGTAAATCAAATATTGAATATCTAATCAATATTTAAATGAAACAAAACTGATTGAAATATGAAAATCTTTTGCAGAAACTTAAAGAATTACAGAATTAAATTTTTCAATTAAGATGTTAATTTAATAAATATATAAATCTTATGTAAGAGAAATCAAATTATTGAATTTAAACCCTTGACTAAATCATACTATGAACAAATAAAACAATAATTGTAGCTAAAGTAGGATTAACATGCATTAAAAACTTTTTTTAACTTAGAATAATTCTATTAAACCTAATTCTATTAAGACTCTTATTTTTTTAAAATAATCTAAGTATTCAATTATTTTATAATAGTAGAAAATAAATATTCCTTATAACATGAATCTCTGGTCAATCATAGGAATATCTTTATTGTGCGTCAGTGTTATTGTTATTATTTGTGTTTTTGAATATTGTAGAAGATAAAGGTAGGAATAAAGCAGAAGAATAGGTATAAAAGAATTTTTATAAGATGAAAGCCAAGATAGATTTTTGTAAGATGAAAGCCAAGATTACTGGAATATCTATCAAAATGAAGATTTCATATCTAAATATCGAAAAGATGATATGACTATATAAGAAGTATAACCAATAAAAAGCAAAATATCAATAGAATAACAAATTAGTAAATAACCAATTAAACAATAAATATAAACATTAAATTAAGAAATCATTAAAATAGATAATAATATTATTGCTACTTATAATCAAAAATAATACTATAAACATTAATATTAACAATAATTATTCAAAAAATTNTTACATAATTAGTAACTATTTTAGCAAATATTATTCCATTATTACCTCATATTTTTCTACTTTAAAATTTTTATTATTATAGATTAGTACATAAACTCCAAATTTTTGATTAATTTTAAGTTCTGTAATTAATTTATGAAAAAAAATAAACGAAATATAAATGAATATTATAGAATTTAATTAGTGTTGAGATTAAATTATATAATAGTTAAGAATATACTTTTGGGTAAATCAAATATTGAATATCTAATCAATATTTAAATGAAACAAAACTGATTGAAATATGAAAATCTTTTGCAGAAACTTAAAGAATTACAGAATTAAATTTTTCAATTAAGATGTTAATTTAATAAATATATAAATCTTATGTAAGAGAAATCAAATTATTGAATTTAAACCCTTGACTAAATCATACTATGAACAAATAAAACAATAATTGTAGCTAAAGTAGGATTAACATGCATTAAAAACTTTTTTTAACTTAGAATAATTCTATTAAACCTAATTCTATTAAGACTCTTATTTTTTTAAAATAATCTAAGTATTCAATTATTTTATAATAGTAGAAAATAAATATTCCTTATAACATGAATCTCTGGTCAATCATAGGAATATCTTTATTGTGCGTCAGTGTTATTGTTATTATTTGTGTTTTTGAATATTGTAGAAGATAAAGGTAGGAATAAAGCAGAAGAATAGGTATAAAAGAATTTTTATAAGATGAAAGCCAAGATAGATTTTTGTAAGATGAAAGCCAAGATTACTGGAATATCTATCAAAATGAAGATTTCATATCTAAATATCGAAAAGATGATATGACTATATAAGAAGTATAACCAATAAAAAGCAAAATATCAATAGAATAACAAATTAGTAAATAACCAATTAAACAATAAATATAAACATTAAATTAAGAAATCATTAAAATAGATAATAATATTATTGCTACTTATAATCAAAAATAATACTATAAACATTAATATTAACAATAATTATTCAAAAAATTAAAAGATTCAGGAGAAGTAAAATAAATACCTCATGTAAAATAGAATATTGAAGTTTCAAATCCTGAAGTAGCACTTTATGTTTTAAAAGAATCATTATTAAGAGATTAAAATAGAGAATTATTATAAACTAGTAAATAATATTCATTTGGATTTGATTCAATTCTAGGTGCATATGGTTCAGATTAATCTTGTTTAAAGGTTAGAAATACAAATCTTGATTATGATACAATTGTGAATGACAATCAATTATTAGAAAAACATTTAATAGAATTTAAATAAAAACTATCAAATTCACTTAATATATCAATTGATTAAATTGAAATTTTAGGAGTATCAAAAGGAAGCTTTGAAATTAATTTTTAAATTACAGGAAAAAATTCAGATGAGATTTAATAAGAGATTAAGAATAACCCAAATGCATAAAAATTCTTAAATGAATATTGCAATGGTTAAGTTGAATATGTAGCATACTTTGATAATACAAGAACTGCTGGGGCAAAAAACTCTACAGGAGTAGCTCTATCTTCTGATGATTTTAATAAAGAATTCAATATGACTTGGGATAAATTACCTGAAAAAGAATAAAGAGGACCTCCTTATCATAGATATGATTATTATTTTCCAAAAGGTTGCTTTGGACTTGGATTAAAATTAAAAAATTATGGAAATGATGATTGGATAAAAATGGATGGCAACGCTAATGAATGGAGAATTTTGTATCATGGTACTAAAAATTTTGCTGTTAATGGAATTGTTAAAACAGAATTAAATCCTGGTTCTGGATAAAATCATGCTGATAATGATTGTATAGATGAATTTGGAAATAAAGTGAAGGTGGGAAATGGAATTTATTTTTCAGATAAATATACAGTTTGTGTTTATGATGGAAATTAGTATGCTCCGTTTACTTAAGTTGGTGATAAATAATTTGCTGTTATCTTTATGTCAAGAGTAAATCCAAAAAAAATTAGATAAAGTGATTTAATGAAGTTAAAAAATTATTTTGTTGTTAATGAGTCAAAAGATGTTAGATCATACAGAATTTTATTACATGAAAAAAAATGAATGAATTATTAATTATTAAATATATGTTTTATTATTCAAATGGATTATAATACTAATACATATTTTTATTTTAGATATTAAGGCAAATTAGTAATTAAATTAAAAAAAAATCTTTTCAGGCTTAAAATCATATAAAATCTGTTCGTAAATGATAATTCAATTCAATGTAAAGATGGGGGATTAGATAAAATAGTAAATTTTAATATTTCATAAATTGATATTATTTTTTCTATAAAAATATTAAAAAATATTTAAATACTAAACTCTCATGATGTAAATTAAAATTTATCTTATTTCATTTTATACAAAAATCTCACTTTGTTGTAAACTCTGATTACTTCCTGATCAATTTAAAAATAAAATTTGCTAAATAAATTATATCAAGAACAAATTTTTTATTCTTATCATAATATCATTATGATAGTTAAATTAAAATATTTATCATATAATTATACTTTAAATTACCTAGTCTTAAAAATAAGAAATTTTGAGTTATTAGATATCTCCGATTTTCCAGAATTAAGAATATACAATTAAGATCAAAATTAAATAACAAATTACTATTATTATTTAATATAGCAAGTGCCTTTGAAAGCCTAATATCCATAATATTCAGCTAAGCAAGAAACTAAGGTTTTATTATAAAAGTAGATTTTACTAATCATTTTTAAATGAAAGCACCCGATAATTCATAAAGATATATAAATATTTGTGAATTTCATTTAAGAAATTTACGAAAAATATATATGATAGGGTACATAGATTTTTAATAAAAAAAATGAGAATTAAACTGAATAAGACATACATATAAAAGAGATTTCATTAAATAAAATGGTATCAATAACTAATAATGTTGATATAATAATTAGATATTATAAGATGATATTAAAGAAGGTTAATAATTTGAATAATATTCATGAATAGATTTCTTCTAAATTAAATTAGATTAATAATAATCAGGATTAAATTGTAAATGAATAAAAATGATTAGTCAAAGAAAGAACAGAAAATTTAATCAATTATTTTTTATATGAATACAAAAAGGAGTTAAAAGGAGAGAGAAGAAAAATAATATGGATTTATTTAAATAAAGAGAAAAGAGGAGATTTCAAAATACAAAAACTATTGAAGAGATAATTACAATCATATGATTTGAATGAAGCTAAAAATTTTAATTGATTCATAAAAAGAAGAATTTGATGTAGGAGACAGCAAATAAGAATAAAATTTTAAGAATGGAATTAACTAGCCCTCAATTATTTAAAAAGATTATAAGAGATTATCGTTTGAGAGACCTATATCAAAGGATATAAACTATAGTTTAATATATGATACAAGTAGATGATGTAGAGAACTATTCAATCAATAGGTATGATAAGATCATCATCAGATATACAAAAGGAAAGTTAGGGAAATCTATCATCGGAAGTAGTAAAGATATAAAGTATTTATATCATATCGGGAATAATATGGCAGAAATTATTATAAAGATGGACTTTCAATAAGAGATTAGAATAGAATAGATTACTAAGTTATAAATTATATAATAATAGTAATAATGACATAGATATTTAATTATACTCATATTTGATTGTTAATTTATTTAAATTTAAACCGGTTAATTTGATCAAATGTCTGATTTGGCTGACAAGATAGTTGTAGTTATCAGAAAAAGACCATTAGGAAAAAAGGAGCTAGCAAAAAAGGATGAAGATATTGTGGATGTTAATAGTGATTAAAGTGTAATTGTTAGAGAAGTGAAGTAATACACAATTGTAAACATAGACAAAAGGTAGATCTTACAAAATATGTTGAAGAACATATGTTTAACTTTGATTTGGCATTTGATCAGAATGCCTCAAATTAATAAGTTTATTTGAATGCAGTTCGACCAATTATAGAGGCAGCCTTTAATAAGGCTCGTGTCACTTGTTTTGCTTATGGTCAAACAGGAAGTGGTAAAACACATACTATGTTGGGTGATGTTGAAAAATAAATACCTGGAATGTATATTTTAGCTGCTAATGACATATTTTAACTGCTATAATAAGTAAATTGATTGCAATAATATTATTAGCCTGAATTTCAGCATTTGATTGTAGGAGTATCCTTTTTTGAAATATATTGTGGCAAATTATTTGATCTTTTAAATTAGAGAGGGTAAATCTAAATCAGAGAAGATGCAAAGGGAAATGTCAATTTAATCAATCTAATGGAAAAGAAAGTGAATTCAGTCTAATCCCTTATGTAAATCATTACTTAGGGTTAATCTGTTAGAGTGACAGGTTAATTTATTTTATTATTTTTCTTAGCTTAAAATGGAGCCAATAATGAATCATCAAGATCTCATGCTATTTTATAAATCAATTTAAGAGCAGGAAAAAATGTTTTTGGCAAGTTGTCATTCATTGATTTAGCAGGAAGTGAAAGAGGAGCTGATGTTTAAGATTCAAATAAACAAACTAGAATAGATGGTGCTGAAATTAATAAGTCTCTTTTAGCTTTAAAAGAATGCATAAGAGCATTAGATTTAAATAAAAATCACACTCCTTTTAGAGGATCAAAACTTACATTAGTAATTCTAATTAAAGTATTCTTAGGTTTTAAAGGATAGTTTAACAGGTAATTGTAAAACAGTAATGATTGGAAACATTTCTCCTAGTTCATCAAGTAGTGAACATACTTTGAATACATTGAGATATGCTGATAGAGTTAAGGAACTTAAGAAACCCTAAGATAAATAATTTTAGGGTGATTATATTTAAAGGGAATTAATGTTGGCTAGACAAAATAGTAATAATATATTTTATTATTAAAATAGCAAAGGTTGTTAGAAAAGCATATAAGAATCCAGATGATGAGGATGATGAAGATATATCATGTAATTCAATGAGTAATTCATTGTTCCCATAATAATAACAGTAATTTATGTTTTAATAATAACCATAATAATCAATATAATAGTAATAATAACAGATTATGATGTAACAATAATATTAATCAAATTAATATATCTATTAATAATAATTATAATAACAATAATAACAATAATAATTTATTCCTTAATAATAATAGCAACCTTAATAATAATAATAATAGAATCCACCTAAATTATCTTAAATACCTAAAAATTCTTCATAATAAAATTCGAATAATAATCTTCTTAATAGATTTAATTTAGGTTCCTTACCTACGATTAATGGAGGTAGTTCTTCTAATATAATGCCCAATAATTCCAAATAATATACATAATAAACATTCTTATAATAATAATCTTCATGTAATTCAATAATGACAGAAGTTCCTTAATAATAACCTTAATTATTTCAGCAATAACCATTTTAATAAAATAAAACACCCTTGTTCCCATAATAATAACATCAATAATTTTGTTAGAATAATAATAATCTTTTCTAAGAAAATGGATATGATTAAGGATATTAATAATAGCAATCAAATTAATAAGCATTAGATGTTAGATAAGATTCTATGGTTGAAGAAGAATTATGCATAAACAATCCAAACTATTTTAGTGTTACAGGAAGGTATTCTTAAGAATCCCAATCCTCAAGACAAAGTTCCACAAGACCCTTATAAGAAATTAATAATTATGAAGGGTCTAAGTACTTTAATAATAGACCATTCACAAATAATGATTATCAATATTAGTAACACATTTTGAATGAGCATAAATAAACTATTGATAAAATAGTTGAAATCACTAAAGATGTATTGATTTGATTATACCAAAGGAAATGATTAATTTGTAATAAGTCTAATCTCCTTAAGATATGTCACAATATGTCTCTAAAGTGATGTTCTAACTATAAAACAAAATGGACTTGATTGCCAATTTACATTAAAAGATGAAGCAATATCAGAAGGATTTTGAAACAAGAGGAATGCCATTCTAACCAAATTCCCATACTTTTAGTTTATTTTAATAAGATGATAATTTACTTAACATAGATGATAATGTGCTTTGAATTATAAAATATATTAAACAATTATATATTAAAATCAAAATTAGCTAAAATCATTATTTATAAATGACCATCCATTGATGTAATTAATAGAACTAGATTTATCAGCTGATAATATAAAATCAAATGGAATATCAAATTTTTAATTTAAAATCTCTTAATTAATTAGAGGTTAAGGAGGTTTATATTTTCTATTTTAATAGTTTCAATTTTATTACTTTTGTAATAGATCATCCCAATTAATTTACTTAAAAAAGAGATGATCTTTTATTTCATCTGCATCTCTTGATGATGCACCTAACCTTGCCATAGGATTCTTCTCTAAAAGTTATTAAATAATTGATTTGCATTCCTTTGAAATATTGTCAGGAAAGGATATTTTATTACATTCAATATTATTCAACATTTCATCTCTATTTGGTGAAAAATATGGAGGTTTTCCACTAATCATTTCATATAATAGAATCCCTAATATTATAAATATCATAAGATACCTAAATGATACCAATCAACAGCTCTTCCATGTCCTACTCGTTTTAACATTTCAGGAGCCAAATAAGCCATAGATCCACAAAAACTTTTGGCTCCATAGTTATCTCTTACTCCTTCTTTTGATAATCCAAAATCTGTTAGCATAGCATGACCCTAAGTATCAATTACTATATTTTCTGGTTTTAAATCTCTATATATAATGTCATTTTTATGAAGATGTTCTAAAGCTGTCAGGATTTCTGCAATATACAATTTGGCAGCCTATTCTGGGATTCTTTTTTAATTTTATATAATTTTAGATAAATCTCCACCTGGACAGAAATCCATCAATAAACATAAATGGGTATTAGTTTAAAAGGCATATCTTAATTTAACAATATATGGATGATTTAAATAAGATAAGATATTTCTTTCAGCCATCGCATATCTTATTAAATTGTGTCCCAAAAATTTACTTTTAGGTAAAACTTTCATTGCATATTTTAATCCTTATCCAGATTTACTTTAATTTCTTTTCTCAACTAAATACACATCTCCAAATGATCCTCTACCTATTTGTAATATAATTCTTATATTGGAAGGACCTATCATTTCACTTTCATTTAGTTAAGACTAATATTTAATGCTCAATTACAACTTGATTTAAGGTTGAACGATTGGATGTTGAAAATTAATTATCTGTTTAATAAGGTGAGTAACATTTGGATGTTTATTAATATTAGTTAGTTAGATAATATTATTATTTACTAGTTGGAGAATTGACTTTCTATTACTCTTTGGAATCATCATAAATTTAAACTTTATGACATTAATTGAATGATTCCTTTTTCATCTGATTATAAATTTAAATGAATAAATACCCTATAATGTTTTTCAATAAGATTTTTTAAAGTATTGTTGTTTTATATTAATTCTACAGGACATTTATTATCCATATTCTTTAAATTTAATTGTAATGATGGTCTTGCTAAAAGGATTTCTGCAATTCGTATGTGTTCTAAAATTAATAAATTAATAATTGATACAAAATAAACAAGCATAATGTAATGCAGTATTTTAATTATTATCTATATGATTGATATCAGATCCTATTGTTAATAATAGAGTAGCAATAGAATCACATCCCTTTTGAGCACAAATTATTAATGGAGTTTATCCTTATGAATTTACAGAATCGCAATCAGCTTCATTTTTTAGAAGTAATAGTGATAAATCATAATTTTAATTTAGACAACTGTAATGTATTGAAGCAAATCCTATTTATGTTATAAAATATCCTTTACCATTATCATCTTTAATGTTTATCTCTGGTTTTAGATCTTTAGTAGGAATCTCTAATAATTTTTCAACTTCTTTTATGTTGTTTTATTTGGCATTTAGGATAAGAAAGTGATTATTTTCCCTTTTTTATTACCACCAACCTTGCCATGCTGATTTATGTCTTTTTTTCAACTTTGCCATGTATTCTTTATTAACTTGAATCTTTTCGACTTATCTAATATCATAGATAGTTCCTGTTGTAATAAGTAGAATTTGAAACCTGTGTCTTGATCTTTAAGAAGGAACATCTCATCATTGAATTTCTATTCATACAAATTAACTGGAGCTGTATTTGTATGAAAATGCGAGATACGTATATTAGATGATTGATTCTATTATGCTGTTTCACAAAATATGTTTGCAACTTAATCAAAACCTGTAGAGTTTTTAGAGTTCCTAGATTTATTACTGTTACAATTAGAAAGACTTCCCTATGAATTATATTTTTAATGACTACTTTAATTTAGTTTATATACTATTAATCAGATTAATATTGTTTAGTTCTCATCATAGTTTATTCTGCATATAATTTATTATTCATAGCTGATGGTGCTCTTGGAATTTCAGTTTTTTTGTTTATTGTATTTTATGTTGGAGTCACTGCATCATATTATTTCCTGAAAGTACATTAATATGGAATTGGACAAGTGGCATCTCTTGGTGTATTGATTGGTAAGATAGGATGTTTTTGCATTAAATAATATTAATTTAAATTTCATATTTTCTAAATATAAATTTATCATAACATCTTAATAATATCAAATATCATTTACAAAATATTATATAAAATATACTAGTAAATCATTTTCGAACAACTCTTTAAATGTTAGATAATATTCACATAAAATTAAAAATTCTATTTTAGTTAAGAGATACTTAATTACTTTTTGATTAAAATATACTAAATAAATATTTCAACAAGCTAAATTCTCATAATCATTAGCTTTATTTAGCAATAAAATTCTTTTTTTTGGAAAATAATTGAGCCTTACCTCTTTTGACTCATTAACAACAAATAATGTTTTGACTTCATTCTTTCACTTATCTAATTTTTTTTCGATTAACTCTTAACATAAAGATAAGATTAAATTGTTTTGCTTCAATTTATTAGTATTAACTATATTCCCGATAACATCAATCTAATCAAAGAAATAAATTTTCTTTGATAATTACTATTTTTATGATTGCATTAATTATTCAATAAATAAAATTCTCAATATATATAGATGGACCTACTTTTATACTTACTCAGCTTTTTGTTGCTAATTTTATTTACTTTGATTTATCTTTATTGTAGAAACCAGTGTTGCTATTAAGTAGAAGAGAAGTAAAATTTTGAAGGTGAAAATATAAAAAAGACAGAACAAGAATAAATTATATAGGAACAAGCAAAGAAGCAATAAATTAAAGGAGAAAATATAATAAAGATTGAACAAGAAAAATTTAGATAGTAAGAAATATAACAAGAAGAAATATATGAAAAAAACAATTTAAAGCAATAAAAGTAAATTATTAAATAACAATAATAACCTATAATCTAATAAACATCAATATATAAACAAATTAGTAAATAACCAATTAAACAATATAAATAAAAATTAAATTCAGAAATGAATAAATTAGATAATAATATTATTGCTACTTATAATCAAAAATAATACTATAAAAATTAATATTAACAATAATTATTCAAAAAATTAAAAGATTCAGGAGAAGTAAAATAAATACCTCATGTAAAATAGAACATTGAAGCTTCAAATCCTGAAGTAGCATTTTATGTTTTAAAAGAATCATTATTAAGAGATTAAAATAGAGAATTATTATAAACTAGTAAATAATATTCATTTGGATTTGATTCAATTCTAGGTGCATATGGTTCAGATTAATCTTGTTTAAAGGTTAGAAATACAAATCTTGATTATGATACAATTGTGAATGACAATCAATTATTAGAAAAACATTTATTGGAATTTAAATAAAAACTATCAAATTCACTTAATATATCAATTAATTAAATTGAAATTTTAGGAGTATCAAAAGGAAGCTTTCAAATTAATTTTTAAATTACAGGTAAAAATTCAGATGAGATTTAATAAGAGATTAAAAATAATCAAAATGAATAGTAATTCTTAAATGTATATTGTAATGGGAAAATTGAATATTTAACATATTTTGATTAAGTAAGAGCTGCTGGAGGAAATTGGGCAAAAAACTCTGCAGAAGTAATACTTTCTCCTGATGATTTTAATCCTAAATTCAATAGGACTTGGGACAATTTTCCTGAGAAAGAATAAAGAGGACCTCCTTATCATAGATATGATTATTATTTCCCAATAGGTTGTTATGGGTTTGGGTTAAATGTCCAAAAATATGGAAATGATGATGATTGGATAAAAATGGATGGAAATCCTAATGAATGGAGAATTTTGTATCATGGTACTAAAAATTTTGCTATTAGCCAAATTGTTAAAAATAATTTAGTACCAGGGTGTGGATAAGCTCATGCTACTGATTAATGTAAAGATGAATTTGGAAATACAGTTTTTGTTGGGAACGGAATTTATTTTTCTGATAAATTATCAGTTTGTGTTTATGATGGAAATGAGTATGCTCCGTTTACTTAAGTTGGTGATAAATAATTTGCTGTAATTTTTATGTCAAGAGTAAATCCAAAAAAAATTAGATAAAGTGATTTAATGAAGTCATTTAATTATTTTGTTGTTAATGAGTCAAATGATGTCAGACCATATAGAATACTATTACACGAAAAAAAAGAAGAATGAATTGTTAATTATCAAAGTTTGTTTATTATGAAAGACTTATAAATAATTTCAAAAAGATTCNAGATTCAGGAGAAGTAAAATAAATACCTCATGTAAAATAGAACATTGAAGCTTCAAATCCTGAAGTAGCATTTTATGTTTTAAAAGAATCATTATTAAGAGATTAAAATAGAGAATTATTATAAACTAGTAAATAATATTCATTTGGATTTGATTCAATTCTAGGTGCATATGGTTCAGATTAATCTTGTTTAAAGGTTAGAAATACAAATCTTGATTATGATACAATTGTGAATGACAATCAATTATTAGAAAAACATTTATTGGAATTTAAATAAAAACTATCAAATTCACTTAATATATCAATTAATTAAATTGAAATTTTAGGAGTATCAAAAGGAAGCTTTCAAATTAATTTTTAAATTACAGGTAAAAATTCAGATGAGATTTAATAAGAGATTAAAAATAATCAAAATGAATAGTAATTCTTAAATGTATATTGTAATGGGAAAATTGAATATTTAACATATTTTGATTAAGTAAGAGCTGCTGGAGGAAATTGGGCAAAAAACTCTGCAGAAGTAATACTTTCTCCTGATGATTTTAATCCTAAATTCAATAGGACTTGGGACAATTTTCCTGAGAAAGAATAAAGAGGACCTCCTTATCATAGATATGATTATTATTTCCCAATAGGTTGTTATGGGTTTGGGTTAAATGTCCAAAAATATGGAAATGATGATGATTGGATAAAAATGGATGGAAATCCTAATGAATGGAGAATTTTGTATCATGGTACTAAAAATTTTGCTATTAGCCAAATTGTTAAAAATAATTTAGTACCAGGGTGTGGATAAGCTCATGCTACTGATTAATGTAAAGATGAATTTGGAAATACAGTTTTTGTTGGGAACGGAATTTATTTTTCTGATAAATTATCAGTTTGTGTTTATGATGGAAATGAGTATGCTCCGTTTACTTAAGTTGGTGATAAATAATTTGCTGTAATTTTTATGTCAAGAGTAAATCCAAAAAAAATTAGATAAAGTGATTTAATGAAGTCATTTAATTATTTTGTTGTTAATGAGTCAAATGATGTCAGACCATATAGAATACTATTACACGAAAAAAAAGAAGAATGAATTGTTAATTATCAAAGTTTGTTTATTATGAAAGACTTATAAATAATTTCAAAAAGATTCTAATCAAACTAAAAATTGAATTTAATTGTAAAGACAATTACAAATCAATCCAAATATAATTTGATTTTTAATGTGGGAGGAGAGATACATACTTTATGTACAGAATTTAGAGGGATTGTTGTTTAGACACTATAATTAAATCAACAAATAGAAAAAAAAGGAAATTAATCAACTAATAAAAATAGCTTTATCAATGAATCTGAATAAGTCAGATCTGCCAAACTTGCCCCTGGAATTTGTTTAATGGTCCCCATATTATAATTAGATGTGATGCTAAAAAATATTCAGTAAAAATTAAAGAGAATAAATCTGGATCATATAAAAATGTATTTTATAGAGTTTGGAATAATAAATTCTAGTATTGATAATTTATATTTAAATAATGTTAACGAACAATTAATATGCCTAACTTCCTGTTCAATCTGTTTTCTACCAATAATAGACTTAAACTAATTAAAGACTTCCTCCTTAGCAATTTTAATCACCTATTTAACTAAAGTTGATATCACCTTAAACTTCAATGGTATATTAACAACAAGCAGCATAGAGTCAAATGTATACATAATAAAATCAACATGTCAAAACAATATAATAACATCATACGTATATTACAAATGAATTCAAATAGGCATCATACTCATGAATATAAAATACCTCAATATTAATAACAAATAGTTGCTGCTCCATAATAACCTATTATTACTGTTCCACAGTAAACTGTTGTAGCTGCTGCTGCTCCTCCTTAATAGCCAGAAATTAATGAGATGTATCATGTAGAAAGAGAATTGCAAGTGCTTTCTGTTGAAGATGTAGAAGAACCTTGGAAAAAGAAATGTGTTGAATTAGAAATTAAAATATTCGATTTGTAAACAGAATTAGCCAGATATAAAAATTAAGGATAAGAATTAAAGGTTACATCAAATGAAGAATTTTAAGTGAGAGAATTGGAAGCAAAAATAAAAATGATGAAAGACATAGAAGATGGTTTGAGAAAAGAAATAGAAAGTCAATAAAGTGAAATTGACTCTTGGAGATAGAGATATTCCAAATTGCAATTAGAGTTTTAACAATTACTTTAAGGTGGAGAAGAAGTCAGATAGTTAAGAGATGCTTTAGCAGAAAAAGAAAGGCAAATCTTGAAATTGGAAAATGCATTAAATTCTTAGAATGTGGAAATGCAAAATTACATGAGATTAATTTAGTAAATTTTTCAATTAATATATTAGGAATAAAGATTAAGAGATAGCATAATATAAATAAATGATTCGTCAATTAGAACAAGAAATGAGTGAATATCAATAGACTACAGAAAAAATGAAATATTATTCAAATGAAGCAGATATTTGGAAAGAAAGATTCATGAAAGCAAATTAAGATTTTCACACTGCTTAAGAATAGTGGATGATGGCATAAGCTGAATTAGATTCTTTGAAAAAATAAAAAACCATTACTACAACTGAAAAAACTACAACTGTATAATAATCTAATACAAGATCTAGTAAGACTGGTGGCCGATAATATTGAATTATTATATCATTATTTATTTTCGAACTGTCTTCTTACTCTTTCATGCCAACATTTCCTTTCATCCAATTCACATTGATTCTCATTACCAAATCTAGCATAAAATTTCAACATATAATCTTCTAAACAATCATTTTCGCAACCAAATGCATAAGCTGTCACCAACACCTCAATTGCTATTTATCTTATATCTCAAAATACCCATAAATATAATGTAATAATAGCTTCGTTTTGCAACTATGTTTTTATTTATTAATGAATTAAACATAGTATCCATTGATCTTGTCAGCAAATACAAAGCCCAATTCTTTCTCTTACTTTCTTCGATTAAACTTAAGCTCACAAATCCAGCACTAAATCCTGACACAAAAGACATAATTTTAAGATCTTGCTGTGTTATATGTCTACATCCACAAATTATAGTTTTTTGTATTAATGAATAAACAGTTGGAAATGATGCAAATTTCAATGTATCTATTCCAAAAAATGCTTCTAAAATTAAATTTCCTTTGCTAATTTTCTTATTTTTAGATAACAAAGCAGAAATCAACCCAAAAAGGGCCTTCATAGTATATGCTATACCAAAAGATCTCACTAGTCCCTCTAAAACATTATACAAGCAACCCTAACTCTTTAAATACAACTTACGTGTTCATGTTAGCAAAAAGATGTCTTAATTTGTAATTAAGGATGTTGTTTTACAAAACGAGCCACAAAACTTACTAATTATCTTTTCATTATATTTTATTTTGATTTAATTTTTTATAATACTGATTCATAAAAATCGCAAAGATTATTCTCATACTTTATTCAGTAATTACTCGACTTATTGGGAAGTCATTTTCTTCAATTTACTTCTGTGGACTTGTACGACTACCAGCTTATTTTACTCTTCAATAAGAGATGGAAATCTATAGTTTTATTATTAAAATAACTGTTATTTGCTATCCTGATATCCAAAGTCTCTATTTTCTTTTACAAATTTCTCATCTAATGATCTTCAATATGAAATTTCAATATACTATTATTCACTCATTTTTGTTTTTAGCTCCTAATTACTATAAAATTTATTTTGCTTCATTCCTGTCTATGGAACACTTTATGAATACTTATGATTTATTGTTCTTTACTATTATTAATTATCTTTCTAAACTAGTGTCTATCTTTATTAAAAATAATATTTAGTTACATAAGTACATTCATTTTATCTTAAACTAGTTCTTGCTTAACTATAAGATTTGTGAATTGCTTAATCTTCATCTTTTAATCATCAGTTTCTCTTCTATATTATTCTACCTAAGAATTTAACATTCTTATTATTATATAAATATTGTACCTCTACTATTTTTCCAATTAACTTATTTTGTTTAAAAACTTAAGTTTTTCTCTCTTCTATTAAAAAATCAATTATTCAAGCTAAATATTAGTATTGGTTTTATCATGATTCTCTTAAATTTCCTCCATTTAATTAATTTAATTACATATATAAATAAACAATATGAAAATTTTCTAAATTTAAAATTGTAACTTAATTGCAACACTTGAATAAAAATTTATTTTATTTCAACCATATAGTTATTCTTTGATAAATAAAAATAAATCAACATTTTTTCTTAAGAGCTTTTTCTTTTAATCTCTATAATTTTTTTTGGTTCTCATCTTCTTCCTTGTCCTATAAATCATTTTCATTTTCAGAGTTTTCATTTTCCTAATCTTCCTATTCTTCTTCATCATCAACGTCTTCCTCTACTTCCTCTTCTTCTTCTACTTCTTCATCATCATCAATATTCTCTTCTTCGTCTTCTTCTTCTTCTTCATCATCCTCATCTTGTTCATTATCCTCGTCTTCTTCATTTTCCTCCTCTTCTTAATTATCCTCCTCTTCTTCTTCCTCTTCATCTTCATCTTCCTCTTCATCTTCTTCCTCTTCCTCATTCTCTTTTTAACCTTCTTTATAACTATTATCATGATCATTATGATCTTCATCTTCTTCTTGATCGTTATCTAAATCACTTTAGACATTTTCCTCTTCATCCTCATTTTCGTTTTCTCCATCAAGTATATTGAATTTATCATTTTCTAAAATTTTTTTTTCATGCTCATTTTTTCCTAGTTCATCATCACTTGAGGCTTCCTTATTCCGATTTAATTAATTTTTTATATTTTTTTTGTTTTGGCTATTATTTTCTAAGAATCTAACAGATTTCTCTTTTATCAATGGAGCTTTAGTTTTTAAAAATTTTTTTTTTTTTTTCACAAGAATGGATTAAGGCATCTATTAATTTGATTTTAATTATTGGTTTTCTTATGGAGCTTAGACATCTTATGTGATGTAAAATTAATCTTGTGTACCATCTTGATAATCATGAATTAAGCTTTAAGTATCATCAAGAGTGTTCCAAGCTTCTATTTTATCAGAAACCTTTTTCTACAATTTAACTGGAGCTGAATTATTATTTTTTTAATTTCCTTTTTGTTGCTCTTTTTTTTTTAACTCATCTTATTTGGTTGTTTTTGCATTTGATTACTTCGCAATAATTCCAACCAACTTTTATATTTACTTTTATTGTTCTTTCTGTTAAATTATAAGTTCTTCTGTAAAAATTTATTCTAGTGCTTATTACTATTTTTCTATTATTTTATTTATCACTTTGACTTAATTCTCTTTTTTTGAAAAGTCTAATTTTGAAAAAAGGTTAGAGTTGGAATCTATTATAACCTTGTATTAAGGGTATTTTTTTATAATCTTTTTTCTTAAGTTTTACCAATTTAATTTATCAGAATCTATTTTTTTATGGATTGCCTATGTACTCATTATTTTTAATTATAATTGTAATTTATTATTATTTATATATTAATTTTACTTTCTGATTATTTCAATCAGAATTGATTCGAATTAGTAAACTTAATGATAATGAAAATACTTTTAAAAAAAAACTTTCTGTTTGTGACATAAATGATAACAATTTATAAATATGATATTTTTCTGAAAGATGTTATACTTTAAAAATACAATTGAATCTATTCAAGTTATTAAAAAAGAAAATTATAGGCTTACTATTAAATTGATAACTAATTAAAAATATAGATCTAATCAATGATTACAATAGTTACTGCAATTTAAATAATATCTCTAGTTAAATCTTCAATACCCTAAATTAAGAATAGAAAAATGCTATTATATAAATACAATAAAATTATATAAAGATACTTGAATAAAAAAATCCCCTCATTATTCTACAAGGATATTAATTTCCCAACTCAATAAATAACTTCACTTGGATAGTAATGAATTCATGTATTTTCATTTTAAAGTTGTTACCTTTATTCTTTGAGTATGAGCATATTCATAAAAATTCTGTATTTAGATAATCATATAAGATGATATTCTAATGAAGTAATAGAATTAGGATATATTTAAATTAATATATATCTAAACATAATTATAATTATTTTTAATGAGTTCATCTCAAGTAGGATATTTAGTGACGGCAAATATAATTACTGCTTTTGGAGGAGGAATATTATATGGTTTATATTAACTGGCTGGCGATTACCTAACAACCTTTTTTTTCATGGTACAAAAATTTTTTAGAGTAGATCATTTTTGCTGTTGCGTTAGCAAGCATTAGAATTTCAGTAGTTAATAATATTAAGAAATTATATGCAAAAAATAGTGAAAGATGGTCAAGCTAAAGAATTTACTTTTTGCATCAAGCAAAATTTGGGATAGCTTTCAATTTAATAATAACTGTTTTATATAGCTTAAGTCATCCATTTACATTGTTAGAATATTTGAAAAAGCTGTTCACAATTTCTTCTATTCCTTATGTTTTTGTATTCTATGTGATAGCAATTAAACTATAATGTTTAACTTCAGTATTACTTTGGGATGTTTTATTTTGGGGAGTGATTGATTTGTTAAGAATAATATCATATCCTTTTTAAAGGAAGAATAACAAAGATGAGAAAGGGTTATTAGAATGGATAAGCAAATCTAAGTTATTTAATACAGTGTTATTTGCATCTGTGTTGTTTGGGATGATTCTATTATTACCAATAGCAATAGCATTAATCTATTAGGATATAATGATCTATAAGGAAGACTTGATACCAAAGTTGTAAAAATATTAAATTCCAAATGAATATAAATATTATTTATCAGCAGACTTCCTTTTATCCTAATTTTAAGGACAATATCTATCAGAAGCTTAGATTCAGCAATTATCCACTTACTTAAATCCTGTTGATGTTCAGGATAATCATAAAAATAGTGTAATCTTTTTGGAAATCTTTTATGGAGAACATGCTATAAAAATACTTGAGAGTATTAAGGAATGCCAAGATTCAAAGTATTGTTAAGCAAAAGTGCTTTTGAATAATTTGGATTTGTTGAATGATTAGATATATGAGTATCTCCAATACGGCTATAATTATGTTAATGCTATTTTGCCCCAATTATAATAATTTGCATCAGTGATTGGGCAGTTCTTAATAAAAGTATTTAGTGGAAGTGTAGCATTTTTAGTGAAATTCATAATCTTTTAATAGGGTGTGATGTACTTATTAACAGAGTCTTCATTCTACGATTTAATTAGTGTGAATGAGAAGAAGAATTCATTTAAAGGAACTCTAGTATAGAATATTAGTAAACATATAACAGGAGTATTTGTATCCTTATTTACTATATTTATGTAACACTTTATGCTATCTTATATGTTTTTGGATATATTATAAATAAAATTAGCATTCATATAAAGTTTTTTGATTGGATTGTTATCATTAACTTAGATAGTAGATCCTGGATTAACATATATATTGATCACAGGAATTTGGTGGTTGGCTGGATTTCTAAATAATGCTGCTCATGAGTTTTGTATCAATGATGGATTAACTATGCTGTTTGCAATTGGATTTTATTTTTCTTCTAGTTCAATTTACTTAAATACATTTAAAAAATAATTAGGAGATGCATATTGGAGTTCAATGTCTGTAATTTTAGGATACATTTCATTTAAATGGTAAGGTCTGTTAATTGGTCCTTTATTGATTGGAGGTGTAAGAACCCTTTATGAGATACTGGCCTGGTATTGGGGAGAAAAGGAAATCATGAAGGATGATTACACTATTTAGAATGAGAATCAAAAGATATAGAATGATCCTAAAGCAATTGAAAATAAGGGAAATACAAGCAAGAGTAACTAAAGTAAGAAAGAAGGAAAGAAAAAGAAGGACTGATATAGTATCAATTGTAAATAAAATTATATATAATAATATTAAATAATGGAGAAGAGATTTTACAAAACCTGTTCAAAACATGCTTACTATTAATATATTAATAGATTCGATCCAAAATTGTTGGCAACATATTAAACTGGATATTATCATGGAATTGGAAGACAGTAAATTTTCTAATTTAAGTTAAAAGAGGATTATTCAAAACATTAGTTTTGAGATAAGCAGGTGACAGCATTGGAATGGAAGAGGATCACAGTTATACTTATAAGATGCATGTGATGGCCATGAATCTAATGTATAGAAGTGGTTGGGTGTTATTTGCTTACATTCTTATTTGGAATACATTTTTATTGGGAGATCCTTGTTAAGTATCTAATAGTATTTTATGAATAGGTGTTTAATACATCATATTGGGACTTAGCATGCAAACCATCTGGAGACATGGATTACAATACAAGATATGAAATGTTGTATGTTCAAGACAGAGTGTTAAGATTCTGATCCATTAAATATAAAATGTAATTATTATTATTTAACCATCTTCATTTCTTTGAGCTTCCACTGGATCCTGGAGGCCATGTTAATTATTCCCCTCCAATAATATGGAGATGAAGATGCCAAACACTTTGACCTCCATTCTCACCATCGTTAATTACTACTCTAAATCCTTTCTTTAATTCATCGACTAATTCTACTATCTTTGTCACTGTGAATAATAAATGACCTAAGACTTCCTTATTGTGTTCTTAAGCCTTAGATAATTATGTCAATCCATTTCGTTATTTTGGAATTAATAGAATATGCACTGGAGCTTAGGGATTAACGTCATGAAAAGCAAGACACTAATTATATATCAATAATACTAGATCATCCTAATAAACAATGTTCGCTTTTATTTAACCTGAAATAATTTTATCAAAAATTGTGACTTCAGCGTCCATTTACAATTAATTATTTTAATCAAAGCATATTTTAATATGAATCATTATATTCTTTTACTTATTATTGTAAGCTATCTTAATTTAAATCACACAACAAGTATTAACTTTGACATAAAAATAGAAAATCTCCTGGTATTTGTAAATTAAATTTTCTTAATAGAAATGGAAAGACTCCATTTATGATTATTCCAACCCCAAAGGATATTGGAAGTATCTAATTTCATTATTTAATCAATACTTTGCACATCAATTGAACTACTACATTATTGGAGGTAATAAATACAAAAGGAATCAAAATTATAAATGGAATCAATAATGAAAGTAATCTTTTAATAAACTAAGTTTTTGTAAGTTTTAATTTCCATTTATTAAAGAGACCTTCATCATAAGAACCTTAGACTAATACAGCACCAACTAATAATCCTGTTATCATAGCTCCAATTCCTGTAAATTGGAAACAAGAATTATATAATATTTATGGAGAATCTCTTGTGTAATTAGTTTATTTGCATTGATTTATTTTTTCAATCCATGAACTCATCTCTAATCGCTCATAATAAATTAAGGAATTTAATTTTAATAATCCTAATGATAAACCCAAGAGAACTAATAATAGGAAAAATGACATAGGAATGAAATGATTCATTTCTTTATGTTTACTTTATTAAGGATAAAACAAATTTAATATGTATCTAAATATATAATTGATTGATTATATACCGTTTTAATGAATCATGAATGATAAAAACATACATTAAAGTTATATATAGACCCCAAACCCAACCAAGTAATACCTATCCAATTGAATGAACCCCAAGAAATACTCTTGAAATACCAGTCATAATAATGCTTGTAAGAAGGAATGAAATTATTATTAATTTCATTGCAATTTAAAATTTTGACTATATATTGTCATTTGCTTCTAATTTACTATTCTTAACTAAATATTCTTATAAAAATTACTTCTAATTCTGAATTTTCTAAACTATTTATAGTATAACCTGTATGAGATTAACTTCTATCAAGATCTAATAAATCTAAGATATTATAACCTTTTTAAAATTCCACCTAGACTTTATTCCTCCCTAGATTTTTTATTTATGGAAAAAGCAATATTGGCATAAGAATAATCATCACAACAGAATTTTGTGAATGTCCTGATGGCTTTCCATAATCGGAATTACATTTCAAACTAAAATCTAATTTTAGGTACCTTTAAATATCTGTTTCTATCATGTATGGTCTTGCTTAATGGTATATACTTTTTAAAAGTTCATTTGTAGTTACACTTGCAATAACAACAGCTAAATAAAGCAATGAATTTAATTTATTGTCATCATATATGAAGCAATAAAATGCTGCCAGAGGTGGTATGAAAACTAAGTATGTAAAAAATTCGTAAACAACTAGTTCAAAAGTAGGAATTGATTATTGCATCGATTTTGCAAATGATTTACTTATAACCCAAAGTTCATCATCAAAAGTAACATCTAATATAACATAAGCAACTAGAAAAGTAGTGAATACTATTGATAATATTAATTTATTCATTTTATTAATACATACAAAAGTTTATATTGGTATGTATAAACTCTTTAATTCTATAAAAAAATCACATTTTTTCAGGTATCAAAGAATCTACACTTTTTATTATTCTAGAAAGGAGTTGAAGCAAAGCTTATTCGAAAATTATTATTGATATAAATAAAAAATACTATAAAAGTATCGAATGATAAGCTTAAATCAATAATTTTGTGTATTAGATGCAACTACCAAAATATATTGATTTGAATTATCAAAAATATACGATTATTAAATAATTCTATTTAAAAAAATATTCTACTTTGGATTACCATAAAAATCTAGAATAATTATCCATAATTCAAAATTATTAAAAAGAATTTCAGCATAAATTTCTTAAATATTGCACAATCTAATTAATAAACAGAAAATTGAAAAAATAAATATACAATAAAAGTTGGCTGATTATAAAGCAGTTTAATAAATATCATTCCATAAAGGAAGGTTTTGGTCTTCCAGTTTTTAGTGTGCAACCAGCACAGTGCAGTAAAGCAACTGCAGCATAGATGGGCCCTTTTTTAAGCAGATCTGATCTAAATGCTATACCCCAATATTCATTGTTTAATTAAAATGATAGAGTACCTAAAGTAATTTATAATATAAAATACCATTATTCATATTTAAACAGACACCAAGAACACCATCTTTTTTGAATCTTTTTCCATAAGTTGAACCTGATGCAGTATGTCCATTTCTTAGTTATGCTAATCCATAATAAGCAAATCCCTAATTTATATCACAAAATGCAGCATTTAAATTTAATGTATTTCCTGAATAAACTCCAATCTTTAATTCATTTTCTGTTCTACTATCTGCTTCAATTTCCCAATAATGAACCCCACTTTCAAATGGCTAGATAAAATATAAAATAATACCATATCACCCAATACTGTTCTGAAAATGTATGAACTTTCTTTAAGGAATACTTATGTATCTCCCATGGTCAATTAAATACCTTATCCACATTTATTTTTGTCCCATTTGAAAACAGTACCTCCTTCTCCACTAATTATAGGTAATTATTGATTTATTAATTTTTATTTAATCTATTATTGAAATGGTTAAGTTTATAATTCAGTCACATACCGTTTTAAAATTTCGTATTATTCCTTACGAGATCCTGCATTGTTAAATAAATGATCAGTATATTTACATATCAAGCTGCAAAATTATGATCTACTAAGAATTATTTATAGAATTACTCATTTAGTACAAATTCTTGACATACTTCAAAATTTTAGCATTTTGATTTACAACATTCCATTTGATGTTAATCCAAATCAACAATAGAAACTTCTTTCTTGCATTTTGGATTTATACACTATAACTTCAAATTCCTATAAGCTCTAAGCATAGCCCCTTAAATTTTATCATATTGTTAAGGCTTTCCTTAAGAAGGACAATCAGGACTTTTACAAATAGGCTTTTGTACAACACAATCATTGCAGTACAATTAACCACAATAAAAACACTCTTATGGGTCCTTTACAAGTTTATTACAAGCTAAACAGATGTAATGATAATCAAGTGTTGGTTGAAATCTGCTTATATCATAGCCTGACATGTTTTATTTTGTTGAAAATATAAATAAAAAAAAAATTAATAAATATTTCATTTATATATCGATTGTTTCTTAATTTGCAAAATGTTTAAAAGAAATTTAATAACTTGATTGAAGTTTATAATGAGAATGCTTTGAAATTGCTCTACTTAATTTGGTAATTATTAATTTAAAATTAAACAATCTAATTTATAATAGATATCTAATTAATGGAAATTATAGAGAACTGCAATAATTCTTCTATTGTTTTAAAGAATATCAGATTCTATATTAAAAATAAATTCTTTAATTTTTTTGATTAACAATAATGAAAATAATGATTAGGAAATTAAATAGTGAATTAAATTTAATAATATAGTAGAGGATAATCTAAAATAATTAAAATTTTTGATATAAACTATCAAATTGGGAGTCAATATATAATTAAATGATGTATAGAATGATAGTTAATTTAAAATTCAAGAATGTAATTGCTATAGCATTTTTTTTTAGTGTTTATGGTAACAATATTAAATTGAATCTGTTTGCTAGTTCTAAATCAAAAGAATCTGAATTAAAAATTTAAGAATATTATATAAATCATTTTTTTTGGGTAATGGCTCTGTAAAGAATGATGTTTAAACTTACAATTTGAGATAGAGATTATCATATAGTATGATTCAGATTGAATTATTTTAATAATTATATTATATTTTCAAATAGGGACATTTGCAAACTATTCCATCTCCTTTCTATATTACTCTTCCAAATATTGATCTAAATCATTTGGATTGATTGATCCCTACATTCTGATATCACTTTCCTTAACCTCAAATCCACTTTCACTATCATATGATGAATAAGGTAAACTGTTGTCAGCAGGAGCAAATGGAGAAACTACTCCTTTTTGATCAGGGATTGGATCTTTTTAAATGACTGGAGTGAGTTGGTGTTCAACTACATCAACAGGCATTTCGCTTTCAGGATCATATTGATTATTTGTTTTCCTTTCATTTTATTGACTCTACATATAGGTGTCTTCATCATTTAAATGTTATTCTTCAAGTCTTTATCTCTTCATTCTTTCATATTCTTCTTATTCTTTTCTATCTAATTCTTCCATTTATTCTGCACTTAATGTTTGTTCTTCATCAATTTAAATAACTGCCTCTTCCTCTATTTAAACTTACATTTATTCATGAACATTAATTTCTTAGAAACCTTCTTATTAAATTTCTTGTTCTTTATTTAATTAAACATCATCATCAATATATTGCACTTGTTTTTCTATCAAAGCTAATTTTTGTCCATTTAATATATGGCTCTTCTTTTATCTCAAATGTTAAGCAGATTGAGCAATTCCTATCAAAATAACTATTATAATCACTGTTCTCATTAAAACGGATTAATATAATATTGTAAATATTCCAATAAATTAAAAATTACATACTTTTAAAAAGAATAAGACATAATTCATTTAAATTCTAATCATCTAATGGTTAATATAATATTATTCATAATTTGAAAAGATTATATATTTATACACTTAATACTTAAAATTCTATGTTATTGATTAATTAAATTTAAGAGAATTCATTCAAATATATATTGGAATTAAGAATTGTAAATAGATTTTTTAATTTATAGATCATATAAATAGTATCTAAAAATAAATAAGATAATCTTTTAGTATTCTATTTACTAAATGTATAAATATTAATGATTCCAATTAAATAGAAATATATAACATTTTAAAAACGATACATATCTATTAAAAACCTTACTATCTATACATGAATCTATCCAAATACATTTTATATATCAATAAATAATCGATAATCAAATTAAAAATAATAACTTAGATTGCTAACCAGTAAATTATAAATTGATAATAATAAAATAGAATATATGATCTATAGTTGTTAAGTATGAATATATTTGAGTATATCAATTTAATGTATATTTTCTCATGGACTTAATAACAAAAGATTAAAATTATAATTTGTATTCGTTTTTAATATTAATATAAAAATGAGAATTGTATTATTAGTTCTATTGAGCATAGTAATATTTATATAAGATGTTAGGCATTATGTAAAATGGGCACAGATCCAAAGATTATATTGGCAGAAATAGATGATCATCATATGGGTAAAACATTCTTGAATGCAATCCAAATTAGTTTGGCAACAGGTTCACCTGTTCATGAGATTTAAAGCTACATAAACAATATTAGGTATAAAATAATCTTGATTGTAGATTTATGTTAGAATAAGAATAAAAGGATGCTGATCTATATATTCAAAGTACATAGGCATCATGTAATAGATTATTACATGATTTTTCAACTAATTTAGCTTATCATTAGAGTTAATTAAAAGCTCATTAGAAAATAGTTGAGGTTATTAATATATATTAATAAATTAGGAAAATACAAGTAATCTTTAAAGATCTCTTAATAAAATTGCAGAAGTATCAGTTGAAATAGAAGAAAATACTAAGAAAACAAATGCAGGATAAAGCGAAAGAGATTTATAATATGCTGAATTTTAATCTAAGATCAAAGATCATACAGAGGCTATAGCAGCAATTGATGAAGCATATGCTCTAATTGAACATTTATCGAGTGGATCATCCTTCATTTAAGTCAAGGGAAGATTTAATAAAGTTTTATAAAGATTGTAGAAGTAAATATCTATATTTATTTAATTAGTTAATCAACTGGATTATTATTCTAACCAATTCTTACAATGATGACCTAATTATCATCAAAATCAGATTCAGACACTGCAAAGAAAGTCTTATAATTATTAGCCAATTTAAGAGTTCAAATTGTAGAAAGTAAAGGAAATGATGAATCAATTGAAAAACAATAAAGTCTAAATTGGTAATAATTCTTAGCAGATTTAACAAATGAGAAAAACACTTTGTAAATTATATTTATTATTATTATAATAGGTCAGATCAAAGATAGAATTTAGAATAAGCTATATTGAATTATTAAAGTATTATTGAAGAATCAGAAGGCAAGGTTGAATATCATGCGGCTGAAGTTGAAAGAAACTAAGTAATAAATGATTTAAATAAAAGAGTAATTTGGAAGGATAAGATTAATGGTGTAGATAATAATAAGATATATATTAAATGGAAACATAATCTAGAGTTTAGAGTTAAGATTTAATTTCAAGAATATCAGATCATATTTAGGATAAAATTGTTACTCTTAAAGAATATTTAAGAGAAAGACTTCAGTTAAATTGATTATCTAAACATTAAACAATAAATACAAATTTTCAAACTATTTCATATATATTAAATTGAATAATTACTTAAGACTTAAATGTTTAAATTTGAAAATATTAATATAAGATAACATTTCATTTGATATTATTTTTATTTTATAATCCAAATAATTAACCATTTAATCATGAAATTAATAATAATGTAAAATAAAGAAATAAATAAATAGGATGTTCCTAAAATTGATAAATTTCTAAGGAGGGAACAAATATTCAAGAATGAAAAGAAACTAAATGAATTGCATGCTAATTATTATTAAGGGATTTAATTAAATAAGAGAGAACTCCATTAGGAAGCTATTAAATTACTTGATTATAAAGTCACTCATCCTGAAGATTTAGAAATTTATATTTCATCTAGTTCAATAACAGACAAACCAATGGTTTATAAACATCCCTTATGGTTATAAGAGAAGTGAGTTTTCGAATAATGTAATATATAAAAATAAATATGAAATAAAATTATTAATTATAATGAGAAAAAAGTATTAATATAATTCACAAACTGCATTATAATTTTTAACTTTAAATAAGTTTGATAACACTTGTTTGTTGTAAATATATTTATGGATTTATTTATTTATATTTCTTATGTTATATTTTGGCATATTTTAAATAACAAGGCTAAATATTATAATTCAATTTGGTTACTTTATTTTATGGATTACTTTTCCATTTTCTGCCATTAAAATAATTGTAAAAGTCTTTAAGATATGACTTTGATTTGAGATTGATAAATGCATAACCAGGATTTATAAATCCATCATATGGTAAATTGAAATAATCAAATTTATTTTTAAATTTTGAATCAATTTCCATCATTAACATCTCTTTTGTATAATTTTAAGGAATATTTCTCATCATTAAAGTAGTTCTGTTATCTCCTTCAATCTATAATAAGTTTTGATTTAATACATTAGTAATATTGAATTAAAAAGATTATTCACTTTCTTCTGATTTATCAAATACTCCTTATATGAATTATAATTATTCAGAATGAATAGGTGTTTAATTACTACTTATAAATATTTGAGACTCTAAGTCTAATAATCAAATTTATTACCATATGCTTCGAAAGTAGAATTTAAAAAGTCATCAGATGTAGAAGAATCATCACTCTAATGTCCATCACTATCCAATTGATTAAATTCATCTATTTCTTTAAACAATGACAATTTCTAAAGTTTTCTCTTCATAATTTAAATTAATTAACAACTTATTAACAATAAACCATTTAAATTAATTTTTTAACTAATATAAGCAAACTATGTCTTTCATAATCCAAATTAACCTATCATAAATCTAATTGTTAAAATATCAAAGAACCTGTAATTCCTATTAAAAATGAAGTAATTCCAGCAAATAAAAAGATATTTATTAAGATTCTGAGTTATCAAATTAAATAAATTCTATAGATAACATTAATTTAGGTTAAGAAATAGAACTAACTTAATCTATCTAAACATTAATTTCCTATTACATTAAGTAAACACTAAAAGAATAAATAAATAATTCAATAACAAAGAAATAGAAGTATTGGAATTGAAAATGAAAAGCAGTAAACCTTCAATAATTTAGAAATACAAAAGGAATATAAAAAAAAGAAATAATTATTGAGAAAATTTCATCTCTTTTTCAAAGATGATGAAGTCTAAAAATAAGATTAATCTTTCCAATTATTTCAAAATTGAAAAAATTCTTCATCAAACCTCCTGATCTATTTATTTAATTGAATTTGATAGATGTATTAATTTAGTAAGGAGAATAAGAAAAAATATAAATATGAAAAGTTGGGAATGAACAAATAAAGATGAAGATATTCTTGAAGATTAATTCAAATAGATTTATAATTAATATAAATTAGATAGGTGAATAAGATTTATAAAATCTTTAAAAAATTATAGATAATCTTTTTAATCCAATCTCTAAAAAATTCGAGAATTACTATATGATCCAAAAAAATGGATTATTGATGTTAAATCTATAGATATTAATGAAATAGAAGAAACAACAAAAATAATTCATTAATTCAAAGATTATTAATAAATTAAGTGATTATCATTTAACAAAATTATAAGAAACTATTTCTTTGGAATTTTAATGATTCTCTTTTAACTTCTTAAAATCATATTTCCTAAAATTAATTCTTAATTTAGCAACCAAGAATTATTTGATCAATTAATTGAAAAAATTAATGAATATTAATTTAAAAGATTAACCTGATTTTTTTATATAAGTATTTAATTTTAAAGGTCTAGACTTTATGATAATTAATATAATCAGATTCTTTAAAAATAAGTAATAACAAAAATAAAACGTTGTATCTAAAATTTATATGTTTCATCAAATCTAAAAATTTTAAAAGTATACTTAAGTATTTTTATTACATTTAAGTTATAGTTGAGATCGTATTTGAACCTTTAATTCAAAAATTAAATACTTATATTGTAAAGATTGATAGATATTTCAATATATAATTTAGTATAATTGTTTTATTATATTAATAGATGATTAATTGAATAGGAATTGATTCTTTAAGAGAAGGTATTGATTAATGTTTAGTTTCTTTTTAGAAAATTTAAGTAGATTAAAAAAAATGTTGATTCAATGATCATTTATTAAATACATAATAATAATTACTATTATGAATTTAATTATATATAAATATTACTGAAGTTCTGATTATAAAGAATAAATAAATAGAAATCAATTCTCAACTGGTTTAAAACAAGATCTCGTCTTACTTTATAAACTTGTCTCAAATAATGAAGGATTTAAAAATAAAGTCTCTGTTTTCTCTTATTGTAACTAAGCTCTCAATCTTTCCCTGAAGTGGAATATTTCTTCTTCTGAGTAATGCAAGAATACTATAGAAGAATCTGCAAAACTCACTTTCTTTTCCATTAGTTTCTAAATTTAATCTTAGTACTCCAATTCATATATGTAATTAAATGAAACTATTTTGTTTTGTAGTAATTCAAACTTAAGTTTGGGACCTATGCAAGTAGTCATATTGTATATTAATTTAATTAAAAACAGTAATGTATAAACATCATATTTAAAATCAAAGATTAAGAAATATTATGAATATATATATAAAATAATAATCTTGTACTGTTCGATTTTCGATTTTAATATAATTTTAATATTACTTTAAGAATTATAAGAATTATATGAATTAAAATCAATTCAATAAAATTAATCAAAAATTTAAAAGTAATATTAGTTCTCCATTTCGATCTTCAATAACTGGAAATAAGAAAATAAAGCTATATATGAACAAATACTTTGTTTATAATTAAGCAATATCAACTCTTCATCTTTTGATTTTTTAAGTTTAAAATATAAATGAATGAATTATGAGTATATTTAAATAAAATGTTTATATTAATTCTTATGCTTCTATTTCATTTATTTTAAATTGTTCAGCAATCTTTAATTTAAATGACAACGTTATTGACTGGCTAAAAATAATAAGGAAGTTATAATTAATATAAATTAGAATTTTGAGTTTTATTAAGAGAAAAAAAGAGAGTTTATCAAATTATGAAGGAGAGCGGTCTGATATTATATTTATTGAATAATTATTAAAAATATTTGTATTAAAATATGCTAAAAGTAAAGTAAGTTAAAGTACAGCATATATAATTATTAATAAGAATAAATGTGAGTTTAATGAATAAGATTCAAAAGATAAAGATATAAAAAGATAATAATAATAAATACATAATAATAATTATTATTATATTTAATAATTAATATTAAAAATAATTAGTAAAAAGAGGTTTGAATTATTATTTTCTATGTAATTTTTACTTGTTTATTATCGCTGAAAATAAAATTTTGTTGTATAATTTAGAATGTATATCTGATGAGAAAATTAACAGATTTGATAATTAAATGAATAAAGATTAAGAAGAATATTAATAGAGAATTTGAATAATCAGATATTAAGTGTAATTTTGATTAGATTTCTATGTTTAAATTGCTATTCTAGATTTTAGATAAACAATATTAATCTTATAAAAAAAAAACAAAATGAATTCTTCACAAAGCTCATTTACAGATCTTAATAATTGGGCTTTATTTTACTAGAATCTCTAACTAATTGAACCAGAGTAATTATCTTCAAAGCTCAAACTACATTTTAAAACTCTACCTGATTTTAATGACTTTATCAAACTTTATGAGTCTTCTAAAATTGGATCAAATGATACTTGGAGTGTTAATGAAGAGCTTTTCTTATAACTTATAGTTTTGAGTCTCAATCCAAAATGTATAAAAGTAATTCCAATTATTTTATAAATAGAATCGATTCGATTGGGAGAAAGTACAAAAGCTGATGCCGAAACACAGGAGTCTATCAGAATTGTGCTTTAAATTCTAATCTTTCTATAAAGCATTACTTCCAAGATAGCCCTGGTCTTGTTTCGAAGATAAAGCTTTATTATAAATCATTTTGTAATATTTAACTAATTTATATTAGAGATAATCCTAGTCGTTGTAAAAAGAAATGGAGTGCAATATCTAATTAATACAATCTCATTTGCAAATCTGAAATATAAAGAAATGCAAAATAATGTCGTGAACGATGGAACAATAAATTAGATCCACAAATAAATAGGTAATTGTATTTATAATACATTATACAGAGAACCATGGTCAAAGTCTGAAGAGTTAAACTTTCTATAATTGCTACTTCAGAATGGACGTAAATGGGCTGAAATATCTATAAAATTATCTATGATTACTAAATATAAAAGAAGGACTGAATTTGCTTTAAAACACAAATTCAAATAACTTAAAAAATATTATGGTATCTATTTTTATATAGTTTTAAGGTTAGAAGGCTAAAAGATTTATTGATGTCAAGATTTGTCCATATTGGAACACTTTAGAAGCTGATATGATTCGATATAAAATTGAACTACTCTAAGATAAAAGCAGAAAGTGTCAGACTCAAGAATATTCTTTTTGTGAATTTTTGGGTTCTGATCATGAGTTTTGCTTAGTGATCATTAAAAATGGATGTTTGATCAAATTGTGATATCAATACAATATATATTTATTATATTAAATCCGATTAAAAAATGAGAAAGATATGTAAATTTCTGGGTTTTATATTCTCGCAATTCCAAAGCGATAAATTTGATTATTGAAAATATATTTGGAATATGAGCTTCCTTCATATTCAATCTTATTAACAATCAACAGAGGAATCATCCCATCCTCTAAATTCCAAATTAAACTTTGTGAACATTCAAGCCATTGATTTAAAACCATATAAGAAAAAATGGAGGCTCCTTTTTAATAATGTTCCAAGCCTCAAAATTTTAGAATCTATTTACTATGATTTATAAGGACAATCTATCGAAGACAGAGAGACTAAAGAGATGATCTTCTTATAATGCATTCTCTTGAATATGAGAGCTCCTTTAAACTTAAAATTAGTAAATTTAAAGTGATAAGTCATAGAATGAAGAATAATGGATTCATGTTAATGAACTGATGCCAACCCATAAAACATCATTTGAATGGTCTTAAATGTGTTAATAGTTTTTACATTAATCAGCTTACAATAATCCATGGTCTGAAAATGAAGATAAATTGCTTTTAGACATCATTTTGTAATCAATTATATTCATTTTAGGTCATTTCAAAGAATGAAAAAAGGAAACAAATGGAGTAAAATAGCACGAGAACTAAATGAACGAAGTCTTAATAAGTTTATTCGTACTCCTAAGTAATGTAGAGAACGTTGGGGTAATAAGTTAGATCCATCTATTAATCGGTATGATTTGAATTTCATTATATTTAGAAATGAATGGACTGATTTAGAAGACCTAAACTTTCTATAGCTTCTGCTTTAACATGGAAGAAGATGGGCAGAGTTATCAATTCGTTTGTCACCTATTACAAATAATAAAAAACGAACTGAATTTTCTTTAAAACATAGATTTAAAAAATTAATATCGAGTATAAATAGCATAGGTAATTAGATATTTAATCCATTCTTAGAATCCAGATCAATACATGGAACCAGGTATGCTATATCCTCTGATTGGAACAATAAAGAAATCAGCAAATTACTTTGTAAGATTTCTCAATTAGAAATGAAAACCAATTAGAAAGAGGTTGAAAACTTCTATTATCATCCTCTAACTAAACAAATTAAATTCAATGATTTTAATAAGTTGGTTATCATTAAGGGAAGTTCCAAAGTAGAGTTGGATTTGTCAATTCTTTTTAATTAGACAAATTCCCAGTTAAATGATTGAATAATTCAATAATGTTCATCATAAATAATAATGTTATTAATATTATTCTTCTATTATTGAATGTTCAAAAACTATTATAATCTTAATAAACTTAAATATAGATTGATTTAATATCTAATACAATATTAATCTTTGTATAATATATCAATAAATAGATAAAAATAACTTCTCTTATTTATTTAAAAAATATGAGTTTATAATTAATAAGTATTTATTATGAAAAAGAATCTTATTTAATACATTATAATTGTAAATATTTACATTTTCATTATTTTTTATTCTTTCTTATATTTAAGTTAATTATCTTATAGAATTTTAACCAGTATGTATTATTCATTTAATAAGAGTATGATTTCAACTAAAACATTCTTAATGTATTGTATATATTATACTTATTTATTATTAAGATTCAATTATTATTTATCAACTTATTATATTAAATGGAATTGAATTCAATAAATCAATAACATATAGCAATTAAATGATTACTTAATTCAAACATTTATAATTTTAAGTATTTGATAATGGAATCTTCAAAATAAATCTAATGTAGAAACAAAAGAGCTTTAAATAAAACACTTTCCAAAAACTATGCAACTAAAAGTATTAATATCTAATGATTTAGTAATTGATCTACTCTCAAGTAAAAGTTAACATTCTTACTTTGGTTCTATTCCAAAAAGTGAATCTCCAATTAATCGAATGAGAATTTTGAGAAGTTTAAGAATACGAACTTAAGAGAATGAATAAAATAGAATATGTAAAAGCTTTGATCTTAAAGTTATTCATCATACTAGAAAATAACAAAGAAGAAAGAGTGGTATTGAACCATTATCAGAGAAACAAGTATCGAATTTTATTAATTATGTAATTAGATGCATCTTAATTGTTTATATCCAAAGACTTGTGTATAGTAATAGTAAATATTATTGAATGAGATTTTAAAAACAAAGGAAAGAAAGAAAACTCTATTTAAACGTATGTCTAGTATCTTAATTAAACATTAAACAACACTTCGTAATATTGGAAATTAGAATAGTATTAATAATCAAAGAAACAGTGAAATTTAATTATTAATGCTTTAATAATCCTAATAACCTATTGATGAACCTGTTCTAGAAGTTAAAAAACCTAAGATTCGATAATCTATCATTGAATCTGAATAACCTAAAGTAGTATTAAATATATCTCGAAAATCTAAAAAACCCTTTGCTTCAATCTTGAGTTATGTTAATGAAAAAACAGAGAAAACTTTACAATAAAAAGAATTGACAAATAGCAATCCTTTCTTAAGTTACATGTCTTGTCAAAGTTTGACTGAGATGAATGGATAATTACATAGTAATTCTCCTTAAAGGAAATAAATATCTCCAAAATTAGCTTGTCCTCTTCCAGAAATTAAATTAGTATCATCAGCTCGTAATTATAATAATGCAAACGATATTAATTTTCTTAAATAGAAATTTAAAAATAATATTTATTATGCTAATTCATAAAGGAAGAAAAGAATTGAGACAAAAGTTTGATATATATTTATATAAATCTATAAGAGTATTAAATTATATATTTTCTATAAAAAATTAAAGATATTATTTAATTATTATGAAACCTAAAAATTATTCATCCTGTGAACTACCAGATCATGATTCTGAATTTCTAAATATGGTTTGTACTAATCACTAATGCAAAAATCGCAAATTATTGTGTTCCCATTGTTAATTAAATCATTAAGTGTGTAAAAAAATTTCATTAAGAACATTCACTAAAATTTATTAAGATCAAATAAATCCTTATAATTTAGAATCTTTGAAAAAATAATATAACGAGTATTGAATTATTTCTTCATTTTAGTTTGAATAATCATCTTCATTAAATTGAAGCAACATTAGATTATTCTTACACATTTTTTAATGACATATTCAATCAAATCAAAGCATCAATTTATCAGTAATTAAATAACAAATATATTTATTTAGTGTAAAAAAATAAATCTATTCAACTCAATCTGATACATCCAAATAAAAATAATTTTTAATCTTATAATAATTTGAATTAGAACCATCTATCGAAAATTTCAATAGTCTTCTTGCAGAAATTGAATCCTTTAAACCTAATTCTGATAAGATACCATTTAAAGTCAAGAATATCGGTCCTCCTAAATTTTTAAATGAGGATATTAATAATATGGAAATTATTGTTTCAAAATTCTAAAGAGCTGCTTAAACAATAACTGAGGAATATCTAAATTTATTTGATACTTTCCAAAAAAATATTAAAAACTTATTCCCAAATATTCTCATAGAATAATTGAGTAATAATTAAAGTGTTCCTTCTTTTAAACCAATTAATAATTAATAATAATAATAATAATAATAATAATAATAATAATAATAATAATAATAATAATAATAATTAGAATCGATATAAATTTAAAAGGATCAAAATGTTTAAGTTTCAAGTAATAAATAGTAAATAAATAAATCAATTACTTAACCAGTTCATTAAAATAAATAATTAGTAGATTAAAAAATAAATAATATTAAAACAGAAGAGAATTAATAATATAATTATGATATTTTTTAAAAATATTAAACATCAAATATTAATACTTTAGTTCCAAATTAAATATGTAATTATTTAGAAATGTATATAAAGCATCTACGTAAAATAATAATTCACTTGAAAATGATACAGTATTAGAAGTTAATGATGAAAAGTAATTTAACTTTACACTTGAAGGATCAGAAATTACAAAAATGCTACTTATAAATGAAAATATCATTTTCGGAATAGGTGGTACAAAGTTTTATATCTTTGATGTTTCATCTTAGTAGACTAAGAATGAGAATGTTTAAAGCATTCTAACTATTTCAGAAGATGCTGGATTTATTGATTTAGCATATTTTAGGTTGGATGAGCAAAATGGACATATTTATTTAGCAACTTAAAAAGGGAGTATCTTGAAATTCTTAGCTGAAGGAAGAAAGAATATCAAAATTAAAAAAGATTTGATGTAACCTAAAATAATTGATAAACCCGGAATGCTATAAATTTTAATAAGTGAAGGGGGTGACAAATTATATAGTATAGGAGAGGAAATGAAAGTCAAGATTTGGTCCTTGAATAAAATGGAGCTTATAAGTAGTTTTTTATTGAAAGAAAATGTAACAGCATTTCATACGGATTGGAAGATATTATTTATTGGAGGAAAGAACTCAATCACAATTTGGGATTAGATTACTTTAACAATTGAAAATTTGGTAGTTTCGAAATAGAAAGTAAAAAAAATATTGACAAATAAATCCAAATTATTTTTAGGTTTAGAAGATTACATTAAGATTTATACTATTACAAACTAAAGAAGATTAGAAATTTTAAAAGATATACCATATAAATAAATTAATTTGATTCAAACAATAAAGACTAATTCTATCTTAGTAGTTTCATATATTATTGTATAAATTGACAATTATATTACATTAGAAATAAGAAGAAAAATTGTGTTTATATGATTATGAAGATAAAATAGCTCCTCAAGAACTATTGGAATAACCAGCATAATGTTGTTCAGTATATGAGTAAAATAAGGTTAATTACTTGGCATTCATTCAAAAAACAGGTATATGTTTTACATTTAAAATGGAATACATATCTTAGTTGGTATAATGATATATGAATTAAATTATAATAAATCATATTTTTTTGTCTAAGTATTCTCTATCTTCTTTAAGTAATGTCTTTTTGTAAATTTCATTAATATTATGGAATTATTTAAGAATATCTTTATTGCTTCTAATTTGTTGTCTTACTTACATTTCTTGTTTGTATCTCTCTTCAAAAGATTTATGAAAGGAAATAAGAATATTTTTATATTCTTGTTTTCTTTAATCAATAAGATTTAATATATCTTCATTAATAGATGTCTCTAAGAGATTCTCACTCTATCCTTTAACAAAAACTTTATCCATTTCAAAAATATATAAAGATGTTTTTCTATAAAGATCTTCTAAAGCCAAAGCCTTTCTATAAACTAATTTCCTTTTTTTCCTTTCAAATGTTAACAATTATAATATTTTATCTATTGTTGATTGACTTTGATCAGCTTTCTAATTAAGTTCAGTTATTTCAATTCTAGTATTTTCAAGATCTTAATCCATTTTCAATTTTCCAATATCAATTTATTCTTATAATTTTTCAGCCTTTTATTCAAGTTAATGTGAATTCTATTATAATTATTTTAAATCCTTTTCTTTCTCACCTATAATTCTTTTCTATTCTAATATAATTTTTTCAGCTTCATCAAATACTAAAGTCATTGTAGGAACAGTAACATTTTTATTTTCTTTCTTTAATTCTCTATATGTATCATATTTATTTTTCTCTTATTCATCTTTTTCATCCCAAGCCTCTCTTGCCTCCATATCCAATTCATGTAATACATAAATACATTAATCTACAGTTCCATCATTCAATCTTCCTCCCAATAACATTATTTCTCCATGAACTTCATTTTGATTGCATGACATTACATAACCAAATCTAGGAGTTGGAATATATCCACCAGCTAAAGGTTTAGACCAATAACCTTCATTTAAATTCAATAAATATAAATCATTTAATGGTTCTGAATTCTTTAATTAATTTTCATTTACATTATATCCTCCATATAAACAAAGTAAATTCTCTTTAACTACTAATAATTCCTTTTAATATAATATAATTGTATACATGAAATGCTCTCTATCCAGGTGATTATCCTTTTAATTCTAATTAACTTATATCATATGTCTCTATATCTAATAAAAGACAACGATCTTAACATTATTTTTATTTATTAAATCCTCCATATACAAGTAATTCTTTATCTGATACCTATATCATTGTATGTGCTTTTATAGCTGGCATATCATCAAATGGAAGTTTCTCCCAAGTAATTCCTGGTAATTCCAAAGATTGAGTTTCCCATGCCACATTTTCAAACTAATTTATTTATAAATATTTCTTACAGACAATTACCATACATCATCCATTAATAAATTTTCTGGCATACTTGCACCTCCCATTAAATATTTCTTCATCCCTTATGTTGAAAATCCAAAATGTAATCTACCTGGAGGACCTTCTAAATAAAAAAATCGTTTCCAAACAAATTTCTCTGTATTCAATATATACAAATCACTAACAGTTTTATTCTCATATGTAATCCCTCCATATACATATAACAATGGTGCTTCATACCAAACCTATGCACTTGTTCTTCTAGTTGGAGGTTTCCCTGTACATTTCTTAATACTCCATTAATATGTAGCTGGATCTAAAATGTACACATAATCTTAGCATTCTTAATTACTAAATGGACTACTCACTCTTGTTTATTTAGGAGCACCTATTTTAAATGATATTCCATCTGTTTTTGGAGGAGATGGTTACTTCTCTATTACTTAATTTTAATTGTATACCTTCCTATTATAAATCCTTAATATTAAATGGGTTCTTGCCTCCAAAGTATAAATATCTATTCTGATCAATCAAATATACTAAATTGACACATTCCTCTACCTTTGGTGTACGACCATGTTTCTCTAATAAATTTGAATTAATCACTTACTATTGTCAATTTCAATTTTCTTCCAAAATAACTATTACATAAATTAATGAACTAAACCAAACACTTCCAAGATTGTGAAAAAGCTATGAAAGATTGGTAACTATGGGCAGAGAACTAATAAATGTAATTCATTCTTTATCAAAATAGACTCAATCCTGAAGAACTACCTCCCTTACACTTTACTCCAAAAGACCAAAAAAACAAAAGTGCTTTCAAATTGTTCAAACTTGATCATATTATTGAAGTTAAAAAATAACATCCTGAATATGGCTTCAAGGAGAGATTAGAAACACTCAAACACATGTGGCGTAATCTCTCAAAAGATGAAAAATTCATATATGTTCAGAAAAGTAAACAATTAAAATTTTGAATTGATTATATATATATATATTTTTATGGGTACTTGCTAAACTAGTTGTTGTAACAAAGACTAAGAATATGGTTTACGAACACATTAGAAAAGTGAGATAAATGTTGATGAAGGTAATCCAGATATGGATGATTCCAAAGTTAAACTCTCTCATCATTCTGTCTAAAAACAACGAGATAAATTTGAAGAGGATCGTATACATGAATAATAAGAATTAGAGAAAAAAAAACTTAAAAACAAAGAAGATTAAATTCTACTTAATGCTAAAGTGTCCTAAAATGAAAATGAATAAACCAAATAAAAGAAAGAGTCAGCATATAATTAATCTGATAAATAAACTCCTACTCCTACTTCAAAACTTAAACATTTTGAAGATGATGGTCCTATTACAAAATATGATCTTCAAGAAAAGCCAAACAAAAATTCTGTTTTTTAAAAAAAAAAAAATAAAAACTTGGAATTTAATCAAAAAGTGTAAAAAGCAGAATAAGATGATACTATGAGTGATGTTCGTATCAAATTAGCAGCAAAAACACTTGACAAAGGAGCAGTCTATGAAGGTGAATGGTTAAAAGGAAAACGAGATGGTCAAGGAAAATAAATATGGCCAGATGGTTCAATTTATGAAGGATAATGGATTGAAGGTAGATGTTGTGGAAAAGGAAAATTGATTCATGCGGATGGTGATGTTTATGAAGGAGAATGGCTTGATGATAAAGCTCATGGAATAGGTGTTTATTAACATGTTAACGGTGCTAGATATGAGGGTTAAGTATTATTATTATATTATTTATAAGTGGTTTAATGATAAATAATCAGGTAAGGGAGTTGAAACATGGCCTGATGGTGCTAGATATGAAGGAGAATATTAAGAAGGTAGAAAAGAAGGCCATGGAACACTATATTTTGCTGATGGATCTAAATATACAGGGTTTTTTGCTAATAATGAAATTCATGGATATGGAGTTTATGAATGGTCAGATGGAAGAGTATATAAAGGAAATTGGAAATAGAATAAAATGAATGGAGTTGGTGAGATTAAATGGAGTGATGGTCGTTAATTTATAGGAGTAATCAATTAATTAATATTATTTTAGAATTATTAAGATGATTTAAAACATGGAAGAGGTCAATTCCTTTGGCCAGATGGAAGAAGATATATAGGAAATTGGATTGAAGGTAAGTAATAAGGTTATGGAGCTTATTACTTACCTAATTAACCACCAAAATATGGTATATGGGCTGATGGCAAGAGAACATAATGGTTAGATCCAGACTAAGTAGAATAATTAAAGAATAAATAAGAATTGGACTTTTGATTTCTAATAAATTAATAACTTTTTGGATTTGATATATTTTATATTTTTTCTGACTTAATTTTGAATGTCTTTAACAACAAATAAATGTTCTTAACTAATTTATTTTAATTTATTGAAATAATTGATTAAATCATTTATACATAATAATAATCATATAATGAAATCAAATAAATTGAAACCCATCTATGCATCTTCAACATAAAACTTAGCTAAAACCTTATATAAATTAAGAAAGCAAGAAGAAGAATTGAATGATATGATTTAATTAACAGAATTATGTGATTAAGCTGTCATGAATAACAAAGCACTTAATAAAATTCTGAGATCAATATACACAAACAAAGTAGAAAGGGAAAGTACTTCAAGACCAAGAACTGTAACTACATAACAATCATTTCGCATAACAAGAGATTAAACAGGATTTCATAACAGTAGTAATCGATCACCTTCAAATTAATCATATACTCCGAAACATACTTGTAGCAGTCTTAATAAATAAAGAGTGCCTATAAAAAGGATTGGTAATATGGACTAGTGTTTTACAACAACTCAATTATATTTTGCTTGAATTTAGTTAATAATGATTAGTTTCAATCTATTTATTAATTTTTTATTTTAATCTAATCACATTTGAAAAGTTTAGATTATTTTATTTATTATATAGAAATAATAAGTAGTTCTCTTATATAATTGATTACTTTATTATATATATATTTGATTTATAGGAGATACTTACTAAATATAATAATCAAAAATTATTAAAGGATTTTAATAATGAAATTTATTGATATTGTTTAAGAGAATGGAAATGTGTAAATTATTAGATCAGTTAATTTGAATATTATAATATTTATTTATTATTAATAATAAATCATTAGATGAACAATATAAGAATTTTAAATTGATATGTATTAATATTTTCTATCAATATGAGAAAATCAGCCTTTTTTTGTAATGATCAAAAATATAATTTATAATTTTTATAGTTATCTGTTTACCAGATACTGATTAGTATATTATAATTTTTAAAGACAGAATATTTAATTAAGTTAGATTTTCTAATTACTTCTGTTTCAATATCCTTATAACTTATGGATGATTCTCATAATTATATAAAATTCAATATTATTTTTCAATTTTCTTTATATTTAAAGATTTATTAGTAAATCCAGTAGAAATCATTATATGAATATGACTACATATAATATATTATTTAATTAATTATGCTATAATATTTCTAAAATTACAAAAATTAGATATTTGTAAAATATAATAAGTAAATATGAAAGCATTTGAAATAGAGAAAATCCTGTAAACATTTTTAAGAAGACAAACATTCATGATAATAGAGAATAATTAGATAATTAGAAAAAAATTAAGGAATTTGATAAATTTTGGTACTATATTATAAATCAGGGAGAATCATAAAGAGAATTATGATTAAATATTAAAATATGAATAAATCATCTCCTTTACTCTAAAATTTATAGAAAAAAATCGTCCCACCGAGGAATTGAACCTCGAACTCGAGAGCCGGAATCTCATGTGTTACCTTTACACTAATAGGACTTGCTTTGACAAAAAAAGAATTATTGTATATATATAATAATAATATTTAAATTAATTAACATTACTCAACTTAACAGTATGGTTAAATAATACTATAATATTCATTTGATTGCAATTTTAGATCCTGAATTTTAATATATACTAATTTGTTAGCAAGAACAATTAAAACTCTATAACAACATTATTATTAGGTTTCATTAAACACTTTTTATTTTCTTACACTCAATTATCTATAAACCATATACTCTTAATTTTACTATTGAATCTAACATATTTTTATAGTTCCTATGTGAATTTCTTATGATAACAAGAAAAGCAAACTGATAATTATAAAATAAAGAATGAAAAAAATTCTATTTTTGTTATTCTATATGCATCAATTTTCAAGATTGTTTAAATCTAATTACTTAAATGAATTATATAAAACAAGTTTAATTCTTAAATAGAACTTTCTATATAAGTTTTGTGACCTTTTAGTTACTTGCCATTATCAACATATACATTTATCTTGCTTCACTTCTATCCCTATTTGTACATTCTCATAATAAAACAATTAAACTACTTCTTGAGGATCCAGATGATTAACAATTACCAAATGCAAAATATTTCTTATTATTGAATAGTCAATAGAAAATTGAATTTCTGTATCAAAAGATATATTTTATATTGAATGTAAGTACTTATGAAGATGGTTGACTAAATGAAAATCAATTTAATTGAATTTTGTTTATGATCCAACTTCAATACATTTTTATATGTGTAATACATGTTTAACTAGATTTAGATATTGATGAGAATCAAGAGATGCATGAATGCCAATTATTAAAATACTTTGGCCTGGAAAGAGATACAATATTCTTCTCTTTAATTTTTAATAAACAATCACAACAATTATTGTAGTCCACCAACTAGTCTCGTTAGATTCCTTTAACTAAATATATTTCTATATTCCTCATTATATTTTCGAGTAGGCTAGATTTTAGGAAGAGGAGTTGGGAGTTTATTATAATCACTGATCGTTTTCCTTTGACGAACAAAACCTTCATGTGTGAGTGATATGGTTTATTGCATTTTGTATTTTTGTGATGGTTCAGAACTTAACTCTTATAATTTGACTTCATAATATGATACACGAGGATCAATCGGTTGGGTTTTCAACTTAGGGGGTAATTTATATTTAGATTTAAATCTATTCATATATTTATATATTTATAATTTCTAATATTAAATATCAAAATTTATTGATCCAAAAAATAAAGAAAGCAATTTATCTTAAAAATATACATAAATAGATCAACTGCAATACTGGATTTTACCAGAAGGGGCATTCCACTTACGATAATTTGTATAACCTTAATTATTCACATTAGCTAAACGAGATAATTCACCTGGTACTTCATTTTATGATTCTCTAAGTACTCCAACTAAATCACCTGCTAATTTAACATCTTCAAAGGAATCAAATAATGAAATAGATACACCTTATGCTCCTGCTCTACCTATAATAATATTATTAATTAAATATTAATACCTGTTCTTCCAATTCTATGTACATAATCTTCAATCAATTTTGGCATATCAAAATTAATTACAAATTCAATATCCTTAATATCCAATCCTCTAGATGCTACATCTGTTGCCACCAATACTGTAGTATCTCCTCTTTTGAAACTATTCATTACAAAATCTCTTTCTGATTGTCTCTTATCTCCATGCAATGATTTACATCTTAATCCATCTTAAATCAAATAAAGTTGTAATTAATCACATTTGATCTTTGTCTAACAGAAAATGATGATCTTTCTAGTACCCAAAGATCTCAATATTTCTTTTAGTTTATCTTCTTTTTATTCCTTTGTTAAGATGACTACTTTTTATTATATTTATCTATTGCTAGTCAGATCTAGACTTCCAATCTATATATGAATTGGTTATTGTGTACAGAAATCTAAAGCTAATGATTAGACTTCTTTAGGCCAAGTGGCTGAAAATAGCATTGTTTATCTTTCAGCTCTAGTTTAAGCTACTATTTTTCTTATTGATGGTTCAAATCCCATATCTAACATTCTATCTGCCTCATCTAATACTAAAAAGGTAACACCTTTCAATGTAGTACTTCCTGATTCAACTAAATCAATCAATCTACCTGGACATGCTATTAATATATGAGGATGTTAATTCAATTAATTTTTTTATATAAATTTTTCTTAACCTCCAAATAAACATGCAGCTTTTAATCCAGAACCAACTGAAAATTTAGTGAATTATTCATAAATTTGATGAGTAAGTTCTCTTGTTGGAGCCATTATCAAACATTATGGATCTGAATTTTATTTCAATTATGCCAAAATGTGAATTATGGCTGGCAATAGAAATGCCAAAGTTTTACCTGATCCTGTTTATGCAATCCCTATTAGATCATGACCAGTCAATCCAATAGACCAACTTTATGCTTAAATAGGAGTTGGAGCTGGAAATCCTGCCTTTACTATTAATTCTTATAATGGTCTGGGGAAACAATATACGTCTTCAAATTTAAGTATGGGATCTGGAATAAAGGAATGAGCAGATTTAATGAATATACGATTAGTTTGACGATACCTTTTAACATCTTCTGGATTAGTATTAGGTCTACCCTAGAGTAAATATAATAATGTAATTTTACATCCATAAAAACCTTTTTGATTTGTTATAGATTATGTTAACAGGTCTCTTAGGGTCTTAATTACTTTTCTCTACTTCGACTACGACTTCTACTATGTGAATGAATCATAAAAATATTATTAATGTAAGATGGCTAAAATTTTAGTTGATATATTAGTATTTTAATAATAAAATTCCTCATTATTATTATCCATTATAAATGATTATTAGTAATGATTATAATAATTAGTTAATATTATAATGTATATTAAAATTATTTAAAATGTTTAGCAGTGAAAGTATGTAAGAGCATATTTTGTATGACAAAATCTATTAATACCTATGGGTTAAATCAGAGACAGCCAATCCTCCTGCAATTCTTATTCCTGATACTGTCATTCTTATTCGTTCTATGCCCATTTATTGGTATTACACAGATAAAGAAACTGGAGAAATAAAAAAGAAAATGAGAAAGAATGTTACTAAACAAAATATTAAATAAACTTGGAATCAATAAGTTGGCAGAGGTGGTGTTGTAGCATACCTTTTACATTTTATGTATGCGTTGTTCCCTACTAATTTGCAAGTGATAATTTAGATCTTAATTACCCTCCAGAAAAGTTTCAAATCAGTGGCTAAATCCAAGTGATATACTTTGATATTGAAGGATTCAATAAATTTATGGATGGACATTTTGAATTACCATTTGGTATTCTTTAACAATTTATTGAACCAGCTGATGATCGCAATTGTAAATTAACATGTTATTATTACATAGCACAAATTCAAGCATTCTGGAGTAAATCAGTTACTCTATTCACTAAAAGAGTTTGCAAGAAATCATTCACTAATAAATCAATGAATATTTATGAACGACATTGTACTTTTGAAGGACCTGAATATTTCAGTGAAGCAAGTATCATCATCTTCTTCATAGTTTATTCAAGCTTAAGTTAAAGATTTCTAATCTTAGAGAATCTCTGAACAAATAGATAAAATGATCTCTCATCTTGATGCTATTTCTTATGGAAAATTGAATATTTCATAAGGCACTTTCTATTTCAAAGTAGATAAAAAAGCTAGATGTTGGTTCCTTTTTTGTGGTAATCTCAAATTTGAAGATGATAAACATCTAAAAAATCTACCTAAAGATCTCTATACTCAATCTTAAATAAAAGTATTATATCATTTTATTTATTAAGATACCTAAATCAATTGATAATTTGATGTCTGTATACAATTCAAGACCTCTATAATTGAATAGAGAACATAAATGTATTAGATGCGGTTAATTGGAGAAGGGATCAAACTTTGTAGAAGTTCCATATCACTTTTTAATTGATTTACCTGAAAATCCACTTCCTGTTGAAAAGTGGCCACTCGATATTAAGAAATCAGCCAAGTAAGTCAAACTTAGTGGTGCTAATCAAGAAAAGCTTGCTTATGTCAATACTATATCCTAAATCCCAATGACTTTCTAAAAAATACATGAACAAATAAACATTTAAAACTATCAAGAATTCAAATAATCTTAAGGATTTAAGTATAAAACAATCACAGTTTGTTTAGATTGTTATTTTATAATGGGTATAAATATATATATATATAATATAAATAGTTGAAAATTAGGAAAGAATAGCTATGCAAGAAGTTACATCAAAAGAGAAAACAAATATGCCAAGAGTGAAATCTAAATAATTTTAAAGGAAAGAACAAAATCTTAATCAATTTTTAAATTCAACTCAATTATTCAAATAAGTTAAATCTGTAAAAAACTTTAAAATGAAAGAAATACCTTCATAAACACCCATTACAAAACAAAATACAATTTAAAAGTATGTAAATTTAAGATTAAATAATTGTAAATCAGTAACTCCTATAAAATATTCAATCGAAATGCCTTCTACTGCTGATTATTTATCTAGGAATACTAAATCTACCTACTAAGATTTGAGTTCAACTTATAAATTCAAAAATAGTAGAGAAAATTACAATTAATCATTGTAGGAAAGATAATAAAATAGATTGATAGAAATAAAGGATGAATAAGAATGATAATATATTTAATTTAGTGACTGTTATATTATTAAAAAAAGAATATGTTTATTTAACCTTAAATACCCAGAACTCGTTTAGCTATCACTCCAACCAATATGAGATAAGTTTATATAGATTCAACACCAAATAGATAGTAGTTAAATATGGCATAAAGAATTGATGAAAAATAACCATTAGGATAAGTTAATGATCATAAGAAACATATTATTAATTAAAACAAAGAGAATCTTACAAGGATCCCTGGCAATTCATTTTGTCATAGTTCATCTTTTAAAGAACTATAAAATTAAATTTAGGAACTAATCTAATAAAGAGATAATATGCAATATACACTCTAGCAAGCAATTAGAAAAAGCAATATTATGGAATAACAGTTAGACGTATTGGATTGAATATTATACAAGTAATTACAAAACAAGAAGATTGATTAAGCCATGTAATTCTAAGTCAATATGGACTAGTTTCAAGAACAAATTAATATATTAACAAAAAAACTACATGATCTTATTAATGATAATAATCATCTATAAGAGTAATATTAGAGTTAATAATTTTATATTGAAGAATTAGGATTCTAAGAAAATGACCAATTTAATATTACTCATAATTTTGGATAAATGTGAAAAATAATTATTAGTTATATATTTCATTTTTCATTTAATATTTAAATCTTATTTATATTAATTAAGTACTTTAAAAATTCTTCATATTTTCTATTATTTTTATATAAAATAGTATCTAATTAAACATATTGAATATTCTATATCTGAATAATAATATAACCTCAATAAATTTCATTTATCAAAATAAATAAATTTATCTTTAATATTATTATTAATATTCTACATAAAATAGTATAAATCTCTTATCAAATAGTATCATAAAATTTGATGCTAATATTTAAAATTTTTGATATAATCTATTTTCTTTTATGAAAAACTAATAAATAAGATAATTTGATGATTAATATTATCCAAATTAATTATATCATTTTTGAGATTATAAATTTTACTTTTCATAAATGTATCCATATATTCTAAGCATTATATTAGATATCCAAAATAAAATAAAAAGACCTTAAAAAGTAAATACTAATTGTTTTTTATACCATACACTCTTAATATTTATTTTAAGAATAATATTAGAGGCAGACTCCAATAAACATTTCTCTTATTATAAGAAAATTAAAAAATCAAATAAATATTCATACTGAAAAAGTTACAATTAAGAGTAAGAAATTATAGTAGTTTGCTTATATTTATAGCAAGAATTTAGGATAGGAGAAGTATGTAAAAATTAGATTAATAAACATTGGGATTACAAATAATATTATTAAATGAAATTTGGTTAAGTCATAAAATTCAAATGGATAATAATAAGTTAAATGAATTAATTAGATTTAATAATCAAATTCATTGAACATGAAATCTATATTATAAAGCACTTTTATGTATATTTATAAATCCATTATAGGATTTTTATAAAAATAATTTGAATTAAGTGTTGATATATGAATGATATTATCCTTCATATAATTATTATAGATATATAGTTAATAGTGTTAATCATAAATAAATGATAAACAGTTTGTCTATTGATTATATAAATGTTGTTTAACAGAAAATATAAATAATCATATGATTACAAAATTAAAACAATTGATAAATGATAATTCTGTGGGACAAACAAATAATCCAATTTTGGCTGCTCTAAAGGACTTAAAATTAAACAGCAACGATACTTAATTTACTTAATAAGCAGAAATAAGCAAAAGATTAAAACACTTTTTTGCAAATGATCAATCAAAAGTAATATTAATAGATAAGCATTTAGTCTTAGTTTTTAAAATAATTATTAATAGTAGTAGGAGAGTATTTATTATAAGAGTATAATTTCTACATAAAATTAAAAATGCTCTTGTTAGTGCATATTATTATAAGTTCTTAAGTGGCAAGAGCTGAATTCTCAAAAATGATTATCAACACTCGTCTAATAATAAATATTAAGAGTAAAGATGATATAGAGATAATATATGGATAATTATGTCAATCTTATTATTGTTATATATATAAATTGGCTGCTTAAACTACTTTAATAAATGAAGAATTCAATAAACCTTAAGAGGATCTAATGATATATTTTACTTTATCTAATTAATGTTATATCGGAATGAGTATGTAATAATTGATAGAAAGAATAAATTAAGATCAGGAACCTAATCCTATAATAGCACATTTAGTTAAGTTCTTATATTTTGACATTCAGGATATTTATATTTTCATACTTAAAGACGTTAAGTATCTAATAGAAAAGAACCCAAATTTGATAGATAATAAATAATAACTATTAGAGTTATATAAGGAAGTAAAAATAAACATACAAATTTAGTGTCAATCATTATAAATAAAAATGTTGAGTTTTTATAAATTCAATAGATTCTTTCCTCATTTCAATTAGATTATGCCTCCCCATTCCATTTAGATCAAAACTTCTATATTAAATGGAATAATTGAAGAGAAACCTCTCATGAAATAAGCATCTATTAAATCAGGTCCACATGAGATACGTGAGCCTTTGTCTGTCAAAAATTCAGATAGAAAACTATAGTAATATAATAGACCTTTTTCTCCAAAATAGAAAATGCATTGATATAATCTTAATTTGCAATTTTAAAATACTTAATTTCCTTAATGAATTAAAACAAATAATAACTAGTACACTTATACCAACTATGGCCATCAAATAATAGATTCTTTTGTCGAGGTCGTTTAATGACAGGACCAAGTGCAGACAATACAACTAATTTATTTACATGGCTATTAATCCTACTAATTGGTGCTCCATTTATTTTCTACATATCACCATAGATTTGGATAGTTTTACATCCCTCTCTTCCAATCATCTCTTATGTCATGTATTTCAGTTGTGTGCTATTCCTATTTTTAACTTAGTTCACCGATCCAGTAACATATACACTATATATAAAATTTAGGGTATTATACCTAGAAAAGAAATCATTGAAAAAATGAAAGATGAGAATCTTTTCCATTTAATACCATCAGAAGCTGATAATAATAATTATAATATTAGAATCTGTATCACTTGTATGATTAAAAAACCTCCTCGTTCTAATCATTGTGCAGAATGTGATAATTGTGTAGATGTATTTGATCATCATTGTCCCTTTGTAAATAATTGTATTGGCAAACGTAATTATGCTTACTTCATATCCTTTATATCAACCCTTACTATGGCTGCTATTTCATTTGGAATTGAATTATTATGTTTCATTATACTCATTGCAACAAGTGATCAAAAAGTTCAGCAAATTTTGATCATTATTTTGATGATTCCCTTTGGAATATGCATAATATTAGTCTTTGGTTTACTTATATTTCATATCTTTCTAATTATAACTGGAAAAACTACCAAAGAACAACTCAAAAACCTTGATATGAATTCAAATGATAGAAAATGTGAAAGAACTAAGAGTCTCTTCAACTATAGATTGATAGTAGAAAAATTATAATATGATCAAATTAAATCTGATTAACATATGGTTGATGTCAATCCCATCATTATTCCAGCTTGATCTATACTTATATTATTATTAATCTATTAAAATTTTCAAAATAAACTCTAAAAATTAGATCTATTATCAAATAATAATCTATTTATTAAACATACATATTAGCTAAATAAAACCATAATCAATATTTATTTATTATTTTTATATTCTTATCAATAATATATCCCTCCTGTAATTATTGTAACTATAGAAAATACAATAGCTAATCCAATAAAATTAGTTAAGGTGTAGAATAAATGATATCTCATCCAAGCCATCAAAGCTATGATCAAGGAAATTGGAATAGAAAAGATCATGCCAAGACCTATAAAGAAAAAAAATTAAATATCTGAAGGCAATCCAAAATCAAATGTTCCTTATAAAAAAATTGCTACACCAAACACCTAATGATAACATTTAAATACCATTAATGAGAATGCTTTTAATCTAGTTTTATAAGTTAAATCAGAATTTCTTATTAATTGTTCTTTAAATATATCATTGAAGGACTAAATATTTTCATTTATCCAATGAATTTATTTTAAAGGTTCTTCATTTGCTTTTGCTATTTGAGCAATTTGATAACAACAATTATGATCAGAATCTTAATCCATTTCATCTGAATGAATACTATTTTCAGATTACCATTTATCTTCTATCATATAAGGTATAAATGTATTATTCATTTATTTTGAAATTATTGTTGTGTTACCACATTTAACATATGAAAAAGAAACTCTAAGATCGCCTATTGTTTTTTAATTCTCAATTTATGATAATTAGATATCACAATTCTTAATTGTTCTTAATAATTCAAAATAAATACATATAAGGAAATTCTTTTCCAAATAATTCTTATGCAGCCTTGATCTAAACATCTCCAGGAAGAAAATATTAAAAATTAAGGCAATTTTATTTTAATGGTTCAGATAGAGTAAATACCCCTAGTCTTACATCTGGATTTATTTGCCCATTATTTTTGACTAACCACAATTCTGGTTTATTCTAATATTCAGAAGGAAAACCAGCACTGCAAACTTATTCTCTTTACCATCTTTATTCATATGTAAATGTAGTTGATGAGAATTTATGTTTATGTTCAATTCTTACAAATTGTAATTATTCAACATGACGATTTAATTTAATACAAAAAGGTAAAGATATTCCAAATTCAGTATCTTCAAGAATTATATCTGTAGTTGTTTATCCTAACCAAATATTCAATTTATTACCTTGCATATGAACTAGTTCACCATTCAATTCTTAATTGATCTCATGACAATCTCCAATTTTACATATTTATCTCATATTCACTAATCTATATGACGTTATTGCTTCTCTTCTTTCATTGTACCATATTAAAGCTGCTGAAAAAATTAAAAAAATTGAGCCAATAATTGAATGAAATACTATTGAAGTTATACTTCCTGCATCATCATTGTCATAATCATCTAAGAACTATTATTTCTTATTAGAAATCTATTTGCACACAACTGTTACAATAAATATTTGTAAAAATTGCATTAAATATAAGATATAATTTATAACAAAACATACATATTGTTTGAATTAGAATTCACGCAATATTTGACAAAATTATGATTTTTTAATAACTACTTAATCTATTCAATTATTTTCCATTTTCAACCTAACATACATGCTTTCTTTTTTTTTGATTTATCTATACCTGTTCAACTACATTTATATTTTTTTAATCATTACTTTAGATAATCATATTTGTTTAAAATGAATTCTTATTTAAGTCTATATCCTTTGATTACAGAGTGAATGCTATCAGTTATTTTTAGTTCATTATTCAAATTTTGTATTTTTATAAGCTCAACAACACAAGACCTAATATTTTAATTTTTCTCAAAATTTATTAATTCGACTAAAAAGATTAATTATAATTATTCTAAAATTAATCAGATTATTAAATTTGACAATATAGCCAAATTTTGTATTCATGGTTCTAATTTGAACAATAAAAGTTAGGCTTACAATTAATATATGAAAGAGTGATTTTATAAATATATGAGAAGAAATAAAAGAATTAAGATGTTAAAATTGCCTCATTCCTATTTACTATATTTATCTTACTAGTCTTTACAATAATTATAACAGCTATCACTAAAATTACTTAAACAGTTATTTGAAATTCTTGGCATCATCAATATCAGGAAATGGGATTATACAAAAGAATAAAAATTAAGAATAGTTTAAGAATTTTTCATTAAGAAAATAAATTATTTCATAAACTAAAAAATCATATATTTAACGATTTTCAAAGCTAAAATCATTTTACAACATATTGTCCATTTTTTAGAAGCAGTCGTAGTAGAATTTACATACATTGATTTTTGGATCACTAATAATCGAACTATCTGTAAAAACTTGAATATTTTGTTAATGTAATATATTAATCCAGACAAGAATCTTTTTTATTTGAAATCATCCTAATGAAACAGACAAATAAAAGAATTATAAGTTAATGCTATATATGGCTTCTTGTTAAAATAATACCCAAAAATTCACAAAATCAATTTCATTATTAAGAATATCCTCAAATGTATTTAACAGCATCTGTTATTCAAAATGTGNTCTATTTGCACACAACTGTTACAATAAATATTTGTAAAAATTGCATTAAATATAAGATATAATTTATAACAAAACATACATATTGTTTGAATTAGAATTCACGCAATATTTGACAAAATTATGATTTTTTAATAACTACTTAATCTATTCAATTATTTTCCATTTTCAACCTAACATACATGCTTTCTTTTTTTTTGATTTATCTATACCTGTTCAACTACATTTATATTTTTTTAATCATTACTTTAGATAATCATATTTGTTTAAAATGAATTCTTATTTAAGTCTATATCCTTTGATTACAGAGTGAATGCTATCAGTTATTTTTAGTTCATTATTCAAATTTTGTATTTTTATAAGCTCAACAACACAAGACCTAATATTTTAATTTTTCTCAAAATTTATTAATTCGACTAAAAAGATTAATTATAATTATTCTAAAATTAATCAGATTATTAAATTTGACAATATAGCCAAATTTTGTATTCATGGTTCTAATTTGAACAATAAAAGTTAGGCTTACAATTAATATATGAAAGAGTGATTTTATAAATATATGAGAAGAAATAAAAGAATTAAGATGTTAAAATTGCCTCATTCCTATTTACTATATTTATCTTACTAGTCTTTACAATAATTATAACAGCTATCACTAAAATTACTTAAACAGTTATTTGAAATTCTTGGCATCATCAATATCAGGAAATGGGATTATACAAAAGAATAAAAATTAAGAATAGTTTAAGAATTTTTCATTAAGAAAATAAATTATTTCATAAACTAAAAAATCATATATTTAACGATTTTCAAAGCTAAAATCATTTTACAACATATTGTCCATTTTTTAGAAGCAGTCGTAGTAGAATTTACATACATTGATTTTTGGATCACTAATAATCGAACTATCTGTAAAAACTTGAATATTTTGTTAATGTAATATATTAATCCAGACAAGAATCTTTTTTATTTGAAATCATCCTAATGAAACAGACAAATAAAAGAATTATAAGTTAATGCTATATATGGCTTCTTGTTAAAATAATACCCAAAAATTCACAAAATCAATTTCATTATTAAGAATATCCTCAAATGTATTTAACAGCATCTGTTATTCAAAATGTGGTAACACAACAATAATTTCAAAATAAATGAATAATACATTTATACCTTATATGATAGAAGATAAATGGTAATCTGAAAATAGTATTCATTCAGATGAAATGGATTAAGATTCTGATCATAATTGTTGTTATCAAATTGCTCAAATAGCAAAAGCAAATGAAGAACCTTTAAAATAAATTCATTGGATAAATGAAAATAAGGTGTACAATTTATTTTTTAAATGGATTTCAATAAAAATATTTTGCATTAAAATTTAGCTAGATAATTAGGGTATATCTTTGCTGTAATCAATTTTAATATATATGGGACTTAAATTGCTATTCAAATTTTATAAAGTGTTTTGATCTTCTTACTTTTAACCTTGAATTAGTAAATTTGTAGCACCATAATTGTTTTTGATTTTTCAAATAGCGACCATTATCTTATCTCTTATGGTTAGTTTAGTTCATTTCTTTAGTTGCTAGGATCAGGTACAACTTAATATACGTAATAATAAATTTTATTGTTTATGTTATTATATATAATATAGTTTTTCATGTATATTGATAGCTTTATTTATTGATTTATATAATAAATAAACAGAATAATATGATTGAGTACTGTTTGATTGATGTAAGTCCAGCAGTTCATAAGATATTTTAAAATCCATAATATTAATTGTTAATTTATCAAATTCCAATCAATTTTTTATTTTAAATAACTAATAAATAAATTTTGTTTTAGATGGGTATCTGTTCTAGTAGATAGAGAGAAAATTTATAAACAGATATTGATAGTGTTCCTTTGTTAACTAAAGGTTAACTTGGATTCGATGTAATTATTGAGAACATTAAAGTGAAAATGGATGATATGGTATTAAGTTTAGTAATTTTAATAAGCAAAGTTGCAAAGTAAAAATGGCAATATCAACCTTTTCGTCATTTGAAACTGAAGAAGAGAAGGAAAGCTAAGGATAATTTTATGTAATTTAATGATAATTATTTTAGTTTAAACATATTCATAAATTTTAATTAAAAACAACAGAGGAGTAATTAAAATAATAATTTGTTGTAGTGGAATTACAAAATGAAAAGGGAGAATAGATTTCCACTTTTAAACTTAATTTATATTAAATAGCTACAGGTCCATTTCATATTGATTATGAATTTTCTTAAGTAGGATCAAGAAAGCATGGAAAAGTAAGTTTAGATTTCAAAATGGCTTAAATTCTTATTGTAAGATTTATTCCTAAACTTATTGATTTTACCTTGAAGGAACCTTTAAATCAAAATGAATATTGTTTTTAATTAAGAATGTTGACATCTTAATTACAATTTCATTCCGAATATTCACCAGTATTTTAAAATCATATATTCCAAAAAACACAATAACTATAATCTAATAAATAAATAATATGGAATGATTCCAAAGTAGAAATGGAAGTGGAAGTACCTTTAATCGAAATTACTTCCTCTTCAATTTAAATTTCTTTGTGGCATATTGGTAAAGATGGTAAAAAAGAAATAGAATGCGAGGCATATGTAAATTTAAATTATGCTTTAACTTAAAAAGCTGAATGCGTATTTATTATTGATATATACAATATATAGATTACTGATAAAGGAATAAAATATTATAGAATAGATTGGAAATAAAATAATAGAAGAGTATGGAATCATGGAGTTTAAGAAGGAATGCTTAATTATCATTTAGAAATAATTTTACCATTTCATTTGAAATAACAAATTGTTGGAGTTCGTACTGACAAAGGTGTATCCTAAGGAACCAGAGTAATCAATTAAACTAAAGCAAGTATAAGGGAGATTTAATAATTAAGTTCAGCTGGATAAGGTTTATTAGATACTTAATATATTATATTAAGCAAAGTATATTAAATAATTAATTTTATAATAGTCTGAACCTGATTAATAATTAATTACATAATAAAATGATTTCATTAATCAAATTATTGAAAATTTAAAGTTAAGTCATAAATAATCTATGGTGTGTTTTGAATATAAAACTCAATAAGATTTATTTAATTCTTAAAAATTATTAATAGATTTAGCAATTAGATTATTAGAAACAGCAGATTAATAATAAGAATAATTAAGAGAATAATACTATACTATATTAAAATTATTAATGAATAGAGGAGAACTTAGTTTATCTTAATTAGGATTTTCTGATTAAACATAAAAAACAAATGAAAAGTTATTAAAATTTAAGATGGATATAGGTTTAAGTTATTAGATCTTTTTATAAAAAGGATTATCGACAACTTTAGAGAAATTGAAGTAAAAATCATTAGCACAAAATGAAAGATCTTTTGTTGAAAATTTCTTTGCTAATGCTTATTTCAGAGTACCAGAATTTAGAAATAAAATAATAACTAGTGTTTAAAGAGCTGAAGATGAATAAATTCCAGAATGGAGATCACTAACTAAATCAAGTGGTGGAATTTCAAATTTAGAATTTAATGATATTTTTGATTGGAATAAGCATTTTTATGAATATTTAATGAAAGATCCAAAATATTATGCTAATAATCATAAAATGAATGAAACTATTAATTAAACAATGTGGTAAAAAAGATTAGGTAAAAGAGGAATTGCTTTCTTTTTATTTCTCAAAGAATGGTGTGATTTGTTAAATACTTATATAGTTAATAGTAAAAATGTTCCATATCACTAATTGCCAGGATACTTTTAGCTTGTTAAGGCATTTTTTTTAGAATTAAAATCTAGAGAAATAAGTAATTATCCAGAAGCTTTAAAAATTGCTTTATGTTCTTTACTTAGAAATACAAATTTATTAAATACAATAATTGTTATTTTATTTAATAAAGTTAATTTATATAATTCTGATAATGTAGTTCATTGTTTAGATCTATTAAATAAATGCTTTTAAAAAATATCTTAATTTAATTTATGTATGCCATCATTTTTAGATCAAAAATATTTTTTAAAAGGAATTAGAATTATTTTATCTTAAAGTGAACATGCCTAAAGCATAGCAAAATGCTTAGAATTAATTTACACCAATTATTTATTATTTCCAGGTAAATTTTCAATATTTAAAATATAGTGGATCTTAAGAAAGAATTAACTGATATGATCTTTGAAAATTTAGCTATTAAATTTTTTATTCATTGGTCTTATAATGTTAGAGTAATATTTCATTGTTTTCTGATTTATCGCATTTTTCATTTACATAAACCAATAAAAGATCGAGAATTTAATGAAGAGTATAACATTTAAATTATTTTAGAGATCTAATTGAAAAATATTAAGAATAATTGAAACCAAAGAAATAACACAGTTATTTTGACCAAAGAAATTCTTCTAAATAGATTATAGTATATATCATAAACTAATAAAATAGTCAGAATATATTTACTTAAAATACATTAGATTAATGTAGTAAATAGAGGAAGGCAAACATTTATCCAAATAAAAAATAAGCTATTTTAATTTAGAAAATAATACAAGGGTTGAGGAATTAAAATATAAATTGAAGAAATTATAGTGGAGAATTTAAAATAGAGAAAAAGATGATAGCATTGTTTAACATTCTTTTAAGATTATACCTGATAATTAATGTGATGATACTGTTTTGCCTTTACAAACAACAGAATAGAACTAAGAAAAATAGGTTATAAATAAAGGGTAGTTACCAAAATAAAAAATTATATTATCAGAAGCATAGTTAAAATATTTGTGCAAAGCATGTTTTGAATATGATGATTAAATCATATAATATTAAAAATGGAGATAAACTAACTTACCTGAAAATTATAATACTTTAACGGAAGAATGTAAGATTAATATATTATTCATTTTAAGAAATATTACCTGTAATCGAATCTTTCGTCGTACCTGTTGTGAGAATTCTAGAATTAAAGGATGAAAATGAAGGAAATCTTATGCAGAAAGATGATTGGTGATATCAAATTATTAATTCAATATGTTCAACTTATTAATAGTTTCTAAAAATATGTGATCATCATGGTTTATTTATTTTTAGATATTTATGTTAATTTAATATTTATTATTTGATTACTTCATGAATTCAAATTATACTAATTATTAAACAAGATTTGTTAATAAAATAAATTATTATTAATTCACAATTTTATTGAATTATATTATATAATTTTAACTTAAATGTTTTTATTTATGTAAATCATTTAAATAATATGATTAATTTATTGAATCTAAATTTAGCAATAAGTAATTATTAAATTGATTTTTTTAATTATCATTATATTTTGATTAAAGTATTGAAGATTAAATTTAAACTAATTTAGTTTTTAGTAATTCTTATAAATTGTAGTTGTTATTATATTCTATTGTTTTTAATAAGTATAGATTTAAGTTTTAGTATTTAAATTCATTTAAATAATAATTAGTATTTAAGTTTCTAATTTAATTATAAAATAAATTCAAAATAGGAAATTTAAAATTTTTTACAAAAATTCGATTTGAAATATTAAAAATTTTATACTTAAAATAGTTATTATTAAAAATGGTAATAATATTGTTATTATTTGAATTAAATTTGAAAAGTACATTCAAAATAATTAAACTCGATAATAATTTAGATTAATAATGATTGATTTATTCTATTAGATGATTATATAGGATAAAATTGGAATTTGTAATTTAATAGCAGTAATTTTACTTGTTATTTAAATCGATGATTCAATTATTTGCTACAAGGATCAAATGATTTTCTATTGGCAGTTTAATATTAATAAATTCTATAATTAAATTCATTTTTATATATTGTAATTTATCACTACAATCTAAATATCATCTCATTTAACTTTTTCTATGACTATATGAATACCATGTTTATTATTTTATATGAGCTGAACTAGCAGTTTTAATTAATCATTAATTTGAATATCTTGAGTGATTAAATAAATTAATTTATGAGTGCATATTCGGAGGAACATAATAGGTATTGGACATTGAATTAATTAATTTGAAGGGAGAATTCAAATGAGCCCCAAAGAAAATAAGAGAATAATAAGAAAATTCAAGAATATCCAGAGGATTGGCCTATGAATCCATCACCACGATTTACTCCTATGCAATATTCATAATTATTTTCTCATATTCCTCCTAATTTCGATCTAGAAAACAAAGGTATTACAGGAAATTAATCAGGCTTCAATGACTATGATCCATAGAAATATCTCAATAGCGACAAAAAGGGTCAAAGTACCTAAGCATTTCTAAAATATTCATTAGGTGAAATTCCTCATTTTGATCATATGGAGGATGATCCACATCGAAATCCCTATCCTTATGGTTTTTATCCTATGAAATACCCACCATAACCAATGATGATGAAATACCCTCCTGGACAACAGTTTATGGTTCAACAATGGTATCAACCTAGACCTCCATAATAAATGATGCCACCTTATTGTTTCTATCCTCCTATATATGATGGTCTTCAATGTCAGAATACTGTCTCTAAAGAACTTCAACTTAAAGTCTTTTAATTAGTTTCATATCAAAAAGTTTCTGATTTTTAGTGCAACTGTAAAAAAAGTAAATGCCTCAAACTTTATTGTGAGTGTTTTGCCAATAATGGGGTATGATATAACTTCCTAAATTTATACAAAAAGGTATGTTCATAGAGTTGTAATTGCCAAGAATGTAAAAACAGAATAGATAATCCTTAAGAAAGATCAAAAGCTATTGAAGAAGCCTTGTTAAGAAATGCTGATGCTTTTGCATAATGTTTTACTACAAAGGGAGCTCCTCAATTTGTTTAATAAGGTATACTTAATTTCATCTAAGATAAACCATAAAAAGAACCAAGTAAAGATAATTCCAGTGTCATACATAGAGGATGTAATTGTAAAAAATCTGGATGTAAAAAAAAATATTGTGAATGTTACAGTCAGAACATAAAATGTAATGATCTTTGTAAATGTGAACATTGTTTAAATAAGACAGATGCTTAGTTTTAAGCTCAATAAGAATAAGATTAGGATTGCCTATATAATTTGAATAAAAGCAATTAAAAACAAAAAAAAGTAAAATTAGAAAAACATCACGAGGGAAGTGATTCCCCTTTAGTCTAATTGGAGATAAATTTAAAGAAGAATAATTAACATAAAATGAAAAAATGAGAGAATAATTGATCTATATAAAATGATAAATATTATCAAGAGTTTAAAATCAATATTTCATATTCTTTTTAGCATCTTTATTCATTAAATTATTAATATACATCTTAATAAAACCTTTTTAATAGACATTTATATTGTTATGAGATATCCTATTTAGATTTTAGTATAATAAACCAATATTATAATTATGTTACTGCTTGAAATTCAAATCAAATAATTAAATATTATTGAAATAATAATTCCACCAATCTGACAACAATAATTTAACTACCTGCTTTTAAATCTGATTTACTAATTGATAGTTTTAATTATATGATGGCACACTACTATTTAATGAGATTTCTTATTATTTATAAGATAAAAACATATTTATATTTTGCAAAGACCTATAGATACTAAATCTATAAGCTTTAATCATTTCCTAAGATTGATTTGATTTAATTAAAATATTTTATTAATTCTTGATTCAAGTAATTCAATTACTTAAAATTATCTTATGATCCTATTAAAATAATTTTATATTCATCTTAATTTTTAATAGAGAAATAATATACATTTATAACTTTTTTATAATAAATCTAAGTATTCCTTATAAGATATGATGGTTATTTTTATCAAAAAGATTATGATATTTCTATTTTAGGCTATTGTTCTATATTTGAAATTCTTTCTTTGATGAATCTATTATATTTCTCAATTCATATAGATTTAATTTTATACAGCATTGATGTTGATTTATTTTGTTATATTTCTAATAATAATGAATTATTTTATTATTAATATTAAATTGTCTTTGAAAATCATTTTAATTGGATATTACATATAAAAATAATTAAGAATGTTGATTAAGGGATTCTCATTAAAAATAATAAAAATAATATATATTTGTAATCTTCATCAATATATCTTTGATAATTTAATTTCTTTAAGGGATCAATTATCAAAACAATAAATTAAAAAGTATTAGCTATTCATTATGTGAATTAGATTATCCAATTTAATTTTCATATTACTATAAATTCATATAACTTATTGACCAATTATTTATATATAACCATATTGGTCCAACAATAAATTTGATTTAAAACTTAAACATAACTTATCTAAATTTTATCCCTTTTTAGTTAAGTAGAAATTAATTTAATATATATATAATCAAACTCAATCAATATATTTTATCAGTGCACTCTTCAAAGCTACTTTCAAAATTATATAAGTGAATTAACGAACTTTAAATTAATGATGAATATGATCTAGAATTTGGGATTTAATTAATTTATTTCATGAAGCATTTTATCGTTTTTCTGATTATGTTCATCATCATACACTGTTAAGGATAATCTTTAGAGCAAACTATAAGATAACGTTATCAGAAGAAGTAGCTTATCAATTAAACGATATTTACATAAAATTAGTATTAAACCCGACTATTATAATAAGATCAAGATGATTTAGTTGAACATTAAGAAAAAATATAGGATGGTGAAATGCTTGAAAATCAAGATAATTAGAAGATCAAAATGAAGAAAATTGTTAAAAAGAGAAGGATCATACTCAAACCTATACCACCTCCATATAATGAGAAAGAAATTCATAGAAAAAAAAGAAAGGTCCATAAAAAAATTTAAAAGTGCAAAAAAATAATACAGAATTGAAAATTTATTATCATTAAAACATATTTCAAAGATTTCAATCATCAAACCAAGATAATAATACTAAGTTTTTATTATTTAGATTTGTATATAGATTAAAGAAATAATATAATCTTTCATTCTATACTACTTAACAATATTGATAAATTGAATTTATCAAATATTTTAGTATACTTTTATAATTAGTATTTTTAATTCTAAAATTAATCAAAATTGAGAGAAGAATCTGATTTTTATTATAAATTAATATAAAAACAAAAATAATAACTTAATAAATCATATTATAGTAGTAAAAGTTTGTAATTTAAAAATAATCATTTTTTCATTAAAATTGTTATATTTTAGCTTAACTCAATATTGGTAATACTAATGATAATAGTTTAAAAAAGGAATGTAAATTAAAGAAATGATAATAATTTTATTTTAAGAATATATTTCCTCTATAAAAAAGAAATTGAAAATTTAAATATTATAGTATGAAGTTATTGATAAAAATACAAAATAATTTAATCAATTTAAGAGATAATGGTTTAGTTAATTATGAAAATGAAGATGTTAATTTTAATTTATTTTAACGAATTCAAATATGTTAAATTCATCACCTCATATGAAATCAGATAAGCCTTATACACAAAGTCCATAATATAAAAAGCAATATCCTTATAGTATAGATACAAATGGTTCTGTCAGAAACTCTTTCACTTCTAAAAGTATCAAAGAGAATAGACTAAATACAGATCAGCAATAATTTAATGAAGAATTGGAATATTACAAGAATAGAAGTGCAGATCTTGAAATTTATTCAAGATAATTGAAAAATGAATTAGATGCAATGATGATAAGAATGAGTAAATAAGGAACTTTAGATGATAAGACAGAATACATTTTACATTAGAATTAAATTCTTAATTAAGATCTAGATAAGCTTCAAAAAAGTTATGCTTAAAAAAAGACTGAATGTGAATTATGGAAATCCAAGTATGAACAATAACTAAATAGTGCAGTATAATGTATATAATAATTTATAAATAATCTAAGTAAAAGCATAATATGAGTTGGATTTAAAAAAATTAAGCAATGAATTAAAATTATTAGAAGAACGAAACAATTTATTAGAGAAAGAGAGATCTTAAGAAGTTGAAGCTACAAAGACAAATTTTTCAAGTATTATTTTTTATAATATGTAAATTAGTATAAAATGAATAGTAAAAACATAATTATCTAACTTAAATAGATATGTTATAGAATCAAGTAAGAAAGCTAAGAGAATATGCTGATATGAGAGATAAAGAGATGGATAATTTAGAATTAAAATTTAATCAAATTTTACAGGAAAAGGAATACTTTGAGAATTAATTGTTAAAAGAAAATGATATTTTAAGAAATAGATTATAAGATTAAGAAAGAGAATTTTCTTTGGATGTTAACAGTTTAAGATAGAAATAAGATATTATTTATTAGGGATAAATTGAGAATCTAAAAAAATAATATTCTACATAATCAGAGATAATGGATTCAGAAATTGAAAAATTAAAAGGTTTATTAGATATAAAGAATACTGAGATAGAAACCTTATTATTATAGAATAAAAGAATGAGAACAAATTTTGAGGAAGAAACATAGACAATAAGAACTTAATTTGAGATTTTAGAATAGAAAATGATTAAAAATGAATAGAAGAATTTAGAAGAATAATAGAATGTTGAGAAAAATTTAATTATTTAACATGAAAAAAATATAGAGAAATAGAAGAGTGATTTCATTAATTAAATATAAATTCTTGAAAAATAAATAAATCATTAAAAGAATTAGATTTTAGAATAATAAAATCAATTAAATGAATTATAAAAATATAGTTAATAATTACTATAGAGCAATCAAAAAGATTAAGAAAAATCATAGATTATTATAAATAATTAAAAAAAAGAAGTATAATATTTTTATGAATTTTATAATAGATTTTATAATAATCAGAAGAATATTAAAGTTAAATTTAAAAAAACTATAAAGATTATGAATTATAAAAGGTAGAATTGATTAATTATAACTAATAATAATAAGCTTTAATGAATTAATTGTAATAATAAATTTAAAGTTTAAATTAAATAATAGAATTAAAAGAAAAACAATATGAAACTACTTTAATATAGTTTAAGTAATTGAATAATTAATCATATGTATTATTATTATTTAGAGTATTAGAATAAATTGATTTAAGTATCTAATGAGAATGAATAGATAAAGATTTAATCATAAAAATATATAGAAGAATTAGAAGAGTAAGTATAAATATAAAAGGAGTAGAATTCAGAATAAGAATAACAATTAATATCTCTTTAATCTACTTTGCAAAGAGAAAAAATGAATGCTGAAAGATAAATAAAAAATCTATAACAATAAAATAGAGAAAAAGATTAGACAATTGAATAATTAAGAATCTAGATTTAGACAAAAGAATTAAATATTCACAAATTATAAAGTGAATTATAGGATACTACAAATACTCTATCAAATTTATTAGAAGAAGAAAAGAATAAGACTGAACAAGAAATTTAGTAATTGTAAATTAGTTAGAATGAAGAATTAGCAAATACAAAGAAGAAATTAAATTAAAAAGAAAATTCTATGAAATCAGAATTAGTTTAATTGAAAAGTGAATTGTAAACACAGTAAACTTTAAATTCAGAATTAAACAAAAAGTATAATTTTAGAATTATAAATATAGATTAGAATTATATGGACAATAGATTGAGTAAGTTGTTAATAATTCAAATATTATTAAATAATACTAAGTCTTATCTGAGATTAATCTTACAAATAGACTTCAAAATTGAGAATTTATAATATAATTATTAATTTAATTAAATAATAATAAATAGATTGAGAATATCCATAAAGAATTAATTATTAATTTATTTATTATCTCTCATATATAATATTTTATTCATTTTTATTATTATAATTATATTAATTATACTTAATATGTTATTATAATTCATAAAATCAAAAGAATATAATATAAAATACTCAAAGCTTGAAATTTATGATTAAAATATATTCAAAAATATCCTTTCAAACTTCCAAATTATCCTGTATTTAATATTTTCTTTTTATCATAATTTTAAACTATCACTTCATCTGGTTATTAATATTCTTATTTAATTGGTACCTTCTTAAAATATGTTTTAAAACCTCCTTAACTATTTGCAAAAGAACCTGTAATTTTAACAAAACTATCTCTTGGATTTCTAACAGAATTGATTTCTTATTTCATTACATTTTATCCAGTTAATTAAAGTTAATCAATTTCATCTAAATTTTATGGAATAAGTTTCTTAACTAGTTCTTCATTCTCTTTTAATTTTCTATCTAAATAAAAACGAGAAGTAAATGATGAATAAGGTCTAAATCCTTTGGCACTAGAATTCTAACCTCTAATAATTTCAATAACAGGAGGCTTTTTATCTATTTGATAATTTGGATCTTCTTCTAATTTGTCAATGTACTTATAGGGATTCTTCCTTTTTAATGTTGATTCTTGAGATCTTAATCCTTATTTCTGTATAGAAAGGATAAATTACCCAATAATCATTTCCTAATTTTTAATCAATTGGTGTGATATGATCTAACAATTATTTAACTTCTTATTTAACTCTAAATTATTCAATTTTTTCATTCATGGATTAACCAGTTTTTCTAGAGATTCTAGAACTCACTTTAATTTTAGTTTATTCCCAATCACTTTATGTATTTTCATAATTTGTCATGGCCCTTATAAAAGCATCCATTCTAAGTTGATCTCCTTTATTGAGCTGTTATTTGATTTCTTAATTCATTTTGGCAGTCTTAAATCATGGGGCATGTTTTACTTCAGCTTAATTGATTTTTACTCTTCTCTCTACATCTACTATTTCTTACTGTACTTATTCCTCATTTAATTAGATCAGTTGGTATTCTTTAGATTTGACTTTATTTGGTGATTTTTTAACAAGATCCTTACTTGACATAAATTCAGTTACTTAAGAATATTAAGTATATATTTACATTTTGTGTAACTATTATTAACTAAAGGTGGAGCTTCAAATTCTGGTTATAATTAAGTCTATAACTTGACTTATGGTTTCTTACCTGTACTTAGTCTTCTTTATTTTTCAAGCATAAATTGTTGAACAGAACCAACTAATGTATGTTTAATGATTTATCCTTTAGAATCTAATTTAGGTCCTTTATCATGAACAGGTATTTATTTTAACAATTCTGATGATCCACAAAAGAAATTTTATGTTTGAGTCTAGATTTCAATTGGTGATGGATGGACAATATAAAATCGATTATTCTAAGGAGATGATACTTTAATAATATCTAGACTAGTTTATGGCTGATCTAATTTTTAAAATTTAATCATTTTTTAATAAATGATATTATTTCATTGTCACACTACCCAATTTTATAATATATCAATCTCTTCTTATATATTTTTTCTTGCTTTTTCTTCATTTCTCAGATTAAATATTTTAGATTACAAGAACTTTTATAAAACAGCAATTCTACTAGTTTTATATTCTTAATCTGATAAATGAGAATACTCTTTTCTTATATCTTAAGCATAAATAGGATATGCATCAGATTCTAATATAGACATATCAGCATCTAAATATATCATAAGATCTGATAAATCATCCTCAGGTAAGAATGGTACATCTGTTTAATGACTTTTTGTTTATAAAATGAAAATTGACACAATCTCTGTATCAATATTACCTTCTTTAGCAAATTATTAAAATAATAAACAGCTTTTTTCTTCATTATCATGAATTTTTGGATAATATATTATATCATGAAAGAATGTTGCCAATTTAACATTTGTAATGTTTTTAATTCCTTTTAATTATTTTAACATATCATAAATATGTCTTAATGTATGATAATACCTTTAAGGTTATGAATAATAATCTACTAGAATAGATTCAAACCAATATAGATTATTACTCACTGATAACCATTCTGTTCTAAGTTCCAAATATTCATATTCTGTTAATCTATTCTTTTATGAGATTTATTCTCTAAATTATGTTGAAGATATTTTACCATCCCCTTAATGATTCTAATTTTCAATTATACCCATTATGTATCCATTTATTTCATTCAAACTCTCTTATTTTCTAAGATTATTTATATACTCTATAGAATTTTAACAATCTTATGTGGTAATCAATATTTCATATTATCCTTTTAGACCATTTGGATCAATCAATTCAGAAAACTACAATTCAATATCAGGTCTGAACATTTAACAAAACTCTTTTACACATCTAACACGAGTGTTGTATGATTATATGAAACCTCTTAATTTCTTTTTTTATAATAATATTTCACTAGTTATTCCTATTGTCAAATGCTAACTCACAGCTAATAAACTTAAACTTAAAAGCACTTTATGTCCAATATGTAAATGATCAAAAGTACCACTATTAGCACCTCTTTTAAATTGATTTACTGTATAACCTTCTTACTTAAATTAGATTTTTTATATTTCATGATTTATTTTAAGTTGAATATTGAAATCTCCTTATAAATTAGTTCCTAAATTTATTACCAAATCAAATTGGTATTTGTTTCTAAATTCCTTATTAAATATATCAAAGATCACTATGAATTTGGTAGGATATTATTTTATTCTCCCATAAAGATGAAATAATATTTGTTCATATATTTTTAGATATGTAATAGGTGTTCCTACCAAATATAGAACTATTTCCTCTTGATTAGTTTTAAGATACTCTTCTATTTTTTGATCTAATAACTAATATCCAATAGAATTGAATGAACATAGGATTAATAATTTAGCATGATGTTTCATTAATAAAATGAATAAAAATCAATCAGCTCATTATATTACAAATAACTAATCATATGGTGATGGTTGGTTATTACATAGTGGATAACAGTAGGTGGATATGACATCATGTCCTGTGCCTACCTATGCTGAAATTGTACGTCAAATGCAGGTGATGATTCCATTATTAATATGATTAGGACTTTAGAAGAGCTGAAAAATTACTTAAAAATAAACTGGTTGCTTAAACCATAGGACTTGAGTTATCTTAACCTATATCTGAAGAAGAAAAACAACGTAGAAAATTAGATAACAAGGTACCATCAAAGAAGTTTCATGTCACTGAATAAGAGTACAAGGCTCCTCCTTAAGGAATCAATGTTGGTATAAGTTTATGATTGATAAAAGGATTACCAATTTATGAAACATCTAATATGTAATATGGACAGTTGAATCCAACATCATTTGAGTTGATTGAGAAATATTATCCTAGAGATGCTAGATTCACTTAGGCTTTCTTGGGAGACACCTACAAGTTTGATGGACTTAATACTAGTACAGCTTTCTCAAAAGTACATAAGAAATTAGATGAATATTGAAATTAAAGATCATATTTGCGATTGTTTTCTCAATTAATTCATTCTCCTAATGACACTTTATCTCCAGTTTTTCATTTGAGTTACTTCTCCAAGTCTTACTCCCTAGAAATCACTAATTTAAATTTAGAACATTTAATACTTTTTAGTTGTAGAGATATATTATTTTTAATATGTAGGAGTTTATGAATAAGGTGTCTATTTAGATATTGGATCAATTGGGAATTAATTGTAGACATCTCTTTATTTATCGAAAAAGATTCCAGAAGATTGAATTGGATTTCTTATTTAAAATAATGAGATTGTTTACAATTTTGAATAAATGTTTTTACAATTTGTAGGTTATTCTATTGGTTAAGGCCATTAATATTCTGTTTTATAAAGAGTCTAACTAGATAATGAGAGTCCTCCAGTTGTCAAATGTTTAGATGCTGTTACTTTTTCAGGTTTGAAATTACTTTGGAAATCAAAATGATTGGCCTAATATAATTCATAAATATCATACTTTATATGTTGTCAATGTAGCAAATTGTAACTCACTTTTTTCATACTTTCTTCTTTCTAATTTAGGATTGTAATCTTTTGGTGGATATGCTGAAAAATGAGTTTTATAACTGGTCTTTGAAAACTCTGAAGTTTAAGGAGACTTATAATCTTCATAGACAGTATTTTTAATAATTTCTTATCTTTCTTTTTATTTTAGTGGAAAATCACGTCCATATTAACTTTACCATTTAGTTGGCAACATAAATTTGTTCATATTAAAATCTCCATGCATTTATTCTTGTAGATACAATCCTAACAAATAATAAAAGTAATCTTTATTGTCTTCGAGAAGTTATTCTACTGTTGATCCTTGCAACACCTCCTAAGGAATAATCTCAAGCCAAATTGGATCAGATGCAGGAATGTCAGGTAGCTGTTCATCGAATAGAGATGTATTTGTTTGACAACTCACTGAATTACTCTATTGTGGAGTTGCTATTGGAGTTATTGGATTGTGTTATGATTCCGATCTTACTATTAGTTACTTGGATTAAGGTTATTGTGAGCTTTTTTATTATGTGTATGTAGCAATATCTTCAATACTACAAGACGAAAGAGCCTTATTTCTCTTCTTAAGTAGTGTAGTTTTTCGAGAGAACCTAGGGGCGAGAAAAGACGTAGTGTTTGTTGTCAATACCTATTTAATTTGATCGGAAAGCATATATATTGGTAATTATATAATTATTTATTATAAATCCTAAATCTACAGAGAATATCTTAAATACTATATATGATATTAAGGTTAATACTTAAATTAAGTAATAATCACTTAAACTTAATATTTTTATCAACAATATTTTTTGGAATATTATATATTTCATTAATATTTTTATTATAGTTTTTTTGAATTCTCAAATATAATGGATGATCCTTTCGAAAATTAAAAATATTAACAATTTAATATATAGTATTTTGATTATTTCTTTAAATTCTTATGGATTCCAATAAATTAAACCTAACTTAAAACTCAATTAATTACCTTTAAATCTAATTATACATCTTTTGTATATTGATTTATTTAACATCTGTGTCTATTAATTTGAATTAATAATTAATCATATTTAATCATTAATCCTAATAAAAGATACCTCTATTTACTGTATTATTTTGATAGTTTGTCTTATTAATTATATTTTTGATAGGAATCATCTAAAATTCAATACTTTTTTATTTATTTATTTCTAATTTAATTTATAAATATACTAATTATATTATCATTGATTAATTCACAACTCATTACCATTAGATAAAACATTCAAAATTTAGAAGATGGCTATCAATAATAAGAATTCCATACCTGATCCAACAACCACAAAAAGAAATACTCCTAAGAGAATAGGACCCATGGCAGCAGCTTCTTCAGTTTTCTAAATTAATGTAAATATTTACCATAAGAGACTTAGGTACATTGCCTTATCTATTAATATTGTTTCTATTAATCTTATTTCTTAATTTCATAGTTTAGGCTGATGGCTAAATTATGATATTATTTTAATACCATTTCAATAAGAAATTAAAGTTTATTAAATATTTCTTTAAAATTTTAATAAAATTTATCACATCCTAAGTTGTAAAATGGAGGATAAATGTATCTATTAATTTTGAATACACATATATCTAAAATATATTATAATCATCATCATATTTATTATAAAAATAATTTTTTCTACATTTTTACATTCTAAATATACTTATATTAATATTTAACATTCTAAATAGTGAGAACACTTTAATTTTGATTAATTACTACAAATTGGTAAAGATATATGTTTGAAATCTTTTTAGTTTCAACAAAATTAGTTAATCGAAATTTGTATAATCTATGGAATATTTATATAACCTTATATTCCATTATTAATACTCTTTAAGTATTTAGTATCTTAAATTAATTTATTATATATACCGCATTATAAGAAGATATGTTTTTTAATAATTATATTAAATAAGAATGTCTTGGGATGCTTATGTGACAAATTTAACAGCCAATGGTGCACTAGAATATGCTGCCATCATTGGAGTAGATGGAAACATTTGGGCTAGCAATTTTGGTGTTGCTGTCCTCCCTTCATATTAAGCTGAAGTACCAGATGAGAAAAATCCAGACGTATCAACTAAGGTTGCCTATGATGAAAAGGCTGCTTTTGTTCATGCTCTTACTCACAATGGAGAGTCAGGTAATAAAGCTGGAGTTAGAATCAATAACTAAAAATATTATTCAGTGTAATTTGATGGAGAATCTAAGACATGGTATTTAAAAAAGGTATATAAATTATTCATTATCTTAGAATAAAGGCGGAGCTTGTGTTGCTTGGTCTAATACAGTTGCTGTCTTTGCTTCATTCTCCCAAACCATCAATGCTGAAAATGGTGCACCATAGAATGCTAGCGATTGCAACAAACGTGTCATTGATATGGCAAAGTACCTTGCTGATTCTGGATATTGAGTATTTATGTTCAGACAAATAATTATAAATACATTCTTCATTAATCATTCTCTTTCTAGAATTTAATTACGAAACGTGTTCAATTACTTTTATTGTAAACATATCCAAATATTATTTATTCTATTCAAGTCCCTTACTAAACACATAAGCTAATAAGAATATAAAAATATTATCAAAAAGTATATTTATATTTCTCCGATATTTAAGTATTCCAAACATTTACTCATTACTAATATAAATATTCTATCTACTCCTTTACATATTTTCATAACCATATTTTTATTCCTTTCTTTCTCTTAATAAACTCCATGACCTTAACAACATTTTATCTTATAATATTAATTGTCTTTACAATTTTCAATGTGAAAACATATAATTATAGTAAACTTGAATAAATTTAAGATTTGAAGAATCCATTTATAAGAACATGAAATAATAATCAAATAAACTCATTATTATTCATGAAAAATTAAAAAATCTAGGACTTTTTAATTTTCTTTTTTATAAATATTATTGGAACTATGAATGATTATATAAAGATAATTCTATTGATTTAGATATATTGACAATTATTATAAGTAGTATTTTTTATGAAAATATAAGTTGTCATAAATAAAAATCTTTTCGTAGAATTATTATTTTTACTAATGCTAATACCTTTTAGTATAAGTTATTATTATTCAAATTTTTTAAATACAAATATTTGCAGCAACATATAGATTTTTACAAACATTTATGCAAATATTATAAAAATATAAAATAATTTATATTATTAAATATAAATTATTATATATATTATATTGTGTCAATTATAAATTATTGTTTATAAGTGCAGTTATGACCAAAATCTATTTTTAAATTAGCCATTAGAATATAAGAATTAAGCATCTAATTTAAAAAATAATACTTTATTTCTCTTGATTAGATAAAGAAAAGATTCATATCTAAATATATAATTAATTGATGTCTATTTATATTATTATAATTTATATACTTTTTAGAATAATTTAATATTGACAAAATTATCTGAGGTGATTAATGTATTAATATTTTTCAAATATTCAATAATATGGTGTAGAAAGATAATGTATAAAGATCTCTCAATATTAATTATATCCTACCATGTGATATGATTGCAAGATGTCTTCAATGATCATGAAATCTAAATACTATGATTAAAATGGTTGATTACATTGATATTTATTGTAATATAGATCATTTGACTCCAACAATATCTGCTCTAGTAGTTTCATCATAGTAAGGAACTTCTATTACATTTCTGTCTATTTCTTTCATGTTTGTGTTTTTAAAATAGTGACTAACAGATGGATCTGAAAGAACTTTTTGATAAAATTTGACAACACCTGGATCCATGTTGGTTTATCCTCCTAATTTATCAAAGATGTTCTTATTTTATATTGCTAAATTTAATTAATGATTTCAAAAATATGATATATTTGGTTAAAAATAGCAAAATATATAAAATAAGATATTTTTGGAAAACCAAAATTATTTATTAAATTAATTTTATATATCACTATTCTTCATTTTATGTAAAATCATGTATATGAGTTGTATTTGATTTGCGAAGTATTCCATTCTACACTTTCAAGTATTTATTATCTTATTATAATTGTAATGGGGCAATAGCAGTATTAAATAGACTTTTTCGAGCAGGACCCTTTAATTTTATATCCTAGATAGTATATCCATCATCTCCATCACTAGAACCACCATAATGTTCTTTCTATAAAAGAATGGTTCTTTGCCTAAGTTTATTAGAATTCCTAGAAGAAAGATGAGATATGTTTTAATTTATAGTTAGATGTCTTAAAGTTTTTCTCATAATAATGCTTTCTGCAAACCAAGGATGATTGAGAGCCTCATCAGGATGGGGTCTCTAAGCTGGATCTTTTTGAAGCATTTATTGGATTAGATCTTTAGCTTCACTTGAGACTTCTTAAAAGATTTCATCAGGGAACTCATATTTAGCTAATTTGATAGATTCAATTAGATCATTCAAACTAATTATATTTAATGAATATATGTACTAATCTGCATTGAATGGTAATTAACCAGACAACATTGAATATAAAATACATCCTGCACTCCACATATCAACCATTTGACTATAATAATAATTGAGAATTCTTTTACTTGTATCCTTCACCAGTAAATATTTCTGGAGCTGAAAATGCCACAGTTCCTGTATAAGTCCACATTTCAATTTTTTCAGTATCCTAAAGATTTCCAAATTCTTTATAGGAATCACTGAATTTACTTACATTAAAATCAGTGACTTTGATTAATTTTTTATCTATTTTGAAGTATAAACTATTATATTACCTTAGAGACAAAGTATATTATTAGGTTTTAAATCTCTATGACATATACCATTTCTATGCATATATTCAATTGCACTAAGTAATTATTTGAATAATTCTTTTGCATCATGTTCACTATAATGTCCTGCTTCATTTATTACTTCAAACATTTCCTTTCCTTTAATGAGTTCCATTATCACATAAGCCTGACTTTCAGATTAGAATCCATTATCAAAATCTAAATACATTTTGTATGCTTTAACTATATTCCCATGTGATAATTTTATTAATCTCTTAAACTCATTAATCATCTAATAATTTTCAAATATCATTTACATTTCTTATAATCTCATCATCTTAGGTAGCCACAATTTTTACAGCAAATTCTTAACCAGTTTTTTTTTATACTACTCTTTTAACTAATCCTAAACAACCTTCACCTAATCTTTCATGCATCTCATACTCTTCAAAAAACTCTTTTGTATTTGGTACAATGTTTTCAACATCACTTGATGTTATTTCAATATCTAATTTCCTACCCAATTCAAATAGTTATTCTTCTCTCATTTAAAGTGGTTGAATAGGTTTATTTATTATGTGATTGAGTTAACCTATATTTAATTCCTATTCATTTACATCTAAATTGTTATTTTATTCGATTCATATTATTTTGAATTACTTCTTTCTATTCCTCAGCTTAAGTCTTCACAAACGTAAAACGACCACTACATTTCTTTTCCATCATTGATAATTTTGGTGGAATTCTTAATGTATCTTATGGACTACGCTCTAAAACTCTATCGTCTTACATTTTAGTTTGGTAATTATATATTATATGATTGTATAAGAATTGTATCATTTAAAGACATTCTAACAAAAATACCATTACTTAAATATTATTAAATTGTCTTTCAAATACAATTGTTCAGTTAGTAAAATAATTAATATATATAACCTATTCTATATCATAATTCAATTTAATATATGTTACTAAATGTAATTGAACATTATTTTAATAATATTTAGAATATAGAATGATGCTTTTTATTTTCAATATTTTATAAACAAATCATTCATCTTTTTATCTTTTTAAAAAGTAATTTCTAACAAAAATGCTTTACAAAAACATATAAAAATTGTAATTTATTTTATAATTTTATTTAAAATGTCTCTTTCCAAAATGACTCATCTATTGGAATTATTTTTGATTAAATCTTATCCTAAATAAAGAAGTCTTCTATATTATCTTTTTGAAATATTCTAGTAATTTAGTTTTCTAATAAATTAAATTGATCACAATATATAGATGGTTTTAATGTACTTAATAAAATTACTGTGTTGGATCGTTTGTAGAATTATTTAATCTAATTATTTATTCTATATATAATTACTCTCTTCTAAACTTATTATCTCAATCTATTTTGAATATCACAAGGAATCAAATCTATTTTACAACCAATAAAAATAAATGGTGTTTAAAGGATTCTTTCTAATGGAATTCCTTTGTAATTATGATAATTCAATAGAAAATCTTAGCCATCATGAATAGCTATACTACTTTAAAGAGAAAAATCACTTCTATCTGTATCCAAGAATTCCTCCATTTCCTCTTGAATATCATCCTTTACAGTTAATCTCTTAATCCATTTTCCCAAATTGTCTAATGTTTTAAGATTTGTGACATCAAAACAAAAGATAATTGCATCCAATTTGAGTCTCGATATGTAAACATCCAGATATTGTCTCTATGACTTATCTCCAGAAAGATCAATCATTTTAAGGAGAACATTTTAATTCGATAAATTTCTCATTGCTATTTTGATATCACATCCTTAAGTTTTGATTGGAATCTTAGGTTAGTTGGTTTTGATTTTTATGGGATATTTTCTATATGTAAGTATATTAAGTAGTGAAGTTTTGCCAGTTGACCCATCACCTAAAACCAGAATCTATTTGATTTTTTTTTATGCATACTTACAGTTAAGGTATACTTTAGAAATTGTTAGAGTCGCGAAATCTTAAATCTTGACATTCAATTTTCATTTATATATAATTAATGAAGAGGTGTTAAAAATGATGAAGTAATATAAAATTAAATCACCTCCTCTATCCTTCAAACCATTCTCCTGAAATTGATTTACCATTTTTATCAATGTATATTCCTTCTCCATGTTACAATCCATTTTACCATTACCCCTTATAAATCCTACCATCAGACCAATAGAATTCTCCTTTACCATCCTTTTTATTATCCTTATAATTCCCCTAATGAAATAGATAATATACCTATATATTTTCTCCCATCCTCCCAAGTCATTATTCCTTCACCATTCATCTTATTGTTCTACCATTATCCTTCATATTTGCTACCATCAGGCCAAATATAAGTTCCCATCCCTTAAAATTGATTATTTTTAAATCCTCCTGCATAATTCGATCCATCAGCCCACTTATAGATTCCATATCCTTCTTTCACCCCCATATAAAAACTACCCTCATAAACAGCAGACTTATCTTCCCATATTTCTATTCCTTATCCATGCCTATTATCATCCTTCCAAAATCCTTCATATCTCGACTTATCAGCATGTACATAAACACCATAACCATCATTCTTATCATTTTTCCATTCTCCTATATAATAATCTCCACTAGTAACAATGAGTCTACCAAATCCATTGGCTTTATCTTCTACCCAAAATCCTTCATAAAGTGATCCATCAGGAAAGATGTATTTACCTTTTCCATTTCTTTGATGATTTTTCCATTAACCTATATAAATCCCTCCTTTATCAAGAAATTAATAAGGGGGAAGTGATTTAGCTCCAACCATAGAAGGACACTAAGTATAATCGAAAGGTCCTAATTGCAAAAGTACTTTGGAAACATTATGATGGAAGATCTCTGGAACTTACTCTATTGGAATAGCGATATCTTTGAAAGGAGGATAAGATTCTTCAACTTATTTTTTCTGTAGTGTAATCATAGACTTTTTACTTATTTTCTTACTGAATGACCTCGATACAAAGCCTAGATTTTAGTTGCACACATTTCTTGTACTTCTGGTAGATTACTTTTAATTTCATAAGGTTTAGTTTCAATAGGCTATTCAAATTCAAAACCACCTGTTTCCAAAACTTGAGTTCTATGTATTGTCTTACAAACATTACCCATAACACAATATATTATAAAAATTAAATATACGAAATTAATCATTTCTTTTTTCCCTTTACCCATTCTCCTTCTATAACTCTCCCATTTGGCTCTATTAGTTGTCCTCTTCCATGCATCTTACCGTTTTTCCATTCTCCAATATATTTTTATCTATTTGGCCAAATTTGCTCTCCCTTTCCATTTCTCTTATCATTTTCAAATTCACCTTAAATTAAAATTAAATATCTCACCCTTATAAGTCTTACCATCAGTATAGAATTATCCTTCACCTTACATATTGCCTTATACCCATTGTCCTTTGTACCATTTACCATTGCTCCAATAAAACTCACCATAACCATTAAATGCATCATTCTAAAATTCTCCATCATAATAAGAATTATCACTCCATCTATAAACTCCTTTGCCACATTTCACTCCATTCTCAAAATGTCCTTCAAAGGATGATCCATTATCAAAGGATATTGCTCCAACACCATGCTAAAAATGATCATCACTAATACTGGTATCCCATCTTTCATCTCTCCAGTATACACTCCTCCATCTGGGAACACATATTATTCTCGAGCTACTTGACTGACTTGACAACAAGAACCCATATAACTTTAATTAATTTTATTTCAGTTGATATTTCAATGTTAAAAAGCAAATCCTCCACCATTAAATTTCTTCTTTAGCCAATTTCTTCAAATTGATTACCTAACTCTCCTTATATATGAAGATCATTCTATTATTGTTCCCACTTCTTTTTTTAAAATAATTCTTATTTGAGTCCAAAATTCCTATAAAATATTTTTTTCAACACATTTACTTTTATACTGATATTTCATAAATACATATCATTTTATTTCTTTTACTCTATATTTTAACTTCTCCTAGTATAATAACATGATCCTCTAATCCAAGCTATCTTATTATTGTATTTTCAATGGATAATATCTTTTATTACTTCTTCTACTTAATTCTCTATTTCTTTTTATTCTTGGATTAATGAAATCATTTTTTTCTATTTTTTGTTTCCTTCAACAATTTCTTGATAAATTATAATAATTCTAGAAGAATAAACATCTATTTATATACTAATTCTATTAATTTCTCTTGAATTCTAAAAATCCTAATCTTTCAATTAGTTATCACTCTCAAAATTTCAAATCTCTTATCTTATATACTATTACCATTCTGACTTTAACATTTAATTATCTTTCATTATTTCTAATTGATTTTGATAGAATTTCAAAAAATCAAAATCTATATTCCTTTTCTGTGATTCTTCTTTAATATAATTTTCGTTTTTCTAAATAAACCTCTTATTATTATATCTGATATTACATTCATTATAACCTATATATACAATAATCTTTTTTATTCTCCATTATTTAAATGAATTTAAATTTCTTTCCTTTTATATAATTCTTATTTCCTTAAATATAATATATATTTTAAAGTTTAGTTTTATTAACTAACATCCAATAGTAAATTCCAATAATTTATTATACTCCTTGTAAAAGAAGTTATTCAAAATATCTTATCTTTAAATAATTGGAGATATAAAAATAAGTCTATATATAATTAAGACACAACATATGATTAATTAGAAGCCTATATATAACAATATGAAAAAAGTGAAAAAAATAACAATTTATATCTATATTAGAATCAATCATTAATTGGCTTTTTTTGAACTATCCAAGAGACTATCATCATTTAGAAAATCGAAACCATTTTTATCAAATTCTTCTTAATCAAATTGTGAATTAAATGTTTATATAATCTCTTTATTTGCCATAACTTCTTATTTAAAAGTTTCAAGATTGAATTTGAGTTTTTCATTTTCCCATTATAATGCAGCCAATTGAGTTTACAATTATGTAACTACTTCTTTATCTTAAGTCTATTAGATTTATTAAGTTAATTTTTGAATTTAATTTTATAAAGTTTAATTTAATTATTTAAGTTCTTTCTTTTCATCTTCTAATTATTTCATATTACCTTAAATTTTCAATTTTCTTTAAGGATGAGCTGTTTAAAATAATTGTAAAGGTACTTAACCAAATTCAGTTACTTAGATTTCTAATGCTTATCTTTCAATATCAGTTTTACATTTATCCCAATTTACATTTTCTGCATAAGTATAAGGATAAAATAAATTATCATTTAATAATGCTTCATTTCCAGAAGATTTACTACCAAAAATTAAATCAATCCATTAAGGAAGATTAACTTAAACATAAGGACTTTCTAAAGCAATTCTCATTTTGGCTAAGAAATCTACAGCATTTTCAGCCCAAGCAGGTATAACTGCATCATCAATTACTTCTCCATCTTATGTTATTCCTAATTCTAATTTGTCACAATTAACTAAAAAATCACTATCTAATCCATAAAATCTAATTAAATATATCTTTATAAATAAATACTCTGGTATAAGTTCTTTTGAATCAGCATGAAGATTGAGAGTAGTAAACCAAGTAGAATCAATACCTCTAAATATTCTATCTGTTGGTCCAAAGACACCATTTTATAATTTAATTACAAATTCAGGAATTTTTCTTATCATATAATATACAACAGTTCCAGGACTTGAATAATGTGTAGGATATAAATAAGGTTTAGGATCCTATTATTTATCTTTTAATTAATCTTTGTAGAATGCCTATATGATTATATTAAAAGAGATTACTTTATATTTTTAGAGTCTATGTTTATTGAGTGCACCCATAGGTTTAGATAAATCTCTAAAGAAAGTGGGTTAATTGATATTAAAGTCTTTTTCATTATATTCAGCAATGATCCATGGGAATACAGGATATGCAGATAGATCATTGAAGCTTCTATTGGCAAGAGTATTTAAGGCCATCAAATAATCAAAATTAGACATATTACCATTTATCCATTCCTAACTAATTTTTTCTTTAGTCAAAGCTGATAGACAATGTTTAGATGCTTTTTTTTAAAAGTATTTGAACACAGATTCTTAAGTATTTGAATCATCAAAGACAAAAAGATAGGATCTCTTTTTATTATACATCCAGAATTCAATTCCATTATTTTTGAACATATATCTATATTTTAGGAAATATTTAATGTCAGTAAACATAAATTACATGATTTTACCTTAGGGTGAATTAATTAATGGAATAAATTATAGGATTTCTTCTTTTTATATACTAAACAATCCAAAGATTACTCCTTCAGGTTTGATTAGTTTTACTAAAATATAATTTGAATATACCTTTATAGACAAATTCTATTTTATGACCTTCAGATCCTAAATTTGATTTATGTTCAAGAAGACTGTCATTTAATGTTTGTTAGATAGTTTGATTAATGAATGTAAATTCATCTTCAGCTTAATTAATTCCTTAGTATAATTTAAGAAAGCGTATAAGAATTTATTTAGAATTAGATTTGGATATGGTGAACACAATGTTGTCATCGCACTAAACAGAGAATTAAGTATTTATACAATTTCAGTGATGTATGGACTTATTGGATTACGATTCACAATAAACAATTTATCGACCTTAATGAAGAAGCAATTGCATGCTAATTATATCATGTTCTTTCGTTATCTATTGTAAAGCTTTTCTAAAAGTTCATTCGATTTCTAATTTAGTAATCAATAATAGTAGAAACTTATTCTCCTTTTTATTAATTTAAAATTGATGCTAAATCGAGTTGATCAATATCCTCTTGCAATAATTGATAACCCCAACGAATACTCAGTAGAAGACTAAGTGATTTTGGTTCGAAATTTTTGAGTACTTTCATAAAGAGTCCATTGCTGTATTTCATTTTCATAAGGGGCAACTATGATGATTTAGGCTCAAAAACTAATGAACGAGAACATAGATGCAATTTTCCTCGAATTCTGAATTTAGATTGAATATAAAAATATGTTACTCATCACTTTTTGCACTTGGTATTAGTGCCACTTTGAGAGAGAGAAAATATTACTCTTGTGTCTCAAGATGTAATAGATTGAAACTCTTTTTTGGTTTCTTGATTGAATTAAGGGAGGGGAACATTTTAAATTAATTAAAATAATTGGTTAAATATAATGATAGCAGTATTATTCTAAACATTTTATTCATTTCATCTAATTTATATCTTTTTTTTTTCAATGTAGACTACTCTAAATTATATAGTAATATTAGTATAATATAATTACTTGATATATTTAATTATTATTATTCTAATACTAATGTCTAATGATTATGAAAAAAAGAGATCTGCTTTAACAGTATCTACAGCTTCTATTGATGCATATTCAGATGAGTTAAAAAGAATTGAAAATAAAATTGATGTATAGTCTATGAAAGGATGGATGAAAAAGAAAAGTCCTGCTCTTTTGAAAGGTTGGCAAAAGCGTTACTTTATGCTCATTGAAAATTTATAAGAAGGACCTTGGAAATTAGTTTATTTTGATAATGATGTAAGAAAAATAATCTGAGTTTAGAAAACTGACACTAAGCCTAATGGTGCTTTTGATTTATCTACAATTACATCCATTAATTAGATCTCCAAAAAAGAATTCACTATTTAATTTCCTGGTCGAAATCTAGAATTAAAAGTCAAAACTCCAGAATTGTGTCAATAATGGATTACCACTCTAAATAGTTTGAGAACATCGACTTCACCTCAGAGAACAAAAAGATAAGTCAGTATGGATTCTGTTGTCAAGATGGCTGATGAAAGTCCAACTAAGAGTATGATTTTTCCTTATTTTGTAGTCCAAAACCATAAGATTGTAGATACATATACAGCTTAATAGGCTTAAGTGTATAAGGAGAGACAAAGAAATTCATTACTTATAGACTTATCTAAGGGAGATAAAAAGAATAAGGAAAAGCAAAATATCTCTTAATTATCAAATGATAAGATGATAGAACTAGTAGGTTTAAAGGAATTCATAAAAAATATGAATGAGTAATTTATTTATTAACGAATGATATATGGTTATTTGGGTAAAAGAAGCAAAGGGAAAGTAAAATACTTTTAAAAACGTTGGTTTATTCTTGTATCAGCTAAACCATTGGTATTTTTAATTTAAAATCATAGTATTCTGATTATAATGATGAAAAGATATTAAATGAATCACAATTACCCCCTTGGTTAGAATTAGATACTATAACTTATTTCAAATAAAAAGAAGATGGGAAATCACCAAAAGCCAAAGGAGATGTTAAAATGTTAGATTGTTAAGAAATAATAATAAAAAATATGTCTAAATCAAAGGAAAGTGGTTACACTTTTAAATTGAATATGGGAGATAGATTATATCATTTAATGGCTGATACTGAATTAGAACGTACAAAATGGTAATCTGCCTTAAGTGCATCTATCAGAATAACAAAAGAAATTAATAATCCATTAAAAATAAAAATTAAAAAGAATATTGATCCATTAATACAATTATATGATGAAGAAACTCATTTAATAGCAAGGAGAGAAAAGATTCGAATAAAATTAGAATAAGATATGGCAGCCATCTTAACATAAGAGGATGTTGATCTAAATACATTAATTAAATAATTGACTGATTTAAGATAAGATATGTTAGAATCAATGTAAGCTAGTATTGTTAAAGATCCTTAAAGAAAAGATATTGTAAAAGAATACACAGACATATATCATGAAAACATATGTAATAGAATTACAAAGTTTTGGGATTAATCTTATATGAAATTACAAGTAATTTATAATTTAATATTATATCTAGTCTCCAGAATTACTACTTATAGCATAATGGTTACATGATTATTTATAATAGATGAAGGATTTCTTTAATGATGATCGTATACTCTTAGGAGTTGGAGTTTTATTAAATATATATGTGAATAGATCACTTGAAAGCTTGGAATCAGTTATTTATCAAATAGTTGAATAGGAAAGAATATAAGAACCTATTTTGAATGATTAAGAATAATTGGTTACTTAAACTCCTGTTGATTTGTTTAAAATAATAAACGAAGGATTTGATATGGCATATAAATTATGTTCATGTAAAGAAACAGTACTTAGATTTGGAGGTTTTGGCAAAGTTATTTTATAATAGTATTAAGGAAGGATATAAGAAATCATTGATGAATATTAACTCTCTGTTTCTAAATTAGTAGCTATATGTAATAATACTTTGGCTTTACATGATAATACTAAATAATTTGCTAAAAGACTATAATCTTTTGCCAATTTAAATGATGAAGAAGTTGAAAAAGTATTTGATGGTTAAAAAATAACTAAGAATTTTGTTTAAATAGCTACTAATTGTAGAGAAAGAATATTCATTATTTATTTCAATCGTGTAGGCACATATTTTAAAAAACCTTATCTCGAAATCAAAATTATAGATACTCTAAAATCAATAATTGAGCCAGCCACTGAAACATTATCATAATTACATGATAGTTTTAGTAGAAAACTGTGGAAATAACTTACTGATTCAATAATTCTATACTATTTTAATTAATTTATTATCTCTTGTAGTAAGGCTAAAAAGGAATAATAGAATGAATTTATAAGAAAATTAGAAAATGATAAAGATATTTTATTCTAAGAATTAGAAACATTCATATTTTAAAAATAATTGTAAACAACTCTTAAACCTTTTGATGATATGATATCATTTTTAAATGAAGAATCTCTTAGTATTTTGGATCCTTGTAAAAGTTTACGATAATATTTTGGTAAAGCATTTTCAGAAAAAACAATTAAATCTATTATGAGCTTAAGATTTGATTTAGATAAAGAAAAAAAGAAAGACACTATTGAAATTTGTAAGAATCTAATTGATGATATCAATAAAACTTAACCTGTAGAGGATGAAAGTGTTAGAATTATGGACTTTTTAGGTTAAGAGGATGAAGAATAAGAAGCTGAGTAATAATAAAAATAAATATTAAGAAGAGCAGATATAAAGTTAGATTTTAATGATAATGAAATACAATAAGTAAATATATATATATATATAATTTTAGATTCCTTAACAATAATAATAAAGAAACTCAATTGAGAAAGAAGAATATATAGATGAAGGTTATTTATATAAGAAGAAACCAAAATCAAAAGCTTGGGATTATAGATATATTAGAATTAGAAAAGGATTTATGTATTGGTATATTAATTCCAATTCAAGAGAGGCATAAAATAAAATCAATTTATAAAATGTAGATGAAATTATTCCAAATTCTAAAAAACCTACTAATTTTAAGATCTAATTAGAAGATTCTAAAATATATAAGTTTAAAACATAAACAAAAGAGGAATGTGATTTGTGGATTAAAACTATTTAAAAAGAACAAAATCAAGCTGAAATTGCAGTAATTACAATAGAAGCAATTGTAAATAATAATTATATTATTAGTAAATTGGTAATGGAAAATTGCCAATTATAAAAGATTATGATGAAATTGCAAGAAAAGAGAGATAAAGATAGAAATAAGAAGAAAGAAAGAGAAAAAGAATTGAAAAAGAAAATGAGTAGAAATATCTTTTATATTTAGATTAAAAAAAAAGTAAATGGAATTGAAATAGTTGTAATAATAGTAATTGAAAGAATTAGGAAATAAACCATAACCTCACTAAGTTGATGTATTTGAATAACAAGGAGAATATGTATAAATTTATAATTGATATATTATAGACTGATAACACTAAAAAGACTACTTCTTGTTGGACTTCATTTTTGATAGCTTTAGGAGTTGAAAGACCTAAATGATTATTATCATAACTATTGATAATAACTATTAAATAAACTTAGAAATTTATACTTTATTATTTTTCTATTTATAATTTACAAATTCATACATATTGAGAGACTTTTACAGAATAAATTAATTAATTAATAAATGGATTCAACATTAATTTTCAAGAACTTAAAACATTTATGCAACCAACTACATTCTATTCATATTTGTTTTAATCATAAATAGTAGGGATGCTAATATACTAATCCTATTATTATTATACTTATTAGAAATTGATTAGATTAATATTCTCACAAATACCTTTATTATTAAATATAGATCAATAATATTAACTATAGAAGTAAGATAAATTGAGTAAAATTGAATATGCAAAATTCTCTTATAGATTGTTAACTTAAATTAATTTTGTTAATATTGTAAGTCTCAAAAGTTAACTACTAAAAGAATCGAATTTGTCCACATAATCTTTAATTATTGAATGAAGAAATCTATCAGATAAAACAATTATCTAGTTTTAATCATCATAACTTAATTCAAACCTAATTTTATTTTTAAATACTTCTTTGATTAATTATCATCAAAGTTTCTAATTAATATATCATTTAATACTTATAAGAATAATTTAACATTCCAATAAAATAATCTAATTAGTTCTATATTTACAAAGGAAGATTTGCAACTTAGTTAATTAAATTTAGGTCACAATGATAACAGATATCTGATTATAATTAAGTGAATAAGATATACGAATGTATAATACTTGAAATTAATTGAAATTTCTTTTTACAATAAATACATAATGTTTCATAAATGATGTTAAAATTAAGTAAAAATAAATTAACTATCATTAAATGACTATTTAACTATTCTTAAAAATAAAAACAATTTGAAATTATTTGAAGAATTTAAATAAAAAAATTGTTTGTCTCTAATTACTTTATCTTATAGAAGGGGAGAACAATAGAATTCTAATTAAAGTGTAATACAATCATATAAAACCTTAAAGTATATAGATATAAATAATTCTTTAAAGGATTAGTAAAATTAATCTAAATTAATCAATAGTTTCTATTAATAATTTCCAATAATTATTTAATAAATAAAAAGGCAACAAAGAATTTGATTAAAAAACAATTAATAATTATCTTAAATGAACATAGCTAAGTATTTATATTGTAAATTATGAAGTATCTAAAAATATTATTCAGATAGTTTAAAAATACTGAATTGAAATATTATAAACATTTATTTATTATGTAAGGAAGACTCTAACAATAATAAATTAATTAAAAAATAGTATAATACTAGTAGTTTATTAGGATTAGTTTAATTTTTGTATAATAATAAGAATGGAAATTAATTTTAGTCTAAAGTGATCACAATAATATAAATAGAAAATTGGGTTTAAAAATACTTTATGATATTAGTATATGAATAATAATAATGAAGCATTTAATATATAGTATAATCAGTATAAATTTAAATAAAAAGATAACTTTTATTGAGTGAGATACGACATCACAGTCAATTAGTATTATATATATGTATAAATATATATTAAAAAAATGATAATTATCTTATTAAGTATACAAGTATTTTTATCATAAATTTATATAATTATTATGTTGTAAAGTAAATCTTTAAAGGAGAGACTGAAATGTAAAATAGAATTTGGTGAAGACGAAGAGAAGCCAGAAATAATTAGTTTGAGTGTTGTAGATGATGCTATAAAATTTGAGGATAGATATGAATCATTATAAGTTTTGGGTAAGAATTTAAGTAATGTATAGGATAGGGAGCACATGCTATAGTAAAATTGGCAAGAAGAAAAGAAACTAATGAATTGTATGCAGTAAAAATAACAAGAATGAATAATGAGGAAATATATAATAATGTGAAGAGAACATTTAATAATGCTCGTTGTTTGAGACATCAAAACATTATTTAGGAGATAGAATTATTTATAAATGAAAAATATTGTAGTGCATGTTTGGTTATGGAATATTGTCCATATCCAACATTAGAATCAATTTTAATAGAAAGGAAAACTTTAAGAGAAGATGAAACTAGATAAATTATAAAATAATTATTAACTGCAATATAACACATACATAATAAAGGAATATGTCATAGAGATATTAAACCAGATAATATTTTAGTTAATATAGAGGGTGATTGTGAATTAAAATTACTTGATTTTGGTGTTTCAAGAAGATTTTTATAAAAAAATTAGTAAATTGAAATGCTCACTAAAACAGGCAATATATATTACTGCGCTCCTGAAATTTATCATTAACCTCATTATTCTAAAGAAATAGATTTATGGAGTATAGGAGTAATTATGTTTTAATGTATGACTGGTGAATTGCCATTGCATTCAAATTCAATTAATGATTAAATTTAATTATTATAAACACCAGAATAATGGAATTTCAAAAATAAAGTTAAAGAAGAATCTCTTAGTGCATAAAATCTATTATTTAGACTTTTGTCAGCAGATCCAAAAAAACGGATTACTCCAATAGAAGCATTAGCTCATCCATTTATAGAAAAGAATCAAATATATTCTACTATTGCTATGTTTTCATCAACAAAAATTATTGATGATGATGAAGGATTAGTTAATAAATGTAAATCTTTATAGACAAGTTTATCTATAAATTAAAAATAGAATTTGCATAGAGCATTAAAAACTTTACATCTTGGATTAGAATATTAAGATATAGTTATAGAAGATTTAATATATGAACTTGGTAATATTCATGTAGTCTAAAAGAGAAATGGAGAAAATTATCCAGGTTTAATATAATTAATTAATTCACTTGGTAATAGTTCAGGTAATAATTAAATTGAAACAAATAATAGTAATGGAAAATGCAATTTAGGGATAGGATCTTCTCAAAGTATATGTAAAAAAATAATCTATAATTATAAGTATCAGTTGAAAATTAGACATAAGATTGTTTTGGAGATCTTTGTAATATCTAATCCAGTGTTGATCTTGGTAATACAGGAGTAAATTAAACTTAATTTGAAGAGAAGAAAAGAAATCCACTTTAGTAATTTGTAAATTAGATTGGTGGAAAAGTAGAATGTAGTATTGATATCAATTTAACTGACAGCATTCAAGAAAATGGTTCAATTAATAGATAAAATCAACTTATTTCAACTCTTGATCTTTTGGGAATGAAAGAATGTGATGAAGAAGTAGAAAATACAATGTGATTTAAATTTTAATTTATTTTTTCTTCATTTCTTATTTTATTACTAAAATATTTGTAAAGAATTATTCTATTTATATATATATTTTTAATTTACTTTATAATTTTATACTTTAACCATAATAATATAAAAATATCTATTATTTGTTATCAAAGATGAGATATCAAATAATTATTTTTTGAATGATTTTAATATGATACTTATTAATGAAATGCTTAATCAAATAGATTCTGGATTTTATTTTACTATTTTAAGAAAATTCATTTATTTAATTCTAGACTATTATTTATTTCTTTATTAATTGAATTGAATAGTTAAAAAAATAATTGTTATTGAATTAATGAAAATGTGAAAGTAATTGAATAACATAAAATTAATATAATAAGTGAATGGATTTTAAAACTCGATTCTAAGGCAGAACTACTACTATGGATAAAAATGGTGTCATAGGAATTATATCAAAAACTTCATAACCAATTAATAAGTATAATGAATAATAAATTATCACAACCAACATGAATATTAATTAAAATCCTCCATCATATTATTTTCAGAAGTTCCAAAGAAATGCTTAATAGGTATTATAATCAGAGACAGATATTGATTTAACACCTTCCACCAGATCTGAATATCCATCTTATAAATTTAGATAAGACTTATAAAAATTGAATTTGGATGAGTATGAAATTGTTGCAATTCCAAAAAAACCTTTAGAAGGTGAAAAACATTTAATGACTCATTCTTTTGTGCCAATAATAAATAAGGGAATTAATAACAGGGCAAGTTCACAAATAAATCAAGGTTAAGAATTGATCAAAACTTAAAACTATTCAAGATATTTGAAGAACGTTAATCCAAATTAGAATGCAAATACTTTTATATAGGCTGGTTATGGAGCACTTAAACAAAAATAGTTATATTTATAGAATCTAAAAAAATGATTGCGACTAAAACTATATATTGTTTTTTAATATCAAAATATTTTATAAGTTTCATAAACTTATTTTAACTTATCTAATAAATTAAATAATAATAATAATTAGTGTAATATGTTGATTATGAAAGACAATTGAATAAGAAATTTCATGCTAATCTATTTCAATCATTGTAATTTGCAAATTATTCATATGGATTCATATCTAAAATGTTGAAATCAGAGATCAAGAGGTTTCTAACTTATTTGCACATCAGATTAAAAAATTATAAATATTATGTAATGCATAGTAAAGACTACTAGTACTGAAGTAAGATGTTATTTTCATGTAAGATGAAACTTATATTACTTTGAAAGGGTGATCATATAAAATAGAAATTAAAGAATTTGAATCAAGAAAATATCATGAAAATTATTGGAGGAGGTAATTTAGATTTAAGTTAAAGAATAATGGGATAAAAATAAATAATCTATTGACATATTGATTAATTAAGAAAAGGAAAAGATGATTTACATGAAGAAAATAGAAGATTATTGATATTATTAAAAGATAATTAAAATTAGGTTGTTTAATCCTTAAAAGAAGAAAATGATAGAATTAGATATAAGTTTAAATGCAATTGGACTGATATCAGAGGAAGCCAAAAGTATAAATGGATAAATAAATATATTACAAATTTGATTATAGACCTAGATGTTAATAAGTTACAGATATTAATTTTTTTCAAGATTAAATTTTGATCAATTAATGAACAATCATGATAATTTTTTAATATTTAATTTATTAATCATGATTCTGAATGAATCAATATTATTTCTTAATTGTTATTAATTTTCTATTTAATTTTTTATAAGTATTTGATCATTAATATTATTATTTAGGATGTAAAATAAATGTTGATAAAAATATAAGCCATTATATATATACATTAATATTGGATTTTATCAAATCTCATTTATTTTAACATTTTCCAATAATAAATTATTTAAGCTTTTAAATATTGTTTTTAGTTCAGCAGGTGTTTTCTAAATTACTGAATTTATACTTTAAAATAATCATCAATTTAATGATTAATTGCTAATCATTCAGACTTATATTTGTGTATATGAAAAGAATTAAACAATCTTAAATGTGATTACCTAATATTTTACATCTTACATTAATTAGTATTTGAAATTATATTCATTATCTAAGTTTTGCAAATATTATGAATTCTCAAAAAGAAGATGGTAGTAATTTATCTATTATTAGTGTTACACAAACTTGAATTTAAGAAAATTATTAAAAATTCTCCAAAAAACAACTTTGAAGAATGCTTGAATCCTCCCTCTTTTAGTGAAAGCTTTTTCTTAGTTAACTCAATCATATAATATAATGACTTAAAAGAAGTTAAGTAGGATTAATTAAATTAATTCTTGGTTGAAAATTGTGAGAAATGGATGGAAACTCAAGAATCAACTTAATACCTATCATATTAGAAGAAATAATAATTAAGAAGAAAATTATCATAGTTTTCTGTTCTTATTTAAATACTTTTCTTTATGAAATATATGATTGATTTTTTGAATGTCATACTCAACTTATTTTGTGGAATATATATCCCTTATCTTAAACTCATAGAGGATTATGAAAATATCAATAATGCACTATACTCTCTAATATTTTTTCATTTACTCATTATCTTTATTTAAAATCTTTATTCATATATACAAATATTCAAAACTTCAAATAAACAAAATCAATAAAGGTTCAATTTATTAAATGAAATTACTCTGAAGAATTTAACTACTATATCAATTTTATTAATATATATTATAGAGAATGTAAGTCAAATTCTTTTAATTACATCATTTTATTACTTCTATATGGGTTATAAGAGGATAGAAATATTTACAATTTTGCTAATTATTAAAAGAAGTAAAATATCAAAATTTATTAAATTTAGGAAAATTATATAAAACTCTAGCTATTTATAAAGTTATTGTTTATTATATTTACTTCTTACATATATTTTCATGCTTTCTTGAAAACTCAACTTATAATCAAGATTTTTTATAAAAATATAAAGAATCCTTAATAATCAATATAAATTTTATAACTTTTTAAGCAAATTACTTTGTTTAAGATTCAACCTTAAAATTTGAAGTAATATTTAATTAAATAATTGCATTAATTCTTATATTATATACAATAGATGTTTTAATTTAGATAAGATCAAATGATGGTTACATAGTAAATTAAATATAATTTGATGTACATGTATTATAATATTACATTTGGAATCATAAGGGATAAATATTAAAAAAATTAAAATTATATTAATAAATCTCTAATAAAGAATTATCATTAAAATAGGTAATTTTTAATATTATTATAAGTTTACATAATAAGAAATTATTAAGAAAATTTACTAATCAATTTTAAAGGACAATTTAAAAGTTCTTAAAATATTTTCAAAATAATTTACAATAAATTTATCTTAAAAATTAAAATCAATTAGAAAATCAAAGGATAAATTAAAATTAGATAAATATGGATTATATTTGATTTTAGAAGGCACAGGATATCTTATATTTGAAAATTCATTAAAAAGTTAAAAAGAAATAGAATCAAAATAATTAACATTTGGATTAATTAATTGTTTTTAGAAAAACATTTCTGAAGTTGAATTAGAAATGGAAGATCATTTTTTATTATTATATATAAGTTCTGAAGATTTTTATTAAAGTCTCACTATTAATTAAGATTTTGTAAAAAAATATTTTATAATTTAAGGAATCTTTTCATTTAATTAAAAATAAAATTATTTTTGAAGGAGAAACAAATCTGATAGACTATAGATGTTGGATTTGTAATGGATTTCATTAGGAAAGAAGATGTTCAATTCTAAAAGTTTAATTGAACTTTACTAACAAGAATGAAAATAATTTTAGATCTAATTTTATAAAAAGATATAAGAATAGAAGATAAAGAGCATTTAAAACATATGTAAAATTTAATATTTATTAAATATCAGAGACTTTACAAATAAAATGAAAGTGCAACTATTGATTAGAGTAATAGTAGCTCAAGTGATAGTGAAGAGTAATTTGAAATATATCCTGATGATGGTAGTGGAAGTCAAAAGCTTACTGAAAAAAACATTATTGTAACAAGTAAAGGAAATATATAAATTCCTGCAATATAAAAAGATGGATATGTAGAATACATTACTGATAAATTATATGAATAATTAAGGAATAGCCACAAGAACATATAATTATAACCATCTATTCACACCAGCAGTTAATAAATAGCAGAAATGTTTAGACCTGATTTTAGAAGCATTCCTTTAAATTCATCTTAGTATAAATTTCAAGAACTTTTAAGTGTTGATGATTTTGACTGTGTTAAAGAATATGCTTATTTTTATCCAGAATTCAACATAAGCTATATTATTTCACTTATACAAAATTGAAAATTATTATATATCAATAAATACTTTAATTAATTAATCTTTTAGTTATTAATTCAAAATACTAATGTTAACAAAACTAAAATTTTAATATATAATTAAAGAATTATCATACCTTATTTTAATTTTAAATTCATAATTACTATATAAGAGAGAAGCTTTTCTTGAATTTTATTTAGTTTCTTAATAAAAGATAATAAGTATTTATGATAATCAATCAATTCATATCGTGTTTATTTAATATTTCTTTTCTTCTGAATTTAACAAATATGTAAAAGAAGAGCCAATTAAAGTATATATATATTATAACCATAATTCTTAATGATATCAAGGTTAAAAAATAAAAGTTACTTAGTATATTAATAAAATAAATAACATTCAATTAAAATATCTAGTTTAGTAATAATTTAATTTTTTAAGGAAATTAGACATAAAAATTATGTTTCTAAAAATTGAATTGTATTTTTATATTTTTCCACTAATTAATCTAGAAATCAATTATGTAAATATTAATAATATCTATTATTAAGATGAGTTAAATTTGAGTGAATATTTAATTGTATTTAAATTAATAATAATTGTTTAAGGTAGTGATCATTATTAAATTGTATTATATGAATTTGAATTGTTTTTGTATTTGATATTTTTATACAAAAAAATATTATTTATATTCAGTTATGAAAAAAGGTGATGCTCTAATAAATTTGAAGAAATACACATCGGAGGAGGATTGTCTATTTTGTTAGAAATATGGAAGAATAACAACAGATAAAATAAATTTTGCCCCGCTCCTTAATAGAGTAAGAAATAATCAAAATGGCATATAGGCTTTGTACACAAAATACTCATAATCTCAATGGAATGGAAGAAAATATGAGGATTTATTTTCCACGAAACCAATATCATGGGTAATTAAATTCAAAGATAGATTGACATTTGATGATTATGATGAGTTTCTTAAAAGGTATTTAAAGGATAAATAATTTGTTTTATAGGTTTTATCCAATGAGTGATCAACCTATGAAATTTGATTAATTGTTAGAATACTATAAGTATCATAAAGATATTCCAAGAATGTTCATGCCAAGAGTATCAGATTTAGCAATCTATTTTTATGAGAAAAAGAAGTAAATAAATATAAGATTTATCAATTAGATAAATAGAGTATAGAAAAATAAAATTCATGCTTGGTATTCCAGTTGAAGATGCTAGTAATTGTACATGTAATCATATCTAAATAATTAGAATATGAGAAGCTTAAAGAAGATATCAAAGTATTGAATAGTATAACTCAGTAAACTCAAGTGTCAAGTCTTTCTGTATTAAGAGAGATATTAAAGTCTAAAGCAAGTGATGAAATTATTGTAAAAATATATCATATATATATATTAGAATATTGATGCAACATGGATGACAATGACTCAATAATAACAATAGAAATCATAATATCCTCCTAATTTGAAATTACTTAAACAATTAATATCCAAAAATACTCAATTTTGTAAAGACAAATAAAATATTTACGCGGCAGGAATAAGTAAAAGAGCTATTTAGAAGTCTCCTTAATAAAAAGGGCATCTTAAAACTTTAAGTAAAGATACTTCACAAAAGTCCTTAGTTTCCTCCAATAAAATTATTAATAGTAGCAATGGAGATACAGATTTATAGAAATTTTTAAAATAATAGATATTAACTGTTAATCATGCAAATCCTTGTCTATTAAGTTCTAAACAATCTGGAAAAGCTAATCACATATCAAATTATTAATCTAAATAAAACAGTATACATTATATTACAAGTACTCGAAGTATATCTTCAGAGTAATTAAAATTAATATAATCATAATAACCTTTAAAATAAAGTAATAGTCCTAATTTAGTGATTCCAACACATAAGAAAAGTTAGACATAAACACATTATACAGAGATAAATTCTCCTAATAAACATTAAAAATAATTTTCAATGAAAATGCATACAAATATGGGATAAGATCTTAAATAATCATTAACTCATACCAAATCTTCTGAAAAACTTTTTAAAATCTATACATCCCAATCATCTGTACCTTTATCAGCAAATATTAATATCAATATTAATTAACTTAATATGAATAATTTAAATATTAAGACTCCATTTTAATAATATAAGGCTATGCTTGAAAGTCCCAAAATTAATTCAAAATAAAAAACATAATCTAATATTGAAACTTAAAGAATTACTAGTGCTCAAAAGAGTGCAAGTTCTTAGAAAAAAACTTAAATCTCAGTATAATAGTTATATGTTTAAAAAATTAAAACAAAAAACAAAACAATGAAAAAATGATTTACTCTGTTAAATTTATAAATAATTAAAATTACTTATTCTTTTTTTTTTTGTTATAAAAATTGATTTTTTATGCACTATTTATAAATTTATTATAATTATATTTCTGTTAAATGCATAGATCATCACATAAACGATAGCGAACTTCCAATACACCAAAAAGATAAAAAGAATAAGATAATAACCCTATACCAAGCTAATAAGTTGCAAAATAAGTTAGAAATGATGAGGCTGTTTAATAATTAAGTGTTATAGACAATCCTAAAAATTAACTTAGAAGATAAGATTCTCAAAATTTTCACTTGAGATCTTCTTAAAATTTAGAGAAATCATATAATTTGAGTATATATCTTATCTAAAATAAGCTGATAGAATTATTTCTCCTGCAAGAAAATTAGATTAATCTCCTAATTTAAGAAAGAAAGAAAACATCAAAATTATTGATTCATATGAAGCTAGATTTGGTAAATTGAGTACAGAAAATCTTTAACTATAAAATCAAATATAAGCTGATCAACAAAAATACAATAAAATGATTAATGAATTAGAAATTCAATTATCAAATCAAACTTATAAATTATAAACAGAATAACATAATATTAAATAATAATAATTGTTATTATAAAAAAAGAATGAAGAGATTTAACTATTAGTCAATGAATTAAAAAAAAATGAAACTAAATTTATATAGCTTTCATAAAATGTATTTATTATTATTTATTAATAAGAATGCTTAAAATATTGATGAAAATTAAAATTTGAAATCCCATATCTAAAATTTAGAATATGAATTATAAAATTTGAAATAATAAGTACAAGATACTCATTTCAAAAGTGCAAGACAAATTGAAGAAACAAAAATAAAAGTTGAAAATGATTGTTCTCATCAAAGTTAAATACAATTAAAGGATATCTAATAATAACATTAATAAATCTTGAGCAAAAAAAATGATTAACTTATATAGGAATAATAAAAATATTCAAAACTCTTAAGTTAATTTGATAATTTAGTAAATGAAAAAAATAAAATGTAATTATTGATAGATGATCTATAAGATGATAAATTAACAATTTAATAATAAATTCATTAATCAAATTAAATGTGTGAAGAACTTAGATTAAAAAATATTAGTTTGACTAAAGATTTATAATTAATTCATGATAAATAAACATAATAAGAATTTTTACATCAAAGATAAATCTAAGAATTAAAATAATATTATGAATAATAATAAATAAATATCTTATAAAGAAGATTAAATGAAACTGAATTAAAACATTCAACAGAAAATTAACAATTAGATTAGATAATAAGAGATTTATAATCATAATTATAACAATCTGAAAATAATTATTAAGTAATGAAAACTGAAAATGCAAAATTATACTCTATAGATTAAGAATAAGAGAAAGAAATCAAAATGTTATAGTAAGAATTAGAAAGAATCAACAAATTCAAAGATTTAGAAATATAATAATTATAAGAAGATCTTTAAAAATTAAAACAATAACTTTTAGAATAATCATCAAAATATTAGACAAAATTACATGAATTGAGCAAATAATAAGTTATTGCTAATGATATCAAGAGTGAATTAGAATTATAAAAGAATGTTACAAAGGAAATTGAAGCTAATATTAGAGAGTAATGGGAAACAGATATTTTAGAATTAAAAAGCTTTCATTAATAATAGATTTAACATATGGAAGAATAAATTAAATACTTAAATGTTGAGAATGATAAATTAACAATCTAAAATCGTAAGAAAGATGAATAATTAAATGAATACAAACTTAATTAATAATTATTAGATAATTCTATAAATGGTTTGAAACATTAATTAAGTGAGACAGAGAAATAAAAATTTAAGGAAATAGAAGATTATTAATTTGAATTGGAGAATTTCAAAAAAGAATTAAAAGAATAAAATATAAAGTTACAATAAGAAAAATAAATAATGGAATAATCATTAAAATAATAAAAGTAGAAAGTAAAAGAATTAGAAACTTTTAAAATTGAATTAGAATTCAGTTCTTCTCAATAGATATAAAATTATTAAGAACAAATTAAATAAAAAGATTGGTAGATCAACTAATTTAATTAAGAGAAATAGAAATTTGATTCTTTATTTAAATCAACAAAAGAAAAATTGATTTAAGCTGAATTTTAAGTAGTAGAATTAAAATAAAGTGCTGATATTTATTTAAAAGAATTAGAAGAATCAACTTAATAAAGAGATCTTGAAAGAAATCAATTTAATTAGAAATTTAGCTTTTAAGAAACAAGAATATCATAATATAAATAAGCAATTAATTAATATGAAATTGAAATTCACAATCAAAATAACTAAATAGATAAATCATAAAAATAACTTGATCATGCTCTGTTAGAATCTTAAAAGAAAATTGAAGAATCAAGAAAGAAAGAATAAAAATTATTAGATTAAATTGCTAATTTAAATTTATAATTGTAATCTAATGAAGATTAATTTATTAAATATTAGGAAGAACATAAGGAATCAAATAAATAAATTGAATAATTGCTTTAAGAAAAAGATTCCTTAATTAAAAGTTTAGAAAATTAAAAGGAAAAATTAGTTGAAGTTAAAAATGAATTAACTGAAGAAATTGAATAATTAAATTAAAAGATTCAAAATTATGCTGAAGGAGAAAATTAAAGATAAGATTGGGAATTTTAAGTTGAAAATGAAAAAGTATATATTATAACATTATATTTAGGCTGTTTTGAATAATGAGATTGAAATATTATAATAAAAATTAGATCAAAAAGAATCAAAATTAAATTAAATATTATAATAATATTCAAATTTGGAAATTCAATTCTAAGATAAAGAAGTATTATATGATTCTCTAAGAAAATAAATTGATTAAAATTATGTACACATTGAAGATTATGATTAATTGAAATAGAAAAACAGCAATTTATTGAATGAGATTCATGAATTAGAGAGCAATTAATTAAAATCAAATAGTGAGAAGCAATCATTGAGAAGATAAGTGGAAAAATTAAAGAGTGATCTAGAAATGAAAGAATAAGAATTTGAATAAACATTTGAATAAATGAATAAAAGAAGAGGGGATAATGAAGATGTATCAAAATTGACAAAAGAAATATAAAGATTAAATTTTGAATTGTCAGATGCTTAAACATTATTGTAAGCAAAAAGTGAACAATTAAATATAATGAGAAGAGAAAATGATGAATAATTAGAACAGTTAAATAGATTGAAAAGACAATTAAATTAAGCATCAGATAAAGAATTAATAAGAAAAATAGATAGATCTGAACATTTAGAAGAAAACTTTTGATTGCTTATATTTAATAATCTTAACATATATAAAAGAATTAATACTAAAATATATATATAAAATGTAGTATTAATTTATTCATTTCCATACAGGTTTACTATTTATGAAAGATTGCATAAAATCATCATCATTTTTCAATTATCCAGGTGAAGGATATCTCCATCCTTTGCTTTTATTAGTTGGAATCAATTATGTTACTTTTGGAATATTATTTCCTAAATATATCAAATTAAATTACCTTTTACAACAGGTGAAAATTAACGATATGGAAAGTGTACTGGTTTTGGAATATTCACAGGTGGTTGAATTTCAGGCTATCTAGAATAATTAAGATTAGTACACATAGGCAGATTTAGGTCTGTCAGTTGGATCTCTTTTTTATTATTTTAATGATTGAGATTTCCCTTATTATTTAAGTTTTTATTCTTAATGTTTTTTTAAACTATCATTTTATTGTCTTTTGATAGTACCACTATTTGGTTTAATAAGTTAATGATTCTCTCTTGAATTCAGACTAGAATTATATTTTTCTAATTCTTCTTTTAGAGTTACATAATTATTAACTGTAACATGGTAAATATTTCCACTTATATTATTTTAACTATTTAATTTAACAGCATTCTTGGTATTAGACGATTTAATTTTTTTTTATGACTTTTTAACTAATGTTTCATCTGCCCAAGTAATTGTTCTAACTCTATTTTCATTCAGATATTAATTAAATAATCTTCTATCTAACCAACAAGAATCAACTGAACTAGATTTTGCATTCATAAATGTATTTCTAAGAAGTTTTTCATCTTCTTCAAGGGGTAGATCTTATTCTTCTTGTGGTTGCCATGAACTTGATAGACCACCTTCACCCTTCTTACTTAGTTTAGACTCCAATTAAGTTAATTGATGATAAAAACTGGCTCTAATTTCAAGATCTGGTCTTCTAGAGTTGAGAAACTCCAAAGTCTTATAAAGTTTCCATTTATATTTTCTCATAAAGTAGGCAGCAAGTGCACAACATGAACGAGATTGTCCTCTTATTGAATGAACCAAAACAGATTCTCCGTTATTATGTGCTTATTCTATAAATTGAAAGATTTCATTAACAGTATCATTTGGAAATAGTATTTACTTATTCATGATAAATAGGATGTACTTTTTCATTTTCTAACCAATTGAATTTCAGATATGTAACACCGTAATTTGCAAATACGCATGGCAATTGTTTAGCTGCACAATTAACAATTCTAGTTACTTTGTTCTGGATGACGAATTCAAGATCCTATTATGTTAAGATTGTATTTTTACTTTAGAGGCTAATTCATCTCCTATGAAAAGACCATCCTTTACTTTAATTGCTCCAATTATCATTATGTTTTAATTAGTAATAATTTTTGAAATTTGAAAAATGGAATTAATGCCTAAATTACATGAAATTCAAAAAGAATTGTAATATTATACTAGATTCTTTTAAGAAAATAAACTCTATCATTCTAGTAAATGGACAGGAGAGTTATTATTAGGATTAACACAAGAAGAAGATTTATAATAATCATAATTTGCAATGTAATTTATACAAAAAAATACAGATTACAAATATTAATTCATTAGAGAATTCGTTCCTGAATATAATGATATCATTTTAGTAGCTAGAAATCTATTTGATTTAAGAGAATTTAAGAAATGTGCATCATTATTATAAAATCTAATCCATAAAAATGAATCAGCAATGTTCCTCTATTATTATTCTTAATATATGTATGGAGAGTTGAGAAAAGAGGAAGAGATGTTTGAGAATGAAAACTCAAAAACAGCAATAAATCCAGAACTTAAATTATTAGAAAGAGAATTATCAAAATTGTACAATCAAAAATAATTAAATTAATTGAATCTATATCTTTATGGATTAATCTTAAAAGATACTATGAGAATAAGAGAAGCAAGAGAAGTATTTATTTAAGTTTTGAATCAATTACCATGTTTTTGGAGTGTTTGGTTAGAATTATGTAAATTGTTAACAGAAGAAGATACTTTAGATGAATTACCAAATCATTGGATGAAATTATTTTGGAGTTCTAATTTTAATTTGGAAAAGTTTAAAAATGCAAATTGTGTAGAATAATTTTAGACATTATTATATTACTTTAGAAATTCTAATTTTATCTTAAATTAAATTGCTAATGCCTATTATAATAATTAAGAATTTGAATTATCACTTGAATGGTTTGAAAGATTACTAAGTATTGATCCATACAGATTTGAAAGTCTAGATACATATTCAAATATATTATATATAAAAGAAAATTAAGGTGAACTAGCAAATTTAGCATTATAATCATTTACAAATAATAAATATGTACCAGAAACTTGTTGTGTTGTTGGAAATTATTATTCTCTTATGAATGAACATGCAAAAGCTATAAATTATTTCCAAAGAGCACTTAAATTAGATAAAGATTGTTTAGCAGCTTGGACTTTGATGGGACATGAGTATTTAGAAATGAAAAATGTTGCTTCTGCAATATAATCATATCGAAATGCAGTTGAAATAGATCCAAAAGATTTCAGAGCCTGGTATGGATTAGGATAAACATATGCATTACAAGGAATGAATCAATATGCTTTATATTATTTTAGTAGAGCAGTTATTAGCAGACCAAAAGATGCTAGAATGTGGAATGCTATGGCAGAATGTTATGATAAAATGGATAAGAAAAATGAATCTATGAAATGTTATGAAAGAGCAAATTAATGCAAAGATAAAGAAGGAATTGCAATTCATTAATTAGCAAAACTGTATGATGCAGTGGTAAGCTATTAAATTTTCTATGGGTTAGGGTAAAACAGATAAGGCATTGTCTGCATTTGAAGAGAGTTTAAAAAGAAAAGATGAAGAATAAATAGTAGATAAAGAATTATCAGAATCATTATTGTATTTGGCAAAAACCTTCTTGAGGAGGGGAGAAAAAGAAAGAGCCATGCAAATGGCTAAAAGACTATATGATTTCAATGGACCAGAGAGAGACGAAGCCAATTTAATAATGAGTTAGTTAAATAAGTGAAAATATATATTATTATTTGATGAATTAGATTTATCATGATTCTCTATTATAGGCTTTGAAAACTCAAATCTTAGTTCCAATAACCTTAGATTGCCGTTATCTCAAAGAGGCTCTAAGCGAAATTTCTAACGAATAACAGTTTTTATAAATAGAAGACTATTTCTTAAACTAAGACCTGATTGATGGAGTAAATAAACGATCAATTAATCTAATGATTGAGTGTATTAAAATACTTCGAAAGTATATGTTTATTGGGTGGAATGTCAGCCCTAAATTTATTGAAGTATTTTTGAATCTAAAAATAGGATATTGTATATGAATTCATTGATTAAAGTGTACAAGAATGGACAGAGCCTGTTTTTTTTGTGTAACGACTTCCAGAAATCAAAGTTTAAATAAAAGGATATTATAAGACATTTTAAGAAAACGCATTCGAGTAATTTATGTTAGTAATATATTAGATTATGTGATACTTTGATCTCCGAATTATGTGATGATTATTTAAATAGTGCATAATTGAATGTATTGTTGAATGAAATTTTGGAATCTCAATTAAAGAGGGTTGCATATGATCTTTTTGAATTTGCTTATCTCGATACATAACTCACAACTGAATTTTTGGATAATCTATAAAAATTGTTTATTGATTTAGTTACTGATTTTTCTAATTATCTAATAGATGTTGCATGTCATGCTAATTATAAAATGCAATAATTAGATAAACTATTGAAAATTTATGGAAGTTTAGCAAATTAAGAAAATTACAAATATATGTAGAAGGAAGTATCATAGAATATTATTGATTATGGTGATATAACATTGGTTGGATAATCATTTTAAGTAAATCAAGAAAAACACTCAGTAATTGTAAGATAAACCATTAAACATTTTTATTATGTAATGGATGAATGTAAACAATTATTTACAGCCAAATGGCATAAAAATTTTGATGAATTAATTAATAATGCTTAATTTAATCTTATTAAACCTCTCCCATAAAATATTTAAGTTATATAAGATTAAGATGATATTTTACTTATGGAATAATGTCATGATATTAAAGTAATTAAATCATAAAAAGTATAAAAAAATGATTTAAAAGGATTAAAAATTCTTGTTAAAGATGAGAAAAATAATAAAGTTTAATAATTTATTTTAAGTTTATCTTATCATTATTTGATGTTTCATAAATTTGAATAAGGTTGGGAATCATTCGATGATGAAAAAGAATAAAATATTCTTTTAGCTAAATTTTTAAATGAATAATTTGATTATCTTCATTGTGGACATCCTGAATTCAAAAAAAGAGTTGCCAGTGAAAAATCTATTGATAGAACTGCTGATGATATTTCTGGATTCAAAAATGCTGTCTTTAAATTCAAAAAAATTAGTGCTCCAAAAAAACCAATTAGATATGGAACTTCTAATAGAGTTATAGGTGGTAAAGCACTTGGAATGGGTATAGGTGTTCTTATTGTTGATTGTCTTGATGAAGATATTCCTTGGGATGATAAATTAAAAAATGCTGGATTTACAGCTATTTCTTTTGGTGTTCTTGGTCTTCTTGCTTCTAGATTGCCCATTGTAGGTATTATCATTTAACAAGTGATTTTGGCCTTAGCTGTTAAATCTATTCTAGCTAATAAAGTTATTAATGATTCTCAAACAGCCAAAAATCTTGGTCATTTGGGTCTAATCATTACTATAGGTGTTGGAATGACAATTGCTGGTAGCATTCTATTTCCAGTTGCATTTTGGGGAGCATTTTTTGGAGGTCTATTAGGTGGTGTTGGTATGGGATTATATTAAAAGTTTTTGATACCTTATTATATGGATAATATTGTAGAAATGATGAACAAAGCTAGTAAATTAATTAGGAAAAATGGTGTTGTCCGATATAAACCATATGCATTATAAAAATTATAAATTGATGATAAATTTTTATCTACTCATAAACCATCTAAGATGCATGATGATTAATATTTCACTTTACTTATGTTTTGTCTAAGTAATGAAATTAGATTGATAAGTACTGCATCATATGCAAAATAATTGGAAAAGTTAAAATAAAAAAATGCTAAAGAATAGGAAAAAGCTGATTTATTGTAAAGATAATGTTAAATAGAAGTTTCATTGAAAGTTTGGAATGATACTTATGATTATCTTAAATCTAATAATGTAAGTTTGGTTGACAATGCTAAATCTTGTGCTGAATTTGTCGATGGTATGCTTACAAATTATAAAGTTGAATGAAAGAATATATATATATAAAATTATGAAGATAATTTATTATTACTTTATAATATACTATTATTATATCATAACTACTTATAATTAATCAAATAATATATATAGTAGCTATATAAATTCACTAAATTATATGAATGTCCAATTGATTGGAGAATCTATTAAACAAATTTAAATTCGCTAATAATTCAAATGAAATAACTGTATTTATTTTATGTTTAAACTTATTTCATATTGGAAATGTAATAATTAATATTTTTAGAAAATTAAGAATATTTAATAATAATTACGTAATTGGTAATAAAAATAAGTTTTATTAATAAAAAAAGAATTAGAGAATAGGAAGATTAAGATTTAACTGCTCATTCTTATTATAAGATTTTAGCATACTTTAGAAATTGTTATAGTTTATTTTTAATTAAATTTTAATGTATAATAATTCCAGAGATCCTCCAAGTTAAATTCTTCTACTTATTCTAACTTAATTGCCTCCATCTTTTCCTTTGACGAATGAGTACTTGCATAAAAAGTTTAATGAGTTTGGAGACATTAAGAAAATACTGATTTTCGAAAGAGGAAAGACAAATAAAGCTTTTGTGGAATTTTATAATTTAAAGAGTGCCATAGCAGCCAGGAAATAATTGAATGGGTTGAACATCCAAGGAGGAAAGTATTAATTTATTTTATAAATAGAATGATAATCCATTACTCTCGACTTAAAAATCTAAATCTCGAAATCGTGGATAATTCAAGAGGAACGGATTATACTTAAGCTAGCAGTAATAGTCAAAATTCGGATTCTATTCTTCATTCTAAAACAGATGATAACATCCGAGTCAACTTAACTAATCATATTAGTCAAAGTTCATCTTCTAGGGCCAACTCAAGTCCAGTTAGAAATGAAGATATCAATCGATTACTTGATTATGATGATGATGATTTCGATATTTGGAAATAAGAGATTCAACTTAATTTGACTGATATGCATCCAGAAATACAAACACTACTAAGATAGAAACAATCTAAATTACTCAGAATTGCATCAGTAGACTCTAAAGTGACTGCAAAGATGATTTATAATGTGTTTTCCAAATTTGGAAATATTGAAGAGATTCTCTACTAGAAACAATAGTAGAAAGCATATGTTAAATTCTAAACCATTAATTAAGCAACCATAGCTAAAGAATATCTCAATAATACTCAATTCTTTGATTCAATAGTAACAATCCCTCATATAATAAATAGTTGCGTATCTATTTTGAACCCTTATAACCTTTATAGCCAACTTCTTTATAAGATGAATATATGATTTATTACAATGAAAACTGTACATAGAAAATTATGCCACTCTCACCTAATCTCATAATCACAGGAGTCTAAGATCCTACGGAAATCTCGGAATTAATTAAAATGTTTGCTAAAATCAAAGGTAATCCTATTTATATTTTTAGAAATTAAAATACATGTAAATAGTCTTCAGTTATCAATGTGTTCAATTGCAGATACGCTCAAAATAATGGCAGTGTTTTCAGATTATGAATTTAAGAATTAGAAATTAAACATCATTCTCAAATGATGATTTATTAAAATATTATATAAAACAAAATGGAAAATCTATAAATAAGTTTCTAGATTCATTTCTAGGCAATTTTTGTTTTTTCTCTCTACTAAGAAATTATTTTATTTAGTAAATTCTATTCCTTAATTGTCTCCAATCCAGAAAGTTATTAGACTCTCTTTAGCATTGAAATATTTAATTTATTTGTAGTAGGCTTTTCTTTTAAAAAAGGAATATCAGAATATTCTTATGATAAATTCTATCTTGGTAATTCAACTGAATAGTTCTGATTCTGTAATTACTATTTTTACTGTCTTAAGATTTGTTATCTAATTAAATTTGAATCAATTTATTATAAGGATATGATATTGTTGCTCTCTGAATGATTGCTTGTTGTTTTTAATTTAAATATTTTACTCTTATCTAATTATCTTTCTATTGGATATAATTCTTCATATCTTTTACCCTTAATAATTTATTTATGATCTGAGAAAGACCTTTGTTCTCTCTCATTTTGATAATCCTATATACTATTATATCTATTATTTGATATTAATTTTTTTGGAGAATTCTCAACTTATTTTTGTTCTTAATATTCCTTTAAGTATTAATCATCATCATCTTCTTATTCTTATTCCATTAAATCAGTAAGAAAATCTTTTGCCAGTGGTAAATAATTTAAATTTTCCCACGTAATGGCAGATTACATTTGTTAAGATATATTTGAATTCTAATCTTGTTCCTTATTGGAATTAGATTAAATCTTAGACTTAGAAGGATCGGGTAGTTTTTCAATAAGTTCCTATAAAGTTGGGTACTTACTTAAAAGTTAAGATTTAGTAAAATGTTTTAATTCAAATTACAATTTGTAAAATGCTTTCTTTTTTCTTTCTATGAGCTTTAATTATTCATTTTATTGTTTCCTTTATAATAAAATTTATTTGATTTATTCATCATTTTTGACCTCTGGATGATATATTTTAAATTGATATTTGATATCTTTAATTCTTTCATATTAATCTTTCATTTAAAATGGTCTTTAGAAAGTTTTCATTTTTGAAACACAAACCTTCCAATTGTCTAATCCTAAATTTGATTAGTATTACCCAAAATCAACTTCTTATTCAACAGCTAAGACATTTAATAATTAAATAAACTAATCAAAATCAAGTTCTTTAGAATGTTTGGCTTGTTTTTTGAATAGCTCTAATAATCTAGCACTATTGCATTTCACTTAAAAATCTCTACAAAAGTGCATCCACTTACCAATAGTAAATATAGATGCTTCATATTATTATCTTTCGAAGCTGGCAAATTATCCCTAAACATATTATTATTTGCAATAGAAGTCAAAAACTTTGTGTAAAATTTCTTTATTTTGCATAATTATAATTATTAATATAATTATTAAGTTCTTCAATCTTTTCATTTTCTGATTATTCTATTCCATTCTCTTTCAAAAATAATTTCATATTTAGTAAAAACTCTATCATATATTAGGAAAATCATCTTAGTTCTTTTTCTTAATTCATTTAAATATATCATACATAGAAAATTAATCTTTAATCATTTTATTCAAATTAACTCCTTTCTAATTTAAATTTCTTTACTTTTTTATTAATTCCTTATCTACTACTTAAGATATCCTGTCTTTAATCTTCAATAATATTCTTACTTTATTTTTATATTCCCATTTTATAAACTGTTTATTAATAGTTCATTAAGAATATGAACTGAAATTTTACAACTAAGCATTCAGTTAATTAAATAATTAAAATATGGAACAAATTTCAGATGAAAAGTTGTATGTTTTAGATCAAAAATAAAAAGATAATTATCCACTCAAAAATTAGATATCTTAAGATTTTGAAGATGATACTCACATTTATCGTATTATTAGATTGGGAAAGGAATCTGTAAAAATTATGCAAGATTTAAAGTGGGAATGTATTATTTATCTTATTATTATATTCTAGAAAGACTTTTAAAAGAGAGAGAATGGAGAAGATTGAAAGTATATTAAAGTCGAGGATGGCTACATTATGCAATTTTTGAAAAGGAACCATACGTTTTGTTATTCAAAAGAAAAATTACAAAAAATAAAAGATCATGAATAAAGTCTGATTTCAATTTTTGTATAATAAATAGTTTCTATTTTATTAAATTTAATATAAATATTCAATTTAATTAATAATAATGTCTAATATTCTAAGGATATGTCCAAAATGTTAAGCAAGTCCAGCCACAATCTAGTGTATTGATTGCTAAGAAAAAATGTGTTATTAATGTGAATAGAATGTACATTCAAAATTGAAATAACATAAAACAGATATCATTCCTTATTCATGTAAAAAAATTATTAAAAAAGAGATGAAACAGATTAATTCGACTTAATTTATCAACAGTGGTATTTAAGACCACTCAAATAGATCATAAGAATTATAGCAAGAACTTAATGAATTAGAATCAATTATTGAAGCCAAAAAAGTATTTCTTGCTAAATAAGAAGAAAAATGGAGTACATAAATCAATTCTCTTGAAACTTAATATGAAAAGAAATTAAAAGAATTTGAAAAAGAAATTGAATCTAATGAAAATTAATTTCAAAATTATTATTCAAGTGGAAATACTACTTTCTAGATTGCTGATATAAAAAAATAAATGGAAACATAAATGCAGTAAGTAATTAATTAATTAATAGATAAGCATGGAAAGAATTAAATGATAAAAAAGCTAAATTATAAGAAAAAGAAACATTACTCAAAGACATGATTTAAACAGAGTAATTTTGTTCTTAAGAAATTGCATAGAAGGAGAAATTAATGAATTAATATAAGGATTTATTATAATAATAATAAGTTGAAAGAGATTTAATAAGTGAGGAAAATTAAAAGATTATGAAATAATTAGAATCAATAAAAAACTTATGTAAAAAAAGTTTGCCTGAGTTTGGTATTAATGTTGATTTTTTGGATAAATTAACTAGAATGAATAAGTTAAAAAATACAAAATAAGTAGAAGAATAAGATGAGGAATATGAAGAAGAAGATTAAAATTAAGAAGAAGAAATGGATGTTGAAGAGAAAGAAAATAATTAAAATAAATAGGAAGAGAATGAAAATTAATAATAGTAAGAGTAAAAATGATTTATATGTAAAAAAACATTCAATTAAAACAAATATTAAATTTTTATTAAAATATAATACAATCACCTATAACCAACAAATAAATTAAATGCTACAACAATTAAACCAATTGAATAGTTTCTTAAGAGTATTGAGATACTTTGATAATCTTAATTTGACTAAGTTATAAATTAATTGATTAGATTGATTAATAAACCATATATTATACCTTCAATTTATTATAATACCTATTTAATAGGTCTAACCATTATAAAAACATGTTTACTAAATAATAATCCTATGTAGACATCTTAAACAGATTTAAAATATCCATAGTAATAAGCAATTAACAATTCAACAATTAAAATAGAATGTAATTTATATAGTTTCCTCATTGTATGTCTATCAATAATTCTACCTTATTTAGTATAGGGACTACGATGCATAACGTAAGTTTAAACATCTTAATTGCATTATTTTTAAATCTAATAAGAAAAATGATTCAAAGTGAGATAGAAGATGATGAAAGTTGGAATAGGCATAATAAATATATTGTCAGATAAAATTGCTGATGAGATTGCAAATATCATAATGGTTTATGATGTACAAGCCAATGCATAAGAGTAAGATAAAATATAAAAATAAACAGCTCTTCCTTAACTTAAGGATTCATACATTGATGAAATGTAACTCTTATCACTTTATTCTAAATGATTAAATAATTTAATGCATGATCTGGATTCATGTGGTCCAATACTAACATGTGCCATTTCCATAGCTTTCCCATCATTTTCTTCTCCTTTGATAAATATAATTTTATCATATAGTTTAAGTAAATTTATCAATTACTCTTTTCTATCAGCATTCCCTCCAATTATAATATTTTTATTTTTAATTTCTTCATAAAGTTTTTATTAATCAACAATTCCTTAGAATTAAAATTTTTATTTCTATTATTCTAACCATTCTAATGTCTTACTTGATTAAATTCTTTCTAATTTTAAATGATCTAAAGTTGGACAAACAAGTCTTCTACTTAAAAACATAAATTTATTTTTCTATTCAAAACTACTATTTAAAAAACTTCCTTCTATACATTTATCATTTACTTCATCTTCTTTCAAAAGATCTGTTTGAATTGCTATTTTTTATGCATCTTCTAATTATAATTGAGTAAAATATCTAATATTTATTTATGATTTACTAAACATTGTCACTTTATCATCTATTTTATCAATAATCATTTCATTCACCTACCCAAGCCAATACAATGATAAATAATCCTATATATAAATACTTCTTTATCTACATTTCTTTATTACATAAATCATAAATAAATTAATCAATTAAAGTAATTAAGATGGTATAGTAATTATTGATAATTATGATAAATATAAAAGAATTTAAGTAATATCAATTAAATAAGTATTTCTGAATAATAAGATTATTAATAAAATAAGTAGACTAATAATACATTATATTCCAATCTTATTCATAAAAGATTCAATCTTAAAAGCAAATGGATTATACATAGAATTCTATTTCAAATAAGTTGTTCTTTATTTTTCTGTTTTTGTGTCTTCTAAAAATGATTATTTGTATTGAATATAATCAGATGATTTCTATCCAACACTGCAAACCAATAATTATCCAGATCCTTTTATTATTTGAGAACCAGCAAAAATAAAATTATCAAACAAACCTAAATTAGGTTATATCTATTCATCATGTATAACATTCTATTCTTTAACTTCATCTATGTTTTTAACCTCTTGAGTGTTAAAAAGATTAGGAAATGGTTACAATACTTCTATTCCATTACAATTTTATAATTTTGTTATTATACCATCACATTATATGAAATCTCCTTGCTTAAATATCAAAATGTCTCCAACAACCAATTTACTATTATGAATTTAAATTGAATCATCTCCATTTCTTAATACATTACATCGCTTTATTAAATGTTTGCTCCTTTCTTTAATATCATTTTAATGTTACACTATTTCTTTATTATACTATTACTTTATCACTCCCTTATATAAAACCATTATAACTAACATTATTATGTAGAATGTATAAACCTATACATTATCATCAAAATATATTATTAAATTAATTGTTGTTATTATCAATAATAACTAAAATAATCTTTCCTTTTAAAATTATTCAATTATTATTTGAAGTACACTTTTTATTGCTATTTGAGGTTTCTCATTCTTACCAAAATATTTCTCTCTCATCTTCAAATCATAATCATTTGTATCATCCAAACCCTACTTTATACAAGTTTTTAAAAAGTTCTATAAACCATAAATACCCCCCAATTCATTTAATTTATCAATTTAAATTTTCAATCTTTTTTCCTTCAAGTCTTTCTCTTGATCCTACTTTGTTAAATTTTTTTAAGCTTCTTTAATTATTTAATTCAGATCAAAGATTTCTAATAATTTATTATATTAAAATCCAAAATAATTATCATCATTTTACTATTATTTATTTCCATCTTTCTTCCATCCTTTTAGTAGTGTTTTCCATTAACCTTTTGCTTCCAAAATCTATTATAATTTATTGGATTCAATTTCTAAAATTTCATCTTTTTTCTAATGCTTATCAAAATCATTCTAATACAAACTCTTAAAGACTTGCATCTCTATCATTTAAGCTTTTTGTTCTTATTCTCTATGATGTTTTAATAAGGGACTGTTTATTAAATTGATCTCATTTTACATACTTTGTTAATTTATTATATTATATCAGAGTTTATTAAATTATTTAATAGATAAATAACTTATTTATGATTGCATGATACATAAATTTCAGTCATATAATAGAATTATTATTCTAGCTAAACTACTAAATAGATGAGAGTCTCAAAATAATTTTAAAACTACATTCAAAAATTATTTATAATAATTCAGTTTCCAAACAGTAACATAGTATATAAGANTATACCATCACATTATATGAAATCTCCTTGCTTAAATATCAAAATGTCTCCAACAACCAATTTACTATTATGAATTTAAATTGAATCATCTCCATTTCTTAATACATTACATCGCTTTATTAAATGTTTGCTCCTTTCTTTAATATCATTTTAATGTTACACTATTTCTTTATTATACTATTACTTTATCACTCCCTTATATAAAACCATTATAACTAACATTATTATGTAGAATGTATAAACCTATACATTATCATCAAAATATATTATTAAATTAATTGTTGTTATTATCAATAATAACTAAAATAATCTTTCCTTTTAAAATTATTCAATTATTATTTGAAGTACACTTTTTATTGCTATTTGAGGTTTCTCATTCTTACCAAAATATTTCTCTCTCATCTTCAAATCATAATCATTTGTATCATCCAAACCCTACTTTATACAAGTTTTTAAAAAGTTCTATAAACCATAAATACCCCCCAATTCATTTAATTTATCAATTTAAATTTTCAATCTTTTTTCCTTCAAGTCTTTCTCTTGATCCTACTTTGTTAAATTTTTTTAAGCTTCTTTAATTATTTAATTCAGATCAAAGATTTCTAATAATTTATTATATTAAAATCCAAAATAATTATCATCATTTTACTATTATTTATTTCCATCTTTCTTCCATCCTTTTAGTAGTGTTTTCCATTAACCTTTTGCTTCCAAAATCTATTATAATTTATTGGATTCAATTTCTAAAATTTCATCTTTTTTCTAATGCTTATCAAAATCATTCTAATACAAACTCTTAAAGACTTGCATCTCTATCATTTAAGCTTTTTGTTCTTATTCTCTATGATGTTTTAATAAGGGACTGTTTATTAAATTGATCTCATTTTACATACTTTGTTAATTTATTATATTATATCAGAGTTTATTAAATTATTTAATAGATAAATAACTTATTTATGATTGCATGATACATAAATTTCAGTCATATAATAGAATTATTATTCTAGCTAAACTACTAAATAGATGAGAGTCTCAAAATAATTTTAAAACTACATTCAAAAATTATTTATAATAATTCAGTTTCCAAACAGTAACATAGTATATAAGATACTGTCAATTTTGGTTTAATGTAATGATTTTTGAGATTGAAACTTTATAATAAAAATAGCTGAATAAATTTAAGTATGCATTATTATTTAGAAGTTAATTAAATTTTATTTAAAATAAAAAATATATGAATTATTTTAGTATGCTTATGTATATATATATGAAAATAAAAATATAAAATATATGTTTAAAATACTTTGGAAAAGAAAAGTAATAGAAGCTTTTTTATTGAAATTGGAGAGATTGTTATATTTTAGTTTTTAAGATAAAATAGTATAGAAATAAAGTAAGTGGTTAGCTATTAAGGTAATGTAAATATCTAATTGATTAAAATTAAGTCTGCTGAATGTAATGTGTTGGTTATATCAAATAAGTAAGGAGTATAAAAATGAATTTATTAGAAAGGATATAATTTATTTAGATTTTGAATTGTATGAATATAAATCAAAGATTTGCTGATTACAGCATTACAATGTATATTAATCAAACTATTATCACAGCACTAAAATCATCCAATAAAATGCAATACATTGAATTATAATTTAATATTAAGTAAATTATACACGTTCTATTTTACTTTATAAATAGTACAAAACCATTAAATATTAAATATACTTCTCTGAGCATTAATGATTTACATTTGATTTTAGTTTTTTAAATTCACTTAACATTAAGTGAATTTTGATTAAATATATTAAAGTTAAAAAAGATGAGTTCATCTGTTGCTAATATTGTGGATAGGGCTATGTTTTATTTATATCAAATATTAGCCAATTAATCATCGATACAATTATCAGATAAATATGAGTAATAGGAACACAAATATACTTCCATAATAGTTTTCCAAAGATATATATCAGAAATCAAAGCTATTTTCCTTTATGCTTACGATTCTAACTCTTATATTATTATTTAACAACAACACTTTGATGTAGATTAATTAACATCTAATTTAAATAAGTACTATGAAGCTATTGAAGACTTTCTAACTCATCTTCTTCATTAACATTAAGAAGTGTGTTTGCATTTCATTAATTATGATCCAGATTTTGTAGAAGAAAAAGTAGAAACTATTTTGCATGCTCTTCGATTGTTAGAATTGCCTTCTCTCCAGAGTAAGATTATAATTTGGATGAATAATCAAAAGTAAGTTCATAAGAAAAATGGTTATTTGATGATTTAATATTCTTTGAACTAATCAGTGCTACTAAAATTTCAGTAGGATATAATTAAAAATCAAGAATGCTATGAAGAATTCACTTTAAAATAGATAAAATAAGTATAAGACACCCATGAAGAATTTATCAAGTAATTAAAATTAAACGAGTAATATGTACAAATGTATAACATATATTCTTTAATAAAAGATATTACATTTATACATGATATACCAAATTCTATCTATTATTTAGCTAAATTCCTTATGAATTTACCTAAATATACCTGTTAAGATACTCTTACAATGATCTCAAAGCTTAAACTATTCAAATAAAATCATGTTTATCAATAAATCTAAAAATAACCCAAATAAAAAAATGACTAATATCAATAAGAGATTTTAACTTAATTAGCACCTTTTAAAGAAGAAAAGAATCGGCATTTTCCTATGAAAGGTCCACATAGCTAGAAGTAATTGTACATTTATTATTATAGATGTAAAGTCTGTTAAAAACAGAATAATCATAAAATTCATAAATCTAGTTTTATTTGTGAAAGCTGTCATAAATACTATAATATAAATATAACACTTTGTACAAATAAATGCTTTAAATAGTTTCACCTCAACCCTGCTTATTATTTAAGAAGAAACAGAAGAAAAAAATAAGCAAAGGTTGAAGAATGACAGTATTTCTTTCTATATATATATATAAATATACAATATAATTACAAAATAGTTATTCTATTTCTTTATTACTTTTTGTAATCTAAATATCATATACTTATTAATAATCTGTGTTTTTAGAAATATTTTATTTAGTTTGAATAATTAAAAAGTATTATTTAAATCAATTTGAAATCCAACTTATTATTATGATAATTAAGAATTATAAATATAATTATAATTTTATTATTGAGTATATCCTTTAAGTGCTTACCAAATTTTCTTCAAATGCTTTATTATTGAATTTTTCATTCTTATTTGAAATAAACTTTATTCTTCTTTTCTCAATCAAAGTTTAGATTTTTTATTTTATTGTAACCTATCCTCTAATACATAATTAATTAGAATTTAGTTTTTCTAATTAAATTCAAAAATATCTGATAATCTATTTTTTCTGTAAAATCCACATTTATCATTTTAAATTTCTGAAGATTTAAGACTATTTCTCTAATGCATTTAATTAATTTTTATTATTTGAAAACCGAATACATTATTCATATAATTAGATAAAAAGTTATTAGAGTAACATAATCAAAATTTAGCTAAGAAATATTAATTAATTTTTTTATTATGATCATTATGGGAATCATAAATAATGAAAAAATTAATTGGTCATAGTGTATTATTTTATTAGAACATTTGTTGAATCTACCAAATAGTTTTCTTTCTATATTTAACAATTTTTTTGATATAATTTAGCATAACCTTAGTAAAGTGCTTGTATTATTCATTATATTTCAGCATAACTATATAAAATTAACAGATCTAAATGATTTTTGTATTTATTGTTAATAAAAGTCAATATAATCTAAGAATTTAGATGTTAGATAATAATTTCTAATTTTAAAAATACAATATTTATTTTGACTTTATATATTGAGTTACTTCATTTATTAAGTATTATATATACAACTATAGAGTAACATATATAATAATAATTATATGTTGATATTATGAAATCTATTAAGTTGAATATTAGTTCCCTTTAGATCTAGTATTATGATTAGAATTTCAACAATTCTACATATAAACTAGTAAAGTTTGAATCCAATCATAAAATTAGTAGTTATATGACTGATGAACAATTATAGTTGTATATAGAATGTAATTCATATTTTAATGAAGAGTTATTACAAGAATTCATAAATTTAGTATAATGATGGCATTTAATTAAATCAATGAGTGATGAAGATTCTAATCAAGTTGTTCTTGCAATCACAAAAGTGGGGTGCATGATTACTTTTTTTATGTTAATTCTAATCGTAGGGAGTCTTCCAATAAGACTTAAAGCATTCAAATCAAACAAGGTACAAGTAAATCATGAAAAGCTAAGAAACTTTTAGCATATATGGGAGCATTTTCTGGAGGTCTATTTCTAGCAGTGGGATTAGTTCATTTATTACCAGAGGCAGCAGAGAATTTTGAATAGTCTTTTGATGATGATGAGGAACATTTTCCATTTGCTTATGCAATATCTATACTTAGTTTTGCATTAATTCTTTTTATTGAAAAAATAATAACAGATCATCATCACGATCATGGACATGATGATGATCTCCATCATCATGGGAGCAATTCTAAAAATACTTAAGTTTAAGATTAAAATAATCTGTTTGTGAATGGAAGTGTAGATGCAGAAGCTTTATTAGAAAAAAAGAATACTGAAGAAACATTTAAGGATGCTCTCAATACTTAAGTATTAAAATTGTCAAATTTTTTAGTTAATTGTAGCAAAGAAAGCATCATTTGTATAAATGGTTAGAAAATCAATTGCATAAGATCCAAAAAATTCAATAGTTTATTAAGATGTAAATACATGGGCTCCTTATATCTTATAAATAGCTGTTGGTATTCATGCAGTTTTTGAAGGATTATCAATTGGTATTTAAGAAGAGGTTTCTTTGTGTATTGGTATAGCATTGGTAGTTTGTTGTCATAAATGGGTAATGAAATATTTGAAATTATATTATAGGCTGAAGGGATGACGTTGGGTCTTGCATTTAGAAAAGCAGGTGTAAATAAGACAACTTCAACATATATGATTATAATATAGGCTATAATGAATCCGATTGGAATAGGGATTGGATGGATTATGGCAGATAAAGGGCCATTATATACTGGAATATTCGTATCAATATCAGTGGGGACATTTATTTACATTTCAACAATGGAAACATTGACTGAAGAATTTTCAATATCATAATATAAATGGGGAAAGTACTTGATTTTTTTGGTTGCCATAGCATTTGTATCAAGTTTATGGTTTATAGAGTAAGCAGTTGGTGGAGATTGAATTGATTTAAATATTAATAATATAATTAAATATTATCATAATTGATTATTAACTTGGAATATCTAAGTATAATTTATTTGAATAATTTATTTAATTATGGATTAGAAACTTAGTGATGCTGAAATAGCACTTGAACAATTCAGACTCAAGAAACTTATCAAAACTTTGAGTTAAGAAAGAACTGCTGGCACAAGTGTTGTGTCTGTATATATTCCTCCAAAAAGAATCATTTCAGACATCACCAATAGACTCAATACCTAATATGCAGAGGCAGCATCTATTAAAGACAAAGCAAATAGAACATCTGTACAAGAAGCTATTTAAGCAGCTATATTAAGTATTTAAATTATTTATTTTAGGGTTAAGACCATACAATAAGGCTCCTAATAATGGATTAGTAGTTTTTTGTGGTATTGTGTAATAAGCAGATGGTAAAGGAGAGAAGAAAATTTCAGTTGTTATTGAACCTTATAGACCTTTAGATTTATCTCTTTATTTTTGTGATCCTCAGTTCCACGTGGAAGAACTTAGAGCTCTTCTAAACATAGATCCACCTTTTGGATTCATTGTTATGGATGGTAATGGATCATTGTTTGCTACAATTCAAGGAAATAGTAAATAAATTATCAAGTCTTTTGATGTTGATTTACCAAAGAAACATAATAAGGGAGGTCAATCTTCAGTCAGATTTGCACGTTTACGTATGGAAAAAAGACATAATTATTTAAGAAAAGTATGTGAAACAGCCACAACTTGTTTCATATCTGAAGATAGACCAAATGTAAAAGGTTTAGTATTGGCAGGTTCAGCTGATTTCAAAAATGATTTAGCTGGAAGTCAATTTTTTGATAAGAGATTATAACCATTGATTATTTCAATTGTAGATATTAATTATGGTGGTGAATAAGGATTGAATTAAGCAGTTTAATTAAGTTAAGAATCTTTGTTAGAAGTGAAATATATTAGAGAAAAGAATTTAGTTGGATAATTCTTTGAAAATATTGATAAAGATACAGGTTTAGTAGTTTATGGTGTTTAAGATACAATGAGAGCTGTGGAATCATAAACAATAAAAACTTTAGTTTGTGTAGATACTCTATAATATTTACGTTTGGAATGTCAAAGTAAATAGACTGAATGTATGATATAAATAATTATATTTAATTAGAAAAAGCTATTAAATATGTGAAAGGTAATGAAGGATATGAGGCTGGTTCTTTAATTGAAGAAAAGAATGGTGAATAATTTGTAATTTTATTAAAAGAGGATTTGGTTGAGCATTTATCTGAGAAATTTAAAGATTATGGATTAGATTTTCAATTAATAACAGATCATAGTGTTGAAGGAAATTAATTTATGAAAGGTTTTAGTGGATTAGGAGGATTTTTAAGATTCAAAATGGATATGGATTATTTAGTGTAATAAGAAGATTGGAAAGATGAAGATGAAGATTTTATTTGATTATCATTATATTTTGTTAAATAAATTAAAAATATGTTTAAGTGATGTATAAATGTTTATATAATATCAAGTATTTTTCTTAGGTTTTCTCATTAATTATTCCATTGTTTTTTAAAATTTTTTAAATTCAACAGTATTTCTATTTTATTAAGAATCTCTCCATGAATTAACAGTATTATTAAACATTAATAATGGTGATTTAATTTCTGTTTTAGTTGGTGTACTCTATCTTACACTAGTTGAAGGACTTTAAGGTCTTGTAGTATAAATAAAGGGATTTGAATTATGTACTTTTGGACTAATGAATTTTGATGAAAGCATATGATCCTTATAAAATTAAAATGAGGACTCAGTTTTATTCATTAAAATTTTGTTGAGATCCATTAAATTATTATATTTAAGTTTAGGTTCAGGTAAATAGAGTTTCTTATTCTCTCTTTCTATTTTCTTAATCTCTTCTTAAAGATTTTGTTTCTCTTTCTTACAAGAGTCTAATTCATGTAATAACTTGGCATTAGTGTCTTGTAAATGCTGAATTTAAGTGGCTAATTCGGAATTCTTTCGTTGTAACTACTGAACCTGGATTTCAAGGTTCTGCTGATGAATTCGATCACAGTTACTTAACATTTGGAAATCTCATCCATCAATCTTATATTACAAGCCATCATCTATTGAAGGATGACTTCATAATTTTGTTCTTCTAAAAAAGATTCCCGAATACTTCTTTCTGTCACTGTCTTGCTATTTAGTCTTGCAAATGATGTTGATGAATCAACTAGATTCTATCCAACTAAAAATTTTTAAAAATATTCAGGTTATGGTACATCACCAAAAGAAGCTCCATTCGATTCTGTATACATTTATTAAATAACTGAATTTATTTTTTTGAATGAGTGAAATCAATGAATCCCTAATTGAAGCTCCTCTAAAGGCCTTACTTGAAGATGTAATAAAATTAATCATCATATAAGGTATTATTCTTTTTGGAAGGCTATCTTGAAGGGTAGAATGATTTGAAGATGATTGAACATTAATTAAAAGACTATGACACATTGGCTGGACTAGTTAAAATAATTGGCAATGTTTTTAAAACTCTGATGAAGAAAGTTGATAAGAAGATCACTTAACTTAAATTGAATGTTAATGATAATAGTTCATATAGAAGTTATCATCCAGAAGAAGAGTATGAGAAATTAGAGTAAATTATCTAAAAGCATGAAGCTGAAATTAGAGGACATATAAGTGTAAGAGTCTCCATTCATATCTAAGATTGAATAATAACTCAAATTGTATAGTGAAACTCTATAACAAAAAATTGAAGATATGGAAAAATAACACAAAGAAACTATTGAATAAATGCATAAACAAATGCATCTATTAAAAAAAGATTTGGGTAAATCCAATGAGAGTTATCGTTTACTCATTAAAGAAAATGAGTAATTAAGAGAATCTGTTGAACATATTCCTAAAACTATCATGCATACTGAAGGAGAAGTCAATGGAAGAATAAAAGAAAAAAAGTAAATTGTTATAAATCTATTAGTTTTGTCATTCAGATCATAGATTAAAGAAGGTTGATTATAGTAGTGAATATCCTACATCTAGTATTAATTTATAATCCTAAAATTCAATGAGACATTCTGCTCCATTTAAATCCTAATCTTAACATCATAAATCAGCAAAATTAAATAATCAGATTTAACATCGTAATTCTTAAGAATAAGATTTATTTATCAAATATAATCAACTCTTAAAATCACATGCTCAATCAATCACTTAAAGATCTCAGATCATTTAAGCAAGCTAATATTTACTTAAAGGAGGATTCACTAATGCTAAAAAATAAAGAAACACACTCAATGTTATATCTGATATTTGTAATGCTTAATTACAGAAATCCTCTCAAAGAACTAAGAGCTAAGGAAATAGTGTAAAAGCAGGAAATACTAATTCATAAAATAATATCAATGCAAGCAACAAATCTACTACTTAAAAAATAATATCAGAGACCTCTAAAACTAATGAAGCTATTTAGAGATTACTTAAACTTAAATGACTAATTTATTTATAAATATATATCTAATAAATATCCATTTATTTTTAGAATATTCAAACATATTTCTTAAATTCTATGTAATTAAACTATAAAAATATTTTAGAAAACTAATTATTATAATAGTCATATATTTTTTAATCCTTAATACCAAACTTCTTTAATTATTTATTAATTAAATGTATTGTCAACCTCTACATATATATTCAATATTTTATTATTGAGTATTTTATAATTTAATATATTTTTTCTACTCATTTTATTTGTATACATTCTATAATTGAAGATTTCAATGGATTAATTTTAATTAATAGAAAATTTGTATTAATATGATTCTATATGAATTTTTTTGTAAAAAATACTTTAGAGTTTAGTTATTTCAAAATTACGAATATTTGTTTCTCATATTTTTAATAATATAATAATATAATTTGAAGTAAAAATGGAATACGGTGATTTTTAGAGATTGCTTTCAGAAGAAGATGAATTAGTTTAAATATCTAGAGCATAATTAGAATAATTAATTCTAAAAAATTAACTACCTGAAACACTTCCTGCTCAAAAAAAATCCTGCAAAAAAATTGTAATATAATAAGCCGCCAAGAAATAAAAACCTTATTAATTTGCAGATGTTCATTATTGGACAATAACTTAATTTGATTGGGATACAAAAGTACTAGAAGCACTAAAGGGAGCATTTGGTAAAGAATAATTTAAGGCAAATTAAAAAGCAATAATAAATTGTGTTTTAGCAGGAAAAGATGTTTTTGTTTGCATGCCTACAGGATATGGAAAAAGTATAACATTCTAAATTCCAGCATTTGTAGAAAATGGTACAATATATGATATAATATTTAGGTGTTTCTATTGTTGTAATGCCGTTGATATCATTGATATTTGATTAAGTACAATATCTAACAAGTCTTGGTATACCATCACTGAATATGAGTGGTTAAAACAGATTGTTAACAGCATAATAAATTCTGGACTAAAAAATAAAGTTAATTTATACTACTCCTGGTATTATTTAAATTCAAACTAGAAAAAATCGAGAAATCTGAATAATTTAAATAAATTTTAGGGGATCTATTCAATAGAAAATTAATCAAAAGATTTGTAATTGATGAAGCACATTGTGTAAGTAAATGGGGAAGAGATTTTAGACCAGATTATTTGAAATTAAGTAATGTTAGAAATGAATATCCAAATATTCCTATTATTGCTTTAACTGCAACTGCTCCAGAAGAAGTTAAAGAAGATATTATTGATGTACTTTAAATAAAAGGTTGCTTATATTTATAATCTTCTTTTAATAGACCTAATCTGGTCTATGAAGTTAGATGTAGAGAAGAATTTAAAAAAGCAGTTTAAGAAATTAAAGAATTTATTAATTAGACTTATCCTAAACAATCTGGTATCATATATTGTTTAACATAATCTGAATGTTAAACTTTATCTTAAAATTTAATATATCATGGTATAGGATCAGACTTCTATCATGCTGGTCTTACTGAAAAGGAAAGACATAGAATTCACAAAAATTGGTTGATGAATGAAGTACAAGTAATAGTTGCAACTGTAGCATTTGGTATGGGAATTGATAAAAAAGATTGTAGATTTGTAATTCATTTTTAAATGCCAAAATCTATTGAAAATTATTATTAAGAGAGTGGTAGAGCAGGTAGAGATGGTAAATAAGCACATTGTCTTCTATTTTACAATAATAATGACTATAAAACTAATTTAGTAAATATTTTATTAAATAAATTTCTAGTATTTAATGGATTAGAATACAGAAATGACTGCTTAAATGAAAAAATATAATATTAAAAAATTAGATTAAATGCAATAATTTTGTTATGATAGAGTATCATGTAGAAGAGTCTTACAATTATCATATTTAGGTGAGAATTTTGATAGAACATTATGTAATAAAAAATGTGATAATTGTTTAAGAGATGATGAAAATGCAGAAAAAATCAATTTAACAACTGAAGCTCTTAAAATTCTTGATTGTTTAGATAAATATCCATTAACAGAAAATCAATTAATTTAATGTTTAAAAGGAGCACAAGATAAAAAGAAATCTAATAATTCATAAAAAAATGTTGAATAGATATTTGGATTATTTAAACATAATCCTCGTAATATAAATCCTTTATTAGATTAATTAAGAGCTTAAAATGCTTTAAGTTAAAAAGTATAATGTTACAATGTTAAAGGTAATTTCAAAAATAAAGTTGTTTACTTAACTCCTAATTCTGGAACATCTTTAAAAAGTGTAATCATATCAATTCCTAGAGAAAAAGACAAGAGATCATCAGTTTTGGATTAAAAGACTAATGATCTATTTAAAAAGTATTTGTCTAAAGAAAATAATAATCAAAATAACAATGGAATAAATTTATAAATAAACTAAAATGTTTTACAAAAAGATTTCATTTGGTAAAATGGAACAAATATTGAAACTGAATAGAAGAAATTATAATATGATAATCAATATGGTTATTGTTTAGAAAATCAATTTAATGATTTACGTGAAAGATTAATGTTAGTTCGTAAGAATATTTATAAAGAAATGACTAATGATGCTTCGAATTAAATAATTAATATTGATTTGGTTTTATCTACTGATGATATTGAAGAATTATGTAAAAAGTTACCAACTACTATGAGTGAATTAAATGATCCATTCATATGCATAGCCTAAGAAATTAAAAAATTACAATATATGAAACATTTTATTGAGGAAGTTGCCCATTTTGTTGATATTGAAGAAATAAATAAATTATTATTTGAAAAACGTATATATTTTATTAATTCTAGCAAAACAAATCGAAACTTAAATTGATTAAGTTTTTGAATTTTAGAAACATATTAGACAAGAAGATGATGTTGTAGATATTACAAACTAAGAATTTATTGGTAATATATAATTTATTAATTTTAGCTAAATAAAAAGAAATTGAAGAATTATTAGTAAATGGTTAAGAACATGATGATTATTTAGATGAAGTATTCAATTTATTTAATTTAGTTATTAAACTTAATTGAAGAAGATGAAAAAAAACAATCTCCAGATATTGTTATCATAGATGATGATTTTATTTAAAATGACTTTTCTTTAAACAAAAAACCATAAATATAATAGGCTTCAAACTTTGAGGCTATTTAATAATAAAATTAAATTTCATAAGATTTAAAATAAACTGATAGAATTGAAAATAATTAACAATCAAAAAAGCTAAAAATTAATCTAAAAAGATCATTTTTATGAATAGTTGATTAATAATTTATATATATTTTTATTTATATCAATAAATATGTACATTAATATAATATTTAATGTAATAACTTTAATAGTTGATATTAATATTAAAATTTAACAAACAAAGATCAATAAAAAAATAAGAATTTTGTATATATAATTTATTAATTGTATATATACATAAATTTTAATAATGGAATTTCTAATAAAAATTAAACTCTTTTTATGACTTCGAAGGTAATAATACGAAAATAGATGGTTTTCATTTTATAGATATTAAGGTTGCTAAATGAAAATATAAATTGAAGTTCTTAATAATTTTTTATCAAGAATTTTTTAATTTGATCAAATAAAATATAAGGAAACCAGATATTTTATTAATTGAGTGATATTGATTATTCTTTATAGAATTATTTAACAATTAATTATATTTCAATTATATCTGAAAATTGATATGAGTAATATTATTAAAATATAATAAAAATTAGAGACAAATCTTAATCAAGATAATCTTTCATTTTTAATATTAAGGTTAAACTTAAATTTAGATTTATGCTTGATTTTAGACTTAAAATTAATTTTAAACTTATTTTTAAACTTAAGCTTAATTTTTCACTTTCTTTTAAACTTAATCTTAATCTTATACTTACTTTTAAACTTAATCTTAAGCTTATATTTATTAATTAGGATTTAAGATTTATAAAATCACTTTAACTACTTTTCTTATGAATCTGAATTTCTTATATAAAAAATTCCATTACTGAATTGTATCTATAACTAATTGAATACATAGTAAAGATGTCATAAAAAACACACAAACCCATCCTGTGCCTTACTGAGTTTTATATGTAAAGAATTTAAGTTCATTATTAAAGGCTAATATGATTATGAAAAAGAGAGTGAAGATTATGCTAACTTCACAGGATAATTGTTTAATATATTCGTTTCTATCTTCTAAAGGCTTAAATATGATTATGAAAAGACCCATTAAAACCTATAGCAATGTGATACTGCATACTTGGAAAAGAGGAAAATCATAAGTAAAAACTAATATAATCATAAATACTAATTTCTTTATTAATAGAATTGAATTATAATATTTTGAAATTGATTTTTTATTTAGTCCTTCAAAAACAGACCCAAATTTTTATTTAACAGAACAACATTTAATTGAGTATTCTTTCATTTCTGATAATTAGATTATAAAATAAATGCTTAACAAATATAATATAGCAGCAATAAGAGCAAAATATGAATTTAAAGAGATGAATCCGTTTTAAGAGTATAATTCCAAAGATTATAGTTAAAGCATAATACTTAATGTGTATTCATAAGCAGTTGCCATATGTAATCTTAAGAGACCACTATAAAAGAATTCTGAAGTTACAATGTAACAAAAATTTATGATAACATATTTGATTGCAAGATAATATATACTGATTTTAATGATCATTGGATTTTCTTCGAAATCTGAATAAAATTTGAATTTAATAGAATAAAATATTTTAGGTATTATCTTCGAAATGCAATATAGTCCCCCAAGAGATATCCAAATAATTATTATCGTTGACATATTGATTAATAATAGAGGGGTTTGATAATCAGTAGATATTTTCTTTGGAATTTTTTTCAATTAATTTTAATCAATGAATGGATCTAAAACATCCATGACTTCAAGTAATATATTTATGAAATTAACTTATGCAAAGCCAAAGAGTTCAAAATAAACTTTCATATTATATGGATACTATATATTTAAATACTTAAAGTAAGATAACATTTAAAGATTATCTAATAAGTTATAAAATACATCAATCCCTCCAAGAAACAAAGAAATCAAACACATTGCACCCAGAAAATACAATAGATATGAATTACTTCGTGTTGTAATCTCAACTTATAGTATTGTTGTTTCTTCGATAAAAATTAATTGTGGTATAATACATTGTATGTCAATATTCTATTGATGGTAACCAAGAAAGGATTAAATTTGAGTAATATTATGAAATTTTATTATAAGGATTTCATCTCTTGAACTTCTAGTAAATGATATATTAATCATAAGAGTTAATATTACCTTACCTGGTTAATCCAATTATTAAATCTATTAAATTAATTCAAATTCCTAATCAATAGATTTAACAGTTTATTCTTTTGAGATTTATAAGGATATATAATCCTTTAATTAAAAGTCATTGTTAATTAATAATTCTACATTATATGATAATTTAAATTGTCTATAAGTTGAATAAAGTTAAGAATTGCCTGCAATTTATAATTGTGGAATTGGATATACAGGAATAATACTAATTCCATTCTAAAAAATATAATAATTTTCTAATTTGCATATTGAATTACATCCATCACCTATTAGATAATTACCATCATCACATTCCTCATCTTCAGTTTTTATTCCATCTCCGCATTTTGAATAACAAATTTGATTTTATCCATCTATATAATAACCCTTTGAAATTTCACAATCAAAACATTTATTATTATTTGTATTTTTTTAAAATCTACAATTTATACAATTAGATGGTTTATTTTTACATTCTAAACAATATCTTGAACATTAAACACATTAATTTTTATCTAAAAAATAACCAGATTGGCATTTAATACAAAACGATTTATTGTTAATTTGATTTAATTCACATTAAATACAATGTGATGGACATTAAAAGCAAATAGATTTTTATAGAATAAAATTAAGACAAGAATAGTATTAATCTATATTAGTATTTGAACATCCATCTCTATTTATTTCATTACCATCATCACATTCTTTTCCATATGTCCAAGTAAAATCAGTTGAATTTTTATATTTACAAACTTTATCATTTTCGAAATAATTATCAATACATAAACATGAATTATCTTTTAAGATTCTAAATAAAGTAGAATCACAAGTTAAACAATATTAAGGATTATTAATACAAGTCAAGCATGTAGAATCACAAGGTAAACAATATTCATCATAAAAATAATATCCTTAATTACATTCACATTTATTTTATTCATTTAATATTAAATTAAGTATAAAAGTACATTCTTTACATTATTCTTAATTTGAACATATTTTACAAGGATAAATACAAGGTTAACATTAAGAATCTAATTCATAATATCCATTTTAACATTAACAAGAATGATTTATGATATTAATTTCATAATTAGATTTACAACTTTAACAAAGATTAGCTGATTCATTACAAGTTTTACAATTATTATTACATTAAAAACATTTATTATCTTGATTAGAATCAACAAAGTAACCTTCTTAACATATTTCACAATTTATTTCATTATTACAATATTCACAATTTTAAATGCATTTTTAACAAGTGTTATTACCATTTAAATAAAATCCTTTATGACATTTATCACAATGATCAATACCTAAACAATTTAAACAATTTTAATGGCAACAGTAATGTTCTTATTTAATAAAATCTGATTTGCATTCACATTAATAATTGCTTATTTATTAATTTGGATCAATACATGTTACACATTAATTTGGTGATTAAATGCATGTTTTGCATGGTAATTAACATTAAGAACAATTTAGTCCATCCATATAGTAATTATCTTTACATTAGCAATTTAAATTAGAATCTACTATTTTATTAATATCCATGCAATTAATGCAACCATTACTATTACATTCATAACAAGGTAATTGACACTAAAGACAAGTTGATAATGTATTAGAATAATATCCAGGTTTACATATACAATTAAAAGAGTCATTCAAAATATGATTCGGATCTTCACATGTTACACATTAATTTGTAGATACTTGACAAGTTTTACATGGTGTCTCACATTAAATACAATTATAATTTGAATCTAATGTCCAACCAGATTCACAAGCACATGCATCACCTGATTGATGGATAACATCATTACAGGTAATACATTTGTTTACTGAATCTATGCAAGTTAAACAAGGTAATTAACACTTTAAACAGTTAACATTATTTGTATCAAATATCCATCCTGTCTTACAAATACAAATATTAGTTGCAAGTTCTAATTCTTAGGTATCATCATTAATACAACTTAAACAAGTTGAAACTGATAATTCACAAGTTTTACAAGGAGGACTACATTTTGAACATGATGAATCAATTTATATAAAACCTTCTAAACATTCACATTTATTTTCTATTGTTTAACTTAATATTAAAGGTAATTGACAACTTTTACAAGTATTAGCAGTATTTTGACAAGTTGTACAAGGAAAAGTACAAGAATTACATTCATCTTATTCATTCAAATATTATCCTTCAAAACAAACGCATTTATAATCAATAACTATTTTATTGCTATCAATACATGATGTACATTGAGTCGCTTAATCTATACAAGTTGAACAAGGTGCTGTACAAGGTAAACATTAAGAATTAAACAAATATCCTACAGTGCAAGAGATGCAATTAGTTTCTGTTGTTTAACAATTTCCACATGAGGCATGACATTCAGAACAATAATTTCCATTTAAATAATAATGATCATTACAGATATCGCATACATAAAATTGATTACATTACTTACACTATGAAGAACAAGGTTTACATATATCACGAGGAAGAGGATCATCATAATCTGTAGTTTTATATCTACCATCATAGCAAGTCGTGCATTAATATGTAGAATCACATATTTTACAATAATCTAAGCAGTTAATGCAGGTTCCTGATGATCCAAATTGTCCATCGCTACAATTCTGAGTTACTAAAAGATATATTGCATTAAATATTACAAGAAACCATCAGCAGTGTGAATATATTATACTTTATAGATCCTAAGGACATAATTGACAGTCTTAAAATGAAAAATAATTAAATGGATTCTCAAATACGTATTTGATTATAACTAATTATTTATTGCTATATTATTCTTTGAAAAAAATAGAATCTTAAGAAATTATTTATAAGCAACTTTTTCATAGATATGATTTATTATCTAATGTCTTTAATATAAATTCGTTTGACTATAGAACCTAAGTAATTAGGTGATATAAAATTCATATATTTAATATCAACAATTGATATAATTATATAATGGAAATTTTCTTATAAATTTTATAATCATATAATACGTTAAAAAATATTTAATTAATATTGAGATTATTATGAAATTAGTAATATTATTTTCTTCCATCCTTCCATATTAATTGCATATGATGTTTTATGACTATAGAAAATACCAGTTCTCTATAAAATATGTAAGATTAAACATTAGAAGAATAATTAAAATATGAAGTCCATAAAATAAAATAGACTTAATTCAATATTAATAAAAACAAATAAAGGATTACTTAGAATGAATGTAGAAAATTTATATTAAAATTTACAATAAATATTGAAATTGAAGATAATTTTATAAATATTATTTAAATTTTGAAAGAAATATCATTAAATAAAAATTTGAATGTTAATTATGATGATGAATATTTAGTGATTTGTGACTGAAGTTAAATAATTATAATATCAAGTATAGAAACTGTCAAGCAACAAAATTCTATATAGTTTAAGTGATTTAATTAATATATATATATATTAAATTATTATAATTATAATGAAACCAATATTTCGTGGAGTCTTAATTATGAAATATACAGATAATTAAGAAGAAGTTACTCTAGATTAACTTAAAGAGTATTTGAAAGAATAAGGAAATTATAATGAAGAAACATTTTCTTAAAATGTAGATATTTTTTAATAGTTGATTGATGATCTCATCTAAAATGATTCAGAGCAAACCTATGAGCAATATGTATTAAATCAATATATTTATTATAGGGTATATCAGCTTAAGAATTACATTAAACATGGTTAACTGAAAAAGATAGAGTATTATCCTATTATATTAAAAAGAGAACATAAGGATAAAAAGTATTACTTTAATTGTATAATATTAGATTGAAAAATTTTAATGGTCAGTTAATAATCAATTCTATTCTAAAAAAGCAAAAAACATAAATAAACCTGTTTGCATTATGAATCTTAAGGTAATACTTTAAAAAAATGTTTAATAGTCTAAAGATGTTGTGAATAAAACTTATAAATTTCATACTTTCGAGATAAATGAAGAGGATTTAAATTATATAGAGGATCAAATGAAAAAAATTGAGTAAACTATTAATGCATTGCTTTTGTGATGAATCATAAAATCAATATTAATAATCTATAATCATTTAATCTTGATACTCTATATCAATTTTGCATTTAATAATAAACTAATAACACAATTATTATTTTACAAACAATATTCTATATTTTATTAGTTGTAATTTAAATTCTTCATGGTTTCTAAAGAAGAAGGATTCTTTGTTTACTATATTAAAAAATCATATAATTGATTTTAGATTTAACTTTTGACTTATAATTTTTAGAGAATAGACATTGATGTATATAATTATTTATTAATAATTCACTCTGATTTGTATTTTGTTTTAACCAAGAATGTGCCAATTCCACAACTAATCAATAACGTTGACCAATAGCAATAAGCAAAAAATATGTCTTCGTAACTGAGAAAAATACTCAGAACAAAGCTGGCCAAAGCAACACATCCTGTTCCAATTGATAAGAGTTAAGAATTTACTTAAAATAATTTGAATTTATTAGGAAAGAAAATGAATATGTAGAATAAGCAAGCACCTAATTATATAAGATTGTATTTTACAAACTGCAAATATTCTATAATATAATTCATATTCCTCTGGACCTGAAAAGTAGATTCCAAAAAATAAATAAAATGAAAAATCAAGTATTGGTTGAATATAATTTAACATAAATAATAAATGTTATAATTTATGCAACTAAATTATTTGGAAATCTTAAAAAAGATTAAGAATAGAATATATTACTTAATCATTAACTATTTGGAATACTTCTCTATTTCATTTTCTAAAAATAATTTTATTAAGATTTTAAGGAAATTTATTAATGAGAATATTATTTTTAAACAATTTTTACTTCTTCTTATCTGATTAATATTTATTAGAATGTCTCAAATGAATTATAGCATTTGTAATCAAAATACTTATAATATTGGATAATTTTATTCATAATTAAATAGAAAGGGATTTCAAGTTATGAATAAAATGTAATTGTAAAGTCTTTCTCAAGGTAGTAATATAAAATATACTTAGAGAAAGTTAAAAAAAAAAGATTTCTGAATTAACAGTGTTATCAAATTATATTGAAATTATTCAATTTGAAAAAGTGGTATAAAATCTTGGATTTGATTTTAAGAATAAATAATATAACATATTTGATTAAAATTCAAATAATCTAACTTAAATGTTCATATTAATAATAACTAATATAAAATGTATTTTTTACAAATATACAATTAAGAAAGATAAATTTCATAATAAAAAATTAGTAATATTAATCCAATTATATTTTAGTGATTATCAATACTGGAGGATTAATTTAATAAAATATTATTTTGAAATTCAAGTTGATGACTTTTTTAACTGATAAATCTTGATTAATTAAGATATTTCAATTTAAATAGAATTGTAAATTTCATATATAGAAAAATATAGAATTGAAGAAATGTTGAATAGTAATTATTTATGATTAGGATGGATAAATTAATCTCAATTTAAGAATTACAACCTTAAATAATTATGATCTTATTAAAAATTTTATTTATTTATTTATATCAGATTTTTACTTTCGATTTTAAATGTTATGTTATCTTCTCTACAAACTATTCATCTTCAGCAGATAATTATTCTTTCTTTAATTCTTGAAATGGTAATTACTCACTCACTTCAAATTATGCTAATTAATTTAAGAAATTTTATTTTGCTAAAGGATTAGCCAACTAATCAACTATTTCTGATTTCTTTTCTCTTAAGAAATCCTTTACTTACATCATCACAAGCTATTTTGAATACTAATCTAATTTCTATTAAGTTTCAGTCAAAGTTTAACCATTATGAGAAATCTCCGATGATTGTTAATTGATTCTAATCATAGGATGGATGAACTATAAATTTTCAATAGCATATTCACTATTTCTATTCAAAATTAGATTAAAAATAAAATATTACTTAGTTTTGTCTATTAATGCGATTACAGTAGTATTAAGTAATTTCACTTTTCTATCCCTGGTTGATTTTTTTCCTATTCTTCCTTCTTTTAAATAGACTTATAGAATAGCCTTAACTGTAGATGGTTTTAATTAAGTTTCTTCAGATACCTATTATCATAAATTATTTATATATATACTTCTTTTAAAGTCTTTCCATTTTTAGTAAGTTCATTAATTATATGAGTTCTTTAATCATGACTAATTTTCTTGTACCTATTGATTTATGTTAAATGTTCTACTTCATATTGCGAGATCCCTTTCGTATTTTTGAGCTACTATTCATTATATTATTGAATTATTAATAATTAATTATGATACCCTCTACTCGAATTTGTATAGCACCAAATTGTTAGGCATCATCCCGATTAATTTAATCTATAAAAGAGCTTGATTATCATAAAGGCCATAGTTCCTCCAGTCTTGGATAACTCACTAAGAAATTAAAGGATGTCATACCTGAATTTCCAATCACTGCAAGTACTAAATAAATTATTGAATCTAAATTTCAAATCATTTAGGAATATTTACAAAAGAAATAAGAAATATATTAGAAGTATAATTTCAAAAATATATTTAATAAAGAAAATGTGAAAAATATGAATTGATTGAGGCAGCATCAAAATTTATCAATTCTGAATACTCCTTATTAAATGAAAGAGCTATAGATTTAATAGTCAAAGCATTACCTAATAACATTTCTGAAACCCTAGAATTACAAACAACTCAATATTGTGAATTACAAATTCAAATTTAAAAAGAATTAGATGATTTATTTCTTTTAATTAGTGCAGATACAAAATAAGAATCTATTTAACCAGTTCAATAAGTTTAATCACCAAAAAAGAAACTATCCTAAATTCAAACTGCAGCCATACCAATTGCAATAACAGAGAAACCCTAATTCATTAAGATGCCATAAGCTTATGATTAACTTTCCAAATTTGAAATTCTCAATCAAAAAGCAAAACATTTAGAAGGATGTATATCTAAAATTTAATACTAGATCCTTCCTTTGTTATGACTAACTAATTACTTAAAGAGGGAAGTTAAATTAGATTTGAAATTGTTAAAATATAAAGTGATTATGTAGGAATAGGTATAGGAGCGATGGAGAGAGCATCAATTGAAAAAAATGGTTTGATTCTTACTGGAGAATAACTTTAAACATAAGGTCATGGTGTATATATGAATTTTAATGATAAATGTATTTATCATAGTGAAATTGAAAATGGAGCAGTTTAAGGAAAAGATAAAGGAATTTCATTTTAAGATGGGGATAAAAGTATTATAAATTATTATTATAGTTCTTTGCACTTATTCATAAGGACAATTGACCTTTTAAAATTTGAAAACAAACTCCTCATATTCAATGAAAATTAATTTAACAGATATTATATTTATTGTTTGGTTAGACTTGAGTGAAATTAAAATTATTTGATTATTTAATCTTCTATAATAAATATCAATATATATTATTTTTACTAAATTAATTATCTTAATATAAAATATAAAGATACATTATTATATTTATATTATCCAAATCAAATTATAATATTAAAACAAACTTCAATTATATTTTGTACTTTTATCATAATAAATTAATTAATCTAAAAGTTTTTCATTAGTAAAATTACAAAATAAATTATTAGAATAGAGAATATAAAAATATTTTATTAGATTATTATAAATAAATGTAAAAATAATCATTAATTCTTTAGTAAAAGGCTCCAAAGAATATAAATGAACTTGATTAAGCATTTAAATTAATAGACTAGAAATTAGATTCTCCAAATTCATAATTATTACTAATGAAAACTAGATTTATATCTATTGATCCTATAATGAGAGTATGGATTTCTGGAGCAAAAACGTAATTTATTATATTCTAAATTTATTAGTTATTTACCTGCATTATAAGAAAATGATATAATACATGCATTTACACTGAGTTCTCCTGTAGATAATTCAAATGATATATATTTTGGTCCTGCTGGATTACAAACTCATTTTTTATATGATAAATCTAATAAATAGAAATAGTTAATAAAAGTTCCAAGATAAATGTTATAAATGATATAAAAATGTGAATTACAAAACTCAAATTTACTTACCATTATATTAAATGGCTTACCAGCATATTATGGATTGATTGACTTTTGTAAGATTTAAAAAGGATAGAGAGTTGTAATATCAGCAGCTGCTGGAGCAACAGGATTATTTTGTATTTAACTTGCATTAAATATGGAATGTGATGTTATAGGATTCACAGGAGATTAAGAAAAAATAATATTCCTATAAAAGTAATTTCCTAATATAAGAATTATAAATTATAAATTAAATAATTGGGATAAGTAAATTGAAAATAATAGTGTTGATTGTTATTTTGATAATGTTGGTGAGTAAATGCTTGAATTAATGATTAAAAAAATGAAGAAAAATGGAAAGATTGCGTTATGTGGATCAATGGGCAGTTCTTCAAATTATAATGAAAGATAAGGATTGAGTAATATTAATTAGATAATTTATAAGTAATTGAAATTGAAGGGTATTACTTTCAATTAAGAATTAAATAAGTAAATATTTCTATTATATTAGAATTCAAGCTGCATTTGGTTATTTATTTTAATAATTTCAATAAAAAAAATTGAGAATCTTTTAAGAAGAATATAATTAATTATATGATACTCCTTTAGCACTTAAACGATTATTTTAAGGTAAAAACATAGGGAAAATTATAGTAAATTTAGATAATTAAGCTAAATTATGATAATATTTTTATGTTTTTAAGTTATTTAATCATTTATATTCAAATTTTGTATAATCTAATAGCAATATAAATAGATACAAATTTGCAGTAAATATATTCAGATACAATGATTGATTATTTTAAGTTGTTTAAAACCTTATAAAGAATTTAAATATATTTAAATAAAATGAATAAGAAGTCTGAATTCTAAAGAGCTAATACAACGAAATAATTAAATATTAGTAAGGAAAATAGTCCTAAGATAATTATATCCCAAAGCACTTCGATAGGTTTTCTCAATGAATAGAGCAATTATTTATCAAAATCACTTGTATATAGTCCAAGTCGGGTAGATTATTCTTTCGATAGAATAATCGAATAAAGTATTCTAGAATAGAGAGTGTATAAATATATTAAATGTAAGTAAAAACTTACCAACGAATGCTAACGACTAAGAACAACCCACCAAAGTGTTCTGTCAAAAATGTTAAAAATAAGTCATCACTAGAATTGAAAAATAATATGGTTGTGGTGCCCTAATTGTTACTTTCTTGATATTAATGATATTCTGGCCATTGTTTTGGATTCCATGCTTTGTTTCAGAATGCAGAGACATAATACATTATTGTCCATCTTGTGAAGAGGTTATTGGATTGAAACCTTATAAACTTTGCAAATGATCAGTATGATTTTTGATTCATATTTACTTGCCATGAATAAAATAATTGAATATATTAGAATATAGATACATTCACTTAATGTATCCGAAATTAATTTTTAAAATGCTATAAAAAATCAATAATTCTAAATTTAGTATTTTTTAAGCTTATCAAAAATAATATATTATTTTAATTCAATTTACTAAACACTTTTGATTTAAAATAATGCTGCAATCATTTAATTAAATTTATTTATTATGTCTAAATTATAATACTTTATTATAAATTATAATATCAAACAAGAATCTCATTAAAATATATTTATTTAATATTAAGATACATTCTATAATAACTAAATTAACAAAAATAATAAATGCAATTAATCAAGTTCATTATTTGTATATATATATATTTTGAAATTATTCAATTATTATTATAATGTATAATATTATAAATAGTTAATTTATATTAATATGTTTTTATATCACAATAAGGATATAAAATAAAATAGTTATAGTAAAGGAATTCCATGATTATCTATTGTTTAAATTGATCATCTTTTTATTGTGATACAATTTATTTTAACAATATTATCATATTTATAATATATTTTAGAATCCAAATCACATGTAAATTTATGTAGAGCAATAAAATTCGACATATTTGAATTGAATTTTAATAAAAATTAATTAAAATGGCTTAACTTAATAAAAGAAAGTAATCTAAATCTTTGGATGATAGTGAAGTAGCAATTATCAAATTAAGTGATAGTATAGGGTGAAGCAGTATAAGGTAGGTGGGTAAAGGAAGAACATTAGAGATTTGTAGAAGCATTGAGTTTACATGGAAAAAATTGGAAGAAAGTAGAAGAATATGTTGGTACAAGAAGTGGAGCATAAATTAGGTATCTTAACAAATGATATCTATTTCAGATCTCATGCTCAGAAATTTTTCAATCGTTTGGAAAAAGAATTTCATTAATAAATTAATGGATTGAAGAGTTCTGAAATCAAAGAAATCTTTGTAAATAAAATGTTTCATTAAAATTCTGAGGAAGAATAAATGTAAATAAAATAGAAGAATAATTTAATTATGGGTATTTACTCATATTTTTATAATCTTATTTTTAGATGTATCCGATGATGAAATCCAAATAAATGTAGAGTCTATGTAATTGGAATCTAATTAATAATAATAATAAATAAAATCACAATTATAATAAGGTATTTTAGATCTTAATTTACCTGATTTGTAAACTCATAATCCTACTAAGGAATAAGTCACAAAATATTAGTAATAATAAATGAAAATACAAAAAAAACTTTAAGATGTATCAGATATCTAACAGTTACCAGATGAACTTCTTAAAGAAATATGTAATTTACATCAAGAAAAAGGATAGATAATGGCAATTTAATAGATACAAAATGCTTATAAATCTATATCAGAAATTGATCAAAATGATGAATAATAAAATCAATAATAATCAAAACAGATAGAATTAAATAATATTAATAATTTGAATAATGACAAAAGTGTAGAATCAAGACCAGGAAATGATGAGTCCTTTTTTCATTTTATCATGTATTCAATATCTCATAAAAAACCAGGGCAAAAATTTCAAAGTATTTAAACAATAGGAAATTGAGTTTATCAGATTTAATAAATGTACCAAAATCTGAATAAGATATCTAATTAGATTCTAATCCATAAAAATCTGATTTAGTATAAGAGGCAGAAGGACAAAGAAGTAGAAAATAATCATTTACTTTTTATAACGATCAAGACGAAGAAAATGAAGCTCGATATTTGAATCTTAAGAAAACTAAAAAAGATTGAGATAAAACTATATAATATAGTCTATTTTATATTTTTTATTTATTTAATGTCTTATGTATAGAATTATTACATTCCATAAAAACACATCATTATGATATATCCAATTTATATTTAAGTAATTTCATAAATCAGATAATTTTTTATTTTTAATCAAGCCTAATTTACTAAATAATTATGAAGATAACTTAAATTATTTTATATTTAAGTTTAAATAATCTTATTACATAAGAGTATAACTTTTTAAAATTTAGGAAAATGTTTCAAATATAAATGAAAGATAAAAATTATTGTAAGATCAATCAAAGATCAATAAATAAATAAGGAGGAAAAGGAAAATCAATAGAAAATAAATCAATTATTTCATTAGTCATAAAATAAAAACATTTCTTTATATCTTGATACACATATTAAGAGTCTAAAATTATTTGTTCATAAATAACCATTAAGTAAAAAGCTGTTTTTGACTCAATAAATACAAAAAATATGCTAATTAAAACTTTCTAGTAATCAAATTTAAAATATTATATAAAATATTTAATTTACTAGACAAAAGTAAAAAATACAACTATTCAATATGCGAAATTTGTTTTTTGTATTTAACTTATAAACAAATTTAATCACAATAAATAATAAATTCAAAAATTAGTATTTTACCAATTAGGTACTTCTCCAATAATTGAGTAAAACAAGAAAATAATAAAGAAAAAGAATGATATTATTTTTAAATAAGGGAAGATTTAGTATTTAAAATTTTATTGTATGGTTTGATAAATATAATATTATATAAAATCATTTTTACAACAAATCAATACGAATATTATAATTATTATTTTAATATAATATTATAATTAATATTAAATATATTTGATTTGCTTTTTAAATAAAATTTGAATTCTCATAATTTTTATAGGATTGAAGAAGAGATAGAATAATTAAAATAAATAGAAATAGATGAAAAGTATATTTTATTTAATACTATGTGTGTTTTAAATTTTCATTTTTAAATTATATTGTTTTATGTTAATATATCACAAGATTTTTCCAACATGGATCTTATATCCAAATTTATTTAATTCCCTATTAATAATTTTAGCTGCATAAGGCAATCTATAAAATGGAATTTGTGGAAATAAATGATGTTCTGTTTAGAATTGCATGCCTCCCATCAACAAATTGGATAACCAATCTATATAAATAAATTCAAAATACCAGTCCAATCATAATTTCTTGAGGTAATGATTTAATGTTCAATAAAAGGTTTATCAATTTTTTTATAGAATTTATATTCTCTTTCATGATTACCAATAAGAATGCATGCACTGAAAAATCCTGCAATATATTGTGCAACCAAATAGATCCAAATTTTTTATTAGAATACAATTATCTAATGGAGCAATACATAGATAATGTCAATTTTGTTATAGGATGCTATGATTGAATCAAACTTCCATCTATAAAGATTGAAATAAACAGTTACTTTAAATAGAGGAATCCATATTACCACATTTAATATGTGTGATCTATGTCATCATCTTTACCAATACGATTTGTGAAGATATGATGGTTGTTGTGTTTGAATTACCACCAATCTGCAGAGAATCCATGAATTATACCATAAGGGATGGACAACTTATATAATAATGGATTTCGATTATGATTTGTTGAGTGTCCTTACCATCTAAATGTTAGATATTATATATATAAAATACCCAGCCACTATCTAAGTTAATGCAATTGTTGGTATAGCAATGTACCAATCAGTTGTGACACCAAGATATAATCCAAGACTTAATCCAAGTAAAAGAAGTATTTCAATAGTCCAATCAGGTTAATAGAGATCTTTGACTTGCTTCTTGATATGAGAATAACGTTTGCTGTCTTCTGATTCCTTAAGATCACTACGCACAACCTTTTAGGATTTTAATATTTTCAATGCCTTCTTGGAATGTAGACATCTAAAATATACAAATAAATATACCTAAAATATTCTGTGATGTCTTATTTCTCATCTTTCATTTTATCGAAGAAGCTTTTTCCTGCAGGGTGTTTAGGAACATATTCAGTACAATCATATTCTTTGTTCTTGTAAATGAATCTGAAAACCTAAAATTTTAAATTAAACTTACTTCTCTATTCTCAGGTGTTTAAATTCCATTATTGTTTGGTTCTGGTAATGGTGACATCTGATATTCTAATAAATTAATAATATCTTTATTAAATTTGTTTAATTTTTTTTCACTCTTTATTATATATATATCATGAATTAGAATAATAATAGATATGAGGAATTAATAAGAGAGTAATATTTTTGAGAATATATTGAAAAAATTCTAATTTTTCTAATATACTAGAGTTGCGTTTAAGAATTACAATAAATTAACAAATATATTTATGAATATTAAAATGTAAAATTAAAAATGGAAGTATGTTCATAAAATTAATAGATGAATTGTTTTTTAGAATGTGTTTAGTACTCAAATATCGAAATAATAATAATAAATTAATAATATTTATTTATTATAATAAATTTATTCATATAATAGATTAATAATGAATTTCAAACAAAATAAAAATAATAATAGATTTTAATTTGTTTATTAGTATTGGTAGATCAATTTAAATATTAATTGGTTAATACAAGTATTCATAAATTGATACAGAATTTGTATTTTAAATAAAAAGTATATATTTTTTGTAATTAAAATAGATAGTTTTTTTATGATTAATTTAGAATGTAAATCGATGATATCATCTGCAAGATTTAGAATGATAGGATTCTTGATAAAACTAGTAATGAAAGAGAGAATAGGTTTAGATTGTAATATTAATATAAAATGATTTGATATCAATCAATGATGTTATAGATTATTAGTCTGTAATTAATATAGATAATGGTTTGAAATAAAGTGAATTATTATTATTATTATTAAGATTTATATAACATAATTAAAAAGTAAAATTTAAGTTTTAAAATAAAAATATATTTCAGTCGGGAAGTGTTATATCATTATATTCATGTCGAAGCGTTTAAAGTCATCATAATTATTGTGATTGAATTGTCTATAAATAATTATAGATATATATCTTATATGAAATAATATGGGTTTTAGTTTTTAATTAATTTATGCTTTATAATAGTATTTTTAAGACTAAGAATTAGAGTCCCAATAATGTAAAAACAAAGTAATAAAAGCGTTAAAGTTCAATTGAGAAACCTAAGAAAGAAAGAATAAAATTGTAATTATCTAGCAAAATTGACTAATTTGAAAAGGAAGCAATATTGAGTATGATAAATTGTAAAAAGAAATCAGTAAATAAAAGACTTGTAATAATATAGTTCAACTTAGAAAACAGAATAAGGAATAGATATAATTGATGATTACTTAATTTTAGATTAATACAATACTAATAAATAATATAAATCCAGATCATTTAGCAATGCATTTCCATCTAATAAAAGTGCAGATAGAAAAGATAATATACTTAATAATAGTAGTAAAAGACAGCAAAATAATAAGTAAAAATATTCTCTTGAAGATGATTTGTGTCTTGATAATTTTCCATAATAATATCATAAAATCAAACTTCTTGGTAAAGGTGGATTCTCTTTAGTTTGGTTGGGAGAACATAAAACCACAAAAATGAGAGTTGCAATTAAATAAATAAAATAATCTAATTCAAATCAAACTTATCTACGTGAAATATGGTTTGGATCTCATTTTTTTAATAATGGGATTCCAAAACCTTAATTTAAATCAATTTTAGGAATTAAAAGTTTAGTATAATATTTAGGATATGATATTGGAAGATCTGATACGTGGATTTTTACAGAAGTATGTGGAGAGAATTTAAAAAATACTCTTTATGATTTGAAAGGATAATAAATAAAAAATGAAATTGTATTCAAAGTAATTAATCATTTCAATATTCAAGATGATCTAAAAACCATTATATATATGTTTAAAATAAGATCTTAATATTCTAAAAAAGATTATCAAAGACCTTGCTCATGCTTTAATATTATTAACTGAGTAACGGATTGTTCATTGCGATCTTAAAACAGAAAATATACTAATTAAAAAATCTAGATGTCTTAATGGATCTTATATTATTACTCAAACAAAATTAATTGATTATGGAAGTAGTTTCATATTTGATGATCTCTCATAATTCTCTATGGCAACTCCTGAATATATGTCTCCAGAAATCTTAAATTATATTTAATATGAAAATGGTAAGGATTATGATATCAAATTATTTGAAGTTTTATAAAATTACTATAAACCTTGGGTAATAGATATATGGTCATTGGGTTGTGTAATTTTAGAAATAGTTTATGGGATCCCTCTCTGGTTGTAAAATAAAATTATTGTTAAATAACATAATAAGGAAGTAATTGAACAAGGCTTATTTGCTGTAAAAAATAGATCTTTTGATCAAATTATTTAAAAATAAGCTTATGTTATTAAAAATCTAGACTATTTTCTAGACAATAATTATTCAGGTATTCCAATTTTATTTATTAAGAGGAATTAAAGTTGATTTAGAAATTAGACTCTTACTACGAGAAATGCTTACTATTAATCCAGATAAAAGAATAGCTCCTCATACTATTATAGAATTTCTTTAACCTAATAAAGGAAGATTAAAAACTGAATGATTTATTATAAATATTTTAGATTGATATCTTCTAAGTAAGAATTTGCTTAATTTTCTAAAAATCAGAATTTATTTATTAATGAATAATATTTTTTATTTTTAGCGATATATCAGTCAATTCTTTACCTAAAATAATTCATTTTGAAATGATGTCGCCTTTATTATTAACTTATTTGAAATTACATTTAAGAAAATTATTCAAGAAGGAATTTTAAAAACTTTATTATTAAACTTCTAATTAAAAATAATAAGAAGATCGATTATATATAATGAGTAAGTGTTACAATTAAGTAGGAATCAAGAAATTAAGTTATACAAATATAAACTTAATTTCATGATTTTATTGAAGAAGAAATTTAAAAATTCAATATATAGGTATCTAACAACCTCTAATTTTTTAAATCAAAGGATTATATTCCCCAAAATAGTTTATACTATTTCCTTTGATTTTCCAGATTTTACGAGGAAGATCTAGATCGATTTTGATTATATAATAAATTAATTTTCAAAAGAAATATTAAATGAAAAAGCAATCAGTATCTACAACTGCAACGCTTCCAATGCCATATTTTAATGTGTATTTCAAAATTCACTATCATACTCAACCAGGAAAAGCAATTTATATTGTAGGAGATTGCAGTATTCTTGGCAATTGGGTCCCTACCAAAGGACTACGACTTTAATGGAATGAAGTATAATTTGAATAGTATTTTAAAACAGAATGATGAGTGGACAATTTGTATAAAAATAGATCGATCTAAATATTCTAAGATTGAGTACAAATTCATAGTTAACAATTATGATAATCCTACTATGAATGATACATTATGGGAACCTGGAGAAAATAGAGTTATCACTAATCATATGATTTAGAATGAGACAAAGTCTGAATATTTTAATTGTATTTACTATAATTAATTATTAAAGGTGAATATTGGGGGTATAGAACAATTAAATTGAAATTAAATTACAATTTACCTGAGAAATAAAGAATGATGGTTATTGGAAGTATTGAGTAATTAGGTTAATGGATTCATCCAGTATTAATGAAATAATAATCTAAAATTGATATATGTAATTTTCGATTCAGTAATATTAGTAAACGGAGAGGCAGTGTAACAATGGTCTATCTCCTTCATAGTAGACTCAATGAATTTTTCATTTAGATATTTTTATGTCATAAGGAATGATGATACAGGTTCAATGATATGGGAAAGAGGTAATGGAAGATATTTGAAATCAAGTGATCTAAGATCCTTTCGATAAGTTTAGGATCAATATGCTAAATCTCCTATCAAAATTAAAACTTAATTATTGACTGCTTGTTAACATTAGAGACTTCAAAAAAAAAAGAATGGATCATTTTGTTCAGAAAAACAATAAAAATGTAATAAAGAAACTAGTATGGGTTATTCATTTTCGGATAAGGAACCTTCGTTTTTTTATTATGAGTCTTTTGGTAGATTAAATAAATTAGATTGGAATTTCGTTGTTCAATTCTCTATTACTCAAATAAATGAAAACATTATTATAGGTCCTTATCCATAAAATGAATAAGATATAATCATCTTGAGTAACTATGGAATCAGAGCTGTTCTAAATTTGTAAACAAGATTGGATGTATATCATAGAGGAGTGGATTGGGATGAAATATTATCTAGTTATAAGAAACACAATATTTATATGAAGAATTTTGAAATCTTTGATATGGATCCTCAGGATTTTGAAAAAAAAATATCTAAAGCTGTATCAATTCTCAAAAAACTAATAAATCAACATGAATTTGTGTACATTCATTGTACTTCAGGAATTGGTAGAGCACCCTCCCTTGCAGTAATATATTTATCATCTGTTCTACAAATTCCATTAAATGAAGCAATAGCTTTTGTGAAAAATAAGAGAGAACATTTTTATATCAATACAAGTATTAATAAATTGTATATATTTATAGATATGTTGAAAAGATCTCTTTAAAAAACAATGATTTTCAATAATGGTCTTGGATATGAAGAGATACCTGAAATTAAAGAATTTTAAATATAAAGCTCTGGCCAAAAGTTAAAATAATAATTTGATTATAATATACTTTATTGAGTAGGAACAAAAATAAGGTTAAATAAATATATCATAATAATAAATTTTTCTTAAAAATGTACTCTGTTTATAAGTCCAAGCTTAATTATAAATTTTAAATAAACATACCATAGATACTTATATATAATGGGTTTCATTTCTAAGTGATTAATCAAAATTATTAACAACAATAAGCTATCATTAAATCTTTAAAAGAAAAGGATAATTGATATATTCCATAAATAATCTAAAGTTATTTTGTCAATAGTGTTTTTTATTATTTTGGAATATATATTCTTATTCTTAATTCTTTTCAACAAATTAGTTTTGCTTTATTTTTTTTTCCAATTATACTTTTTATAATTAATCTCCTTTTTAAAGGATTTTATTTAATTAATAAATATTTTTTTACAAATCTTTTTGAATCCGTTTCTACTTTCATTTTACAGACTAATTAATTTATATTATTGATTGAAAGATATTAAAATTTCTTTAAAATATAATCAATTATTATATACAATAGAATTTTAAGTATTGTTTGAATAAAAGGGTAAATAAAATTAGTATTTTTAACAAAATCCTTGTATTTATTTATTGTAAATATTTAAAATTTATAATTTCATATTCTAAAACCAGATTAATAACTTGCATTTGATTATCCTTACCTAATAAATTGAGTATCTCCTTATTTTAATAGGAGTCCTTTTGGAATGAATTCTCCAACTTATTATAAATGTTCTTGAAGAATACGATTTTTTTCTTCTTCAATAACTTATTATTTATATGCTTCTTCTCTTCTTTTTCTTTCTAATTATTCAAGTTCTCTCTGCTTTTCCATTTGATACATTTCCAATTTCTATTACCATAATTTTTCAACTTCTTTTTTATGTTCAATTTCCTTCATTCTTCGTTTTTATTATCCTAATTGTTCAAGTTTATCATCTTCAGCAAACTTTCTCATCATTTAATCTCTAAAATCTCTTTCCATTTATTATTCTTCCTCCTTCTATTTTTATTTTCTTAATCTTGCTTCTTATTCTGCCTACTACATTTCTCTTTTTTAAAATTCTCTCTTATTAGCTTCATCAATATCTTTTTATCTTTATTAAGCATCATATTATTCTTAATAGAGTTAAAATCTAAGTTCAGTCAACAATTCTGCTTCTTATCTTCTTCTTTCTTCTTCTTCCTTTAATTTTTAAAATATCTTATCTCTAAAAAAATTATTAAGATATATTACTTAGCTGCATTCTCTTCTTATTTTTTAACTTTAATTTCATGAGCTTATCTATCTTTTTCTTTCATAAAATCTAAATATTTTTAATTCTCTTCTCTTTCCCTTTATTTTATTCTAAATATTAATTCTGCTTTTTCTGTTAAAGCATTTTACATATCTGAAAAAGCTATTTTCTTTTTTTTTGCCTAATCCTCTAAAAATCTACGATCCTCATTAATTAATTATTGAATAACTCTATTAACTTATTCCTTCTCATAATTATATTATTCTTTTGCTTCATCTCTTAATTATTCATGTTCTTTCATTTATTTTTATAATGTCTATTGATGATGATGAATTCAAATACATATTTTCCCTCTAGTCTTTATTAAAGTCTATATTTTTCTTTATTTCTTTCTTACTCTTGTTCTCTTTTCAATTTTTCAAGAATTGCAGCTTCAATTTCACTTTCTTATTTCTATTTTGAAAATATAACTGACTATAATTACCAACTCTTAAATTCTTCTCAACTACTATTCAGCTAATTATTAAGTTCTCTCTTTGGTCACATATGCAGTCTAAACTTTTTATTTAAGTAGTTTGATTTCCTCACTCTCAGCACAAATTCTTTCTATTTCTTTTCTTTTTTTCTCTTCTTCAACTTTACGTTTTTATAATTCTCTAGCTAGTTAATCCTCTAAAGAATAAGGATCTGTGATTGGATTTCTATTCGAATTATGAATCATATGATAAATAATTAAAATTATAATATTTCATTTAAAAACACTTGCATGAATAAGTGGAAGTAGATTAGCATTTGGTAAACTTTAATTTCTATTTTTATAATGCTTAATTTTTTATTTATTTGGAGATAATTCTTATAATATTGGTAACTTGTTATTTTCTAATGAGATTTTTGATTATTTTTGAGTTATTACTTCTAATAAACTAACTTCTTCTTAACTTGAGTGTCTATTGTGTCTAATTTTCATTTATGGTTTTCGAATTTGCTATAAAATGCAGTTTTTCATACTTTTTAGTGCTAATCCAATATCATCTTAACTTCTAATTAAGGTTTATTAACATATCCTTTCTCAATTGATTTTTAACTAGTAACATCTTCATAACTCCCATTTACACTTATTATCGATCTAGGATTCGGGCTAGCTTATTATGAATGAAGAGATTTAATTTGCCTTCTATTAACGAAATCATAACAAGCTTTTGGTAACATAGATGTAAAATAATGGTAGTTTTTGGGAAATTTTATTGTTGACAATAATGTATTAGGTTCATTGCTTATTTGTTCAAGTTGTAGTATTTCATCTTACCTCTTTAATATTGAAGGATATTGTAAGAGTTTATCACAATTGGGCCTTAGATTTGGTTGCACCTACAACATTGATCTTATAGCATTTGTGAGATCCTAAGTATATTGTTGAGGTATTCTAGGATAGTATCCACGAATGACTCGCTTATATAAGCCCTACATGTCTTCTGCTTAAAACGGTGGCTTTAAAGCTGCCATTTCATAGATCACACATCCTAAACTCCAGATATCTGATTTTTAATCATAAGGTTGATCTTTCCACACCTCTGGACTTGCATAGAAAGGAGTTCCAGTCTAAGTATAAAGTAAACCTTTCTTAGCCACTTTTGAAACATTCATATCCCCCAATTTCACATCTCCATTTTAAGATAAAAATACATTGGCACTCTTATTATGATAAAAATCTATACTTTTATATCTCTATGTAAGATTTTCAATTCATGTAATGCTTTCAAAGCTCTTACTATTTAGATAAAAATATTCCAAATAGATTACTCATCAAGTTGCTTGTTGTTCTTTTTACTATTCACAATCTTTTGATACAAGTCATTCCCATTAGCAAATTCCATCACTATACTAATATAATCAAATTTTAGTATACCATAATGAATTACTCTGTATATCAATGAAGGCTTCTTTATAACAAATTATATTTGGATGCTTTACAGATGCTAAAAGGCGAACCTCATTCATTGCATTTTACTTCTCTTTATCATTCAAGTTTTGCAATTTTACTTTCTTTAAAGCATATTCATAACCATCTTCCAATCGTTTTACTCTGTAAACAGAAGAGTATGCGCCTTCCCCTATCAATTGTTAGTTTATTTAATGAATACCTAATTTTGAGAGTAATTAAAAATCCTTCAAAGACATTTAGAATTTGATGTATAACTTAAAAAAAATATAAATCCAATTCAATTTTGAAAAAAATCTATATAAAATTGCGTTCATTGTCCTCCACTATACATTACTTTAGCAGTGAATTATAAAGGACTTTTAACCATTTATAACTTTTAAAGTGAAAAATTTAATTTTTCTCCTTATATATGAATATTACCTTAATAAATCTAAATTGCAGCAGCTTCACTAAAAATATTAATACAATTACCTACTTAATCCTAAGTATTATTAAATTGTATTAATTAAATTATTTATTGTGAGCAATATAGGGCCCTTCATTGAAAAGCTACGAGTAATAATACCATCTTAAATGGTAAAGTTGATGTCAATTGGAGAGAATTCCTAAGGACTTTAGGGTTAATATTAAATTTAATTTATCTATTATTAAGGATGAGAAACTTGTTAAGGAGGACCTTATTAAAGAACTTATTAATAAACTTGTTAAGGAGGGGCTTACTAAAATTTCATTTATTAATAGAAATGACTAAACTATGAATCTGGTTAAGATGTTTTGGATGGATTTACTTCAGTAATTAGATTTTATTAGAATTATGGTTATTATTATCTACATTCTATAACTGAATTATTTATGATTCCTGCCTGAATAATTGTTAGTTCGTGATTCATTTTAGATAAAACTATATTTCCACAAAACAATTCAATCTATTCATCGATTTAAAATTATTAATAGAAAAGTGCTAATAATTCATCTAGTGTAAGACTTGAATCAACCTCTAATATATTTTAATTCTATTTGTATTTAATTGTGATATTTCTAAAAAAATTATATCAAAATATTTACATATTAGTTTAAGTTTGATTCTAATAATTATTCATTTAAGTTTATTTGTATAATTATGGATTAAGCTATTAATAATTATTATTTAATTATTGAAAATTGTTTTAATTTACAACTTATTAATTATAATATTGGTTTTATTATTAATTAGGAGGGTATATATTTTATTAATACCCTTAGTTTTATTATATAGGCTATGATAAGTGTTATTAGTTTAATCCAACTTATTATTGTTATACTTAATTTTAATAATTCCTTTATTATTAAGTATTCTAAACTTAGAGATTATTAGAATTCTATTTTTGCAGAGCCTGCACTTGTGTTGAACCAATTTCATTTGAATTAATAAAATCATTAGAATTCATGAAATTTATTTGTTCTTTCAATTCAAACTTACAATTGTTGTTATTCTCTAAAATGCGTTCTAATGGTTATTATGAATCTTTATATAAAACTTAATTCTTTGCTAAAAAGAGTAATTTTAAATTTTTTCCACCTGCATTTCTAAACCAACTAATTTAAATTAATTATAGAAGTACTCTGGATATTGTTCTTCTAGAAATCCATAAAGTTCTGAAACTGTAGTATTTTTATCTAAACAAAGTTGTATAGAGTTTCCAAATGCAATAATTTGCACCGTATATTATTACATTCGATTTCTATTAAAAATATTGATTTTTATTTCTAAATTAATAAAATATGAATTAGGAACTTAATTGAATCAATACATCACAGTTATTAATATTACATATAAAAATATCAGTTGCTCTAAAAAATAATAAAAATTAAATCTTTCTAATTAAATGGAGTAGCATTATTTAGATATTTATTCATAAATAAATTTTTATTTTGTTCAAAATCCTTAAAATGTACAATCATTCTAATATATCGTACACAAATACAAATAATATGAACCGTTAAGAATTGCAAGAGTTTAGAAATTATGTACGCAAAACTGCCTAAGCTAAAATGGATGGAACAGAAGATAAGTAAAGATAAATTGCTAAGACTTTTCATATGGATCACAAAAATTTGATGTCATTAAATTAAAGTCCCTTATAAAGTAAGAAGTTGCATGTCGATCATGATATATCTTAACATCATCACTTAGCATCCTTATCAGATTGGAAGAAATTTGATAGATCTACATCATAAAGTTTTGTTTCTTTTGATGCTAATACTTGGAAAGAAGATCAAAACAGTATGAGATAAAGAAAGCTGCAAACTCCATCTTTGAATGCAGCTGATTTGATCAAAGTGAATCGAACACTTTCAGGATTGAGTACAAAAGAAATCTAAAATCTAAGTGGCCAATATTATCACTAAATTTAAGAATTAGAACACACAGTAAGCTCAATGTTGAGAAGAATAGATTTCATCTAAGCTTCCAAATCCAATTATTGAACATATTAAAATGATTAAATAATAACATTGATAATTATAAATTTATTTCTTAAGTCTAATTATTCATATTTATGTTTAATTTATCTTTAAGAGAATATTAATAGATTATTATTATCAAGAAAATAAGGTTTAATTACATAATATCAAATTAAATAATTTTGGCCTAGTTATAGATAACAAAATATATTAAATAAAAATGATATATTGTAAATATTCAGAATTTATCATTAATAACTTATATAAGTTTTTCAATATCAGATTAGTAATATTTCCAACAATCATCCCAAAATACTTAGACAAAACCCAAATTAGTCTTTAATTCAAAAGAGGCTATGTTACCAATCAAATTTTTGGTTTTCTTTTTATTTTTAACTGCTACTGATTAATCTTAATCAAATTATTTCTCTTTTCCTGCCATACTATTTAATCTTTCAGATGTGTGTTTTGTAAATACAAATTATAATGTAAAAGAACATTTCATTTATTACATACTTACATAATCACGTCTAATCATATCTATTAAAGATATTTTATCATTTTCATCTAATAAATAATCATTTTTATCAAATGTAATATCATATTTCACATCTTTTACTTCTTAAGCTAAAAATCTTTTATTATAAATTCCATTTTCAATTGTTATCCATCCAATTATATTTTAATTAATTAAATTATTTAGAATTATTTAATTAGACCATAATTCATCTAATAATGGATATTATATTTTCAACCTATTCAATTTAAAAACTAAAGTATAATAATTATCATTTAAACAATATGAATGTATTCCAAATATTACTGGTAAAAATATACCAAGAGTACACATAAATTCTTAATCGAATCTTTACCATAATAATTATATTCCACCTCCTTTTGTTAATTATCTCTTTTAATCTCGAGTAATAAATTCTATAGAAATCATATTGTCATGAGTAATAAATAGAGTACCTTCTTAAGGTAATTGTTATGATCTTAAATTATCAATATTAAGAGAAATATTTAAAGAATTTTTAATATGTTTTAAATTTATTCCAAAATATTCCCTTAATTTAAAACTTAAGATATCTTGACCATAAGTTGTTATCAATATATCATTATTATTATTATATTTTATTGGAATTTTACGTTATTAAATTTTATTGAATTAGTAATAAGTCATATCACTATTTTAACAATATTAAAAATCTTCTAACATCTCATAACTTGCTTACAATAACAATAATAATTCATTATGTCCTTTATGTTCTATAACATTCTATATCTCAATTTATTAAATAAGTGTAGATTCTAAAGGCCTTTAATGTATAATATCTTATTTTTCTTAGGATTATATAAATTAGTTATTATTTTATTATTGATACAATTTAATTCCAATAATATCTTGTCCTTATGTTTAAATAGTAATATTCTGATAACATTTAGAATCCTCACGTTGCTCATTCTTTTTATCAAGCAGTCTCTCTTATAACACACAGGTTTTAGGTCTAAACAAATACTTTACATGTCGATGCATAATTGGCTCATGTAATCTAATAAATGTCATAATCATAGTTATAGCTCCTTAACTAATTGACAATATTATAATCAATTATTCCTGATTCTAATTATAATTCAAAATTATTGGCTAATATAATTAAAACAATTGAATACAATTAACAATCTTGATATTATGAATAGCCAAGCATAACTTATATTCACTTTTATGTAGGTATGTAAGTATTTCCTAATAAATTTATCCATAGTAGTCTTGTATATTTCTGTTTACAATATTTCAGGTGAATTTCTTTATAATTTTATCAATATTATTGATAAGATTATCATCAAAATGCCTCTTAAGTAGACTAAAAAAACAGAAAACACATTCTCAGATTCTAAATTGCAATCTCCTAAAATACTTGTCACTTTATAAAAAATACCTAACACCTAAATCTTGGCTTATCAAAACCAATAAAATAGATATAATTATTATTAATGTTAAGCCTAACATGAATTCTTCTTTCAAATTAAAACTATTGTAATTCTTTACATAAATTTAACAATATAGATTAGCAATTAATAAGATGTTTAATATTACATATAACATTGATGCAATTAAGGATGGTACAGCAATCAAACTACAACTAGTCTCAGTAATTAAAATTGTATATTTTGAATGCTCTTACTCACCCACAACATAAAATTGACTAAAAATCATAAACATACTTAAAATCTATAATATGAAATTGTCATAAATACTGTTTGTGATTATAATATGCCATATAATATCTATCCAGGATTATGTCTTAATCGTTTGATCTTCTTTTGAACAATCATAAGAATCACACTTAACACTATAGTAATTCCGTATATTGAGATCAAAGATATAATTTTTAACATTTAATAATATTTTAAATATGAATTTTTGAGAGAATCAACTAAAATTTATTGAATTTGCTTTTATCAAATAAGAAATCTATATATACACTTTAATAATTAAATAAAATCTAAATTGAATATATAGTTAATATATTTTATATACTCTTCTAAAGTTTATTTGAATGTTCTTTTAAATTTAAATATCTAGATTAATTAAGTAATATATACTGTCTATGATAAAACTAAATAATTTTATATCAAAATTATAATATATTTATAAATATCTTTATATATTATAAGTAAAAGATTTTAACTTGTACTTCTTTAATCTAATCATGAATTTCTAATAATGAAATTTACAATTATTTTTAATTTTATTAATAGATGGCAAAAATATTCAAGTATCATGCTATATATACTTATTCTAAATATTTTTATATTCCTAATTAATTAAAATTGCTAGAATATGAATTTTTTGACTTTAAATAGACTAATATATATGATATATTTATAAATATTAGATACTTGAAATAATTATCTACATTTCTATATGATGATAATTATTATTGATAGATTTATTAATAATAAAATACTTATTTATTTGATTTGAACCAATAATATATCATTTTGCATCAACTTTATCCATCATTTCTACAAACTCAAGATAATCTATTTCTCCATCCTTATTCTAGTCTGCTTCATTAATTAAGTTTTGCCATAATGATGGATCAGATTATTAATATATTTCATTATCTTATTAAAAATAATATAAGATACCTCCCAAACATTTCTTTAATTCTTCACTGCTAATTTTACCACTTCCATCTACATCAAACATCTTGAAGGCTTATAATAGTTTTTCCTTTTTCATATACGTGTTTCTCTCCATTGTTGCAGCAATAAACTCTAATCACATTAATATATATATTTCTTACCAGTATAATTAATAACTCCATTGCAATCAGTATCTATAGCCTTCAAAATTTAAATTACTTCACCCCAACTTTCCTATTAGAAATTATGCAACCCCTTTTTAACTTCTTCTAGTGTTAAAATTCCATCTCCATTTTGATCTAACTCTTTAAATAATTTTCCTAATTCTTGAATTTCTACCTCTGATAATTATGATGCAATATAAGTTAATGTTACCTATTTTCAATTTTTTGAATAATATTACTTTCTTTAATTTATTGCTAGCACTAAATCCTTTGAATGATTTATAATCTAAAGTTAATATAGAATGAGGAATTTCTGCTGAAGTCAACCAAGGATGCTATAATACTTATCCAGCTGTTAATCTTTGATCAGGTTTGGTTAACATCTTTTAAATCAAATCTTTAACATCATTTGAAACTCCATTAAATTAAGGAATATCTAATTTATAAACACCTGATTTAACAGCCTTCAAGATTTCAGCATCAGTTCTTCCATTAAAAGGAGGTAATCCTGTCAATAAAATGTATAAAATAACACCAGCTGACCAAACATCACAAAGTTCATCATATTTTCCATCTAAAACTTCTGGTGAAATATAATAAGGCTATTTTAATTATAATAATCATACAGTTCCTGCCTTTGATTTCATCTATGTCTTTCCATCTACTGTTTTGTAATGACTATCATGAAATAGTACACTAAGTCCAAAATCAATGACTTTTATAGGGGCATCTATTGTTTTGTTTAGGAGTAAAAAATTTTCTGGTTTAAGATCTCTATGACATATTCCATGAGTGTGACAATAATGAATTGCTTACATGATTTATAAAAAGGTTTATTGAGCTTCTTTTTCTGTGAAATGGCCTTTCTCAATGATTGTATCAAATAACTCTCCACCAGTACAAATTCTTATAATATATGATAGATATTTATACTCCATTACTAAATAGACATTTCTAGAATCTTCAAAACTCTCAAATAATTTAATTATATTTGGATGATCCTATATTGATTTTAAAATTCAATACTAAATTTTGCATTATTTCTATTTCTCTTTTAAATCTATCTGGAGATGCAATTAACTTTTTAGGAATCACCTTTATTGCCCTTTCTAATCCTAATTCTTTATGTTTAGCTTTGAAAACTCTGCCATAGGCTCCAGAACCTAATTCCTAGAACTTTCATTGATTTACTTTACTTTTTTATCAGATTCATAAATATCTTCAATCCTTTCTGGTCTTGACTTAATTAGCCATTATTTTTTTATCAACAATTAGTTATCCATTTGTAATGTATTTACTAAAGATATTTAATTTATTAAATTAATATGCTATATTCAATAAGAATAACATATAAAATTTAATTATTTATGATGATTGAATATTTATTAGTAAAATAATGAAAATCATGTTGATTTAATAATTAATAATAATAAATATATGGAGGATGTGCTTAAATTTTATAGTCTTAAGGAATCAATCAATTAATTAAAGCAATAAACCTACATCAGAACCTTTCCATAATTATATATTAGCAAAAATAAATTAACCTCAATAACTTCATATGATAACCCTATGAAGTATAAGCCCATGCCTTTTGAGATAGTTTCACTAAGTGAAGTGAATGATTAAAAAGATGAATCTTCAATCATACAAAAAGAATAAACATTAATATTAAATAATGAATTTTAAACTCCATTAGAAGTTAATTTATAACTAAAAGCTAAGAAATGTATGAGTTTGTTAGAAGGACAAAGTAAACATGAGAAGGAATAATAAATAATGAGTATATTAGAAATAATAAAATCCATATTAAATGGAAAAAAAGAACGGACAAATTAAAGATTAAAGAAAAAACTAATATAAACTAATAAATCTCCTTAATAAGCAATATAATTTCTCAAATCATTGCGTAAAAATAGAATCATGTGTTGAAATCATGAACTTGAACTATAAATATTGTGTATTAATGTTAGAAAACATACTTTATTATCATAAAAATTCTAAATTAGAAATATTCCATAATTAATCAATTTTGAAATTCATTAAATTCGATTTTATAAACTCTTTCAAATATAATAAAAGTTTTATTTCTTTTAATTTAAATATCCTTAAAATTATCATTATTTTTTAATATTAATATTAAGATTAAAATAAAATATATAAATTTTTAATTAAATATATTTTTCTTTAAAAAGGGATTAGACAATAATAATATAAGTATATAAAATTAATAATAATTATTAATTTTCTTAAAAAGACATAAAATACATTATTTTTGATTTATTATTATATTATTATCTTTCTTTTTTTTTCTTAATAAAAATTTAAAGTAGTAAATTTTTTAAATATTTTATTTAGTACATTTATTCTTTTAATTTGATACAATAAGCATTTTTAAATAATAAATTATTATAGAATCATTTTGGGCTTTCTGCTTTGGTTTCATCAAACTATTACAATGATTAGAAATTGCTTGAACTTTATCGTTTATTCTGAAGTGAAAATTAATCATTAATAAGTGATGAGAACAATTTCTTCATATATTTACTTCCATAATTTTATGCTGTAGAATAATCATCTTACTTAAATTTAGAACTTGAGTTTCCTGATGAATCTCCTTATTAAGATACTTTTCCTCTGTATGAATCAAATTCTTATGCTACTCTTTAGAATATGGTTGATGATTTCTTCATTTGTAATTTCTTGATAGTTTAATCAACTTGATTTTAAAGTTCATTTGTATCTTATATTTTTACCAAATGGTAATATGGCAATTTCACTAATCTGATATAAAATATTATGTTAACATATAAATTCTTGTATTATTTTTCAAATTAGTCACTCAACAAGAAAGTATCTCCTTTAATATTAACAATATTCTCTAGATTCTTGAGTATCTATATTGGATTATATATATCATATAATTCAGCCTCAATTGGATTTTCTTCTTAATAGAATGTAATTTATATTTTTGGAATAAATGATTATCCACAACCCTAATTTATTTTTAAACACTCAATAGTATTTTCATATTGACTCTTTCTATATGAATCTAATATCTCTTCAAAATGCAATTTCCTTTTGCAAATTGGACAATTAGAATGTAGAGAATATACAGAATTAGTATAAGAATTTTGTCCATCATTTCTTTATAATAAGATTACTTCTTCTTAGAGTACTCCTGAAATTTATTATTGATCACTTGGTAATCCTTTTTAATTCATAGCTTAGGCTACAGCTTAGAAATAAACACCATGAGTAGCTGGTGATGCTTCTAATTTAATTTCTTTCATTAACTTAACTAAATATAAGGCTTTTGAATCCATTTAAAAATATCCACATGATTCTAAAACATATCTAAATAATTTTTCAGTTAAATTTAAATGTTTCTCTCTCATATATTCTAATACTAAAATTGCTACTTCAGTCATCTATTGAAATATTTTGTTATCTTAATTATTTCTTACATTAACAATAAAAATTAAAAACCATATCTTGTACATTGTTTCAAGCATATACTTTGGCCATTTCTATTAATCTAATTAAGGAATTTCTTCTTATAAAATTTCTTAATTAATTTCTTAATCATCTGTTTAATCATCTTTCATAAGATCATGATTCAATTATGGAAATTTATCATATTTATAAAGTGAATCTGTTAATTAATCTTCATCAGGTACTTAAATTTCAATAATTTATTTAGGGAGCATGAATTTCAATTTATAATCCTTACTATCCATATATTTATCAAAAAATTAGTATTATGATTCATTTTCACTGAATTTTGTACGTTCTTAAATAAAATATTGAAATATTCTTGTTTCCATAAATTATTATATAAATTTATCTTTTTTCCAATGATCATAATAACCTTGAACATTAAAAATCTCAGTAAAATCACCTTCATTATTTGAATTAGCAATAATGTATTTTTTATATTGCTTCATTAGAATACTATTACATTCTAAAAATGCATTTCTTATTTAATACCAATCTATATTTTTATTGAATTCAGGATCATAATTGTCATCATCCATATAAATATGATAAGCTTAATCTACTCTTTTTAAATATTATTTTGAATAATCATCATTAAATAAATTATTAAAAGACTTTAAACTAGATTTTAATTTCTTTAAAGCTTTTTCAGGTATTGGAGTTAAATTTTCACAATTTACAATAAAATTAGTATCCAAATATACATACAAACTATCAACTTATGTATGCTGATTTTATTCAATTATATTTTTTTAACTATATCCAATTAAGAAAGGTACAGGAGCTTCAATATATCCTCTCAAACTATCAGGTAAAACTGGTATTAAAATAGATGTAAATTAAAATGGAAATAACAATTATAAAAATGCATCTATTACTAATCCAGGAACTGATAAATGATTTGATATAAAATGAATCTTTTTTTCCAATAAAATTGCACAGTATATATTTATGATTCTATTAATATCCAATAATCTAAATAGACATTCCAAAGCCTCATTGTATCCAACAGGATATTTGTAATTAGTATAAAAACAGATATCATAAGATGGTAATACATATTTTAAGCATATATTTTCTTATTCAAAAATCTGTTAAGGAAATTTTATTTTATTTATGATATTACATATTGTACTCTCAATTGGAATATTGTTTTTAGAAAGTGAACATCTGTAAATATATTTGATTAATTCTCTCATTTATTCAGGATAATTATATGAACTCAATAAACATAATGATTTTGGATAACAAATTAATTATTGTTTATCTATATGTCCTAATTACTCTATAATATCTTTAGGTATGATTTCATGGAAAATCAAACAAATACAATAAGTTCTTTTTCCAGTTTCTGATGTTAATACAAAGTTAAAGATTTATTAACCTTTAGAAATAGGATCTATTTCACTTTTTTCTATATAAATGCCTTATGGAAAACAAAACTAATATTTATTATAAATTATAATTACCATAGGTATCATAGATATCATATGAGATAATGGACTATCATGATGATCTACTAGAGGATATCTATCAATTATTTTTGGCATGTATGCTACTTTAAATGGGGACTATTCTTAAATAAATTTTATAGTTTAGTAGGTTTACTTTATTTGAATATGATAAAACGAAAATTGCTTAATGGAAATTGAAGTGCATGAAAATCTTTTGGAATTACTAGTCTCATGTCACTGAATGAAGATGTGTATTTCTTCTTATCTATTTTATCTGCCAATATCATTTGGATGTCACAAATAGGTTACTAATAATTGTTTTAGTTTTATGTTTTATAACATAGAACTAAATGATAATTTTTTTTTTATTATTGATCTGTGTATTAAGAGATGTCATAATATCCTTAATATAAGGAATACCCATTATTGATTCCCTTAAATTGATGTGTGATCTAATCGAATTTACGTTTGATTGGCACAGGATAGATGTCTTCTGTTAATGGTATTTTCTGTATTATTATAAAACTCAAATACTAATTCATTATCTTCAACTTTTAATTCTTTTATTGTTAGAGATGTAATTGGTTAAGAATTCTGATCATATATGCATCTCAACCACACTTGTTTATTACCACAAAGATCAACCCATTTTTCGTTATCTTTTATTGGAATATCCTCACTCAATTGACTTATCTATATTTCCAAAGATGTCAAAGTATGTTCTATGTATGAGAATGATATTTTGTACATTTTTAGAATTCTGTATTCTGAGGTATTAATTTATTTCCTGTTCCTACAACACAAAAATAATTTATTATTCTTTTTGAAATATTCATAATTATATTTATATTTTTCATTTCTAAATATGCATAAATATATTCATCAATATATTCTACATTTTCAATATTTATTATTAAATTATACTATACATTATTAATAATGAATATTAAAATAGTTTATAACACAAAAACCCACAAAATCTCATCAAAATATTAAACCCTAGAAGAAATCAAAAATGCAATACAAATCTTATACCCTAAATAATTAAATAATGGATTTGATCTATATGTAACATTGCATCCCTGTAAACTTTTTAAATATTAATAGAAATTGAACCATTTAAAATTTTGAATTAAACATGTTTTAATAGAATCAAAGATATCTAAATTCAGATGAATTGGCCATCAATTAAATTTTTAGTTAAAGATTCCACAAATCCTAATCTAACCAATGATGATCTTTTAGTATTAAATTAGAGTGTAATTGTTAAATCTACTATTTAATTATCTACAGTCATGAATCTACTTTAATAACCTCAATAATTATAAAAAGATGAGTTCTTAAATTAGAAATAATAATAATAATAAATTATTATTGAAGATAATAAGCCTTAACTATAACAAAATTTAAATTAAGAGTATATATATTTTAATATGTAAATTTAGAATTATCAAACAAATTGAAAAGTAAGAGTTTTAAGGATTAGATTATTATTCTGAAGAATTTAAATAATTTGTCATTGAAAGAATTGATAAAAGATTGTAATATCATGGAATATTATAAAATGATAATGTAAAGCCTTTATTAGCAAGATATAAAATTGAAATAATTAAATATGACTATATGATATCTAAAAATGTAAATGAAAAATTTGAATGGTAAATTGAAATGGTCAATAAAGGTGATATTATTTGGTAAAAAAATTAAGTAGCACTTTTGGGACTTAATGGACATTTTAAAAATGTTAAAATTGAAGTAAATTAATAAATTAATAATTTAATTATAAGTTAGAAAATGATATCAATCCAGGAGAAACAGCTAAATTAAAATATCTTTGTTAGATGCCAAATTATGAAATTTAGAATTTCAAAAATTAATTTTAAGTAATAATCATTATACTTATTATAATAGATGACTTATATTGAATAAAATTAAATTAAATACTTTGGCCCAAAAATATCACTAATAATTACTACTGTTAAAAATAATTAGAATTAAATGAAGGAATAAAAAATAAAGTAATTGATGGACAGTGCAGAAATTTCATTAGAATAGGCAATGGAATTTATTGAAATGTATGGAAGTGAGAATTAAATTGATGAAATTATTTTAGCTTATTTTGAACAACCTAAATGAAGATTTCTACCTTTATTTAAAAAAAATCATAATATTAACATTTATTTTTAAATAGAAAATTTTTATAGAACTAATTTATTTTTAGGATTAATTATTAAATTAAATAAATACAATTCTAATTGTAAATTTATGTATTCATACACTAAATTTTGATTTAAAAATAATATTATTCATTTATTTTACTATTCAAATTAACTTATTACTTATTAGAAACTTAAATCTGGTTAAATCTATAAGATTTTTAAAACCTCTTCTTAAATTTCATTTTTGCTCAATAAACATATATTTTTGTTTTTGATTTAATCTGCATATTTTAAAACCTTTTTTTCAAAACTTAAATCCTTAAGTTTAAATTTAGTTGTGAAAATAGATCCAATTCTTATTTCTTTTTTATAATCATCCTTGTAAAATAGAGCCCACTCTTAATTTTACTCCCCAGGAGTCTAAATAATTAATAAAATAAAATACGTTAGATGTATGAAATGAAAGTTTTATAGATTTTTCTTCATTAGGTTTTAGTGATGAAACATATATACAGTTTTTTTTAAATATTTTAAGTTGCATAATATAAACATCATCAGGCCAACGTTTTTTTCCATTATTTTTGATTGTAATCTATATTATAGCAGAAGTATTAGTGTAAAATTCTAATTATTTGTTTTCTTTTAACTTATAATAAATTGAAAAATCTAATTCAGATTTAATTTCTTATTAATCTAACAATTTAGATGATTATTATATTTAAGATTATGGTTAAATCTTACCTGATTAATTAATATTATTAATGGATTTATTTATTTCTTAAATTTAGTTAGACTAATTTATTTCTTATTATGGAATGATTATTGATTAAGGTGGTTGTTACTAAGTAGTTGTATCTGAATATGGGTTTTACTATATGAATAAAATAATTTCTTGATTTAATGAAGGTATGGTAATACTTTTGTATTCTTAGGAAGTTAATATGATATTGCTAAATGGTTAATTTATTATAGAAATATTTTTTTTTTTTGTTTTATTTATTTTAATAAATTATTCTAAGAATGAATCAACCTCATAAACATTTTTCTAAAATAAGTTTTAGCATCTATATAATTTAGATAATAAATTACAATTTTTAAAAATTTTCTGTTTACAGCATTTCAAAAAGACATTCTTGAACCATTTAATAATAATTTTCAGTTTATACATAATTTTAATTTGAACAAATCACACAATGATATTCATTTTAATGGCAACATTAATTATTGACAAATAACATTTTCATAAAAATATCTAAATAGGTTTCTCTTTTTATAATGTCATTATCTAAAAAAAATTCTCTCACATTTTGATTATTAATTGCATCATCATATTATTTTTAATTATCTATATACACTTCTCTATTATTTTATTTATAGCTTTAATATCATAAATTTTATTTAATACTATATTCTTATATAAGTTTCTTGTCTTGCAAATTCAATTAAATCTTAAAACTATTAAAATTATTAAAATTATTTTCTAAGGGATCCATATTTTAAACTAATTTCTTATGAAGCCATTATCTATATAATTAATTATTAAAATAATTATAAACTAAAATAAATCAAATGTGTAATTTTTAAACCTCAAATTATTTCTTAAATACTAAAATTATAATTCTAATTATTCATCTAATAGATTTATATAGACATCTAATAAAATTTTGATACATATTTATTTAATATGGATTAATAATTAAATGTTATTATAAAAATTCAAAATCATATGAATTCATTTGTAATTTAATATTGTATTACAAAAGATTACAAAAATCATATTGATTTTAATTAAGAATGAGTGAATAATTAATTAAGTTATTTAAAGGATGTATATTATAATGAGTTTAGAAATTTGCAAACAATTTCAATTAGTATTAATTATAATTTATATAAACAATGGATGGAGGCGGTTCTACATTTGATCTCACAGCACCAGTATAATTGATGCAGCCTAAAATAAATGTTTCGAAACAACCAGAACAAACAATTAATAAAGGATAAAAGGAAGTATGTAATAATTGAATAAATCAGTTACAGCCATAAAAGACTTAAACTTCTAATTCAAAACTGCCATAATTGGGCAATAATCAGAATGCTTCAAAAAGTGTGAATCAAAAGGCTTCACAACCAGGACATTAACATTCTCCAAAATCACTTTCAAAAGTAAAAAAGATTGAATTGTTTCGAGATGCATTACAATAGGCAACTACTAAATTACTACGTATTTATTATATTTAATATATATATATATAGCTCCTGGGAAAAAGGATAAGGACAAAACACAGAAACCTAAACCTCTATAAGAATCTTAATAGTAACAGATTGAGGAGATAAAAAAAGAATATGAAGATTTAGTGTAAAATCATTATAAAGATTTATATGCTCATATTGGAAATGAACAATAAAAAAGTTTGCATGATTTATATAATAAAAGAATCGTTACAGCTTTACATGATTTAGAATCAAGACCAAAAATATAAGGTGCTTTGGAACGAAAGGAAGAATAATTGAATAAATAGCGATTATATAAGGATAGATTATTATATGAAATAAAATAGATGATAATTAAGAGTAGAAGAATGGATGAATTATTAAATGATTTAGCAATATAAAATGATGATACTGAAGTCAAAGAATCAATTGAGGAATTAATATAAAAGGAATAAATGTAAGAAGAAAAGATGGCTAAATAAACATATGAAATAGCTAAACTTAGAGATATGTATGGAAAAAGAAGTAATTAGAATAATTAAAATAAGGAAAATTACTTTTGGAAGTCTAAAAACAATGTTAGATTACTTATGATGGATTGAAAATCAAATATTAATAATATGAAGCTTCATCATAGAGTATGATGAGTCGTAAGAAATAATTAGAATCATTGTCAAAAATAGTAGCCAAATATAGAAGTGAATTTCACAATTAATAAAACTTTTTTGGAGCAAGTTTAAAAAGAGGATTTGATCCTATGCTTGAAGAAATCTTAGAAGATGAATTATCAAAATGTGGTGATTTATAAGCATTAGAAATTGTTTAATAAGGAGAGAAGAAAATTATAGGAATTAAAGAAGAAAATGAAAAGAAAAAGAAGGGAGAATAGAAAGATAAAGCTAAATTAGCAATTGAGAATGCTACACAAAATATTAATAAATAAAAAAATGATATTCAATAAGAATTAGAAAAAAAAGTAAATTATATTTATAATTTAGAAATAAATGTTTTAAAAATTGAGAGTAGTAACCAGCATAGCTAGTTAAGAAGATATGCAAAAGTACAAACTCAATATGGATTTAGATTAATAAGAATTGAAAAATATATAAGAATATGTAGGCAAAGAAATTGAAAGATATGAAAGACAAAATGAAGAATTGAGAGCTGAAATCAAAAAATTAAAATATGAATAAGAGAATTCTATTTTAGATGCTTAAATTAATTTGGATGAATAAGAAAGAGAAGTCACTAAATAATAAGATTTACTTTAAGAAAAAGAAAAATAAGTTAAAAAAGTTGAAAAGTCTATTGATGAAGTTACTATGTCATTGTCAAGAATTATGTATTAATTAAGTGGAAAGGGATTGAAACCTAAAAATATTGAAATTAAGAGACATGCTTTAGTTGCTACAGCATCTACTATTCAATTGAGATTAGAAAGAATGCTAACTGTCTTATCAAAAACTTAGGAATTTTTAAATGAAGAATCCATTAATACAAATCCTAGATATAATAAAGTTGAAGATTTTATATGTCTTAATCCAAAGGTAATTCTTAATCTTTATTTAAGAGTTACATCTCTTAAGAAATCAATGACAATGTTGAAACAAACATTAAATTTGTATATAAGGAAGAAGACAGTTCAGATGAAGATTGTAAAGATATGGATGAAGTTAGATAATAAGTCAAATCTAGAGCATAAGAAGAAAAACCTTAAGTAATTGTTCCACTAAAAAAGGATAAAAAATCTAAATGATCTATATATATATTATATATATTAATTATTTATATAAAATAATCATGGAAATAAAGGAACCATTTAGNGAATTTCACAATTAATAAAACTTTTTTGGAGCAAGTTTAAAAAGAGGATTTGATCCTATGCTTGAAGAAATCTTAGAAGATGAATTATCAAAATGTGGTGATTTATAAGCATTAGAAATTGTTTAATAAGGAGAGAAGAAAATTATAGGAATTAAAGAAGAAAATGAAAAGAAAAAGAAGGGAGAATAGAAAGATAAAGCTAAATTAGCAATTGAGAATGCTACACAAAATATTAATAAATAAAAAAATGATATTCAATAAGAATTAGAAAAAAAAGTAAATTATATTTATAATTTAGAAATAAATGTTTTAAAAATTGAGAGTAGTAACCAGCATAGCTAGTTAAGAAGATATGCAAAAGTACAAACTCAATATGGATTTAGATTAATAAGAATTGAAAAATATATAAGAATATGTAGGCAAAGAAATTGAAAGATATGAAAGACAAAATGAAGAATTGAGAGCTGAAATCAAAAAATTAAAATATGAATAAGAGAATTCTATTTTAGATGCTTAAATTAATTTGGATGAATAAGAAAGAGAAGTCACTAAATAATAAGATTTACTTTAAGAAAAAGAAAAATAAGTTAAAAAAGTTGAAAAGTCTATTGATGAAGTTACTATGTCATTGTCAAGAATTATGTATTAATTAAGTGGAAAGGGATTGAAACCTAAAAATATTGAAATTAAGAGACATGCTTTAGTTGCTACAGCATCTACTATTCAATTGAGATTAGAAAGAATGCTAACTGTCTTATCAAAAACTTAGGAATTTTTAAATGAAGAATCCATTAATACAAATCCTAGATATAATAAAGTTGAAGATTTTATATGTCTTAATCCAAAGGTAATTCTTAATCTTTATTTAAGAGTTACATCTCTTAAGAAATCAATGACAATGTTGAAACAAACATTAAATTTGTATATAAGGAAGAAGACAGTTCAGATGAAGATTGTAAAGATATGGATGAAGTTAGATAATAAGTCAAATCTAGAGCATAAGAAGAAAAACCTTAAGTAATTGTTCCACTAAAAAAGGATAAAAAATCTAAATGATCTATATATATATTATATATATTAATTATTTATATAAAATAATCATGGAAATAAAGGAACCATTTAGTAACTAACTACTCCATGGAATTTCAATAATAACAATACGATGTCGAATTTGTTCATGGAAAAAGATATCTAAATAGCTTTGAATACTATATTAAATGGGTAGGATATTCTAAAACAGAATCTACTTGGGAACCAGAGACTGCTTTTGAAGGAATTTCTAATTAATTGATTACTAGATTTGAAAGATGCCAAAATTATAAAAATTATCATACCAAAATTTACAAAGCAAATAGCCATATAAAAATTAGAGTACATATTATGAATAAAGGATGTCAAGTATATAAAAAATATACATCTGAAAATAAATATGCTCTATTATCTTAAACTAATAAAACAGAATCTAATGGATAATAAAATTATAAACTTTTACAAGAACCTAATAATTACAAAAATTATGAAAGTATTTCAATTCAATAATATTTAATAGATAGGAATGATGATAAAGAAGATTATGACTTTTTTATGAGAAGAGGCAGAGGTAGACCAAGAAAGAGTGAAACTGATAGAGAGTTTCTTTCTTATAAAAATGACTATAAAATAGAATCATAAAAATATTTACAAAAATAGTATCCATTACAAATTACAGAATGCAGTTTTAAATATGGTCATTATAAAACTGAAAAAGAATTCATTTAAGAAATGTTATTGATGATAAAAAAGAAAGAATAAAAGAAAAAGAGAGATGATGAAGTCATTATATATAAACCATAAGCTTCTTTACCTTCTGGATATAAAAGTCAATATACTGATTTACCAAAGTTTAATTTACTAAATCAAAAATATTATGATAAGAATTCAAAATGTTAGGTAAGTGATGGCAAAATTCCATTAGAATGCATTATTTCTCATCATCTTATGTAAAATAAATTACTTGTATTCAAATGCAAAGATAATGATGAATAAATTTGCTATTTTGATTTTGATACTCTTAAATCTTATTATCCTACATTACTCCTTGATTATTTATCTATAACCTCCATTTGGAAAAAATGAATTAATAATTTATAATGTTTTTTTAGTATATAATTGATACTTTAAATAAATTGTAAAAAATAATATAAATAATTCCACTAAGAATTTCATTAAATATAAGTAGAATAATAGAAAAATCATAGTAAGAAAAGTGAAAATTATTATAAATTCTATTAAGATTTCAAATAAAATTAAATGAAACCTATAGGTATATAATATTGATCATCATCATCATTATTATTGAATAGCCTTAGCACAATTTTTGGTAATTCTAAAGGATTTATATTATTTTTAAAATTATTATTATTATTATTATGGTTATGCTTTACCTTCAGAAGTATTCCTATTTTTAGAATTCTCTTGAGACACTTGTCTTTATTGAAAAGATTTCTTTTAAATATCAGGTAGTTTTTCTAATTTTTAAGACTATAATTAAAGTGTCTATTTTTATAACTTTAATTCTTATTAAATAGGTTTTCTTGGAAACTACTATTTCGTTTATGATTATTCATTTTATTCTAAATTATCTCTGATTTGATTATTTTTAATGTATTCATAAAAAGATTTCAAAGTTCTTTATATATTTTCTTTATTATTAATATTCCTATATAAAGTAAACAAAAAATAAATACTTAAGAACTTTTCTTAAGTATGTTTCAAATCTAAAATGCATAACTTTCATGATATTGTATGCAAGAAATAATTTAAGATTTGCTAGTGTCTTAAATTAAGAATCAGGTAGTTTACTACAAGGATTAAGTAAATTTGCATCAAGAAGAGCTAAAATAATGCCTTGGCCAACTTGTTCATAATCATTAATAGTATAAAAATATGTCTTATTAGTTGTAGTTTATGGTGGTATTCCTAAGACAATCTAATCATCAATTTATTCATTTCCATAGGTATAGTAAATGTCTAAAAATGATATGAATAATAAAACCTTCTTAATCAGAGAGATAACTAGATTTAGGTATCAGATTTGTAATTTTCCCAGAATTGTAATTACATTCTACAGTATAAGAATAGATAATATTAGTTTCTTTATATAGAGCCACTCTTCCACTTCCTTCTTTGCTTAATCCATCTCCTTTGTCAGCTGAATACATATTTTTTTCAGTAAAATTGCATCCATCATAATCAAAGATTTCTGAGTATAGTGTCAATAATTTAGGTATGAGACAATTCTATGTATGCATATGTAAATTTGGCAATTGATTTCCAAATATAAATATTCCTTTATGACCTGCATGAGCATGTAGATCAATATAGGCATAAAATCTATCTGTATTATGCAATCTTAATATATATTCTTTGATTGCATAAATAGTTGGATGATCATTCAAACTTGGATTCAAATAATAACGATTGAGATTTTGACATAGTGAATCTGTTCTGTAATGACCTCTATAAACTCCATCTGGATTTATTATTGGAACAATGACCCAAACAAATTCATTTCTTGCCACTTCTGCTGCTTTGTCATTAGGATTCAACAAAAATTTGATTATGCCATTCAATACATGTGATCCTGGTAATTCTCCTGGATGAACTCTGGCTGAGATGAATATGTATTTCTTTTTGAATCTAATTCATCAATTCATCAATTACACTATAGGTCGACTCTCTTATGCTTCAGGAAATACGTTATTAATTGGATCTTCAACTTTATTTGTTGAATTATTATTGCTCGTTATGGTTAACAAATGAATTGGTCTTCTCTCTTTTGAATACCCTAGAACATTCAATTTTATATAGAGATCCTTAATCTATTGTCTACCTTATTATATCATTTAATTTATGAATTGCTATATATTGCCAATAGTTACTTCATTATCTTAGTTTGACCATGGATATGTGAAAGCAAAGTAAACCTTCTAATTATTTTAGAATAAGTGCTGGAATGTAACTTCAAATAACCCATCTGGTAACAAACGGTACTGACAAGGATACCTCACTCTTTGCCACTCATTGTTCGTCTTAAATACAGGTTGCATTCCATCTTTAAACAGTCCAATCTCAAATTGTTTTTCATTACTACTTAATTTTGCATATTCGATATAACAAATGTAACTAAACTTGCATTATCCATTCCCTCCACTGAAAAATAAAACCAAGTCCTGTATGTTGCACTCTTCCCATTAATTCCTGTATCATTGCAAATCGTTAAAATATACTAAATTCTAAATCAAACACCCTTACTTTATTATAGGATTCCTTTCTTACAGATTTCAAATTTCCAGAATCAAATTAACTACTAAATGTTACATCACCAATTGTCTCTATGATTTAAGAAGGGTAATAATCAACATCATAATCCATTTTTCTCTATATTTAATAAATTTATATACAAATCACCTAGCATTATTCTAAAAATATTTCAACTTATTTAGTATTAAAGTGTTGTTTTATTATTGATTTATAGATCAATTAGAGTGATAAAATTATAAAATATTCAAGAATTGAAACTAATCAAAAATACAATATAATACAATACAATAAGTTTATAAAAACAATAAGGTTGCAAATATATTTAATTTATTATTTAATACTAATAAAATAAATTGTTAAATTCAATTAATATTAATCCTAAAGAACTTTTTGTAAATATATTATATTCTTTTTTTTATTAAAAAATTATGTTTTAAGATTTAAAGCATTAAATAAGATAATTTTATAATAAATAAGTTTGTTTAAACAGTTTATCATTCAAAATATTAATTTATTTTTAAAGTATATTAAACAATTTATATTCTTTTTTTTTACATTCATATAAAACATTTATATGTTTAATTTATTTACAATAAAAATTCATTATTTTTTAACTATTATTGAATAGAATTAGTTTAGATATATTAAAATAAGAATCAATTTTAAGGATACCTTTGATGTTGTAATAGCTTATTTTATAATATTTTAATTTATTTCAAAATAATGGATTCCAAAATAGGGAAAACGTTTAAATTAACAAAGAAATTAGGAAGTGGAGCATTTGGTGAAATATTTCATGGAATCAATGTATATGAATGTTATTTAAAGTTCTTATTAGCTTAAAAATAATATAGAGGTAGCTATAAAATTAGAGCCTATAAGCGCCAAACATCCTCAATTATACTATGAAGCAAAACTCTATTAACATCTTAGTTAAGATAATGCTTCTGTAGAAAAAGGGATTCCCTAAGTCTATTATTGCTCAACTGAAGGAGATTACAATATAATGGTAATGGATTTATTGGGACCCTCTCTTGAAGAGTTGCTCACATAATGTCAACGAAAGTTCTCTTTAAAGACTGTTTTAATGTTGGTTGATTAGATGATAACCAGGGTAGAATTCATTCACTCTAAGGATTTTCTTCATAGAGATATTAAACCTGATAATTTCTTAATGGGATTAGGGAAAAGAGCATAGACATTGTTTATGATTGATTTTGGATTGGCAAAAAGATTTATTACAAGGGATGGATCTCATATCCCTTATAGAGAGAAAAAGAATTTGACAGGGACTGCAAGGTATGCATCAATAAATACTCATCTTGGATTAGAACAAAGTAGAAGAGATGATTTAGAAAGTATTGGATATGTTTTAATATACTTTTTGAAAGGGACATTACCATGGCAGAATTTAAAAAATAATAACAAAAAAGACAAATATGAAAGAATTATGGAATCTAAAATAGCAACAAGCATTGAATTATTATGTGCAGGAACACCTATAGAATTTTAATAATATCTAAAATATTGTAGAAATCTATAATTTACAGAGAAACCAGATTATGATTATTGTAGACAATTATTTCGAGATTTATTCTAAAAATAAAGATTTGCAATGGATTATTAATATGATTGGACTTAAAAAAGAATAGAATAAACTAATCCATAATAATAGATAATCTAATAATGATAAAAGTGAGTATTTAATAATATTTTTATTATAATTTGTAAATTAAAATGATAAGTTTAACTTAGATGACAGGTTTTTTTACAAAACAAAGAAAAAATAACAAGACTTTCAAAATATCATATTTCTTTGTTGATTCTTATGGGACTGTGTATTATTTATCAAATCTGGCACAATTAAACTATTATATTAAAAATAGTAATAGTGAATTAGATGTATTATATGAATTTACATAGATAATCTCTAAATTAGAAAGTTCAAATGCTATATCAAAAATGTCTATATAAAATTGTAGAATCTCAGGAATTAAAACATTATAAGCATATGATAATGTTCCTTTTTATCATCGATAACATTTTGAACTCTAAATTTCCTAAAAAAATGTTATTAAAGTCCTTTAAGTATATTCAACCATAGAAGATGATATTGAAATATTATAGGAAGTGATCAAATAAGGATCATAAAAACAAAGGCCTAATTAATAGTTGCAATTAAATTCAGATATTGAAAAAAAAAATGCTTTTATAGAAGAAATTTTAAAATTGCTTAAAAAATATGAAGGAGAAATAATAAATGTTAATGCAAATGAAATACAATAAGATAGCAAATTATATTATACTGGTTAAATAGTAGATGGAAAACCAGAAGGATAAGGAACATTATTTTATAATTTGGAAGGAATTCATTATAAAGGTAGTTTTAAAAATGGTAAAAAACATGGAGTAGGTTATATAGCAAATAGTAATTTAGATTAAATAGATTGTGAATTTGAATATGATATTTTGACTGGTATTTGATATTTATTATTTTTGTAAAGTATATTTTAATCATACAGTAATCTCATCTTATTAATATTGTCCTTAAGATAACATCACAAGATTGGCCATACCAGCATTCATTAAATTTATAGATAATTTAGCCTTCTCTTTCCTTACAAATTTTAATTATTAATTTAATCTTTCAATTTCTTCATCTTTATTAATCAAATTAGATTTTAAATCATCATTTTCTCTTTCTTTTTACATTAAAGCATCTTAATGATCTTTAATAGATATTTAACATTATTATTATTGTGCTAATTACTATTAAATCATTTAATTTTTAATTTTTAAAGTTTCAATTTAGTTTTCTTTTTCTGTTATTGTAACACATTTGCTATCCAATTCTAAAACTAATTATTTATATTCAAATGTTTCTTTTACATTATACTAATTTAATATAAATATATTTTACTTTTTATTATTATTATTATTATGAATTTTATTTATTTTTATCTGATTATTCTATTTATATTATTTTAGTCTAAGCTTCTTTCAATGTTTATTATTGTAATGAATCATTTTTAATTAATTATACAATTTTTTATTCAAGTTCTTAAATTGTTTACTTATACATACTAATTTGAGTGAAATAAGCATTAATTTCTTTCTCCTTCTATTCTAAAATAATTTTTATTTATTATGATAGTTCATTATTTTTTTCTTCTGTTTTTTAATTAATTGAAAGAATTTCATTCATATTCTATATCAATTAATTAAGTTCTTCCTTCTTTTACTCTAATTCATGTTCCAAAAATTAAACAGTTTTCTTTGTATCTTCATTTGAATATGTTAAATTTGTTTATTATTATTTTAATTAAAATTAAGTTGCTTCATTCTTTAACTATAAGTTTTAGTCCAAAAATAATTTATTTTATTCAACTAAATTATTATTTTCTTATGATAACTCCTAAGTTTTCTATTCCAATAGTTTAATTTTATCATTATATTATTTAACTAATAGTTCTTATTCATTCATAAGTGTTTAGATCATAGATTCATAATTCTTTTTTGGAGGTAATGTTTAGCTTAACTATTAACTTTGATTAACATTCTTATTATTATTATTATATATTTTGAATGGTTCCACACAACTAGAACAAGCAACTTATTATAACAGTTAGGGTTTAACAGCATTATTTTAACTGAGAACTACAACACTTTATAATGTAGAAGGTATAGGAGAGACATGATTTCTTATTGGGCTATCTGCTGATTTAATTTCTCTTAGTGAATCTAATTTAGCCATTAAACATGTGGCATCTCTAATATAGAATATTTATGATTTTATACTTTGTATAAGAGTATCGTTCATCTTGAGACTATTTAAAAATTGGAGTTTCTCTTGTTTGTAGTATGTTGTTTACTTACTTAAGAGGAATTGGAGGGATATTTTATTAAGCAGATTTCTTGACTATTTGTGTTGGATGTTGCTAAAAGAGTACATTTGGTTCTATTTGATATATTATACTATTATTTACATTAGATATATTTAGTAGATTATTTAGAATTCAAAGAAGAAGGAGATTTAATACTTTTGATTATCCGTTGATTTTCCATTATATTTTATTAATATTAATGATTGACTGTTAATAAATTTAACTCTTTTAAATTACTATCTTTATCTACTATATGAAAATTAGTATTATTGATAATTCCACATTTTAAATTTCTCAACTATACAAAATTTGACTGTTACTTTCCGATAAGAACATTTTAATTATATTTACATTTCAAATTAATTATAAGTATATTTTTCTATTTAATTTTAATAATTAAAATGAATAATAGTATAAATTAAAGACCTCCACCTCCAAAATTCAATTGGAACATTTACGATAATTCATCATCAGATGATACAAAACAATAAATTACTCTTTAGAAATCAGATAAAAGAAGATAAAAATAAGTCATTCTTTTAATTGATGAGATGCTTGCTAAATTAACTCATAGCAATCTTTTAAATGGAATAAATACTGAGAATATTAAACATTAGAGTATTGATCTATTTGATAACTCTGTGATTGAGAAAATCAAATCTAAAAAATACTAATCAATAGCTTGTGCATTGATTATTTAATCTTTAAGAATTTTATTAATCCCATTGAGAATTAGAGAAATAACTTAAACTTTAAATTGTGATGAAAAACAAGTAAGAAAGATATTGATCTAACTTAATCAAATTAGACCTTTTGATTAAGATGCCTTTACTTTACAATACATGACTAGAATTTGTGTAGCTATTGGATTTAATTAGAAATTTTAAACCCTTTGTAGATTTTTCTATTCAACCTTAAAGAATCAAAATTTAGTTTAAGGTGAACATGAACATGTAATAGCTTCTGCTCTAGTAAAGTTAACTGGAGATTTTATATTTCATGAAAAGGGTGGTTTAAATTTATAAATAATTTCTAATAATGCTGGATGTTGTGAAATCTCTCTCAAAAATTTACTTTAAAAGATAGAACCACATAATTAAAAATTGATTTAACAAGCTTATGAATTTTATAGAAGAACCATGTGAATAATTAAATTTTTGAAATTCCTTTTTTGTAATTAAAATATTTAGAATTAATAATAATTTTATAATTGAATTGATAATGATTCCTTATGGAGTATGTTAAAATACTTGATATAATATATAAGTTTTATTGTTTAAATTTTAATTTAAACGTATTAATTATAAAATATAATATATATTATTATCAAAAGGAAAAATTGAGAAAAAAAAAACAAATATTAATCATTTTTTAGTATATTTAAGTTTTACAATTTATGATCCAGCATAAGATTAATTTAAAAAAGAAATATGTTTAAATTACTTTGTTGCTAATCCTTTAATTAATGGTTCAATAGTTCTATCTTCACCAACTTTTTCTATTTAATATGTTGACATTTCATCATCAGCTTCTTCTTCTTTTATTGATTCTGAACTCATTTTTTAGTGTTACATTTTCTTAAACTTACTAGTTTAACTCTGAAATTATTATTATTAAGTTTTTTCTTGTAAATTCATATGAAACAAAGGGTATGATAATTCTCTTTCTGTATATCCACTAATCTAAATGATTTTTCTAAATATTTGCTTAAATTTCTCATAATCTTATGGATAATCGTTAGCATTACTGGTCTTTACTAAATGTAAGAAATGAATGAATTCAAGAGGAGCTTATTTAAAAGCTATTTCAGGAATAATTGACAATTTGATACTCTCCAACTTTTTAAGTTTAAGTGCTTTATTCTCTGCTTTAATTTAGAAAACAGTGGAATTGGAAGCATACATAAGTAATATATAGGCTAAAGATTCAAGATCGTCTTTAGGAGTTGGAACTTTAAAAATGAATTTACTGATTACCTTGGTTGAGATGCTGATTGATACTTGAATATTTGTTTAAAAATATTTTGTTTGAATTTAATTTATAGTTTTCGTTAACCATTAATGATCCATATTATTTTTTAAATCTACAAGCATATTTGAAATCACTTAATAAAATTTCATTGCCATTAGTTGATAATAACAATTTTTTAGGTCTTAGATTTCTATGAACAATTTAATGTTTATGTATAATCTCTAGACAAGTTAACTAGAAATATATTAGAATTTATACAGCTTAAATTGCAATCAAACATAAAATAGGTAATGGTATATTTCTAGATAAATAATTGTATATAAGTTTAATAGAAGGACCATGACGTTCCATGATTTGATAATGGTATTTTGATCCTTTAATTACTTACTCCCCAGAATTAATGAGAAAGGGAACACAATTAACTAATTTAGGAAATGATTTCGTTACAATCTCTTAATCTATTTAGAAACTAAAGTTCTGGAATTGCTTCATTCTACTATGTTTATCTATATTATTATGATATGATATACTTTTTCATTTTAATTAGATAATATTTCTCTTAGTGGTTAAATGAATTGATATCATCTGACTATTCTTTTTTAATAGCTAACTATCTTTTAACTTCATCATTTATTACCTAAATAGAGGTTATACTATTGTCCCTTGTAAATATTTTTCACAATCACATAATTTGAATCAATAATCACACGACTTATGGTTTCAGTGGTACTTCTAGTTTAGGATGTACTTAACATTTAATAATAATTAAATATTCAAAAACAATGTTAAATCAGATTTAATAAATAATATTAGTTTGAGAAATGTGAGATTATTTTAGTATGAATTCCACTTTCAATAATTATATTGATATTTAATATACCATCAACTATTTATCTTAATTCATAATTAAATGATTAAATTCTAAAAATAAATCAAACTATCTTATACATGATTATTTATATTAATATTTCGATAAATTGAATATTATCAATTTATTTAGTTTTCAAATCTAATAAGTTTATACACTCTAATTAAATAATTTAATTATGAGAAGATACTTTGTCGGTGGTAATTGGAAATGCAATAACACCTTAGCTTAAACTTAAAGTTTAATCAATTCAGTTATCAACAAACTTGTCTTTGATACAAACAAAATTGGTAATTAACAATTTATATTCTCCAGAGGTTGCTGTTGCTCCAATCTTCTTACATCTTCCATGGGTTTAAGCCAATATTCAAAAGAATGTTTAATTGGCTATCTAAAATTCATCCTTAACAAAAATGGGTGCTTATACAGGAGAAATTAGTGTTGAATAAGTCAAAGATTTTGGTATACCTTGGGTTATTTTGGGACATTCTGAAAGAAGATAATTCTATGGTGAAACAAATGAAATTGTTGGAAAGAAGACTAGATTAGCTTTAGATTAATAATTAAGTGTAATGGCATGTGTTGGTGAAAAATTAGCTGATAGAGAATCAGGTTAAACAACAAATGTAATCTAAGCATAATTAGCTGCAATCAAAAGTAATTCTTATACATTATTATAATTTTCTTAGAGGAATTAACAATAGAATAATGGAGTAAAGTAGTTGTTGCTTATGAACCAGTTTGGGCTATTGGAACAGGTAAAACAGCAAGTCCTGAATAAGCATAAGAAGTTCATGCTTTCATTAGAGGATGGCTTAAATCTTAAATTGGAACATAAGTAATTATGACTTATATTAATATAGGCTGAATAAGCAACAAGAATTATTTATGGAGGATCAGTCACAGAAAAGAATGCAGCTGATTTAATTAAATAACCAGATCTTGATGGATTTTTAGTTGGAGGTGCTGCCTTAAAGCCAGCCTTTGCTGATATTGTGGCTGCTGCTAATAAAGGTAGATGAATATTTTGACAATAATACATAATATATATACAAAATATTAATTAATGTCTATTTAATGAACTGGGATTTATAAGTATATAAATAAAAATTTATATTCTAAAAATAAATTTCATAATATTGAATTAATTATTAGTTAATAGAAAATACAGATATTGATTAATGAGTTTTATTAATCAATTATAATCTTTAACAATACTAAATTAAAACATATATTTAATAATAAGAGATTTAAGAATTAATGTTGAAGTTGAATGAAATAACATAACAAATCAACAACATTGAGATTTTTTTTATTTTTCTTCTGGTCCTTATACTTAAAGAGTAATGATTGTTTTTTAATCAAGATTTTCCATTTTTTTTATTTTAGTTTTTGCCAATGTTCTAGCAACTCTTCGAAATAATTTATCTATATTATATCCTGTTTTTGCTGATGTTTAAATATATTTCATATGATTATTTTCCAGAAATACTTAATCAACATCAAAATCACCTTAATCTTATTTGTTTCCAACTAAAAATTTAACACAGTCAGAATTTAAATATTTATCTATTTCTTCCAACCATCTCTTTGCTCCTTCTAAAGTATCTCTTTTTGATACATCAAAACAAATTAAGACCGCTTAAGCATTTCGATAATAAATTGGTGCAATCTTTTTGAATTTTTCTTATCCTGCAGTATCCCATATCTCAAGCGTTATTTTAATATTTTTTCTTTCTACTACTTTCTTATAAAATGCTAATCCAATAGTAGGAGCTTATTATTCTGAAAATGTATTTTCTGAATATCTTTTCAAAATACTAGTTTTACCTACATTTGAATCACCCAAAAGTATTAACTTAAAAGTGAGAGACATTTCTTTCATTATTAAAAATATAAAATAAATAGAAATATTTACTAAATAAAAATATAACAAATTAAAAAGTATTAATAACAAAAAGATTATTAAAAATATTATAAATTCTATCTATATGTTATTTTATCTTAGATTTATTATTTTATGATTGAAAGTATGTAATATAAAATTCAATAGTAAAATGAATAATTAAATTGTTTTTATTTTGAACTTAAACTACGCAACCCTCCAAGATTCATAAAATATTATTTGGTTTTATTCCATTCTTTATCAAAATGATTTTTGGAATAAGATGATTTCTTATTACTTATTTTTGATAACAGCATTTGATTTTCTCTTTAAATTTATCTTTATTCACTTTTCTTTCTACATTCAAAACTTGATACTCTTTTTTATCTTCCCACACGAGTTGTTTCACTCTTCATAATATTTGTAATTTTCTCTAATAACAATCTATTATCTTTTTCTATTTATATATATCTGTCTTCCAAAAGTTGTATTTTCTTCAAATTTGGTATTTTATCTACAGTAGGATTAATCTATATCAAAGGTTAAACTTATTATAATCTACTGAATCCATCCAAAATGTCTTTTTCCTACTAAACTCGAATATGAGGTTTTGGTCGATGCATTATATTTTAGTGATTTAATAAAAATTAATCAGTTAATCATTATGTGATAATTGTGAATCTAATGTAGAAAGTATTATGTAAATCTTACTTAGAATAATAAAAATTGTATTAAGATTTAGGATTAATATATTTATAAAGAATTAAGTACTATCCACATATAAAAGAATGAAATATATATATTCTAATGATTTTGGTATATTAATAATCTCACTATATCTATGGATGTTTTAGAGTCGTCTCACTGCATTCTGCCTACTGGAACTTCTTCCTATCTATTATAAATTGAATTTCATTTACAATAATTCCAATTCGTCATTACACTCCTCCATCTAATAAAATTAACTTTACAGATAGGATAGATTTTGAATCAATAATTTATGATTTGTTAATATAGATAACATTGGAGTCTACATTAATAAGGTATACCTTAATTGATTCTTCAATAAAGGTTGTCTAAAGAATGTTGTAGCAATTCTTAAAAACATAATTAATAATAATGGTTTAATTTGTTAACGAATTTGTAGAATTTTGCAGAACTATAGGAATATTGGAGAAAGATTAAATTTTTGAATCAACCTAAGATGACTTGGGTTAAATGCTCTTTATGCATCTGGTAACCTTAAATCGTCAATCATTAATTGATTTATCTAATAGAGTCTCCCAAATGTGGCTTATGTAATAAACTAACTCAAAACCCATTCATCCAAATAGTGTTAAGTAATTCACTACTAGAAGTAAGCATAGTCAATCCACTCCCTAAGAATCGAAATCATTAACAAACAGTAACAATCAATCCACAGTTTATTTATATGATTAATATATTAAGAAAGAAGAGAAATAAATAATACATTAATAGAAAGTCATTGAAGATTAATTAAAAGAATGTACTTTCTAACCTTAAATATCAAAAAAGAGCCAATAATTAGATACAACTGCTCCAGTTTATGATAGATTATCACAATTTGGATATGATTAAAGGATGAAACATCAAATTAGTATGGAAATCAAAACTAAAAGTGATTTAAAGTAATGTACTTTCAGACCTCAAGTCAATCATAGTTTTTCAAAAATCTTAGAAGGTGATCCATTCTCTCGATTATATTAAAATGCCTTATCATAAAGATAAACTAAACCTGTAAGCCAAGAAAAGACTTATACTTTCAAACCATAATTAATAAGCTAACCAATTGTATAATAGGAATATTTATCAATCCCTGTTGAAGAGCGACTCTATAATCATTTTTTTGATTAATAACAATAACTTGTTTAATAATAAGAGAATGAAAATTAAGCTAAATTAGATGAATGTACATTTACTCCTAATATAAATTAATATGGCTCTGTTTAATAAGGTTCAGAATAGAAAATGAGAGTATTTGATAGACTTTATAATAAATCATCAGCCGTGAAATGTGCTTCAGAAATTAAAGAATAAAATCCTAATCATTTTTCTATTTCCAAATAATCAGATAAGATTATAAAAAAAGCAAATGGAGATAATTCAAAATATGTATCCCAGTTTTAGATTGATTAAACTCCATTTGATAGATTACATAGTGAACACAAAAGAATAGAGAAGAAGAAAAAAGTTAAAGAAAATTAGATTTTTAGTAGTATTCCATTCAAACCCTAAACAAATAATAATAAGAAATGAACTTTTATATATTATCCGTTTTCTTTTGTTATTAATATTAAGATACACATATAATAAACATTAATGTTGAATATAAACTTAATTGAATTATTCTAAACCGTTTTGGCAACTTTAAAAAAATGTTGTTTCGAATTCTTATCATTCAATTATTTTTACTTCATTACTTAATATTTAAATAATAATAATTAGAAATACTCATTACTTTCAATGAAAAAATATTTAATAATACTTAAAAAAGATTTATGAATAAATATATATATATATATAATCATATGTAGCAAAAGAAGAGCAAAAGTTTGTAATTGCAAATTAAACATCGTTACTGAAATTAAAATTTAATAATTTCTATATATATATATATATAATATATTCTTATATTGAACTCTAATAATATGATTTCATCAATACCAATAACACTAGATTAAATTTATGGAGTCAATTTTAAGAGAGTACCCATATTGTATAATGAAATGGAAGGAACCAATCCATTGCCAATTAACGAAATAGATGAAGACACATATTCAGAAAAAAATTCTAGATAATAACATAAGCATTAATTACCACCTTTACAGAAAGTCGATATAAGAGCTATTGGAGAGAATTAGAAGAAAAAATAGAATTTATATCGTTCGCCAGTTATATCCTCTTAATTTGACTAACATATTGGATTTAGGAATTCTTTTTATAGATAGAATAAAGTCAATTTAGAATCAAGATAAAGAATGGAAGAGATTAAAAATAAAGAATAGGTATTGTACACAAAATATGCTTAACGATTTAATGTTCCTAAATCTTAAATATGGAATTGATTATATTGAATGTCTCCTTTCATTAATTATCATTTATTTATTCATTCATACATTCTATTGTTTATAACTAAATTTCTTTTAATTCAAATGATTCTATCTATATCATATAATTGATGTAATTAAAGTAATAAATTTAAATTATAAATCTTATATATAAAATATAATTTATAAAATGGATGAAGCAATCTAAATAAAATAATATATTTTAAATGATGGATTTGATGAGTATAATCAAAATTATCATTTTAGATTATCACAACAACATGTTGAAGAGGAATCTTTAGAACATTTATATTAATCCATAATGTAATGCTAACCAACTTATGATTACAATGATTCTAATAAAAATCAATATTAGAAAAGAAAGATCAATGATATGAGGTATCATCATTTTCATGTTTATATCTACTCTAGATTCTCCTATCTGGAAGATAAGAGAATTTTAGAGTTGGTCATCTAACTTGGTCCCAATTTCAATAAAATTGTAAAATATTTCCCAGGAAAAACTATGAATATGATCAAAAATAGATATTATAAAAAGTTAAGATATAATAAGGAAGACTATTTAAGTGGTAAAGAGTTGACAAAAACTAATAATAAGACCAAAAAGAGTAATTGAAGAACCCTGTTAATACTTAAATACAGAATACTTTATTTATATATATTATATTTAAAGACTATAAATTTTTAATAAATATTCATAGAAAACTAAGTAAAATGGAATTTAAAAATATTGATTCAATATTCTAATATTATAAAATATTGTAATTATAATAATCATTATTAGTTTAGATTAATTATGATTAACAATTCAATTATAGAATAAGCTTTTACTATTTCAAAGAGATTCATTTATTCTTCTTAAGCTTTACTAATATATATAATAATATTCTAATAAAGAAAATATCAAAAAATATAATTATAAAATTAATTAAAAAGAGTGGAGATTTAACTTATTATTATGTTAATAAATAATCTATTACAAAAATATTGATTAGAATATTAATTGAATGATAATTTTAGATTATTTAATTATAAATTATGTCATTGGATTAAAAGAAATAGAAAAAAGAGAAAATTAAAATATAACCAAACTAAAATGTGAATATTGAAGATTAGATAGTGAATACTGTACATAGTAATATTTAAGACTTTTTGATTATAAGAAAGAATAATGTGGATTGCCAACTTATATAAAAATGAATAATGATTTAATATTTATTGGAATGGAATATTCATACATTTATGTATTCTTATAAGTAATAAATAAATGAATATATTATTAGGATAATGATTTTAAACAAGGATATAAAATACTTGGAAAGGATACTCAAATTTATAGAGGTGAGTAAATGATATAAATTTCTAATTATAACTAATTATTATTTGTGACATATTCTAACAATAAATTTGTTATCTTTAGTTTGAAGGTACAATTTGATATCTAATTTTAAAAAGTCTTTCAAAGAAGTATTATAACACAGATATTAAAATCTAAAATATGCATATATTGTACCTTTGTGAATTAATTCTGATCATTTACTCTAATTAAAAAAGGAATAATATTATGAAATAATTATTCATTTGGATAATAATGAAATAAATTAATATATAATAAGTACACAATTTGTAAGATTTAATGAAATAATTTTAGTATTTAATGGCTGTAAGGTTTTGAAATTAAATTTGGGTTGTTAAAAGTTTTTTAGGTATAAATTAAATGCGGACCAATCAAAAATATAGTTATTATTAAATTTTTAAAGACATGTGCCATTTAGTTTAAGTTAGATTGAGAAACATTATTTTTAAGAAAAAACATATCTAAACATTGTAGAGTGGTCAATATAATCCAAAGTTCTATAATTTAATAAGAGAAAATAATTAAGAAGTTAAATGTGATGGATTCAATTAATGATGGTTATCAAAAATCAAATGATATTAAATTTAATTTAAGTAATTGCATTCTAATTGTAAGATTTCTGTTTAAATTTAGAATAATTTATTTATTAAAATGAAAAGTGTTATATTTTAAATGGAATACAATTACAATCTATTAGATTAATAATATGGGATGAACTATTATATGAATAAAGTGATAATAATGAATGGGAGAAGTGTTTTAAAATGCCAATTGATATACATACAGGTCAATTGATTTTATTATGAAATATTCCTGATAATGATGTTCAAAGACATTTTTTTATTAAAGAGACTTGTTGTAAATTAGTTTGTAATATATGTTGTCATAATTGCCAAATAAATAACTTAAAAATTGTAAATCAGTTTTATATATTATGTATTTTTAATATAAACATAAAATGAAGAGAACTTATTTTAATCAATCGAAGATCTCATGGTTGGATGTGGTTATAGAAATGTATTCTATGACTATTTAAGAGAATTACTATAATAACATTAGGTTAATATTCCATATTAATTCTAAATTAAAGTCTTGAAGATGTTCACTGAAATGGATAATAAAAAAACATGTACTAAATTAATTATGTCAATTTAAAATATATAAAGATATGATTCAAAAGGATTAATAGATTTTTGTTTAGAAAAGGATTTAATAGAACCCATGATTTATATTTGCTCTTAAATTACTGACTTTCTGACTTCATATTTAAGAATTAATACACTTCTTAGTATTCTCTAAAACAAGAATGTTTTGACAGATAAAGAAAATAAAAGTATTACTACTTTAAATTACTGGTCAAAATCAATCCAATATTTAATCATACTTTACAGATGGACAATTCTAAGCTATGTTTAAAGATTTATTCGAATATTTATTTGTTTTTGAAAATATTCAAATTTTTTTGAAATTGATTACATCAAAACCTTAGAAGTCTTATTGTTAGTTTTTTTCTGAAAGAATACAAGATAATTTTAAGTAATTCTTAAGTGAAGGTAAGGAAATCAATATTGAATTATCTAATATTACAATAATTGGTTTCTTGCCAGAAATACTAGGTAATATATAGAATGTATAGTAAATATTGAATAAACTGATGATAATCTAGATAAGTATATAAATTATTCATCTGCATTTTCTGGCAATGTTATTGCAATACGTCCTTTTCACTTCAATATTAATCATTTTATGGTTAATTTAATAAATTATATGGATAGTCTTAGATAATAGGAAAACACATAAAGTTATGTTAAAAGTAGAGAAATAATTTGAAAAATAATATAAATTATTGGAAGAGTTACAATGATAATATATAGAATATTCAATAGGATATGGATGGAAGTATTTTGTTTAATAAAGATGAATCAATTACCTGAAGCATTATATATATATATGAGACATCCAGATCCATAATTATCTAAACGTGTTTTTACAGCATTGAGTATTCAATTAAGTTCAAAATAACAAGTTGAATGCAGAAAATTCTCATAAATTATTTTAATTACTTTATACATAAAGATGATTTAAAGGAAGTGTTTGTTTAAATAAATAAAATAAGTATTGTATTAGTAGATAAGAAAATAAAGAATTAAGTTTAAATAAATCTTATGAATGGATTCATATAGTATTTAAAACCAAGAATGAAAATGTTGTTAAGATTTGATAGATTAATTATTTGTATATGCATTCGGATAAATATATTAATATTATTATTTTGATCATTCCTGTTCACCTTCTTTTTAACCATCTCCATCATCATCTCCTTTTTATTATCCATCATCTCCATCTTATTATTATCCATCATCACCATCTTATTATTAACCATCATCTCCATCTTATTATTAACCATCATCTCCTTTTTATTAATCATCATCTCCTTTTTATTAACCATCATCTCCATCTTTAACACCTCCATCTTTATCACCTTAATCTTATTAATCTTATTATTATCCACCATCTCCTTATTATTATTGTTTATCATCATCTTTAGGGGACTATTATTTCTTATCATCTCTAATAGAATATAAGTAAATCAATTTACTTTTTTTGAGCCTTAGGACTGAATTCTGATAAATCATTTAATTTAGCCTCTTCATCTTTTTTAACAATTTGACTAAATTATTATTCAGCTTCAGCAATTAATTCAGCTTTTCTTTATTCCCATTTTTATTGAGCTGCTTTATTATCTTTTGGAACAACTTTCTTCATTAAATCTTATTATTTTTTAATTGCTTCTAAATTCTTTTCTTTTCTTGATTCTCTATCAAACATTTCATTCATAACATCCTTCTCTCTAAATTATAATTAGTATAATGAATCACATAATTCTAATAATGTAACTGTACCATCTTAATCACCAATAGCTACTAATTTACCAGCATTATGATGAGCACCACCATTAGAATTTATTTTTATACAAGTAAGAGCTGTTTCACTTACTTTATGACTGAATGCAATTTCATTCTATCTATAATAATAATCCCAAACATCCATCCAACCATCTTTTCTAGTTAAAAAGAAAACACCATTTCTAGTTGGAGACCAACAACCATCTGTTAAATAACTTCCATGATATTTAGTTCTCATTATTGGAGTCTTAATATCTTCAACCCAAATCTTAGCACTCCAATCACCAACTGTTAAAAAGAATTTTGGATTTGGAGGACTTCTATTAATAGACATAACTGGTCCTAAATGACGTCCACTTTCTAATCCATATCTAGCTGTTATTTCAACAGCTTTCTTAGGTTTCTTATTAGCAACCATTAATGAACCCATTTCTGTACCAATTAAATATTTAGTTGGACCTGCTTCTGTATTATATTCCAATACTGTTGCACCAATCATTGGATCATTTGGATTTAATCCCTCTGTTACATTTAATGATTCAATTGGACCTTCATTCAATTTTCTTGTATCCCACCATAATACACGACCATCAGTAGATGTAGTTACACATTCTGTACCAGTCTTACTAAATAACCATTAAAAATGAGTAATTGGATCATGATGAGACTTTTCAACAGGTGATGTCAATACTGGTTATTTACCTCTCTTTACATCCCAAACAGCAACTAAACCATTATAACATCCACCTCCAATTTAATCAGATAACTTTGGATTGTACATCAAATTAGTAATTGGAGAATTCGTTTCTAATTCAGATTCATGATTATTAGGATTTTATAAATCCCAAACAAATGAAGATTTTAACATTCCTTCTGGCATTTGTTAGAATCTGCTTATTGCATAAGATACTGCTGCTTTAATTGGTCCTTCTGGATGCCAAGATATTTCTGATACAGATCTCTTAACTCCTTCTGATTAATCCCTACTATTACATTAAGTAATACTTGAATAACATCAAAGTCTTAGTACTGAGATTTTCAACTTGATGTTCACTTTCTTCATCTAAGAAATACTCTTCAAATAAATCTATTTAATTATTTTAAAGTATGCATTTCTCCACTGTTGTACTTAACTCTTTAACAGCAACTGCAAATGCAGCATCTTTCTCGAATCTTCTTCTGTATTTATTTTGATCTTGCTACTCCATTGGGTCTATACCTGCAGGCCACTAAAAACTGTTGCATAAATTATAATACCCCTCCTTCTTTATGATACATCACTTTGTCTCCTGTTGATACTCTCTCTGTATTAACCTATGTTTTTATAAATCAAATAGATACAGAATGCTCTGAATATTCAGCAATGTTATCTAAATCAATATGATTTGGATTTCTTTTAACATAGTTTGGAATAACAGCAACTGTCTTAGTATAACCTGCTATTTTTATTTCACTATCTTAAAAATTGCAAGGCTTTCCTAAATCTCTTCTTTTCCTTTGATATGTATAATAATCTGCCATTTAATTATTAATATTAAGTAAAAGTAATTCAAAATTGCATTATATACTTAATTAATTCAAAACACTTTTGATCCTCCCATTCTCCCTTTCAAAAATATATTTGAATATTTCACACAATTAGGATCATGATCTATATACAATATACAATAATATTTACTTTCATCATTCTCCTCTTTAATCAATTCTTTTCTAAAAAATGATTTTAATTCTTCATTTGGTTAAAATAGTGAAAATGCACTAGAATTTGAACTCATTGAATCTATATTTATATTATATATTTATATATAATACCTTATTCTTCAAATTATGAAACTTAAACTTCTTTACCTGCTGATGAAACATTTTCAGCTGATTTCAAAGACACTTATTATATAATAGGTGAATTTATTAATTTATCAGCCATCTACTTTAAACCTCCACTATGTTTATCATAATTAATAGATTATTGAGTATTAATTTAATTTCCTTAAGTCTTTTATCTTTAAAAGAAAGAAAAAGTATTTTCTGTTTACAATTATTATTCATATCTATTTGGAGATCTTTACTCTTTTTTTTATTATGGAGTTGATTACATTTTCTTTGTTCCCATTTAAATTTAATTTGGTTCTGATTTGTAATTTATCATAACCTAATTATTTTTTTTTTCTTAAACTTACCATGATCTTTCTTATTTCTAATCTGGTTGAGTTTCAGTTCTCCTTCTCAAATTTAATAAATCTTTCTAAGATTAATTAAACTCTTAAGATTGTTATTTTTATTATTATTATTATTGTCTTTCAATTTCTACTTTTTGTTGTTATTATTGTACCTACTATTACATCTTTATATAATCCTTTATTTGTTATTCCTAAATACTACTTTCTGGAGTATCCATATATTTTGTTGGGTTATGTTTAATTTCCTCTAACACACCCTAATAATCAGCTATCAATTCTCTAGTTAAATTATTTTATAATTCCTTTAATTTGTTTTCTGGTCCCCTTTTTGGTTTCTAACTCTTCATCTCTATAAAATATTGAATAGATTATTTAGGTGTTTTCATATTAGAAATTTCTGATTTTGGAGATCTCAATTATTCTGTATCCTCATATTATTAACTAAGTGCCATCCTCATTGCTTGATCATCTAAATGGTGTCTAGACACAGTATTTCTTTAGTGACTTAATGGAGTTGGAGCTTAAGATTCTGTAATCTTTGGAGTTAATGCTCTTTCCTTTGATTTTACTATTTTTATAGTATGTTCTTCATCTTTTGTTTGAATATTTTCTATTTATCGTCTAATAAGAGTGATTTGTTCTCTAACTAATTTGTTGTCATTTTCTTAAAGTACACTTTCAATTCCTATTAAAGCCAATAAACTTATAGTCTATTATGGGCTCTAACTAGATAAAGTATGCATAAATTATTGAATGAGACTTTGTCGAATGCTCATATTTAAATAAATATATTTAAATTATCTGTTAATTATTAACGAGAAGACAAACAAAAATAAGGACATACTTTTAAAGAATTGAATTATAACTCATTTTCTTAAAAACTACCCTTATTTTTAGATAAACCGTCTTGTTAATAAATTTCCAACTTAGTTAAAAATCAATATAAACTATAATCTTTAAATAATTATTCTCCACTTTTTAATTAATTAAAATATACTAATGAACAATCTGAATTAATATATACTTTATAATTTATTTAGATGGTATATATATGTTTTACTAATAATAACATTTATATATATATATATTATATTAAATTAATAAAAATAATAGATTATAAATATTCGAAATTAGATTTATTTAATATAATTTTTTTTCATACAAATTTAATATAAATTTATATTGATTAATTTTTTGAATAAAAATGCAAAATTTTAGTATGAAAATCATTATTTAAATAATATTAATATTACAATAATCTATTAAGATTAAATAAATAATCAAATAATTGAAAATCTTGATCTTTTAGTTTATCGAGGATCAGTTTAAATAGTAAGTACATTACTGGTAACTTATTTAGGTTAATTTCTTTATGTAGATATTTCACCAACATCAATAAATTAATCATCTTAATTATGATTAATTTTTTAGATATTAAAAGTATTTTAATGTTTATTTGTTCTATTTTACATAGTTTCTTATTCACCAAATAATTTAGATTTTCGAAATGATTATCTGAGTTCTGAAATTAATATATTTTTATTAAGTATAGATTTCTTCACTGGTTTGAATTCTTATAATTACCAAAATAAAATTCTTTCTACTATTAACAACCCTTTGACAATCATTGCAATTAACCATAATAATATTAGTATAATAATAACTGCAAAGATAACAAATATTATTAAGAAAGATTAAGAATCTAGAAAGTTTTTCCTATCAGTAATTTAATTAGCCTCTGTTCTAAATTACAATAAAGTTCATACAATCGAGTTCCAAGTAAGATTACAACGACTATCATAACAATCAAAAAGACTAATAAACAAAATAAAGGTAATTTATCCTTGCTTTAAGACCATGCTGTTTTCTAAAAAAATAACATATCTTATTACAGGAGCAAATATTTTTTCAATTTTTAGTTCCATTTAATAAGTATCTTAACAAATTTCACATTTTGCTTAATGAAGATTATTTCTATATTTTTTGATAATTTATTTTTTCAAACAATATTCATGCACATATTTTTAAGATCTAATACATTTACATACACGAATAAGAGGATTATCTTTATATTCTGAAAATTCACATATTCTACAAATACAACCTACACTCTTAAATGAATCTAAATAAATTTAAATATATGTTAACCTCTTGCATATATGTCTTTTTAAAATATAAGTTATTATTAACTATCTTATTTTTATAATGTAGAATCAATATTTTTGGATGATTCAGGTATTTCATTAATGATTATCTCTAATATTATGTTTATTATTACAATCATTACATTAATTAACTCTTCTGGCATACTTTTATTGAATTATTTATATTATATCTAATGGAGCAACTTGAGATTCAGAGATATCAATTTTTTCTTATTTGAAACTTTTATCATCTTTATTCATAATTATAAAGTTTATAATTATATACAATCATTAAAATATGACTATATAAATATAATTATATTGAGTCAATATTTTAATTGATTATAGACTTTTTCTTTATCTTTAAAGGTTTTCTTTAAATCGATAATTTAGAATTCATAAGAGATATATATAAATCAACTTCTAAATCAATGTAATATTTTGATAATTTCAATTTTTCAACAACACATATTAGATTTCTTCTTTTCTTCATAAGGCTAATACTCTTATTGTTACTCCAAATTAGTAATATTTTAATTTCCATGAGAATAATTCACTTATTCACTACCTAATTTAATTCCAAAATTTTCATTTTTTGGGTCAATTTATCCTAGATTGATTTTTTCTAATATTATTTAAGCCATCTTAGTAAATATCTCTTCCACATTATTTGATGTTTTAGCACTAGTTTCAAAAAAGTCAATTCCACATTCTTTTGCAAATTATTATGCTTCATTATATGAAATTTATCGTCTTCATATTAAATACTATATTTACTCTGATTCTAAATCACCTTTATTACCAACCAAGAGCATAGATAATTTTGGATTTCCATTCTATTTTACTTCTTCCATCCATCTAGCCACATTTTCATAACTCTCTCTTTTTGTAATATCATAAACTACAATAGCACCTGCAGCAGATCTATAATATGATCTAGTTATTGATCTAAAAGATTCTTGTCCAGCCTATTATAACTTAATAAGAATACAGTGTCCCATATCTATAACTTTATATTTAATCCATCTAATTCAATTAGTTTTGCTCCAAATTCTACACCAATAGTGACCTCATGTTTTTATCTAAATCTTTTATCGATAAACTACAATAAAAGACAAGATTTTCCAACTCCTACACAATTATTTGATTTTCAATACCTGTATCACCAATAAGAATGAATTTGAATAGATAACTATATGACATTCTGTATTATTTATTTTAAAAATTTAATATAGATAAATAGTTTATAAACTTAAGCTTAAACTAATTAAATTAGATACTTTTACAATATTCCACATTTATCTACAATTCTTAATTAAAATGAAACAATTATATTAGATGGTGTAAATAATATATTAATAATAGAACTTTATATACTTATTTAGATTTTATTTTATTTGAATTTAAAAGATTATTTATGAAAATGAATAATAATAAACATATCTAATGTGATTATCAGAATTGAATATTTTAAAATTTATTTTATTTATTATATTATATTATTGTAAAAAAAAATGAATGAATATTCACATTTAACTCTACCTTTTCACTTTAATTCTGAAATCAAATAAGTGGATTTATAAACTTTTTAATTCCCAAATAATAAAACAAAACCACTTGATTTATAAGTGATAAATTCTGAAAAGGGAAAGTTTATATTAAAAAAAATGAATCAAACTAATATCATTTTTAGAATGAGAAAATTTTAACATAAGAGTGATCCAAATATTGTAGTTTATAAATTAGAATATGAAAGTGAAATTAATGATACTTATGATTCTTAATATTATTTTTAAGATTTTTATTTTGAAGGTGAAAATGATTAAAACATCTTAGATTAATTTAAAAGTAATAGTTATTATTATTAATTAACTAAATAGAATATATATAATGTAAACCTTATCAATTATAAAAATAACATGTTCCAAGAGACATAGCTAAACCATTTTGTTGGAGAGGTTCTAATTTTAAAATTAATTTAATGAAAAAATATGTAAAGAGAAATAAAGTTGAAAAGAAAAATTTTATTACACCATTAAAATTTGGAGAAGCTCATTCTAATATAAATGAAAATAATTAAGATATTGATCCAATCTTAAATTAATTATTTTAAAGAAAACCAATATGGTTAAAGAAATAATTAATTAAAGAATTAAAATAATTTTAGTAATATGAAGAAAAATTAGGTTAAATGGTTTATTATTATTATAATGGACCATGGGCTAAATGCTATGTATTAAAATAATTCAATCCTCAATTGAATCCAACAGCAGCATAATATTAAACAATAAATATAAAGAATAATTAAAATGAAGAATCAAATAGTGATGATTAAGATTATCCATAAAAATGTTTTACCTTATTATAACTTTGTGATTTATAAGATAAGGATATAGATAATATAATTAATGAGGTAATTAATAAAGGAAAACAAAATCCACCAAATTCAAAAGATTTCGAAAAGTATGGATGGTTTGAAAAACAACAAATGAAGATAATTGTTCGAAAAATTAAAAGTATGAGATAACATCAGAACAAATAATGATCAGATTTTAATTTAAGGATTATGAAATAATTAAGTTCTAAACAAAATTTTTGTCATCATATAATAAAAATATAATTCATTAATGGAAGACCTCAAAAAACAATACAGCAAGATAAATAATGAACTAAGAGAACAAATCATTCATTAGATCTTAAATGAAAAGAAATCAATAGCAGATGTAATTCTACTTTCTCTATCATAATAGGTTGCCTAAGAACATAATATATTACAATCTACTTGTAAGTCCATCATTAATACATATATGAGAGAAGGAAGAGTAGGTAAAAAGGAGAGTAGAGTAAGAAAACTTAAAAAAATAATCCGTATATATGATATTGTTTTAAACCCTGTTCAACCCTAAATGTCAACTTATCTTTATTGTCAAAAAACAGAAAACTGTATTGAGAAATCAATTAAAAGTCAGAAAGAGGAGAATGAATAACAAGAAATTTAAGAAAATGAGAATAATAATAATTTTATGATGCTTTCTTTTTGGTGTGAATAAATCAAGAATTAACTAACATCTTTTGCATAATCAAATTATGCTTTTCAAACATTCACTTAACCTTATTAGAAATGACTTAAATAAAATAATTTATTTAAAATTCAGATCTTACTAATTAATTACAATTTCTAATTATTTAATTACAAAATAATTTTTATAAATATAATTATAATTGGGTGAATTATATAAACATCCATCATAATGTTTTATTAGAATTCAGGTTTTCTTATTAATTAAAGCTTATGAATTATATTAATTATTATTTTTATTGATTAAATTCTAATATATTAAAACAATCTTTATATGAATACTAATTCTTGAATTAATTGATAGATAGATAAGAAATTAAATATAGAAATTAAATAAAAGTATTGAGTTGATAATATGTATTTTAAATAATAAACTATATACTATTTATATAATATTCATAATCAATCTTATTAAATCAATTGATGAATAACAATATTATTATATACTTTATAAACATTATGATTTTTAGTATTTAGTTTAATAAATATCACATGAAATTTGAAATTATATAGAAATAATAATAGAATTAGAATAAAGAATACTTAATCTTTTCATATATTATTAAAAAACTTTTTATAACAACTTAATTTTATTTATTCATATCTTTTAATAAAGTGTTAGAATATAAAATATAATAATAATAAACAAATATATAAAATTGAAGTTATATATAGAGTGAAGAAATTTAGATTTTAATATATTAAATTATAAACACATAAAATTTATATGTTCATTTTTCTTTTTCAATCTTTTTTTCTCCATTTTATAAGGTTTATTATTGTATTTACCTCAAGATTGGAAGTGTTACATAATTGACAAATTATATTTTCTTGTTTTAGATAGTTCTTTAATGTTGCATATATTATACTAAATGTTTAGTTATTTTTAATAATATTAATTTGCAAATAATTTAAAGGTATTTATGTCTAATAATATTTATTGTATAGAAAGATTTCAGTTCTAATTTTGAAAATGAGAAATTATAATTATTATGATGTTTTGAAAGACTATAAATTAAATAATATATATACTCAAAAAAAAAGATAACTGAAGGATGGCTACAGCTTTAGTTTCTGCAGGACAATCTATAAGTAAATTTATCTTATTCAAAGGTTTAGTTGGAACCTATGTGTAACAAGATATAGAGACAAGATTACAATAAGATGTGTATAAAAAGTAAATAAGAGTCAGAGAATTCTTCACTGATTTTGATCGATTAAGAAAGGGTTGGGTGACAGAAGATAAGGTATTATTGTATGATTCATCTTTAGTTTCGGTCTGCATTATCTATGATAAATTTTCATTTTACAAAGGAAGATATTGAGGAAATCATTAGAAGATATAAACTAAATGATGGTTTAGTACAATATACAACATTTTGTAACAAACTTGAAGAGTAATTTCTAAACAATGAAGCAAAGGCTTAAGTATTTTAAGCTCCATAAGTATTGAAATTTGTTATATTTAGATTTTCAATTAAGATGAAGAGGACACTGTAAAAAGATTGATGTAGGCTATAAAAAGAAAGATAGCAACAAAAAGAATATTCTTAAAATAGCCATTTTAAGATTTTGATAGAACTGCATGTTCTCATATTACTATTGATTAATTTTCAAGAGTATTAAATTAATTAGGATTATTACCAAAAGACTAATATTTACAATTACTTATAAGATAATATATTGATAATGGAAATCCTAAGGAAGTTAATTATGTAAAATTTTGTGATGATGTTGACAATGTATAAGAAATGTTAAGTGGAGTTATAACCGGAATCAAATAGAATCCAAAAGATGTAAAATAAGAAAAATAATTATATAGATTCATCCAGATGATGATTTTATTGAAGACAAAGAGGGATTAGATTTGATTTCTACTTTATTCACATCAAAAAAATTGACTGATAATATTAATACATTACATTAAGTATTAAAAAAGATCTAAGGAGATGTTGTTATGAAAAGAATTAGAATAAGAGAATTTTTTAAAGATTTTGATTCTTTAAGAAAAGGATTAGTGACTGAATCATAGGTATTACATATATATATTTGTATTAATTTAGTTTGCTAGAATATTGCATATATAAAATATTCCTGTATCTGAAAAAGAAATATCAATTTTATTGAATCAATATAAGGTTGATAAGATTCCAAATGGTTAAGTGGATTATAATTAATTTTGTGAAGATGTTGATAAAATATTTACAATAAAAGGAATTGATAAAGAACCATAAGCTTTAGTTCCTTAAATAGATGATTCAACTACTTTACCTGCAAGAAGAAGATATTTATAGATGACAGAATAGGAGGCAATTTAATTAGATGAATTACTTATGAAATATAAATAAGCTATTCAAAATAAGAGAGTTTTATTAAAACCAGTATTTGAAGATTTTGATAAAACTAAATAAGGTTACATAACAACTAATCAATTTTTAAGAATTCTTAATTAATTTAATTTATTTCCAGATCCAGTTTCATTAAATCTATTATTAAAGAGATTTGTAGATAAAGCAAATTTAAATGAAGTTAATTACTATGATTTTTGTAGAATTGTAGATTAATCAGATGAAGGAGTAGCTATAAGTAGATCACATGCAGATGCATTTAAAAATTATGTTAAATCAGATAATTTGACTTAAGCATTTATTAGAAATGATTAACCTAATGATTTTGAAGATTTAATGGCAAAATTGAGAAGAATAGTCAAAGAATAAAGATAAAGAATTGCAGAATTCTTAAGAGATTTTGATAAATTAAGAAGTGGAACAATAACAGTAACATAATTAAGAAAAGGATTGAGTATGGCAAAAATACTCTTGTCTGATGCAGAATTTTAATTAATTCTTAATAATTTTGGATGTAAGGATAAATAAGGATTTGTTTTATGGAAAGAATTTACTGATTAAGTTGATTAAGTATTTACTACAAAAAATTTGGAAAAAGTAAGTCCATCAGAAAATGTACCATAAATGTCTACTTAATATAATTATGGTAGAGTCTCAATTACTGAAAGAGATAGATAAGTTGCTGAAGTTGTGAAAAAGAAATTTTAATATTTTTGTAAGGCAACTAGACTAGATATTAAATAATTCTTTTAAGATTGGGATAAATTAGGTAGAAATAAAGTGTCTCCAAAATAATTTAGATAAACATTAGCTACTGTTAATTTTATATTATCAGATGAAGAATTTTAGGCAGTAGTTAAGATCTATGCTGCAGAAGATGATGGAGATATCAGATATGTTCAATTTATAAATGACACTTAACCACCATTGGAAATTCAAACAGAATCTGGAGCATCTTAGGCTTATGTTGGAGTTAAACCAAAAGAAAAAGAAAAAGTATAATCATAAATTTAATTTAGTTATAACCTTCTGTGTTATTAGAATAGATTAAAGTAGCTGTTAAAGTGAAAAGACTTAGATTGGGTGATTATTTTAAAGATTTTGATCCTTTAAGAAAAGGATTGATGCCTACTAATAAATTTAGAGGAGTTCTTAGTCAAATGAAAATAGATTTAGATTAAGAAAGTTTAGATCTATTAGAAACTATGTATGTTGTTCCTGAAGATCCAATTAGAGTTAATTATGCTAAGTTTATAGAGGATGTAGAAATTGTATTTACAAAAACAGTAATTTAATTTATTAAAAATATAATTAGGGATTAGATAAGGATCCATTAATGAAACCACCTGTTCATGTTATTCCCACTTTTCTTGATCCTAGAGATGCATTAACTCAAGAGGAAGAAGAAGCTTTACATGCAATTATGTTAAGATTGGGTGAAGTTGTTAGAAAACATAGGATTTTGCTTAAACCTCACTTTTAAGATAAAGTATATTATTTATAAGTAATATTTTAGGATAAAACTAAATCAGGTAAAATCACTTTTACTAGATTTAGATCTATTATGGATTTTCATAAATTACCATTAACTGATGATCAATTCAGAGTTATTTGCAAAAGGTTGTATTAATTATTTATATTATTATTTTAGATTTGCATATTAAGGCATAGAATTTAATTATGTTGAGTTTGATGAGATATTAAAAAAGTATGAGAACTTTTATTAATGATTTATAAATCAAATTAAATATATATTAATATCTATTTTCAACTATTCCTTAATTCAATCTAAAAAAGTTAAAACATAATAGATATAGAAATTATGATTCAATAATACAATAAAGTTTATGAAATGAATATTCACCTTAGTAAAATTAAACAAATATTAATAAATTATAATATGAGTATAGGAATAATAAGGGCCAAATGTACACTTTCTAATCCTTTATCAAATAATGTTCCTGGTGCTATGCCTATATTAATGACACTTCAGAATCATGAAAATGATAGTACAACTATGAAAATAACATATTTTACTAGAAAATTAATATGAACCAAAGCAAGGGGACTCTATTTTTATTCCTTTTATTAATGAAAGAGACAGAATGAATAGGTTATTTTAAGCAGATAAATATTCAACACCTAAAAAATAAAACATTTAGTAAGTTTAAGAAACTTCAAATGAAAAATGGATATAAAATGATCCTGTGAAGTTGAAATTGCCACAAAAAAAACTATCTTTAGATGATCGACATATCAGTAATCAATGTTATTTATTTAGGTAAGTAAAGGAGTAGATCTAATGCTGAATTACGAATGAAAGTTATTTAGGCAACTACTGAAAGATAAAGCTTATTACTCTCTTAAGATTAATCTATTTAACCTTAATTTGAAGAATATAGGAAAGCTGCTTATGAAAATATCTTAAATAAAAAAAAACAAATTCTCTAATCTCCACCTCAATAATCAATAGTCAAAAATTAAAGTTCTGAAAATTTCTAATTATTTCCAATATCTAAATTAGAAAAATTAAAATAATCAAGATCTCCTTCACTTATTAAAGTGAGAAAATAAATTTAATAAACTTCCTCTAAACATTAACACTTTCTAAATTTTAAATTACCTTCTCTTATTCAGAAAGAATATATTAAATAATTTTTAGATAACAATAAAAAAATTAAAGATTTAATTTAAGAATAAAGTGATGAAAAATTTAAATTTCCATAAGATTTTGAACCAAAAATAGTAGAAATGAAAAAATAATTAAAAAAAATGAAAAGCCGACTTAAAAATTGGGAAACTGATAGATAAGAAACAGATAATAAAGTATTTTTAAAAGAAATTGCATCTGGTATATTAAATAAATGATTTATTTATGTTTCCTAAATATTGTTTTTATATTTAGTTTTATATAATAACTAAAAAAATAAGCAATTTAAAAATTAAAAAAAAAACAAAATTAAATATTATCATACCATTTGCTTCTAAAAATTGAATCTATGCTTCGAATTTTTCTATAATAAATCTAGTAATTACGATGCAGATGATTGATCATCCTCATATGATAGAGAAGAATCAAGTGAAGTTGCATTACTCTCAAACTAAAATAAGATTAATATAAATTTTGTTACTCTTTCATCAGTTAATGAAGATATAGTCTCTTAAACTGGTGATATTTGATTAAAAAGATGTTAAAATTTTGGATTGCTATATTAATGAACTCTAGGTTAGTTGTTTAATCGTTCCTTTAATATTAAACCTTATAAAGCATCATATCTCTTTACGAGCATTTGTTTAGTTTTATTTAAGTCTTTTATTTCTTTAATTAAAAAAGCATTTTCTTAATTAAATTTTTAGAGTTCAATTTAAAGTTTTTTCTTTTCTTCTTGAATTGTTTTATTATTGATTCTAAAAGATGAAAAATTTTGCTAAGGTTATAAATAATTTTATTACAGGTGTTGTTTAATTATAATATTGCATTTGACGATCAAGGAAAACCAGAAACTCATTTTAATTTGCTTATTTCACTAAACATTAATCAAACAATTAAATTTATGCCATTTCATGAATATTGTGTTAAGAAGTACTTCTATGCTTAATCCCTCCAAATTATTAAGTTTGATTGATATCCATTTTTATATTGGTTGACATTGATTTTGGTAAAGTGTCTTAATTTGATCTTTGCTTTCTTAATTCTACCATCAGGTTATAATTAAAATTATACTTGCATAATTGATTCCACTTGATTTAGGAGTTGTTGAATTCATAATTTAAATTATTTTTAACTATATTATTAAAAAATTAATATTATATTTCATAAATTATGTTTCTAGCTAATATCATATTTATTATTCAATAAGTAACCAAATCTTAGGAATATTTTATAATATATTATGAATTAAGACATAACATAATTCTATTCAAGTTTTATTCCTATTCAATAAATATTGAAGTAAAAAAACAATAATATTTATTTATAGAAACAAAAAGAAATTAATTCTCTAGAATTCGTTTAATTATACTTTTATATTAAATAACCTTATCCAATATATTTAATTAATAAAGGAATTAATTATGAATAAATAAGGGTAAAATCTTATGTCATTTAATTTCAATTTACTATTAAAATTATTATTAAAATATTGAAATAACCTAAAATTTAGTATGATATGAGTAAAATCTAATTATTAAATTCAATTACAAAAATTCTAACTAAGTTGATAGAAAGAAAATCAATCTAATAATAGGCTTCTGGATATATTCTATTATTAATCAACTTGAATTAGATTAAGAAAAAAATGAGGTGGTTAATAGACATTTGATTATAAAATGATGATTATGTTTTAAATTACTAAACATAAAAATGATCTCAATAGATTTTAGTGATTATTGATTAATTAATAAAAGTAAATTACAATCTTAATGGAGAAATACATTTAAATTGAAAAGAATTTAGGATATGATCTTAAATATTGAAGATGAATATACATTAATATATTTAAAAATATCATATAGCAGAACTTAATTTTGAATTATAGAAATAAATGAATATTCCACTTTAAATGAATAAGAGAATACAATTTTGTGTTACTTATAAGATATTTATTTACTTATTTATTTAAATTAAATTTTATCTATCTAAACAATAGGGATACAAAGAAACTTAAATTTGAATAGGAGTAACTAGAAATCAATATACTAATCAAAAGAAGAATAAGAGAAAAAAAACATCGAAATGATAAGAAATTCTTATATTAGAAATTTAAAAAAAAAACAGCCGTTTTAATTGACATAGATTATGTTGAAGATTTTATTTATGCTGTTATTTATTGCAGAAGATTTGTGTTATCTAAGGTTATGAAAATGTTCTAAATTACGATAGGGAATATGAAAATAAGTTGATAATAAATTATTAAATAATTAAATTATATTCATTAAATATTAATAAAATAAAATTATTATTACTTTTTTTGTAAAAACAACTTTTTAAAAATTTCACTTCAAACTTTATTTTATAAGTATGGATTGAAACATTTTTAATTGTTTAACATAAGATTACTGTTAGCTAGAGTGTTTCATAATGATTTCATGCTTTAAAAGAGCAAATCAAGAAAAATAATTTACATTTTGAGGTGCTCTAGTAGGGGAAATTTTGAAATTAATTGATGTTTAAATTAAACTATCAGAAATAGATGTGCAGAATTGGCTATTTGATAATTAAAGGTATGCAATATCATTATCCAAAAAAATCACAAATAAACCAATGAAATTAACGAAATTTTAATATTTCGAATTTAAAGCTTATAACAAAAAAAAATAATAATAAAAATAAGATAACATAATTAAGATGGCAAAAGGAGCAACAAAAGGAAACAAGGGAGCTAAGAAGGCTGGAACACCAAGTCAAATATTTAATTTATTGTAGAAGCTACAAAGAATGTTAAAAAAGTAACAAAAAAGACCACTGATGCAACTCCAGCACCAGCCCCAGTGACAACAACAACAGCACCAGCACCAACTACCGCAACACCAGTTGCTGCATCCACTCCCAAAAAATAAGGAAAGCAAGCAACAAAAGCAAAGAAAGCTACTAAAAAAGCTACAAAGAAGGCTCCTAAGAAGGGAAGTAAGAAATAAGCCAAGAAATGATTAGTTATTCAAGAATTAATCTATTAATTAGATATTCATTATTTTCTTTTTCAACTTCTGCATAATTCTATATATTAGAAATAATTTTATCAATATCAAGTAGATTTATAATCACTGATTTTAATAACTCTCTTATTTCTTTTAATGCAATAATATTAATAAATAGAAACAATCATAGATATACTTATTAAGTTCATTTTTCTCAATATTATTTTAGTTGGATATATATCAGTATGGGTTATGTGTAAGTTATATCTAAATAAATTTTATTTTTATATCTAATGTAAAAATATGATAGGGATACTATATTAGAATGTTATTATTTCATAGAATAACTAGAAAGCATTAGAATATTCTCAATAAAAATAAATTAGAATAGGTTAAAAGGAGAAATGAAAAAATAATATAAAATCATTTATATTATCAAGAATTCAAAAAAGTTAAAAAAAGGAATGTAATAAATAAAGTCTAATTTCTTCATAAATCTATTTAGTACTTTATCTATTATAATGGAATAATAAATATTTTAAACCTAAAACTTTTAAAACTATTTATTTATATCTAAAAATAGTAATTAAGGAATTTAGAAGGAAAGATTAATCATTTTTAGAATCATAAGCCATATGGTATTTATTTAAATAAATATAGAATATTATTCATTTTTTAATATTGATATCCGCATTATATATTATTTCTTTTTTAGACTCTCATTAATATAATTACTTCAAATATAGAATATCAATAATTTATATTTAAAAATTATTGTAAAAGATAGCTGGATATTCATTTTTATATATTCTAAAATATATATTGATTAATCTTAAAATATTTTAACATATATTGTATAAATCTGACTCTATTAGAATCATCATATAAATTAAAAGAATCTTTTATCAGATTAATTAAATTATTAAAAATAATTTATTTAATGAGTTAAGAGAACAGAACAACTAGATCTAGTGAATCAGATGAAACATAAGGTTATTTTGATATGGCAAATAACAATGAGAGGTTTTACTCTTTTGAACAAAGAATTGCTTTAAAATTAATTCTTGAGAATGAGGAAACTTTTATATTAGCTTAAGAAGTTCCCTATAATATATCATAAATAATGAACAAAAGATATTTAAATGAGAATCAACCAATTTTAGGGTCTGGAAGTTTTGGAACTGTTTTCATCTGCTGGCATTTAATATCAAAATATTTATGTGCTGTAAAAGTACATTAAAGATGTTAAGCTGATGAGATTTTACAATAAGTGAATGAATACAAGATTTAGAATTTATTAAATATAAAATTTCCTAATAGCTCTTTATTACTACCTGATAGAGTATATGTTATATAAGAATCCATAAACTATTTTACTACTTTTGCTGGGATGGAAATTGCATATACAACTTTAGATGAGTATATAGCTAAGGTTGATATTTAATATGATGAATTTATTAGTATATATCATTAAATCTTATAATAAATATTGGAAATGCATTCTTTAAGAATAGCTCATAGAGATATTAAATTATCAAATATTATGTATACTTGTTAAAAGGGTTGGTTAATTAGTGATTTTGGATGTGCATAATTTTATGAAAATTAAAAAGGAAAATATTCAATATAAGGTACTAGATAGTACTTGCCACCTGATTTAAGAAATTTATTAAAATACAATTTTTAATAAATAGAGTGTGAACAGAATCTTTTTGATAACGATATATATTCTTTTTTATTGTCAATGTTAAAGGTATACAAAAAAGGATCATCAATTGTACAGTTATAATAGATGCTGGATAATGATTGCCTTTTATAATAAATGCCTAATGAATTTAAAATACATGGCAAGAGTTACAATTATATTAAATTAAACGTACTACGTGGAATGAATAAAGTTCCAATATAAAAATAATTTGAATAAGAAAAAGATAAACTAGTCAATCAAATATTTGAAGAAAAGAATTAGAGTTCAGAGTATATTATTGAATTAGTTATCAAAAAACTAAAATTATACCATTTTTCTTCTACCGATATTTGGCATTCTTATCTTTTGAGTCCTGATGATGAACGTAATAATGAATTCAATTTGAATATATAGACGAATTAAGAAGTTAATCAAATTTTATAGAAATATCGTGATTTACTATCGAATGATTTTAAATAAGTAGAAGATAACTCCTTACTAGAGATTATGGAAACTTGAATATTTTGAAGATATTATAATTTATAATCTTAAATTAATATAAAGAATGCCATAATTCGAGCACTAAAAAATGGTAATATAATTTGATAATGATCTACTATCTCCGATTAAGTAATATTCAAAAATAATATAATGCTTGTTTAGAAATGCAAAAATATTCTGAAGAATCTTCGGTAAATTATAAATTACAAGAAATTGAATGTTTAATCTAATTAGATCAATTNCTGATGAGATTTTACAATAAGTGAATGAATACAAGATTTAGAATTTATTAAATATAAAATTTCCTAATAGCTCTTTATTACTACCTGATAGAGTATATGTTATATAAGAATCCATAAACTATTTTACTACTTTTGCTGGGATGGAAATTGCATATACAACTTTAGATGAGTATATAGCTAAGGTTGATATTTAATATGATGAATTTATTAGTATATATCATTAAATCTTATAATAAATATTGGAAATGCATTCTTTAAGAATAGCTCATAGAGATATTAAATTATCAAATATTATGTATACTTGTTAAAAGGGTTGGTTAATTAGTGATTTTGGATGTGCATAATTTTATGAAAATTAAAAAGGAAAATATTCAATATAAGGTACTAGATAGTACTTGCCACCTGATTTAAGAAATTTATTAAAATACAATTTTTAATAAATAGAGTGTGAACAGAATCTTTTTGATAACGATATATATTCTTTTTTATTGTCAATGTTAAAGGTATACAAAAAAGGATCATCAATTGTACAGTTATAATAGATGCTGGATAATGATTGCCTTTTATAATAAATGCCTAATGAATTTAAAATACATGGCAAGAGTTACAATTATATTAAATTAAACGTACTACGTGGAATGAATAAAGTTCCAATATAAAAATAATTTGAATAAGAAAAAGATAAACTAGTCAATCAAATATTTGAAGAAAAGAATTAGAGTTCAGAGTATATTATTGAATTAGTTATCAAAAAACTAAAATTATACCATTTTTCTTCTACCGATATTTGGCATTCTTATCTTTTGAGTCCTGATGATGAACGTAATAATGAATTCAATTTGAATATATAGACGAATTAAGAAGTTAATCAAATTTTATAGAAATATCGTGATTTACTATCGAATGATTTTAAATAAGTAGAAGATAACTCCTTACTAGAGATTATGGAAACTTGAATATTTTGAAGATATTATAATTTATAATCTTAAATTAATATAAAGAATGCCATAATTCGAGCACTAAAAAATGGTAATATAATTTGATAATGATCTACTATCTCCGATTAAGTAATATTCAAAAATAATATAATGCTTGTTTAGAAATGCAAAAATATTCTGAAGAATCTTCGGTAAATTATAAATTACAAGAAATTGAATGTTTAATCTAATTAGATCAATTTGAATCTGCTCTATAAATTTTAGAAGAATTAACTAATCAATAGTATTTGTTAGATGACATATAATATGTGAGATTAGAAATGTATAGAATCTATTTAGAAAAAAGTTGGCTGGAAACAGCAGTTGAAATTTAAAAATACTACTTTAAAGTTTAAATGTTATTTTAACGAAATATGCTTATTACAAAAATAAATTCTTATTTTTCTTGGATCTTTTACCAGTTCAATTATACAGCTGGCGATATTAAAAATGATGTTAATTTTCCAGAACCTTTAGAATTTTATTATAGAAAAATTCTTTAATACTTTGGTATTAAGACTAATGATCCTAAAGAAATTATTTAGCAATTAGAGTAAGGAGGAGCAGATAAATATGGAATTAGGTAACTATTATTAATTTTAATGCAGACCATCAGTTTAGCTATAAAAATTGAAGAATAGTTTGAAGTAGATGAATTCTTTGAATTAGCCATCTAATATTTTCAATAAAATAACCTTAGTGGAAGTTGGGATATTTATTATTATTATTCAATTAAGTGCCAAAAGAAATTATAATACCAAAAGTCTTTATTTATGATCCATAAAGCTATGGAATTAGTAGATAAGAATAATAATCTTGAATTGTTATAAACATTATTTTAATAGATGTATTGTGAAATTAAACTTGATTAATGCTAGGAGTATTAAAGTACCTTAACGAATATTTTAATAATAATTAAATAAGTATAATCATCAAAAAGTAGATTATTATTAATTTAGAGAGTCTAAAGATTACTTTATATAATGTTTCTTAAATAATAATATTCAAATCAAATTTTTATCATAATTTAATAATATTTACAGTCTGAAACTGATACAGAAATTTTATCTTTTTTATATAAATTAGAATGGGAAACAATTTTAACTTATCAACATCCATAAAGTCTTAATTATTTTTTCAATAATAAAATGATAAACATCTATTTAAATTCCAATAATAATGATATAGATATGTTAAAATGTTTGTAAAATATAGCAGTTGTTTCAAGGTAAATAATTAAATTTGATTAAAATATTGAGAATCAAAAAGTAGCAGTCAACTCTTCTTAAAGGTATATACAGAGTCTCATTATATTTGAAGATATATTCAACTAAAATTAAACAAAAACATTAGATTTAGAAAATGAAATCTTGAGATTAGCTAATTTAAATAAGTAATTCAAATAAGACCAAAATTTTAAATAAGTAAAAAATATGCTTATAGAGTATTTCTTTAATAATTATAAATAGCTTGTATGAAATGATTGTAATAAATTTATGGTCTAATAAATAAATAAAATATTCTTTATATTTAATAATTTTATATTAATTAAGTAAATTATACTAATTTATAATTTAATAAAAATTAATAACAATTACATTTGTTTAATGTTTTAAATTTAGCATATATATTCCTAATTGTAAACAAATATCGAATCTTTTTATTTTTTCTACCTTGTTATATTTATTTTATTCAAATTTTATTTATTAAAATAAATAAATATCAAATTTTAATATAAGTTAAATCTACTTTGATAAAAATAGATGACAATGAATATCACAATAATTAATAACAATATTTTATAATTTAAAAAACGATTAATTGAACCAGAAAGTTTTTATAAAACAATAAAGTTTTTAGAAATAAATTCAATGAAATAGAGCATCGTCACCAACAGAAGAGTTTGTAAATTATTTTTCCCAAACTACAAAGATTCCATTTTACCATTTGCCTTATTTTTCCACTTTTTTTCTCCCTACATATGTTCCATTACCATGTCTTTTTCCATTTTTCCATTATCCTTTATAAATCTAAAATTGTATTTTTAATACTTACTCTTCCATCACCATAATAAAAAGTACCAAATCCATCTCTTAAATCATTAAGGAATTCTCCAACATACTTAGAACCATCCTTCCAATAAAATTCCTTTAAGTAGTTTTAAAATATATTACTCCTTATCCATTCATTTTATTTTATTTCCAATATCCTATGTATTTAGTTCCATCTGAACATTTATAAGTTCCAAAACCACAAAAACAATTATCTGCAAACTCTCCCACATATTGAGAACCATTTGCAACAGTGTATACCCCTTAACCAAATTTGATGCCGTCAACATAATGTCCCTCAAAACTTGCTCCATCTGGCCACATCTCTTTACCTTAACCATTTTATTTATCATTAATCCATTCTCCAACATAATATCCTCCATTTGAAGTTGTCAATTTACCCTATTATATATTGGATAATTTAATTACATAACCATGTGCTTTGTCATCTTACCAATCACCTTCATAAACATCTCCTTCCACATGGATAAGTCTTCCCTTTCCATTTTATTTATTATCCCTCCAATATCCTTCATAATAAGAACCATCAGACCAATATTAGATTCCTTTACCCCATTTTGCACTAAAATAGCCAAGGGTTATACTTATCCTTCCATTAACCTATATATATATGATCAAGTTCATCTTGCACAGGTCCTCTTGTTATCAAGTCTGGTTCTTATTAACTATCCTCATAAATGAATTCGGGTAGGCCTTTCCTCACCTAAAAAAAGGAATCAAATTTAAAGAATAAATATACTGATTTTGTTAAATCTTCAAGTTTTTCTGGTACTTTTTCGATTGTTTTTAGATTTTAAGGTATGTTACTCTCTTTTGAGATAGAGTTAAACCTATTTAGATCACCCAATTAAATTTCTTATCTGCTCTATTTGTTTGAATGACTGTATTCATTTGTAGCTGTAATGGCTACGCTATTACTTTTATGATTTTTATGTTTTTTTCTAATCAAATGTCCTCGAACAAAAGCTTAAGCTATAATAAAGTTGTGTTACATTAAATTGTTAATGCAGCCTTATTCATTTATTCTTCATCTAATAGATCTTTTGTAACTATTTATTGAGAATGACACTCCATAATTGAGGATTATCCACAGCAATTTCCCATAAAATTTTAATTATATATTTTTATCTTAATCAAAAGATAGTAACAAATTATATAAGCTAAAAAAATATAGATTTATTTTTATAATTTATACATATAATAGACATCATTCGTTAAAGTAAACTCTAACCTCAGGGACATTCTTTAAGATATGCTCATCTTTAACAAAATTAATTACTAAATCAACATAATCATTCTAAATATATTATAAATGTATACCTTTACATCCAGCAAATCAATAATTGGTTATGTAAATACAGCTTAACCTTTATGAAGGTCATGCATATAAATGACAGAAGATTGCTTGAAAACATTAATTGGTTCTAAATGATAAGTTTGTTTTAAATGCTCGAATAAACTTTGTAAGGTAATTTCTTTTCCTAACTTGACATCCCATCTATCCCATAAAGTGACATTCACTTCCTCATTAAGTTTGATAGATTCTGCTTTCATAGGTTCAGTCAACTATACTATAGGAACAGCTAAATTAATAAATCCATTTTTCATGTTTTCAAGTTTGCATTTCTTTAAAACTTTGACTAATTCTATTGTCTATAATCCTGATACCACTGCAGTAGTAGTGGCTAAAGCTGGTACTATTCTTCCAGCCTTTAATTTAACAGTAATCCAATCCATTTCATCAAGACCATAATTTAAAGCTCTTAAGTTTCCAAGAGAATGAATAAAATCAATATGTCCATTCATATCACAATCCTTCTCAAATTCTTATGATTACAATTTAATACTAAAAATAATATAATATTTTAATACCCAGCTGATCTTAAATCTTAGAGTTATGCTAATAGTTTGTTGGTGTCATCAATAATACTAGTCTCTTATTCTTCTTCTTATTATTTCTATGATTTGTTCTCCAATTTCAAAACTTATTCTTCAATTTCCTTTTTCTTGGAATCATTGGGTATCCATTCCTTACTTGTCATCTTCTCACCTAAAATAGCAACATCAAGTCTATTTTTCTCTTATCTCCAGTCAGATGGTGTGGGTAGATTGTATTATTTAGCTCTTAGGAAAGCCATAGTAGAGATAAATTAAACAATGATGAGATTTTCAATATCATAATTTAAGAATTTTGGAGGTCTTTTAGGTAATTTCCAAAATGGTTAACCATCTTTAGTTTTGGCATCAATTGGATATGTGTATAGTAATTATTTAATGTCATTAATAAAGTATTTTTAGAATTTGTTTTTTGCCCATTGAATACAATCTTCTAATTTAGTTGGAGTTTATTATAATAATTTAATAGTGGATTTTAATTATTTAATTTCATCTGGATTTGATGGATTAAATTATTAATTATCTATTATGTTCTATGCTAATTTTGGTTTTAAGGAAAATAGCTTATTAAATTTATCTCTAGCAAATTCTATACAATGGAATGTTTCTTCAGGGAACATTTTTAAAGTACAATAAGGAATCTCTCCTTCCTCTACTGGATCTTACATACTATTGTATGATTCTGTTTAGAATGGTATGATACATTGCACATGGCCTTTTGGTCCCAAAGTACCTGATTCTAATAAGGGAATTTTAGCTTTAACACATCTACGATCTACATATCTTCTTGCTTAAACATTATCAAGAGCATTAGCAACAAGTGATAATTACTCAAAGTATTGATCATTAAAAATATTCTCGGTTTGTTCATGAACCTTGTCCATTCTTGCAACCAATTTACCTTTGAGAAGAGGATTCATTTGAATTACTGCTGCAGCTGCAGTTTATGATTTAGGTTTGTGAATATGTTTTTCTCTGAATAAGAATTATCTATTGAGATTAGAAGTTTCAATATGATCTGGATCTGTAATAGTAATTTATCCTTCAATACTTAAATTAATCATGGCAAAATTCTTTAATAATTCACATCCTATAGCACCACATCCAACCATGAATAAATTTGTACTTTTAATTTTCTAGTAAACATCTTCACCCATTAATTTAGTTAATGCATCTTTTCCAGTAAGTTATAATTGATCTAGATTTTAGATCTAAGCCTATTAATCACCTTTTTCATCCCAAATTTAAAATGGCAACACTTCAATGCAATCAAAATAATAAGCTTGATTAATTGGAGTAAATTTATTTGTTAAAGCTTTGATTATTTCTTATGACACAAATCCTCCTAAATAAGCAGCTAAAGGAGGGAATGCTGGCAATGCAAAAGTCTTTTAGAACATTTTTAGATAATATTCTAAATACTTAGCTTATTTTTAATTTTATTGAATGAAATTTCCTTTATCAAATTTAATAATTAAGTCAAGCAAATTATTAATATCTCCATTGGTGTATGATAATGTTCTATATGCTAAATGTAATAAGCTTTATTCAACTAGTTTAATGCTATCACTCTCTTTCAAATTGGGATCTAAACAGTCATCACTGTTTATTACAATATCCAAAGGTTTATTAGTAAATGTTATAGTTTATTTAACATGTCTAGCAATTCCACTTGATATATAAGGAGAATATTGAGAGATATCATCTAGAATCTTAAACTTCTTAGTAGAAATAGTTTGTATTTTAAGAAGTTAGTTGTTGATTGATTGTTCTCCTTATTTCATACCTTGAACTTGCAAGAAAATAATTGAATCTCCATCTGCAAATTAGGATCTTTGACCATCCAATAATTCAACTATTCCATCAGCTGAGATAGATTTAATCAATACATCAGGAATGTCTTCTCCGTTCTTATCAATAACTTTGAATTCAGCCCCAAAGTCATTAATTATTCTTCCATAAACTGAATTAGCATTAGTAATGATAAGTTTAATCTAATGGGTTCTGCAAAGATTATCCCAACAAATTAGTTCATTATAATCATACACATCTGTCAATATTGCTATATCAAATTGCTCTGTGGTTATATACTATTGAACATCCTTTTCTATCACTTTTACTCGTACATAATTATTCAATTGCTGTATTTTATCAACACATGCAATAGCTCTTGTTTTACCAATATCGGATTAAGATAGGAAGAACTATCCTACCAAGTCATCCTAATTTACTACTTTGTTATCATAGATAGCAAAAACCCCAACTCCAGAAAGTACAACATTTTTAGCAATCTCAACACCTAATGATCCAACTCCACAAAGTAAGACCTTTGCATTTGCTTATTTCTTTACAGCATCAATACCCATTGCACCAATATATCTACTCCATCTATCTCTAACTTATTCATTACTTACATCCATCACTTACTCTTAAATAGCTTTATCATATGTCACATCAACTTCTTCTAAATTAAGTATACCCTCACTGACTTTTTAAACATTTACTTAATTTTCCTATTACTTCTTCTTTCTTTTTTAATTAATCTTAGGACTAATTTCCTTGATGCTTGGTTGTTATAAACTATTTAGAGCTTTTTCAAGTTCAGCTGTTGCATCTTTTAGCATTTCCAAATACTAAGTCTTCGATTTTTTGAATATTGAACACCATTAACTATTATGATCACTCACTAATCCCATATATAAGGCTTGTCTTTGTTCTGCATATTGAAGCCATTTCCTAACTTCTTCCATTATTTCTCCTCTCTTCAAATAAAAATGTCTTCTAATAATAGTCTCAAATCCAATAGGAGGATTCTTGATATTTTCAATCATTGCATATTATATATTTCCATATCTAACTATGTTAGAATAGGCTTCATTCTTCATTTCACCATCTTATTAACCTGCTTCCCCTTCAAATCCTGGTTCATTAAAATACACATCTTCAGACATTATAATAGCTTAGGTTGACACTAAAACTTATAAAATGGTTGATAATTTTGGATCCCAATTTTCAGATGCATGTCCTCTCCATGTTCCCAATAATGATAAACACACTTTACCACATGCATATAAATTTGGATTAAATCTAATCTTCCCACCTCCAGTAGTTGATAAATTCATCTTTGGAGGAGTATTTGGATATTAATCTTCAAAGTAAATATCAAATAAATAAGCTCCATGAGCATATGGTGTTCCAGATGCTCCCATTACTAATGCTTTTATTACATCAACCCTATCCTTATCAGCTCTAACAAATATTGAATTAGTATGTTCAACTGGTAATGAATTTGACATATCAGCAAATTCCTAAGCTAAACGAATCAATTTAGCTGGTGTTGGAATTGGAGCTTATGTAATCTATTTTTCATAATAATGTTGATATTGTTAATTTTATCCTTTGAATGAAACATAATCAAATCTTAAGTCTTTTAACAATAATTTATAAGCTTCATTTAATGGTTATTTGAGTAACTCTAACAATTCATGTTCTTTTGCTTCTTCTTATTCATTATCTGAATCATCACATTAAAATCTTTCTATTGCTTCTTAAACACATGTATCTGTCTCAAGTATTATAGTTGCAATTTGTTTTGAAATCTAATCTTTCTCTGACAATTCGTTTGTTTTTAAACAAGATAAGAATATTTAGGCAATATTCTTTAGATTACTTAATAATTATGCTATAGATTCAATTTATTTTGGTATGTAATTAGGAGGTATTTTTAATAATAATGGTGTTAGGTTTTTATGTTTAGCTAATGTTTTTGTTAATTGAAGATAACATAAATTTAGATCGAAATCTTTTGACATTTCCAGTAATGAACCTGATCTAAAAGCAGCCTCTAATAAAGATAACAATGCACTTTCAAATATCATTTCATTTATTAATTATGATAATTCCTAATTTAAATGCCAATTATCATAATTGAAAAAGTTTCTAATAATTTCTAAAAGAGATTTCAATTATTCTGATCTAACCTTCTTTTTATCTAAATATTCCTAAGTATTCCATTTTTAATTTTATCCAGTTTAATCACTTCCATAACCAACACCTTATTTCTTTTTTGGTTTTCTATCTACTGATTTATCTCCTTATACTTAAAGTTATTATTATTATTGTTAAGGTTCTTCAGCAATAATAGCTTAATAAACTCTTTTCTTTTCCTTACTAACAATAGCAATTTTATCTAAGATCTTCTATATTAAATTATCCTTAATAGCAATAATTCTAATTTCTTAATTATTATGTGTCTTAAATACATCAGATAAAGTGTCATATATAAATTTAACTGCTTCAATTTCTTTTTCTTTCCAAGCCTTTTAATCACTATTAGGTTAGTCTGGAGTACCAGCTAATAATTAAAATAATAATTCCATAGATTTTTTATTTTTCAAAAAGTAACTGAAAAATTATGGAACTGAACAAAAGGCACTCAATTCAGATACATAAGAATTCCAAATTTAAGTTAATTCTTAATTTTACCACTTTTTAGTTGCATCTTAAACTGCCAATATAATTTATTTGACTCCATCTTAATTCTAAAATGATTCAAATATTTTTAATGATGATGAATATTATAATGGAGTTTCTGTAAGTGAATTTAATTATCCTAATAATTCTAAACCATCAACTGTAAATGTTGGGAATGGTTTCATCTGTTATTATATTAAAGTACCATTCATTTAAATAATAGATGAATTTTTTATGGCTTATTCATTCAAATACATATTAGAAACATAAATGCATTATAAAATGTTTGTATTATTACAATTTCCTGGAATTGAATAAACAGGTGTGGCACTCAAATAATTAAATACAGATTATTTTGCAAAATACTTATCTTATAAAATTGGATTACTTAGAATACCATAACCAAAAGTAGAAGTATCATTAGTTTCTATCAATTAATTACCTTATTATCCACTGAATAATGGCTTTTAAGTGCTTTTAGATACCTATTATGGTTATTAATATATCCAAATTTCCATTCTTTGCATCCAAAAATCATCAAAATAATAATCTTCTTCTGGTTTTTATTCTAATAATTCAAAATCATGAATTCCAATAGAAATACTAGAAACTTCTTAATCATCAGAAAATGTTAAATTAATTCTTTCTAATAAAAATGAGAAAGAACCACCATTCACATGATCCATTCCAACTCCAAATGTTTTTCTATCATTATTTAGTAGATGATATATCTTATCCTTTTCATAAGTAAATCCAAATTGTTCTCCATTTTCTGGAATTGGATAAACTTCTCCAGGATAATAATCATGTTAAAATTCACTAACTAAATTACCACATTTCTAAGTGCTGAATAATCCAATTATACAATTTTCATTTTGATTATTGTTCTTTCCAAATAAAAGAATTAAAAATGGTCCCTTTTAAAGTGTAGACAATGTCTTATGGAAATATGATCCTCCTTATTATAATTCCATTTCTTTTACCCATCTACCTCCTTTTTTCAAAGAATTAGTCTTTATAACTTTTTAAATTGCTGATTATAAAGCATCATAATATTAAGGAGTGAATTCTTTTGCCTAAAATCCATTTAATTCATGAGATCCACTGGCTTCATTAGTTTCATCTTCTTAAATGTGAAGAGAACTTAATTTTCTTATGTCTCCAACAAATATTTAACTTTCTTTATCCCATATATCAATTGTGAAATCGATCTTCTCCTCAAAATTTAATAATGGTATTAGCACATTTTCAACATAATTGATATCTACTATTTGGGATAACAAATTTATATCCAATATCAATTTTTAGGCCAATTAACCAATTACTTATGGTGTTGACAATGCTATTTTTCCAATAAAATTTACTATATGACTTAATGTCAATTAATCAATTTATTTTAATAAAGTCTTTGATGGGTTAGTTACTTTCAAGTTTTCATATACTTATAAATGATAATTATTCTCACAATAGAAATTTTTGAGTTCAATAACATTAGCTGAAGAATCAAAGAAGAAAAAGTAATCAGATAAGGTTGTATTGTCTGTCTTTTTTAATGATTCAATTGTTTACTCAAAAATTTTAGGTATATAAGGTTTAACAAGACTCACAACATCATTACTAATTTGTACTAATATAGACAACAATTTTAATTTATATAATGACTGTTTTTGCAATAACTATTATGTCATGTCAATAATGCCAGTTTATTATAATTGAAGATTCAAAACATATGGTTGAGGTAATTTAATGAGAGTTATGAACAACCTAATTATCATGTTACAATGTTCATATGATTGACTAGTAACTTCTACTGCTTATAAAATATTCAAAAAGTCTTCTTCTTCTACTTCTAACAATATTAAATCTTTGTTCTTTTACTTACTTGATATGAGTATCGCATAAGTTAAGGCTTCAATTAAAAGGGTAAGTTATGTGAATTAATCTTATGATTTTGCAATTTAACTAATTTATTTGATTTAATTTAAAATATAATTTAAGAATTTCTTTAATCTATCTAATTGTTTATCTTTGTCTTACAACACAATTTCTGCTGTTAATTTAGCATGTGCCCATTCTAAAGTGATATCCATTATTTATTCCAATACCCAATCTCCAAATTCTGGATTATATTTAGTCAATCCAATAAAAAGCGGTGACAATGTAGATTCATTTGAATGCAATGCCTAACTTATATTTTTAAAGCTCTTTTTTATTTATTATACAATATTCTAATTATTGCTGATATCAAACAAAGTATTTCTAAACTTTTAGGAACACATCTTTCCTAATAATCTACTGGCAGTTTTCTCTTAAATTGTCTAAATTTACTTGTTTCTATTGATTGCAGAATCATATCCTGTGATGGATATGAAACTCACACCAATTTAAATATTATTATATTATTTGAAAGATAATTAGGAAATCTATTCCAAAAATGTGATTTAAGGCTTTTTCATAATAAATCTTATAAATGAAATTGGTTGTTGACCCAATGATTTAATTTGTTAATTTAAATTACCTTAAACAGTTAATCTCCAAACATTTAAAGCCATCACTTTTACACTATAATAAGTATATGCTTCATCTTCTATTAAAGTCATTATACCAATTGGATACCAAAGATTATCTGAAGTCTTGTTCTTTACTTCAACTACTACAATATCTGGAATACCCAAAATTCTATCATTATATTCTGGAGTGTAAGCTTAAAATCCAATTTTAATTTATTTTAATTCAATTGATTTTTCCAATTAGAATTCAAGAACATAATCTTCAGAAAATTCGTCTTTGAGAGTTAAAACATGAACTTTTGCCTTGACTCCTTTTTTATTAACTTACCAATCCTTCACTTATGGTTACAATTGTCCTTTAGGTTTCAAAGGATCAATCATTACTAGCTTATTTGCAAATTCTTCTTCTTGTGGTTACTACTCACTTGCTTCTGTTTTTTCTTCAAAAGTAGAAGAAGTCAAATGAGTTTTTTCAAGTAAATATTCAAAACCATTTCCATTTATAGCTATTTCTCTAACCACTTGATCAGTAGTCATCCATAATTCATTTAACTCTTCAAAGATCTCTTAGGTATGTTTTATTAATGAATAACTTAAAATATTTGTCATTTGATTTATTTATTCTTAAACAACAACATCAAATTCTTTCTAAAATTTAAATAATTGAATTAAAGATTCTGTTGTTAATTATTAATCTGCCTACAACCAATCAAATATTTATCTCACTTATTTACTTATACTTCCCAAGACCTCAGTTGCAGGAGTAACATTAGGTACATTTGACTTGTTAAGCATATACCAGTGAATGTATTTATTGATTATTTCTCCATATTAAGGTATTTCTTATATTAAAATTTAAACTTTTATGGGACACTCAGCTTTTTTCATTAATTACAACAATTTGTTTCCAAATTATAATTTTTTAAGTAAGGACAATTCACAACTATAAACTCCATCATGTCTTCCAACATTACAATATTTATATAAATACTGAGCAGTCTCTGAGAATATCAATTTAAATATGGATGCATTAATTTTCCTATCTTAAGATGCCACAATATTTAATAATCCATCTATGAGAGTAGTTCCTTAATATTAAAAGATTTATTTAATTAAATTGCTATTAAACTCTGTATTTTAAGTATGCTCTAAAATAGATTTTGTCATTTCAATAAATCTAAATTATATAACTGCTTATTTATTTATATCTAATTTCAAGTAAATGGATAATAATTAATCATATATCTTATGTTCCATAATTAACTAAGTTGGAATTTTACTCATTAAATTTAATAATAAACCCCAATATGTTAATGAATTTTCTAAAGTTTCATTATTGAGTAAATTTTTTCTTGGTTCAATCAAGAATCTTATCATTTAAGATAATGTTTCTATATTGCAAATTTGAATAAATCCTCCTTCATCTAATTTTTCTGAAAATTCTTAAAATGTTTGAGCAGCCTGATATTTAATAGATCTTTTCCTTTGATTTTATCTCTACTCCCCTTATTAAAGATTCATATTTGATAGTAGCAATAATTATCCAACCACAAATTACAAAAACTAAAACCAAGCTGAACCATCTAATGGTTATGAAAATATTGAAAGATTTTCATTTGCATATTTAACTATAGCATTCAATACAATTTAGAAGAAATAGAATATTAATTTATATGTTTACTGAGTGCATAACTTTTCTATAACTTGTTTGATTTAATTCAACAGTGTATTAGAATCACTTGATTATATTGCATTAGCTAATAGTTGGAATAATCCTGATTATGTTGGATCTGTAGGATTTGTTATTTCTGTCACAAATGAAATTAAATCATCATTATTCAATTTCATCAACACATTGCATGTTTTAAGAAATAGATTTTATACATCTTATATTTAATATTGTTATTAATTTTGTAATGTCCATTTCATAATGCAAAAAAGAGTTGAGAAAACTTTTGGTTTTGTTAATTCGAAACATTCATCAGTTAATTTCTCCACTTACCCAATCTCTAAATCTTAACTACTTGTTGATCTTAGAGTACCTAATGGTTTTATTTATATTTATGGATCAACTAACTCCTTATTATTGAATTGCTTCTCTACCAATTTAGTTAACACTAATCCTATTAATTGTTGAGCTTGTTTTATTTACTGTTTTTCACTTAGAATTATTGAAATATACATTATAGTTTGGCATATTGGGATGTGAAGTATTTTCATTGTATTTAGAATGTTAGTATCTTAATCAATTTTTTGATATTAAGCAAATGTAAATAGAATCCAATACTTTAAATTCAAATTACTTAAAAGAATATTAAGTAATTGAAAACTTAGATCTGTGATTGGACCTTAATTCATTTAAACAAAGGTTTTATAAATCAATTATGCCATCTTCAATCCTTCCTATTCTTTTAGAGCCATGTCTGATCTCCATTATTGACATGTAGAATCAGCATGAATTAAAATCTTTATAAGTTCATAAGCATAAGTATACAAGAAATCCAAGGATTTACTTAGATTTATATTTGAATTTGGATCTTGGATTAGTTCAAGTTATAATTTTCTAATGATTTAAATTGTATCTTGAATCTTTTCTTTGCCTTAATTTTGTTGCAGCTTTTACTTTAACTCCTTTTATTTTTAAAGAAGTAAAGCTCTATAATATTATGATTGCATTTATGAATGAGGACTATTTACATTATTTGATTCCTTTATTTGTAATATTACATATTTTTGTTTTAATCCTAAAACTTTTGCTGAATCCAAGTAAATGGATCCTTGATTTGTATATTTTTAGTATTTTAATGAGTTGGGAAAACTAAACTCCTTCTCAAAAACAAAATCCCCATCTGTAAACAACACTTGACTCTATATTTAATCCTTTGATTAACCAACTTTTTCTAAATTTTAACTCAATTATCCTTTGAATTAAGGAATTATACATAATTCCTTTGGAGCAATGTTACTCTCTTCTTTAGTTCGAGTAGCTGCAGTTAATGAATAAGTTATTTATAATTTTAATGTTCTTACTTACTAAGCCTTTATATTCCATGATATCATATTAAGTTTACTTTTTGGCATATTTGATGAATGTTAATCTGCATATTTTGTTAATTAAACAAGAAGCCAATCTGGTAAAGTGACATCCAAAATAGGTTAATTTGTTTAACCAATATACAAAGTCACTCTAACTACTCTACAACTTATTTAAGGTGTATTAAACACTAATTAAAATTGATGAACATCATATTATGATAAGAGATCAATTACATATTCGTCATAATGAGTTTATCTTGAAAAAACAATGATAGAATAAAGAGGTTTCTTTATATTAATATCAATATTGATCAAATTGTTAGGCTTATCAGAGTCTACCTTTTCTTTATTACTGATTTCAATCTATTTTTATACTTCTCCTAACACTTAAGATATCAATAGAGTGTCTTCAGCAAATTAGGTTAATTTATAATATCTATCAGAAAAAAGTTATTCTTCAGTCAACATTAAGAAAATCTAAAATTGATTCAACTTATTGAAATGTGATGAATCAACTTTGTGAATAAACTTCGCAATTTATTTTAAATGGCTTAATATATAAGGATAATATTCTTTTGAGTCTTATGAGGCATATTTCTTCAACATCTAAAGCAATTGAATAAATCCTGCTGGTTTTATGATATCAGATAATGTAAAGATATTATTGATGATGTCTTTTACTGCTTTAATTAATTAGCCATTAAATTCTGGTATTGATAAAAATTATTAAAAGAACGTTTAAACACAAGATTCTTCTTCCTACTATTATGCAAGTAAGTTTAACTTTATGAATTCTAAAATATTTAAATCTTTAAAGCATATATTGACAAATTAAGGAATACTTTAGAATAACTTACATAACACCTTTATTGCACTAAATCTTTATTATTAGGAAGCTTTATTATTGTGAATAAGCTACATTAATTTTTAATTAAATTCTTCATATTTAGATACATCATGCATTAGAGTTGTTATCAGATGAGCTTAAGGTAGTTTTTGTAAAAGCTTTTAATTAATATCTTTTTGTTTAACTCCACTAATTTAGAGAAAACTGATTTCAGAATTTTGGAAATCAATTTTAATGTTTTGGACATTAGCTAATAAAGATGCAGGAATTTCACAGATATATTTATTGTAATTACCATAAGTATCTTCTCTAAATTAACATTATCCTTTATCCAAAACAGCTCCATTCACCTTTAATGATATTTCCTTAAATAGCTCTAAAGATTATTGGCTTTAAATTAATTAATCTCCTATATTTTCTTTTACAACAGTACCATACGCAACAAAATAATTCAAAGTCAATGGATTTTACTCAAATTTAACTTAATCTGTCTATTTTGCTGATAATGTCATTAAAAACACATATCTTCCAATTTTTGGATTTTCCAAAGAAAATGTCAATTATTCTTCATTAGGTCCTAATTCAAAAAATGCCACCGGTTCCCAAGATTTCATAGGTCTAATATCTTTTTGTCTTTCCTATAACCATTGCTAATATTTTTCTTTATTAAAATTTGAAAATTTCTAACAATATTAAAAGTCATTAGCATTATTTCCAATAAATATCAATCCAGATCCTAAAGGAACTCCTGTATTTTAAAATTTATTTGGACTTGCAACTGAGAACTTAGAAAAACTCATTAATTTTCCATGTAAATGCTTGAAGATGAATTCAGGCTTAGAATAAACTGTAGAGAATATTTCTTATTGAACAAAACATATTTTTGATATACACTATTGAACATTGAATTGAGATCCTTTGTGGGTAAAGATAGTAAGGGGCAATTGATCATCTTTCTCAGGTTTCAATCCATCTATCGACACCCATCCTTCAGATTTAAAATCAGACTTTTTATCACTAAATCCTGTAACAAATAATTTCATCATTTATTACTAATTGAATAAATTTAATTCAATTTAATTCTAACTGGTTTAGTCAACATCTACAATAATATTAGCCCAAGAATCACCCTTTTATTATGATAAGAGCATAGGATTATTACTAATAGGTTAAAAGTAAACATCTTGATGTTCATTTAATTTAGCCAAATCAGAAATTTCTTCTGGTGTTAATTTTTTCAAATCATCAAATGATTCAATTATATCATGTTATTAAATAATTGCTTATTCTTTTTCTAGAGCTTCTTACAATTAATTTGTAATTACTTCTTTTTCTTATTTATTGACTACGATCAATTTTGGTTAATAGTTTTCACCTTATATGATAATAATCATAAATACCATCAAATAAAGAACATTCCCAAACTTTAGTAGTACCTTAAATAACAATCATGTCATCTTGAAAATTTAAGTTTGTTATATTTTCATCTATTGCTAAAATGATTTAATCTTTAAATTCAAATTCTTCTTGTGATTGCTAATGATATATAAAATATATTTACTGTTAGAACTGGATATAATGTTTGATATATAAATCTACTATTTTCTCCTTCATTTAATAATTTTAATAAATTTTAATAATTGACTATTTATGGGTATGATTTGTTAGTTAAAATGGAATAACTTCCTTCATTATTGGTTCTAAAAAATTAGCTTAAGTATCTGATACTCTAAAAGAATCTATTAAGAACTAAAAAAGATTATTGTTCTGTAGTAAAAACATGGGCAAATAACAAATGTCTAAATGGTTTTTATAGATTGATTTAAATAAGATTTGATAATTTTGAAGTTTTGAAAATATTTCGAAGTCTTTCATTATTATCCTCTTATATCCTTTTATTCTTTTCCTCTATACCTTCTGTTTGCTACTCTGATAGTTGCTCTTAGATTTCGATGACATCTTCTTTTTCAAATGCATCTTAGGGAGGTTAGGCGTCACATGCTTAACATTTTATGTTCTCATTTGAATTAAGTAGTGTACATTCCTTGCAAGTCCAATAAGGTTTTAATTTTGGTAATTTAATTTCTTATTGTGGTGATTGCTATTTCTCTTTAGCTTTTTGCTCTTCAATTGTAAATACTTTTTCAATTGCCTCTTCAATTTTATTTTTGGTTTCTATTAATGCTTGTTTTGAAGCTTCAATTGAAAAACCCATATTGTAAAGTTATTCCAATAATTCTTCATTTGGAACAACTGCCTCTTGAGCTTCCTCACTTTAGCTATCCTAATTTTCTATATTTGATGATTGATTATTTTCTGATTAAGGCTCAGCAAATAATGGGGCCAATGAATTCTAATCTTCTACCTTCTCTTCAAATGATCTAAGATTAAATTGTAAACATTTATGTAAACTCAATTCTCCATTCCAAATTTATATTTTTCCTTGTTCATCGACAAGAGTGAAATAGATTGATTCATTAACAGACCTTACAATTTAGAGGTTTGCATCCAAATCTACATATGGAATATTGTTAATAGTCAATGCTAAAGGAATGTCTACATAACTATAAATTTTTTCAGCTGGCAAAATACTAGATAGATCATTTTGATAAGTAATTGGTTCAATTTGATGTCTGTAATTTGTAAAATGTCGAAATAAATTTGAGAAACCAGGGAGTTTCATTAAACCCAATTCTGTTAATTATATGATATCATAGGGATAATTATTCGAATCTAAGAAAGTATGCAATCTATGAAATTATGAGAATATTCTTGGCACCAAATTAAATGAAGTAGAGGAATTGAATTTTTCAAATGCTTAGTTGTTTAATGTCATCGCATATAATTATTCATCTATCTCCAATAATACTCTAATTATTTTTAGAACTTTGCAGCTCTCCACCTATTCATCTAATTTTTATAAAAGTTCAAAATCTTATTCAAATTCATCCAACTAAGATAGAACTATTTATTTCATCAAAATGTATGGAATTTAGATCAATACTTATGATTCAACTTATTTTGCTTATATCCAATAGTAATGAAATTATTCAATCATTTATGGATTTGTATATCCATTGTTTAAAGATTTCTTCCAAGTAAAAGTTGCTGAAATTAATTTATAATGCTATTTCATTAATTTAATAAATATCAAAGATTAAGGAGTCTCTGGTTTATTGTTAAATATATTAATTAATTAAGTTTCATCAATACTTGATTTTCCTAATTTGGGTCTAAGCAATTTCATTTTATTGTTGTTAAAATATACAAAGTTGTTTGAAATTTTAATCATTTATTCACAATTGAACTCTTTTAATTCAATTTTTGTAAAATTCTATGCAAAAACCAAATTTGGCATTTAAAATTCATTTTTCTTTGTAAATAAATTAAGAGGCAAACATTTAATTCTTGGATAATTAAGATTTGGGTGCTAAGCAAATGGGTTAATAGCTGCAACTTTTCCATGTGGTGCAAATTAAACTAAAGGAACATAGGTGGCATTCTTTTCAACTGGAATTGTTTTTTTTTAATTATGATTTCCATTCAAATAAAAATTAACTTCTCCTAATTCAATATTAAGAATAACTGTGATTGTTCTAATTGTACTTGCTGTGAACGATTATAAATACACTTTCTCTTATCCTGGCTTACTAACAGTGCTCACTCCAATCTTGAATAATAATCAATAATTACTTGCATTTGACTACAATCATATATTGCTATAATTTCCCATATATGTGTACCCTTAGACATTTGAAGAGTACCAAATTTCTTGATGATATTTGTGTTTCCACAGCATTATACTACTAATCCTGAAGGTGTGACTAATATGTTAAATTCTGAAGACTTGGCAAATTACTATCTAGAAGAAGAATGATCAAGAAATAATACATTAATGACTAAGCCTTAGGCTATCCTAAATATTCTTATAGGATTTCACATTCGACTTAATTAACACTGTAATTAGCTTCTTTAAGAGAGTGACTCATTTATATTAAAATAATTTGTTTAATTCATTCAATCTCAAATGACTCTAAATATTGTTTATAGAGATCACCAGGTATCACTGGTCAGTGATTGACGGAAAATGTATTTTTTTATTAATAAATATTTTAATGCATAGGAGATAAGATTCAAACAATAACAGAATTCGAATATCTATCGATCATTAAGTTGAAGTTAGAAATACTCGAACAAATATTTCTCCGTTATAATCAAATCATGTGATATCTCCTTAAATTTACAAACATCTTAAATTACCTTCAATTAAACAATCAAGGTCTCCAAGTGCCAGAAATCAAAAACAAACTACCAAACAGGTGGCATCACTAAATTAATAAACAGCAGAGTTAATCAAAAAGTTATCGAATAATAGTATAAAATAAAAACATCACAGATTCAATACAGAAAGCAGGCGTAAAAGCTCATTGAGTTAAAATAAATTGGAACCATAAACAAAATTAACTTCAAAAGTAATTTTAAATTGAGTATAAGCGAACTCGATCTATTTCGAATATGGTTTCCAAAAATTCATTAATTGTTTCAACATAATTTGAAGAAGAAGAAGATCTGCCAAAACAAATCAAATTGCCTACTAATCTCCCTTAAAATAAAATCAAAATCGAAATTGTCAATAAAGTTCAATCTAACTATGATCATTAACAAAATAAATATGCAAAGTTTAAGGCTTAAAATAATGAAACTTATCAGAGAAGTGAAAATTAAGAATTGAATAGTCTTCGACAGTCATTATTTTCAATAATTGAGAATAGCAGAGTTTAGAGGCATAAATTTTACTAATTAGGAAACACAGATTAATAATTGTAATTATTGGAATAATTATATTTATAAAATGAAAAGATTGTTCGAAATTATGTATAAATTAGATAGGAAGCTTAATAAATTGATTTAAAAGTTAAGTCCCTCTCAAATCAAAGAAAGCAATTTAGAATATAGTGATTCTCTTTTTGTAAATTGTATTTCATGTAATCATTTAAATTATTAAGGTTCATCATCATCATCTTTTCTATTTTACAAATTCTACTCTACAATTTATTTCATGTAATTGAATCTCTTTTAGTAATTGTCGTCTTTTATTAATTTTTCATATTTCCCCAAAACCTTATTAATCTCATACTTGACACAAATCTTATCTTCCAACTTTTCAGCATTATTCAACTCTAAACCTAAGTCAAAAGTAAATTAATCAATATCGTTGAATTCATTTACAATAGTCTAATAATCTAATTAGAGATTATAACTATACTTTATTCTAAATTCCAATCGAAATTCTCACCCCATAATTAATCCTACATTATTTCAACTAGAGTTGGTCTATCTGATGAATTTTTTTAAAGCATCTTTCGAATTAGATTTCTAAATTATTCATTGTCTATCCATCCTTCTGGAAATTGAAGTTCTGTTTCTAATGCTTATTAAAACACCAAGTAATCACTTTTCCCATCAAAGGGATACTTACCAAAAACAATATGATAAAATAGGACACCTAATGAATAAATATCTGATTTCTCATTGGAATCTTTATTTCGGATGCATTCAGGTGCCATAAATTAAGGAGTTCCCACAAAATGTTTAAAAGCCTATTTTCCTATGAAATTAATTTTGATTTTATTACCTTTTCTCCCATTTCCGCTTCCTTCAATAGTTGGATCATTCATGTCTCTTGCTGTTCCAAAATCAATAAACTTAATTTTTTTATCTTATGTTAATAGGATGTTCTCACTCTTTATATCCCTATGAACAATCCCAAATTTATGGATAGAATTTATTGCTTTTATCAAATTAAAAATTACCTTTAATTATTTCACTAATGTAGTAAAGACAAAGTGGAAAAGCTTTGGCTCCAAAATTATGGATTTGTTGCCATAACTCTCCACCATCAACATACTGCAATAGCATGTAAAGATTTTCATCATCTTGAAATGTTGAATATAACCTAATCACATAAGGATTTTCTGTAAGTTTGCCTAAACAATGTTTTTCCATATAAACATCTTTTTCCTTGTTTACTTAAGTTAGCTTTCTTTTATTTATTTATTTTAATGCATAGATTTAATTGGTTTCAATTTCTCGAACCTTATAAATATCTGAAAAATTTCCATGACCTAAAACTTCAAAATCTGCAAAATCTTCTATTGCTTTCTTTCCTTATGCTTTTCTTTCAGCTCTCTATTTTTCTCTCTGTTATTTTAATTGTATTTCAGAACAAATGAATTTATGTTCTTTCCAGTCTTTTCTTTGGCATTCAATTGAGCAATAATAAATTGATTTGCAAGAAGAACATCTTGATAATTCTACATCCTATTTCTTACAAACCTAACAGCTTTTTTAATCTTATTCTATATCAGAACGCATAATTTTTGTTATTTGAATTAATAAATATATCATAATGTAATATGCTATTTTAAAAGATAATTTAATGATTTTTAGTATGAAATTTAAGTTAATTTTTATGCGTTATTTGAACGATGATTATTTTTTCCATGAATCATTAGATTAAAGTAATAAAAATATATAGTTGGTAATAAATTCTTTAATCATATAGCTTTTAAATTTTCTAATAATAAAATTAGGATGTTGAATCGCTAGAATTAATTCCTGACGTTAAAAATCTTTCTCTAAAATAATTTTTTATTTTATTTTATAATATTTTAATATTGTAATATGAATGCTAACCCAAAAGATGCATTTTCAGTTTCCTTATCAAAATTTCATCGAAAAAGTGTTCATTCTTAAATGGCAAACACAAGTGGATCCAACTAGCTAAGTGATGTTCCTAATACTCCACTTCCAGAATTAAAAGGTAGAGGATTGCAAAGTGCAAAGATTAAAGCATCCCCCAAAAGATCTCCTCATGTTTTAAAATTTTATGTTCATGACGCATAATGTATACTAAATGATCCTATAAAAAAAGCTAATGTAGTATTTAGTTTTATTTATGGATATAGAGAAGATATGAGAACTAATCTGAGTATGTATTTGTGGACACTTACTTAGATGCTTTACAAATGATTGCTTAAGAAGAAAAGAAGATTAAATATGCTAATGGACAGACCATATAATCTGAAGAATTTTCAGAACAATAAATTTCAATAAATCCTCAACCTACTTTACCTAATTTAATAAGAGAAAGAATGAGAGTTTATGCATAAAGCTAATAAAAAGAACCTTAATCTAGTAATTCTTAAATTATATATTAGTAGAATCTCAATTAGAATAGAGATAGCCAAAGAAAGTAATCAAAACAGCAACAACCCTAATGACCTAAAAGATTTTCCCAAACAAACTTACTTTATCATTATCAGTTCATTAAGCTATACCCTCTATAAAAAATAAAGTTAGCGCTAAAAGATGGGTCATGTTTACGAAATAAAAAAATGAAAAATTTTTTAATAAATTAGTTGGATGGCAAGAATTTTAAAAAGGGGAGGTAGCCAGTATAACAAAAATAATGACTTGTTATACTACATTAATATTTTTGAAAGAGTAAAATATTGAGTCTGATTAAATCAAAATCAAAATTCCAGGCCATGCTGAATGTATTGATGGAACAAGTGCCTTTTTAAATGCAGGAGGTATACTAACAATTAAACAATTACTATTCGCTCTTATGTTACCTTCTGGAAATGATGCGGCACTGGTTTTGAGTTTTACTATAGCGTATTTGATGATACTACAAAAGACAGAGATTTATTAATATAATCGGTATTTGAAAGGTGCGATTATCGATATAGAACCATAGATTGAAAGGAGCAAGAAGTTACTTAAGCATACATTCCTCGATCAAATGAATAAGCATGCAAATTCAATCAAAATGGAAAACACAAATTATTCATCTGTTCATGGTTTGAATGATGAAAAAAATGTATCATGTCCTCATGATATTAGGTATGCTTATTTCCATATTTATTAGTAAGTTAATAGAAAAATGTATTTAATTGGAAGTATTCCTTGAGATCATAACAACCAAAATATATAAAACTCATGCTTTAACTGATAAAGGGAACAAATCAACTTTTTATAAATGGAAAAATACAAACAAACTTCTAAAAAAGTCTGGCTGGATGGGAGTAAAGACAGGAGTTACTCCTAATGCAGGACCATGCTTCACAGGATATTTTAAAAATGATAATCTAGAAGCAATAATCGTTGTTTTGAATTGTTCATCGATGAACTAAAGATTTAGAGATGCAGAAGTATTACTTGTTTCAGCTTAAAAATGAGAAAATTAATTAATTTATCTATTTATTAAATGTATAAATAATTATTTAGATATTAATGATTACTTAAGATTGAATTTGCAATTAATTTAGTGTTTTTAATATTGGAAATTCATAAATATCGTTTCGAGAAGTCAAAATAGGACTATTATTTCATAAATATTATTCAAGCCACTTTCAACCATCTAAATAAATTTAAAGAACAATCAAAAAATTGAAAGAAAATTATAGGAATTAGATCTAAATTATCAAAAGGGACTTCAATAGAATGATAAATATGAAATTTCACTAGTGTAAAAATTCTAATTATTGAAGAGTTTTAAAACTATTATCTCATCTTTAAGCTCTTAATAGATTAAAAATCAAAATATATTTCATTTAAAACAATCATGCTATCTGTTAAGACATCTTAAATTTATTTTGAAAGAAATTTCTAACAAAACCATAATACAGTTTTACTCCAAACTAAAATTAGCTTTCAAAAACATTTTGATTTTTTCTGAATATTGAAATGAAGATCCTACAGCAAAAATGAAGAGGAAATAACAGAATCAATTTATATCTTTCATAAATTTCTTATTTGTTTTAAATAATAAGAAACATTTACTTCCTTGTCTACTCTTATTTTTTTTAATTGCTTTATTATTTGATTAAATCCTTTCTTTATATTATAATGTGGCTATAATCACCTTTAAACCTTTCTAAGTGCCATTTAATGCATTGGAAATGATGAAAAATTAATTAGGACTTGATAAGTATTTAAATTGGGCTAATTTAATAATTAGCTCTTCAACAAATTTGTAAGGCTTTCCTTAAAACAAGTCAAGTTACTTAAGTGGAACATTTCCTCCACAGTTTGATTACTGCTTTGAATATCCTAAAATTATTACTTCTAGGTTAATTCCTTTGCCTTAAACTAAGAAGTATTTTACATTAGGGTTCTTATCTAGGTGTTCATGAGTTCAATCTTGAATTTATCTTTTGGCTTATTGATTTAGAAAATCTAAAATTATTTGAAATTTTAAATGAGTCTTAATACCAAAAATAAGATGCTTGAAAATATTTGGAGAGAATGGCTGAGAAATATAAGACATAGATATAAATACATCACATAGTGCAATAGATAAGAGTAAATCATATTTCTTAAACATGAAGTTTTTATAGAAGATTTGTTATTTAATTAGATTACCTATCCTCAGTAATTTACTTTTTTGTAGATAAATAAGTTGAAATGTTAATGAACATACTATTTTTTTTTCTTATAAATTTGGTTGAACTAAGTGAGCTTAATTTTTCTCTCCTGATGGAATATACATTAGCTTCTGGTAATGATGATAAGTCTATCCGTCTATGGGAAATCGAAAACAAGTATTGTTCAGATTATAGATTTAAAGAAATTTAGGTTAAAAATACAAAATATCCTTTTTTTAACACCCTGAGAGAGTTTTTAAAAACAACCGTTTCCTTTTAGGAGAATTATTGGAGTAACACTTGATTAATTTAAAAACTAACCTATATTAACCCTTAATTTAAATCTATTTATTTTACTTCTTGTGTCCAATATTTGTTGATAGAGTTCTATTTTATAGTTTTTTTCTTTTTTAACAATCTTGAAGCATTACTAAAATGGAAATAAATTTAGCACATTTAAAAATTACAATAATAATTATTAGTTGCATGAATGCAATAATATCTTAATTCTTTGTATACTGTTTTTTTGGTATTATTCTTATCATAACCAAGCATTTTCTATCAATTTATATTTCGAATGTGAATTGTATAAGATTTATAAAGTATATTCTACAACTAAATCTTTCAGCATTTACCATTTTTAAGTTTTCTAATCTTCTTATTTCTTGAGAGTGAATATATCTTATTCACAAAATAATATATTCTCAACTGATATTTAATTATCAGTAATACTATTATTTTTTTATTAAATTGATATTATAAACTTTGCATTTAAGTGTGACTAAAATGAACGCTTTTTTATATATTTAAATAATTTATTGTCCAAGGAGGTTGTTATAGAGAAGATAAATTTTATTAAGATTATCATTTATGTTAATCAAATACCAATAATTATTTCCTTTTTAATTCTACAATTTAGGTGCAATTTCTGAATTTAATTGTTAAATATAACCATTTGATGAGTTTTTAAAGACTTAAGGGATATTATTTTTGAATAGATATTGATTAATTTTGTAAAAATCATAACAGTGATTATACATTGAGTAATAACTGTTTATTATTTGATGTATGTAAAATTTCATGTTGAGCTCAAGTTAATCAATAATTAAGATTCATATATAATACGGTTGGAGAAGATATCATTATTTCCTTAAATCTTAGTAATTACAAAATTATAATATTTTTTAATAGGTTTTCAAAGTTTTTTTAATATCTTATCAATTAACAGGTGATTGATGCATCATCTTGAATTGAGAGTTATGTTAAAATTAAACAATATCATATTGTTTAACTTTGTTATATAGTTTAGAAGATTAACTTTATTTTTTTAATTCTTGTCATATCTTTGTTATTAAATATATCTTTTACTATTATAAACTAATTTTACAAAATTATTAATTCTATCTATTAAGACTTATGTTTATAAATAGTAATAAATTAAATAAATTATCAGAATATCTTATGAAATAATCATGTTTTGTTAATTTAGGTTTCAATTAAGTAATTAAAATTAATCTTTATTTTAATCTCTTCATTTAGCTTACTGTTCTTTGTTTAGATTATTAAATTAATGTAGTATCATTTAACATTAAATCTCTATATATGTTAATTAATATCAGTTTTTTTTTAAGGAGATCTCAATAAATATACCCTACATTTCCTTAAAATGGAATACTTT